AACCCCAACCCCAAACCCAACCTATTTCTTAAGCTTCGGATTAATTGGCCGCATCATCTACTTTAGTGTGTATAATTTAGACAACAGAATCAAATCTAGTTATGAAATTGTCTATGTCGTAAATATCACCCTTAAAGTCTACTTCTGTGTTTGGAATTATTTTAATTGACCCACAACCGCCTCCACGTAATGAGGATGCAACTTTATTAAATAGGCCTGACATTTTTAATAATAATTTAAATAATAAATCAATACCGGTATAAAAATTTTATAACTTAATATATATAATATTCTCTATATGATATAATTTAATTAAATTAAATTTTCTAAGGTGGAATCAAAATGTTACTTGATAAATATGATTAATGAATGAAATTCAATTGGAATTCAAATACTACTAATATGCATCTACTATAAAATTCATACCTTGAGTTTTTCTGTTTTGCACAACCTTAAAGATAAATTTGCTCCTGAAAAATGATAATATTAAAATAACACCTTTATTATTGTATGCATTATAATTGGATGGATTAATGAATAAGGCTAAGTCAAAACAAATAATGTCCTCATCTAATATATTGAGGTTGTTTAAAATAAATTTTTACAGCTTTTTGTAAATACAATTTATTAAAATTGATAAAATATAATCTTACACAATCTTGAAAGTTAAATTTAAATTTAAATTATTTTTGAATTTCAGCATAACTACTCATCTTATTTTGAATTAATTTATATGGAAATATTTATATTATAGATGAATTTGATGGTAAACTAAAATTTTCGATGTTTTTTATTAAATTAATTCAGAGTATAGCCATTAAACGTAAGAAAAATCTTTTGATATAAATTGAAATGTCCTAATGACAACATATATATTTGAATATCAACGATATTTGAATACAAATATGAATCCTATTGTCAATATAAGATTTAAAAAATCTAAATTTATTTTACAAGATATTTTTGATGACTTATAACAAGAAATAATGTGCTCACTAGAATTAACAATCATAAGTTAATTATTTCTATTATATATATTAAAGAGAAAAAAATTTTAATTATACTAAAACATATTATAAGGAAAAAGCCTACAAAAATCAAAAAAATAGGTCAAATTTAGTTTGTTGCTTTGTCAAAATCTTTATTACAAAATCTTCTTTGATGGTTAATACAGGTGCTGAATTGGACTTTTAAATCCTTTTTTTATCGAATTTAAATTTCAAAACTTATTGCCCAATTTTATATTCATTGATATTCCATTTTAACACTTTTGTTATTGAAATAATTTCCAGAATTAATGCTAGCAAAAGAATCTATATGATTAATCCAATAAAGAAACTAAGAACAATTCCAATAATGCATGCAATAATAAAATTCTCATTGTTATACATTATAGTGCTCAGAGTGATCCCTAATCCATATAAGAAAAGACTTAGTATTAAAAAGCTTGACAAACAATATTTCTAATTTTTTGGAATTCTTAACAGCTATGAAAATTCGTATTTTTATTAAAATTATACATCACAATGAAAGGTCTTTTTGCACAATTCACAAAAGACCTTTTATTATAAAAGAAAGTTACTCTATTTGCTGCTATTTCATCAATTTTATGATTTCTTAATAGCCAAGTCTTTAAACAATCCTCATGAATATACTGAATAGATCCTTTACATTCACAAGGCTTAATAAATGCATTAATTTATCCATCCTCTAAACAAATTCTACAAATTATTTTATCAGAATTAATCTAAATAACACTATGACATACTTCAGCATGCTATAGATGTAATTTTCTGTTTTATGCTTAATTGTTCAAATACATTTTGACTTTTTTGACAGTTTAAGGATTTAAATTGACGTGAATACTTTTGTTTTAAGTATCCTAGAAAAAGAACTATAAATACTTTAACGACAATAGTTTGCACTAACATTTTTTGAGATTCAATTTTTGGGATAAAAAATATCTAACCAGTTTAAAATCCCAATTCAATTAAATCTTATTCTAATGTATTATGCTATTATCCATTGTTTTCACTCTAATCTAGAGATTATTACTTAACAAATATTCGATTTTTATGGGAAAATTACATATATTATTTTATATCATAATATAAATGGTATTTGCATTTCCTTATTAATCAAACCCTTTTAAAAAACATATCAATAAATTCTAAATATTCAATTTCTCCATCTTGATCTCGATCAACTTCGCTAATTAATAACGAACAATATTCTTTGGTGATGTATTTATAATTCTCTAGTTTAGATAATATTTCCCAAAGGTTTTCATTAGAAATTTTTCCTTTGTTATTCAAATCAAACATTTTAAAGGTTTTATATATCCTTTCCTCATCTACAAAAACTCTTTTTTCTAATATCTAATTCATAAAATCTAATTAGAAATATCAATAGATGTACCTAAATAATTTATGGTTCCATCTTCGGTTTAAACATATTTTAGTAATTTAAGAATTTCTTCAAATTCTTGATGTTTTTCAAGGGATTTTTGAATTGAATCAATTTTGATGAATCCACTACCTGTAATATCTAATTGATCAAAAACGATTCTTAAATTTTCTGCAAATCCTTGTTTGACTTAATCAGCAACATACCCTCTCATTATCTAAAGTTAAATATTTGTTACTTTCTAAAGAAAATTGCTTTAAGTAAGTGATTTTAATTTGGAAAAGTTGATATCCAAAATTTCTTCCTCTTCTGAAATTTACTAGGTCATCCATTTATGTTTTTAAATCTAAAATATTTAGAATCGATTTTCTTGTGGTTGTAATATCTTTTCAATGAGATCAGAAACAATCCCTTTTGTTTTTAATTGAATTGTATTATCCTAAATATTCTAATAAATTTCATTTTCGTCTTTTCCATCAAAAGGTAATTCGCCTGTAAGTAACACGTGCAATATTACACCAGATGCCCATATTTCACTCTTTTCTGTTAATTTTCCATTAAATATTTCTGGAGCAGTAAAATATAACTATTAAATTATTGATAAGGTTATATACTTTTCCTTATCGAGAAGTATCAATTATTTGATTATTAGATTTCTTAATATAATCATCGACGTATATGAGTTAGAATCCAAGATCAATTAGTTTTATATCTAGATTATTAATATCTTTATTAATGAAATGGAATGATTCAGGCTAGCAAATAAACTTTTTTAAATACCCTCAAATCTCTCTAACATATAGCGGATCTATGTGCAATATTAAGACAATTTATGATTTATTAAAATAGATATCTAGCCTCACTTTGTTTAAGATGATATCTCAATAAAATCTTTTCAAATAATGATCCTCCATCACAATATCTATGTTATTTGGAGTATTTACTCTAAAACAAAATAAAGGTTCTTATCATCTTCAAATAATTCAATTAATCTTGTGATATTTTCATGATTCTAAATTCATTTTAATTTTACTAAGTATCGCAATTAGTTAACCTCCTATTTGAATCTAGATTGATTGATAACTTTAGTTTTTGGCACCACTCGAACAGTTCGAATTTAACCATCTTTTTTTTTCTCTCGATATTTAATCACTAAACCATATTTTGAAGGACCTAGTGACTTAGTTAATAAAATTAAAAACTTACTTTTCTTCCCTCTATTTCATAACGATCCTTTAATTTGCTTTATTTACTCCATGCAAACCATAAATTAGATAAATTTAACATAAAAATTATTTTTCAAATCAATACTAAAAATATATTGCAAACAAAAAATAGTAGAAATGAAAGCAGAAACAATTAAAATTCCATTATATTACCTTCGCCAATGCATTTTCCTACCCAAGGACAATGATGATCATAACCTCTAACGCAAATATCGCATTCATAACAATGATAGGTTCCTTATTCTTTTTTGAGTTTACATGGTTAGCATGATTCTTGATTATATAAAATCAATACTCTCATTTCTAGTTACTTCAGTTAATGTGAAATTGACTCCAGGATTTTTTAGAAAAACTCTAAGAAAACTTATTTCCAATATTAAGCCACTCAATATGGATGCTAAACTATACCAAATTCCAGATTTAAGGTAAATAGTAGTACTAATAAAATATGTACCTACTATAATAGTAAATATCACACAAAGACTCAAAGGCCCTACATATATCAAAATGAAATACAATGAGGACCTATCGTTATTTATGGTTGACCATCTGAAAATTTAAACATAAAGTTGTTTCCATAATGCGGTTTAAATGGTTGATCATTCTCTATTTCAAGAATACCATTTGTTTCATCTTTTTGAATCTAACATGAATCATTTTAAAAGAATGCTTCTTATTATTTCATCCTTTTTGTTGATTTTACAATAATTAGAAATAAATAATATTCAAATCATTGCTGGATTTATCTAGTTAAGAAATAATTAAGTCTGATCTATGCATTGTTAGGCTTATTCTGTTAATTCCTCATTCATCATTCCTAATTCTACTACTTAATCCATCAATTTTTAATTGTTCTCTTCTAATCTTTAAAAGGTATTAGGTAACATGCTTTTTGATTCAACTAATAATTCGTTCTGTGATATAGATTAGAATGTTTACTTTTTTCTTTAATTTTAATGCGTTTTCTTCATTATCTTCTATACCTAAGATAATATTTTCATATTGTTGAATTTCATTTTTGTATGCTAAATATTCTTTTTAAATTCTTCTGGATGCTGCCATTAATACTTTGATTTTCTTCTCTAAAGGTGCCTCAGCCATTTTAATTAATTTAATTATTACTTTTTGCTTAATAGAGCACCATCTGAAATCATTATCATAAAATTTCTTTTATAAATTTTATAATCAATTCTGTTAAATTATTTAGTAATATGCCTTATTTTTAATTTATATATAAAATTTGATTGTAAATGAAACGAAAGTATAACAAACTCTTTAAAACAGAAGTTGAATCAGATGCATTTGGAGATCTTGTCACATTTCAAGACTTTGAATCAAAATTGAGGACTTTTATTGATAATACTTCAAAATTTACAAAAGGGAAATAAAAAGTTTAAATGAAAGAATCAAATTCATAAACCGATTTAGATTTTTAGTCAATTTTGCTTGATAAAATAATAAGAAAATCAATGACGAAAAAAGACCTCAAAACAAAATATATCGATTTATGTTCAGAATTTGGGATTGATTATTATCAATTACTAAAACTAGAAAGTTTAGAATTGAAATAAGATTATGCCATCTAATGTGCTACCAAGTCAATATCCAAAAGTTTAGAGAATCTATTAACCAAGTATAAATAAGAAAAGCATGAGCCTTCTTTTCCCAATAACAATAAACAATTGGATTTGTATGGATGGATGAAAGTGAAATCTCAATATAAAAAACTTAAGAAAATTCTGTAATATGCTCTTGTAGAACTTGTTTAATAAAATTCAAATCAAGATAAAGTAAGTATTTGATATTTATATAAGATTAAAATGTTTTTTGCTTACATTAATCATTTTATACAAAAACGACACAAAACAACAGAGAGTCTAAATTTCAGTACAGCTCACACTTCAAGAATTCGTACATAGCAAAATTTTGAAGAAAAATTATATTTAGATCCACCTCAATTTCAATTTTCAAAACCAGATCTCTTTTTTGAATGGAATCATGCAATTGAACAGGGCTATTTATCAAATGATTAAAATATTCATAAAGTTGGATATGAATTAATGAAAAAACAAAATAGCAAAGGTGTAAATTATTAAAAAAGAGAGAAATTACTAGATTAATGTTAGGAAGGCAATTATTTGACAGCTGAAGAATTAAAGTATTTAGCATCAACTTCATTTTTAATAAATAAATGTGTAGATAAATAATTTATTTAGAGGGCAATTAATTTTTTGGATTCATAAGTAAATAGTATCTTGAATTTTTTAGGTAATTCATTAAATTGAAATGAATATAGCTGAGTAAGTATTATAAACATTTTACTATTTGAAGAAAAATCTTACTAAATATAGAAAGGAATGGTTAGAAAAAGTTAATATTGAGAAACGAAAGAATATTAGTAAAAACTAAAAATAGATATTTTAGAAATCAATTCAGAGCTTAATTAAAAGAAAAATTAATTGCTTTCAAATTCAAACCAAATAAGAAATATCAAAAAGAAAATTATAAATTAATTAAGAGATGTTGCAAAGAAAAAGCAACTTTAACATGAAGCAGAAAAAAAAAAAGAGAAATATTTGAGAATATAACGAAGAATGGGTAATCCATTAGCAAATATATATGTTTAAAAGTTCAAAGAAATTGTTCTATAAGTGATAAGTAAAATTAGAGAAGTACTTAATTTTATTAAGATAGAAAAAAGTATCTGATAAAGAAAGATAAAAGGAATTTTTGGAAAGGAATGAAGCTAAACCTCCTCCAAAAGCCATTTACACAATTGGAAATGAAATATATGATGTTAAAAAATCAAAGAGAGCTTTTCATCCACCTTCCAAAGTTATGACAACTTTATCTGAAGATAAATATAAGATTTAAAAACCAGAGATATAGAAATAACAAATAAAGAGATATAAATTAGGAATAAGAAATTATACAGTTACATAAGATCAATTTAAAAATTTCTATGCTGGTGGACCATAATTACCAAGAAAATTTCAATCCTCAGAATTATAACATTTAATTAAAAATGATGAATCAGATACTAATTTTCCAAGAAAAAACAATTGGATAACATCAGAAGCAGAGGTTTAAGCTGCAAATAAGATCAAATTTGCCATTAAAAGGTATATTCAGAAGAAAGCATTAAATAAGTTAATTGTAAAAAGTGAAGTAAAAAAGAACAGAGATATTGAAATTAAAATTAGAAAATGCATGCAAGCAAAAAAGTTTTTTGAAGAACTTCACAAAGAATTAGATAAAAGATAAAGTGAAAGACTTAAAGATATCTCAAGTCATTAGCCACCAAAATTACCTATTGATAAAATTGAAAAGATTCCATCCTCTGGTGCTTTAAGCATAGGAATAAAAAGTAGTGGTCAAGTGTCTTAGACTTAAAGAACATCTAAGAGATTATAATCTCATCGATTAAGTCTTTATAAATATATTCCACCCCAAGAAAAAGTAGATGAAAATTCTTTGGTAATTTTATGATTGGTATTAAGTTAAGGATACGGCTAGAAGGGCAGAAATGGAAATTAAGGAAATTGCTAGAAAAAAGAAGATGATGAAATTTTCTAAACAAAAGGAAATGAGTGAAGCAAAATTGAAAAACAGAAAATTAATTGTTGCTGCCAAAATGAAGAATTTGTAGGTTGCCATGACTTCAGGATTTTAATACAATCAAAGGGATACACAATTATGTGATAGATTCGGAAATACTCCTCTTTATTATTGTGCTAAAAATGGAGATGAATAGTTTTGTAGGTTTTTACTCAATTTGGGTGCAAATGTTAATTAATAATGTGAGAATCTCAATACTCCTTTACATATGGCATTTTAATCAGAAAGCAAATAAATCATCATTGACTTTATAAACAAAGGAGGTAATCTTAGTATGGTCAATGCAGATAAATGTACTCCATTAGCATTTGGATCAGAGGAATTATTGAAATCTTTGAATTTATGCAATCTTGTTGCAACTGTAAATATTAATTATTTTTAGACTAAACAACAATATTTGGAGTCTGATAATAATAATGTATTTTCAAAGAAGGAAGCAAAATGGATGGATTAATAATTTGAGGATGGATTAATATATGACAGATACAAATATAAAACAATAATATGATTATATATAATGAGTTATAAAGGATAAATTTTTATATTTTAGATATATAGTCATTAAATATTAGAATGAAGTAAAATGCTAATCTAGGAAAGGTTTTATATATGAATATAGTTCTAACATTTCATTTATCTTAATGCTTGGCATTGGCTAGTCTCTTACCCCAAATTGTCGATTAGAACAATTACTCATATTTAGGTGGACTAGGATTAATAACCATATATACAGTAAATCTAATTTTCAATCTGGTTGGTATGATTATTTTATAAGTATCATTATTAGCTCCTCTTTATTTAACCAAAATGAAATATAGATATGGATTTGCCTTTTAAGCAGGATTAGTATTGCCTTGTTTTATTCCTGCTTACATTGTATCAAGATGCGATGGAAACGATATTTAAAATTTAATTTGCAATCCAATATTATTGATTCCTCTAACACTAATAGGATGTCTTTTCTTAGGAGCAGGATTAGGTGGATATTTTGTTCTCTAAAATACTTATGTTAGTCATTGTTCAACAGAAAAAAATAAAGAGTTATTTTTTGGCATAACTTATATGTTACTTGGTAGTGCATATTTGTTGAATGGAGTCACTTCTGATTAATTATTATAATATATAGGACGGGAGAATTTCTTTTTGTATAGTGGATTATTTGAATGCATATTATCGTTATTGTTTATTTTTGTATAACAACCTGATAAAAGAAATTAAACTTAAATCTCTGAGGCTAATTAACATATGATCCAGAATGATTCTGTTGATAAACTTGAAGAAAAAGTAACCAACATTAATGAATAATTTGCCAAAATTGGATTCAAAGCATAAATTAAGTAGATCTTGTAAAAATTTTAATTGAAGGAAATGAAATTTTTATTTTCTTTATTCATTTCTACAGGTGTAGTTATAGGTTTTGAATTTGGAATCTTTCATAAATTCATTTCAGCCTCTTTACCAGGCGAAGATGAAATCACAATAAATGTAAAAACAGCCAGAATCTTTCTATTTGTTGGAGTGGCTTAAATATTAAGCGGGATATGTAATGGGTTATCAAGATATTTCTTTGGAATTATCCAAAATTCAATCTTTTATGGGAATATATTTTAATGTTTGAATATTATTGCTATTCTTAGTGCATTTTAAAAAGATTACAATATCAATATAATTTTAGGCTTTTTGATGTATGATTTAAATTTACATTTCTAGAGGATTTACAGATAATTCAGGATAATTCAATTCTGCTGTTATCATCTCAGATATTTGGAAAGAAGACATGGCAATTTTTGGATTATATCTATTTTGCCAAAATTTTGGAGTCATGTTTACTAATCTTGTTGCTATCTTTCTTGACGGATAATACCTAATATATTATTTGATATTGTTGATTACTTTACAATGTTCTACGAGTTTTTCTTAATAATAATTTAAAAGATCATTACAAGAATGATTATAAAATAAGAAATATTTATATTTTTCATTATTCCTCTGCTTCATCCTCAATAACATAATCTGGTGGAAGAATAATTCTGATAAAATCTTCCATTCCTAATTTCCCATCTTTATCTAAATCATGTAATCGAAATAAGTCTTCAACTTCCTTAGCCGTAAAACCATAAGTAAAAGTCTTTTTGAGATCTTCCAAAGATATATCTAATTTATATATATTTATATAAATATTACATCCTTTGTTGTCTTGATCGATTAAATCATAAATCTATTTAATTCTAATCATACTGCTTTTTGGTAATATTCTCTTTCTCTTAATTTACTTTGTATCATTGTTTTTAAGAACCTCCAATTCAATGCTTTCCTTTGAACTCTTAGAAAACACCTCGTTATATTATTTAATCCAATTGTTAATGATTTCTAACTAGACTTTTGTTAATGAAGGGTAAAGCTTCAGCATTAATTAATCGAATGTGACAAATCCTTTTTATTTTGAATCTAAGTAATTATACAAACTGGCTGTTACTCTTTTCATATGAGGTTTATTTTAAAATGCTTTTGTAAAATCCTTAACTCCAATAACCTTATTATTATCAGATAATGAATCAAAATAATTCTTTACTCTAAAAATCTCATTTCTTGTTAATGTGCACCCTTTAGTAATTATAATGTTTTTCATTATCCTACCTTAGCTTTTTACTCTTTTACCTAATAAAATAGGATTTTAAGCAGGATGATGCAGACTTTAAGATGGCTTCTCTGTTGACAAATCATATTTCTTTTAGTGTTAATCTAATGCTTTTTCTAAGATGTTTAACTCTTCCAATTCTTCTTCCATATTAAATTATTTTTAAGGCTAGATTTTGGGTAAAGATTAATTTCTTTATTATTAGATAGAATAAATCTATTGTTATTATTAACTTTTTGTATTAGCCATATAACTAAATTTATTCCTTTTTCCCACCTAATCATTTAGACTCTTCATATAATATTCATTCTTATTAGATTTAGTTATCATTTCTAGCATGTTCTCAGCCTCTTGTTCAGTATAAGCTCGAAAAGATCGAAATGCTTCATATGGCTCTTGTACCTTTTACTTTGGTTCATACATTTGAAATAATTGCAAACCAGTAGGATTATTGTCTAGCCACTCTATTATCCTAAAGTTATGTATTGTATTACTCGCTCAGTTCTAATGAATTATCTACTTAGATATCACTTTTGAGAAACATCAATTTTGCGAACTTCTCCAATTAGATATAAGATGGCAATTCAGCTTCTGTTAACTTGCAGTATCCTAATATAATCGATTTAAATATTATCAGTAGTTCATTCAAACTTATGTTTCCACTACAATCTAGATCGAACACAATATACAAGACTAGGAATCATATTGAATTTAATTAATACAATGAACTTTATGGATATATTGGGTGAAGGCAGTGATTGTCAGAATACATATGAATTCATAAATGGAGAGAACTTTGTTTCCAACACAAAACTAATCGAAGATGAAGCTTGCATTTGATCTGCTAAAAGGTACAATTTTACAAAAAATGTTTTTATCAATAAAAGGAGAATTTGATCTTCTTTGAAATTATTCATATACCTATCTGATTTCCATTAATGACCCTATTATAATTATTTCTCATTACAATGCAATAGTTATTTAAGGTTCGGATTGATATCTTTGGTAATATCAAATTTCAATTCCATCCTCCTAAGATGCATAGGAAGATTGCTTATGGTGCCAGTTTCGTCCGCATTAGGATTTGATGAAACACTTCCCATTAATATTATAATAACAATAAAATTAAAACTGACTAGATTTATCTATTCTTTTTTTATGTATTCATAGCAATAATCATGAAGCTTTATAAATTTTATAGATAATTGAGAGACTAAACATTTGATATTACCTATGAATGTAAAATATTATGATATTAATTTTTCGTTAAAAAAATATGCTTTATGTTTAGGAAAGCAGTGGTTACAGAAAATCTGTGCGAAATAGTTTATCTTCTAGTAGAAATCAATAAAAAAAGATAAAAGCAAGTTAATAATGTGAAGACATCTTACTTAATATCAATTCTNTATAACTAAATTTATTCCTTTTTCCCACCTAATCATTTAGACTCTTCATATAATATTCATTCTTATTAGATTTAGTTATCATTTCTAGCATGTTCTCAGCCTCTTGTTCAGTATAAGCTCGAAAAGATCGAAATGCTTCATATGGCTCTTGTACCTTTTACTTTGGTTCATACATTTGAAATAATTGCAAACCAGTAGGATTATTGTCTAGCCACTCTATTATCCTAAAGTTATGTATTGTATTACTCGCTCAGTTCTAATGAATTATCTACTTAGATATCACTTTTGAGAAACATCAATTTTGCGAACTTCTCCAATTAGATATAAGATGGCAATTCAGCTTCTGTTAACTTGCAGTATCCTAATATAATCGATTTAAATATTATCAGTAGTTCATTCAAACTTATGTTTCCACTACAATCTAGATCGAACACAATATACAAGACTAGGAATCATATTGAATTTAATTAATACAATGAACTTTATGGATATATTGGGTGAAGGCAGTGATTGTCAGAATACATATGAATTCATAAATGGAGAGAACTTTGTTTCCAACACAAAACTAATCGAAGATGAAGCTTGCATTTGATCTGCTAAAAGGTACAATTTTACAAAAAATGTTTTTATCAATAAAAGGAGAATTTGATCTTCTTTGAAATTATTCATATACCTATCTGATTTCCATTAATGACCCTATTATAATTATTTCTCATTACAATGCAATAGTTATTTAAGGTTCGGATTGATATCTTTGGTAATATCAAATTTCAATTCCATCCTCCTAAGATGCATAGGAAGATTGCTTATGGTGCCAGTTTCGTCCGCATTAGGATTTGATGAAACACTTCCCATTAATATTATAATAACAATAAAATTAAAACTGACTAGATTTATCTATTCTTTTTTTATGTATTCATAGCAATAATCATGAAGCTTTATAAATTTTATAGATAATTGAGAGACTAAACATTTGATATTACCTATGAATGTAAAATATTATGATATTAATTTTTCGTTAAAAAAATATGCTTTATGTTTAGGAAAGCAGTGGTTACAGAAAATCTGTGCGAAATAGTTTATCTTCTAGTAGAAATCAATAAAAAAAGATAAAAGCAAGTTAATAATGTGAAGACATCTTACTTAATATCAATTCTATGATGAATAAATTAGATTATTTGTAGTAGGCTATTGAAAATAGAAATCATGAGACAAAGGCACAGATAATGAAATACAAACCTCAAAACTACTATAATAAAGAAGCACAAAATCAAAATACTAACTTACAAGAAGCCTACTATACAGGAGATAAAGAAAATAACTATGAAAAATAAAATTGTTATCATTTGATGAAGAAATTTGAAACTCAAAAATATCAACATTATCCTAGATCTGATTTTTCTCGAAGAAGATCATTTGCTAATTGAGAATCTTTATTTATCCTTAAATTATCAACTTAATTTAATTTAAATTAATTTATACAAATAAAAGAGAGAAGTGATGGTGGTATTATATTATAATGTTCCATAAATTGACTTACTCAATCTCTCTTTTAGTTTCCTCCTCTGGGTCTATTACCTTATGGTCTTCTTTATCCTCTGTTATCTCTGTTATCTCTGTTATCTCTATTGTCTCTGTTATCTCTATTATCTCTGTTATCTCTATTGTCTCTATTGTCTCTATTGTCTCTTCTGTTTGTATTTGGTCTGGCATCTTTTCTCACATATTCAATATCAGAGTATTTCTTGCCATTTTAGTTGACAACAACTAAATCATCCTGAAAAATAAATTGCTTAATTTACTTTTTCAGGGGTTATGCGTCCAAATTAATCAAGTGAGAGTCTGTGTCTTTCTTAAACGACTTCAGACAATCCGTTTCTCCATGCATAACATTTACCTTTCTCAAGAATATTGGCATATTCTCCAACAACTCTGAATCTAATGACTCCTGTATCATCTCCGGCCAAACCTTCAGAAACAACCAAAAGTGAACCATCATATCTTTTAATTTATTCTTTTTTGATTTCTTCAATCTAGGATATAGATATTTGATTCTTACTTTGACGAAGGTATTATATCCATGAATTCCTGGTTTGACATCGCTGAGTTTGTCAACTAGTAGGTTAAACTTATACAAATACATTTTGGTTTGTTCAATTGACGAGTTTAAGGTGGTCTATTTTAGGAAGCCATTGAATAAATATATTAAAAGATTTAAATACCTTGATTAATATTTAATTTTTTTTTGAGCTTTATATAATGAATAACATAAGGTACAATACAAACTAAATATCAATAAGACAAAGAAATCTTAATAACTACAAATAATTCATCTAATAAACTCTTAGCCTTCTACTTATAATATTAAATACTTTAATTTATTTTAGGATTTCATGATTTTTAAATTGTTAGGTTTATTATATATTAATATATATTAGATGATCTTAAGTTATTCATTTTAGAATAGTTGAAATATATCTTATTATTTACCGATAATGTAATACATAATAATAGCTAAATATCATAATTAAAATTTTGTTTTTAAAGCTTTAAGAAAAGAGATATTATCATAATCATCAATCCTAAATTTGAGATTATTAATTAACTTATTATATAGGCTTAACATATTATTTCTCTGATTTTACATGAAGATCCTACATAAATATATGATTAATTAATTTATATAAATTGTAAATATTCTAAAAATATAACATTATTCCTATCATTTAATCACACTAATATTTGCATTAATTTCAAAGTTTTTATAATAATAAATCAGAACAGAACTTAATCAACTTTATTAATCAATTAATCTTTATTATTTAATTTGATGATGAATTATATTTCCACCATCTTAATAATATGCTTATCATTGTAAATAACATATTCAACTCATACACTCAACTTAGTCTAAGATTAGTAAGCTTTATGCTTAGATGGATCAAGAGGAGTATCATTATATATAATTAAAGTCATTCTATTTTGATAGAGGAAGTGGAAGTGGATCTAAGTCATGGATTATTTACTTTTAAGGAGGAGGTTGGATAGGTGGAAACAATTTAGAAGCTACAAAAAATAATGCTTTATCTAGATCAAAAACAGATATGGGGTCATCTAAAAATAAGGCTCAATAAGTAAATTTAGGCGGGATCTTCTCAAGGGATTCTAAAGTGAATCCTGTTTTGTACAATTGGAATTCTATTTACATTAATTATTGTGATGGAACAGGTAATCATTTAATCTTAAATTCGTAGGACATTAAGGATATGCAAAAGATCCCATTATTGTTGGTGGAGTAAATCTATATTTTAGAGGTAATTCAATTACAAGATCTATAATAAATTAATTTTTGGATGAATTGTAATAAGCTGATAAAGTTATTGTATCTGGATGTTCAGCAGGTGGATTAGCTTCATTTACTTGGGTATAAACCATAAGAGATTTATTACCACCAAGTGTAACTGTATTGAAGTATTTTATTTAACGTATCTAGTGTTCCAGATTCTGGAGTGTTTTAGGATATGTAAACATATGATGGTTCCATTTCTTATAAAAATACATATCATACTAATTTTATGCAATTATCGAATAAAGAAATCTCTCCACCAAATACTAGATGTGTCTAATCAAACCCTAATGAATAATGGAAATGCTTATTTGCTTAATATTTAATTGAATACATTGAAGCTCCAATTTTCTTTGTGTAATCACCATATGATTCATGGTGTATTCCAAATATTTTGAAGTTATCATGTGCAAATGATGGAACATTATAAAATTGCAATCAAAGTTAGGTCAATTATATAGAAAGTCATGCCATAAGTATGGAAGTTATGATGAAATCAAGATTTTCAACTCATTTTAATACTGGTGCTTTTGGTCCTGCCTGTTTATAACATTGGTATAATTATTGCTTATTATTTTAGTTTCCTAGAAGGTTCTTATTATTATGGAACTAAATTCTAAGTCCCAACTGGATCAGGAAACACAATAGCCAAGACTTTATCTGCCTGGGTTTTAGATTAATCAATTTCTTCTAATTATTTAGATAATGTATCATGGCCTGATAATATTGGATGTAGCAATTTATCAATAGAGATATGAGGTTAAATTCATATAAATAATTTAATTATTAATATTTTTTCAAATAAATTTTAATTTTTCATTTAATTTTCTCAATTCATATGTTTGTAATCTTGTTATTATTATTTTCTTTTAATTAGTTTCATTAATAGTAATTATTGATTTTTGATTGATTAATTTTTCTTCTTGTTTCTGGTTTCTTTAATTTAAATTCAACTATTATTGGTTTTTCAGTTGGTTCATCTTTGTAGCCATAATGTGTTGAACCTATACTAAGAGTTCACTGATTTTTTATTAACATGCTTAACAAATCCAGTTCTTTAAACAAGATATATGATATGAATGGCCACAATTAAATGTCACTACATTTTCAATCTCTATAAATAACTGTTTTTATAACCTCCAATCTAATCAATAATTGTACGTCCTAATAATTAGCATTATTAACATATTATTTCTACTCTTTTTCCTTAATTTCTATTTTTATGGAGTATATCTTTAATAAGGCTATTTGTTTTATTAATTTCTAGATTGCCTAATCTTAAAATATGCTAATAACAATTGAAATCCAAGAAAACAGCTCTGAAACAATAAAATTGAAATCCTAAATTTAATTTAGAGTAATTATTAATTAATTCATCAATAAATAATTCAACATCTGTAGAATATAATAATTTAATAAGAATATCTGGAGTATTTGTTCTAAAATGATTAATAATTGTTAATATTTCAATTTTAGTATTGTCTAATTTATAAGCTTAATACAACATTTATTACCAATCAATAATTTGATTAAATACTTAAAAATATAAAATATCTATATTATTATGTAATTTATTATTATCTAGAAGTATTTTCATATTATTTAATAGTTATTGTAAAGTAGATATTAATTGACTAAGAGTAGTAATTACTAAATATGATTTCTTCTTCTTTGATATTTGTACAGGTAGTCTAATAATTTCTCTTAAATATCTTTTCAGTAAGTCATCCATAAATTCTAAATAAATTTAAATGCTTTCATCAACCTTGTTCATTTTTTCTAACAAAATAGCAGTTCCCTCATAAATATTATATGCTTTTGTTAAGTATATAGAGTCAAAGATTGGATATTTACCAGATCTCAAAAAATTAGGTACCTATTCTGGTTTATGTTTACACAATAATTCTATATGCTTGACTAAGATTTAAGATTCAGATATATCCTGCCAAATAAAATTGATGTAATCTAATTGAAATTAAGGATCATTTATAGACTCAATAACATCATTGTACTTTTATTAATGATGTAATTATATTAAAGTTTCAGAATGCAATAATGAATTTAAAGTAATCTAGATAATAAATATAACAATACATCTAATAATTATTTTTAAATTTCTTTTTATTAGTTATCTTATTATATTTTATTCCAATACCATAATTCTAATTCTAATTCATTATCTACTTCTTCTTCTTCTTCCTCTAAACATTAATTACATTCATGGGAACTCTCTTCTGATTTACTATTACAATCATTTCTGGAGATTTCTTCTTCTTAACTTTCTTCAGAATTTCCATCTTCTTCCTCATTTTCATTTTCTTCTTCTTCTTCATCTTCTTCTTATGAATTCTTTTCCTCATGTTCTGAATTACTAGAATCTTCATCAGAATTCTCACTTTCACTCTATTCTTTTTATGGTTTATTTATAAAAGCATTCAGAACTGAATTTTATGGTTGAGGTTTGTCATCCATTACAAATGATACAAATTTAGAAAAAAGGCTACTCATTATGATTAATTAATTTATATTTTATTAAGCTACGATGAGTCTAATGACAAAAAGAATAATAAAAGAGCTTGAATAGCTTAGAAATGATCCACCATTATCATTTGTAGCCTAATGCATTAATAACAACCTTTATGAATGGCATTTTACAATTAGGGGTCCAGAAGATTCAGATTATTCAGAAGGGATTTATCATGGAAAAATAGAGCTTCCTGTTGATTATCCAATTAAACCTCCAAACATTTTTTTTCTTACTCCAAATGGAAGATTTGAAGTAAAAACAAAAATTTGTTTGAATATAACTAAATTTCATCCTGAAAATTGGAATCCTAGTTGGACAAGTAATATTATTAAATATATTTATTTAGTTAGAACTATGATAGAAGGAATAATATAACATTTCCATGTGAAAGATTTTGCAGTAGGTTCAATTCAATATACATCTAATTAAATAAAAAGCTTAGCTTAAGCAAGTCATAAATGGGAATGTGATTTATGTGGTCCAATTGTTAAATTAATTTCTCCTAAAATAAAACAAGAAAAAAAAGAGGAATAGCCATAATCTAAAAAAGATGAATAATTTTAAATTAGAAATGATGATTAAAAGACTGAAAATTCAAGCACATAAAATATGAAAAATTAAGATCAGGATTAATTTAAATCTCAATAAACAAAAGAATAGGTATAACAATAATAAAGTTATTTGTTTAAATAAACAGAATAAAAATAAAAGAAAGAAAGTGATAAAAGAAAAGAAATATAAAAGAATGATTATTCTGATGATGAATAAGAAATTCCTATGACTAAAAAATAGACTGTAGAATTAGAAAAGCTTCTTTGGAAAGCTATGAATCCAGATATATTGTAAGCTCATTTTTAATTAAGAACTTAACTTTAATAAACAGATAATCTTCATCCATAATAACTCTAATATTTTGATTAAAGTAATTATTATATATGATTTAATAATTAGTTTATAAAATGATGGAAGAAGAAGAGAAAGTACAAAAGTCTTTAGTGCTTAATAAATAAAAAGAAGAAGATATTAATAAGAGAGAAGATGAGAATGAAATTGAAAAACCATAAACAAATAAATAAAATAAATATTCATCTTAGATTATGTTGATAAATATAATTCTATTGACTTTAATTTTTGGAATTGTATTTGTAAATTTTGGAGAATTAATTGAATAGAAGACTTAAGAATGGTTGTTAGTTAAATGAAATTTATTATTTTAATATAATATTGAATGTAAATCATGATATCATTTGTCTAAATACTGATTTAGTAATAGGTTGATCCTTAACATTAGTATATTGTATCATAATCTTCATATCTTAATCAGTCAATCCAAATTTGTATTTCTAATTGGCTGCTTTTAATCCTTCAAAAGTGATTTTCCCTTTACCTTATTCTAAGACTTCATAAATGCAATCAAAGTTTTCTGGTTCAGACAATTCAAAGTTGAATTGCTATGAAAATTCATCTTAATCCAATTTCTAATTTTTCCTTCTTTGTAATTTTTTTAATAATAAGGAACATTATTCTCCACAAGCAGCTTCAACTACTGGTATAAAGTCTTCTACAATAAGTTTTTCTTCAAAAGCATCAACAAATTCTTAGTATAATTATTACACTTCTGGAGTTTATGAATAATCGAACTCTTTTTGTTAAAACATTGTTTAGAATAATTAAATATTTAGATATCATGATTAAATATTCACCTGATGGCCTAGTAAAATAATAATAAAATATATTAGAAATGCCTTATAGGTGCAGTGTTGGTAAAAGCAGGATAAGCACTATTAATGACATGGGGAAAATCTAATGTTTATTATTATTCATATTTCAAAATGAATGATCCTGAGTTGTCAGTTTCCTATAACACATTACCTATAGCATTAATGGGTATACCATTGGCAATTGCATCAGTCTATTCATTAAAGATAGCTGATAGAATAGGCTACGAGAAACTAATAATAATTACAACATCATTATAATTTTTATCATTCCTCCTAGCGTTACACGCTAACTCTTATTTAGAATTCATATTATTTTATTTGGGTTTTATTGGTTTAGGATATGCATTATTAGCATTTCCATTATTGAAATGTCTATGGAGTCACTTTTCAGAGGAGGAAGGTATGGTAACAGGAATTTTATTTGGAGTATTTGGATTTGCTACATTTTTCTTTTTACTTTTGGTTACATATATAGTGAATCCCAATAATGAAGAAGCCACCTTATCAGTAATGTATTAATTAATTACATAGATGCAAGTAGGTTCATAGTAGTATCTCTACTTTTCTGAACATGTTGCAGTGAATACACATTAAGCAATAAAATATGCTGGATTTATAGCAGGTACTTTAAGTGTTTGTGGCAGTTTATTAATAAATTAAAGAAAATTGGAAGTGGCAGAAGAGTAAGAATTATAAATTTTGACCAGTGAAATCTAGAATATCAAAATTACTCCAAATGATCCTCTTTTATAAGTTGTTAGAACTCCATAATTTAAAATAATTTTGGGATCTTACTTTACTGTTTTCTTTTTTGAAGTAACATTGGGATTAAACTATAAAACATATGTATTAGAAAAGGTAAATTGATATAATTAGTTTAAGAGATTAATAATGATCAATTGATTACATGGGTTGACACACTTGGTATTATACTTGGATCAATAGCTAATTTCGTCTTTGGTAAGATGGCTGATTCGATTATATTCTCTGTCTTGTTACATAAATTATTAATAATGATGAGTATAATAGCTGTAATGATTCCTATTTCATTGAATATATCTAAAGATTTATTCATTATTGGTAATCTTTTAAAATGTATTAATAGATTATTTATTATTATCAATTGTATCTAAAGGAATAATTGTAATATTAGGTCCAGGATTACTTTAAATATTTGGTAAAAAAACAGGTGCAGATATACTCCCTATTGTTAATTTTAGTGGATTGTTGGGCTTCATCATATCAGCTCTATCAATATTGTTAATAGTTCCAATATTGAGATTTGATGGCACATTCATTTTCTAAGGTTTGTTAATTGGATTAGCTGCCTATAGTACTAAAAAGCTCAATTAATGAATGATTATAATATCCATTTATTCCAACTAAAATTTAAAATAAATAAAATAAACATGACTAGTTATGTAATCAGTGCAGCAGATCAATTAATCATTCAATAAGGTAGAATCAACTATCCAACTCCTAGGAATACCATTTGATTGTGAACTTGTACATCCAGGAAAATCTTGTGAAATGAACATTTTATCTAAGTATAATTAGAAATAACTTTATAAAGTCTTCCTAGAATCATGAGATCTAATTCTAAAGTGTATTTGCCAGTTCATTTAATCCCATTTCTACTTTACAAACGAAAACAATTTATGAAGAAGTATCAACAATATCATTAATAAAATAGTCCTATATCAACTATAAGTAGAGCACTTGTTTCTTATTTTAAAAGCATATGTTTCCTCTCATTTATGGTTCAAATTCTTAGATATAATTGGTGCAAATAAAAAAATCTTCTTAAAAAAGTTGATCCATTTGTACCATTATCTGGTGGTTTTATAAGTTCATTTGCCCTTCTTCTTGAATCCAATACTAGGTATTTATGAAAAATAAATGTAGAGCAATGGAAATATGTTTAAGTATTGTTCCAAGATTTTGCGAAACAGTCATAAACCTATTAAAAAGTAGGGGAAAGATGATAGATATTCCTAGTGGAGATGTTATTGTTTTTTCATTTGTTATAGCCATCATACATTATTATTATTAACATGATGTAAGATTGCTTATTAATATTAGCCAAAATCTTTAAAAAGCACATATTATAAAGTATTTGAGAAAATATGGGGAATAAATTGATTATATAATTTATGTTTAATAGAAATGATTAAATTATTGATTTAGATAGGTTATACATTGATGATAAAAAATAAACTAGATTTAAATATTTGTAAAAATTGTCAAACACTAATTAAAATTTATTATAATATTTTAATAATTAATTTCATATTACATTGCTAAAATATTCAATAGTTTTCCATGAAATGATTCATTACAATAGATAATATATGTATAAATTTATTCATCAATTTAAGATTCTTCTTTTTGTTTTTTAAATGTACTTAATTACCTATAGTTCTGAATGGTTATCATATTATTATTTATGTTTTTTTAATTTATCATGTTGTAATTTCATCATTGTTATTTTTTCTTTTATTTTTTTTATTTGATTTTTCTCATTATATCCAAAATCAACAGAAGATCCATTCTATTGATTATGAGAATTAGATGATTCAATATTTAAACCAACAATGAATTCATCTAAAAATTGTCTACTTTCTAATATTGTTGTATTTTCTTCAGTTAGTAATTACATCAATAATTTGAGTTACTATTTTAATTTGCATTTTGATTCTCCAACATAATTACTACACAACAATTTTGAACATTCAATAGTATCAGCTTATATGAGACATTTCAATTAGATAATATTGTATTTCATATAAACTACATCTTGATCATCAACATAACAATCAGGACAATAAATTACCCAATCTTTAATATATTAAAAGAATATAAAGATTTCTTTCTAACATTTAGCACAAATCAATACATCTTTTGAGGATTTAGATAATTCAAAATGAGATATATGTTTTTTAGATAATTAACGTTGAAGTTCTTCATCTATAAAATAATTCAAAAATTCTTTTAAAATACATAACTTCTCATGAATATAAATATCTAAAAATAAATTTCTAATTGCTATCACACTCTAAAATTTGTAATGATCATTCTTAATTTATCTTATATATATTTGTTACAAAGAAAAATCATCCATCATTAAGAAATTAAATGATGTATGAATTGAATTTCCAATATTTTTAGCTTAAAAAAAGCATCCAGGTCCAATAATAAGAATATCACCTTATTTTTAGATTATCTATTTAACAGGTATTTTATTTTATAAAAAATATACAATATTGACATACCATCTTCCTTCTTTCAAATACAAATCAGGCATAATATTAAATAATTTATCTACATGATTTGCATCAATAATTGTCCATACACAATCTCCTGGTCCATGATTTATATTAATTTAACTCAAACCTTAAAAATCCTATTAACCTCCAATCCAACAATTTTATACTCTCATATATATTTCTGGTACATTTGCTCCTTTACAATTCTATCTTAAATAATTCAATCCATTATTAATTGAAAAGAAATTTGGAAAAAAATCAAATAGTCTATGTATTTCATCTTTCCATTTCTCCATATCAACATTTACTGCCTAATAAACTTTATCTTTTTTATAATTTGGATTGTTTTTAAAAAATGTTTTAGGATCTTCAGCATAATCTTTGTATTACTTTACTGTCATCGTAAAAGCTTAAAAAAAATTTTCATCTTTTGCTTCTGTAGTATCTATTAATGGATTTTGAGCCCTAATATCCATTCCATAATTTTTATGATTTTTAGACATATCTTAAAATGTGAATAAATTTTTATTCAATTTATTTATTACATCATTTGGTAAAGACCATAATATTATTTAATCTTTAATCCATTTTTCTGGTGATTGTGTAAAACAATTGATTGCTTTATCAAATTCTACATATGCACATCTCTGTAAATATTATCCATCTATATTTAATGATTTCAATTCATAATTTAATAAGTATTTATGAAACAAATTCAAAATTTCATTGTTATCTTATGATTGAAATTTATTGTACTATTATGAGTAATACTATATATAGTTTATTATGTATACTTTAATAAATCCACCTTATTGTTGAATATATTAGTATAATTCTATTATTTCTTTAGAATTCAATAATTCTAATTCTTTAACTGTTGGTTTGAAATTCTTCTCTATATATTCAATATACATCTCTAATAATGAAATAATTATTAAAGCTCATCTATTTTGTATCATCCATTTTTCATTCTAATATTTAGGTAAAATAATATTAAATATAAATTTAAAAGTGATTCTTATACTATATTTTATGTAATCTAAATTAAAATAGATTAGAGTTAAATATTGTTCAATTTATTTTTTGAATAACATAATTTATCATATATAATTTAAATAAGATTTTATAAGTGAAATTAATAGATATTATTATACACATCTATATTTGAATATATATTTAATAGAATGTGATTCTCATTTCTTCTTGGTCTATTGGGTATTATTACTGGGTTTTTTTATTGCTATAGATTGTTAAGGAACTTATGCTTAAGTAGGCATCTTTTCATTAACTATATCAGCATTTCTGGCTACATTAAAATCAGCAAGTGCTACAATTATTTATACAAAAATACCATCAGAAATAGCTGTTTTACCAGCTGATAGTATACCTTTAGGTAATCTTTTATCAGGACAAGCTCCTTTTAATTTCATAACACTTTCACTTTCTTCTCTTAATGTTTTTTATAATTTCATCATAGTAGCTACGAATTTTAATTTATTTTTCAATTTTTCAGTACCTAATAATAATAATAACAATTTTCATTTACTTTTTCCAGTAGAACCACCTGATTATTATTTATTAAACTGTTTATTTTGATTGGTCATTTATTTAAATTATTCTATATCTTCTTAATTAACATCATCATCATCATCACCTTAATCTCCTGCTTAAATTAGATTATAAAGCATTTCAGTAATTTTCTCAGCCACAAATGGTATTGACCAAGTAAATATATCCATAAAATTTGGTAGTAAATATGGATGTGGAGTATATTAAAATTATTAAATATTTAAAGTATTATTCTATTATTTTTTGATAATTAATTATTACTTCGAATTTAATAACTGCTCCTCTATTATTATAAACATCACAATAATTAGGGGCACTAAAAATAGTGATAACAACTGGAAAATCTTATCCACCATTCCATCTATGCATTTTATATCCATCAAGTTATGCCTATTTAAATATAATTGAATTACTTCATGAGCTCTTATGATACTTATAAGACTGTTTCTTTATAAGAATTTCATACTTGCATCAATTCCAAAGAACCAACTACATCCACGAACCTCATTACTTTTCCATTGTCCATCTAGATTACCTTGATCATGATCTACTGGATCACTCCATAATAAATCACAAAAAAGTCCACTACGAGGTGGTTCATGATATCTATCTAATTTTTTAACATCTTCAATCTTATTATAAATCAAAATATTACTGATTTTAAATCAGGTGAGATTCCACCATGAATTGCAATAAATTTTGAATTTATTATACATGCCAATGGAAATAGATCAAAAGAATCCATTAACATGTCATAAGTTTCCTAATCATATTTATATAGACCTATCATTGCATCCATAAGTACATTCATCTTTAAAATTAAAAAATGCTGTCAGTTATCTACATTCATGATTGCCTCTTAAAAAATAAACAGTATTAGGATAATTAATTTTAATCGCATAAAGTAAAATGACTACTTCAATTGAATATGAACCTCTATCTACAAAATCTCCCAAAAAGAGATATCTAATATAAGTAAATTATTTTACTTTGTAGTTTCTGGGTTTCCACCAACTTTTGGTTCCAATAATTTAAGTAAGTCATAATATTATCTATTTAAATTTAAGAATTTACCCATGAATATCACCAACAACAGTAAGGGGATCTTACAAATATAGAACATTTCCCTCATTTTCTAACAATCAAAATGTCAGTTTACTCAATAATTTATTGCAATCAGCTACCAATTTAAATAATTCTTCTTTTGCTACTCTTCCTTCTCTTTATAAATGATCTTTCAATAATTTCCAATCAGGTTTGTCTAAAATATTTTATTTTATGACATACTTTTTAATTTATCTGGAAACATTAGATTTTTTGAGAGTGGTCTATGAGGAGGAGGCTTTAGAGTCTTCACCTATCTATCATTAGCAGGATCTTTAAGACTATCCATTGATATTTATAATATATATAATATTTATTATTATTAATACTTATTCTTCATCAGATGCTCAACTTTTACAATTCTGATCTCAATTTATTTACTCTTGATAATAAAGAGCAATCCAAGAATTTATTTCCTGAATACATTTGTAATCCTCCTAAAATGGATGGATCTACTTTGTATTAAACAGAAAATTGCATATTAGGACTTGATTCTTTTAAGGCCTATATTACTTATGATCTAATTATAATTAATATATATTTACTTTTATTCTTCAGACAAGTTTTCAGCAGAAATAATCGTAATATTTTCTTCCTTATTAAAGATTCTATAATATTCGATATATTTATCAGCTGTCTTAGTTAAATAAGAAATTCTTTGACTATCAATCATAGTATTTAATAAATTCTAAGTGACTTCATGAAATCCTTCCTAAAATATGATTAATTTTATTTACTTTTGTCAGAGCTTGAATAACATTTCTTTATTGATTTCTCTTGTAGGCTGAATTCACTAAAAAGCCTGCAAATACTGGACTCTTTTCAGCTAATTCCTTAAAGTATTTCATGTCCTATAACACTAAATGAAGTGCTTCTCTTTATGATGCTATTGAGAATAACACTCCTGCATATTTTCCTTACACAGTATCTTCAAAAGTAGGAGGCTTATGTCCTAAAATCATTTGATAATATTGATACCTGGAACTGATTTTATTTCAGCCTCAGCCTTTGCGGTGGCAGCTGAATATCTGAAACAGGCTCTTTGAATAATTTTAAACATTATTTAATTAATGATTTTATCAACTAGGATTCTATAGTGTTTTTCTTCTGAAAAGAAGATCCTTAGATTTATCAAAACATGTTGTAGTCCCAAAGAAATCTATTAAATCTATCATAAAAATTAGGAACATTTTACACCTTTGTTATTTCTTGAAGCTTTGAAACATATGAACACAAATCCAGTTAGAAAGAGATTTGATCTTAATGATGATACTGCATTTTATGATGAATTAACAGAAGTATTTAAATAAGTGCCTATGTAAGAAAAATGGAGATTTTGTAAAATTTCTAATCTTATTATTAGATAGATGTGCAAGTTGCTAAAATAGGAAGAAATAAATTATTAATCAAAAATTATGGAAGTGACTTGACATGTATTAGAGTAAAATAGATTGCTATTCTCTTATGGGGTTATCATAAAAATGGTATCAAAAAGCCTAGATTGGTGATTCATTTGATTGATCAATTACAATAGAATTTAGATTCTCTGATTCCAGTTTCAGAGAAACCAGAGGAATTATAATCACTTAAAGAAAATTAAAAATAAGAAAATCAAGAGGATAATGAAATAAATTAATCTGATGAGGATGAGAACTTTTTAGAAGAATAATTAGAGGAAGATTTACAATCTGAAAAAAGAGTTCTTAGAGACTTTAGATTTAAATTCAAAGATTTGGTTCTTATTATTTGGGCTATTCAAGATATTAAGTTAGATGCAAGTGCATTATTAATATACACATTTAAATTAGCCATAAATAATTTTAATAAAAAAGACTTAATCACAAATAGATCATTAATTCTACTTTTATAAGCAACTATCAATATTAAAGATAATAAATAAATTAATGCTGTACTTATTTCAATTTAAAATAGTATTAAAAACTTGTCATTCAAAATCTATCTGAATAAGACCTTTCTAATGAAGGTATACTTTAGTTACTTTTACTGTTGAGAACATTAGGTTAATTGAAACTAAGTCCAGAATTTGCTTAAAAATTAGCATATATTATGTTGAAAAATCAAGAAAAATCTAATTAGCCATTTTCTTCAAAGTTTGCTTCTATAATGATTTGGAATTTGAATAAGTATAATGATATTTTTTATATATTTAAAGACTTGCTATTACAGATACTGATATTTACAATAGATTAGGATTACATTTAACAAAAAGTAATGAATTTAAAGCTATGGATATCAGTTAAGCTATTTTGATTTATTCTGTCCAATAAACAAAATCTCCTTAATATTAATAATATTAATTCATTTTAAGATCATTAATAAGCAAGGCAAATATGATTAAATTAGATCCTAGAAGTCAAAGCATTATTAAAGAATCTTTAGAGTAATATTAACCCCATTTGATTAAATTATTAAAAAAATGAGTTCATATGTTTATATATATTTCAAATATATTAAATATAATTTCCATATATAAAAAAGATCTCATAGTTTCTATTAAAAATAGATTGTTTAAATTTATAAAGACTAATTAAAATCTTTAATTTAATTATTAAATTCATAAACTTATGAAGAACTAGAACAATATTAAAATTGAAAATTAGAGGATAAAAAAATACTTCATGTGAATTTATATAAATACTAGTAGAAAATGATATCATTAATTTTTATTAAAAAATTAACATATTATTTTATATAAATAATTGATAAATATTCAGAATTTATGGTTAAATAGAGAATTCAATCATATTTGTATAATAATAAATTTAAAATCATTAATAAGAAAGAATTTTAAATTCAATATCTTCTTTTAAGTTATCTATGTTTTATTTTCATTTCATCTATCAATTTCATTACTCCTTAATTATTTTAAGAATATTCATTATGAAAAGTATTAGCATTTTTTGTTTTTTTTTATCTATTTTATAAAAGATTAAATGGATTTTATATTTTATCTAATTAAAGATTATCCAAACTATTTTTTGGAGAAATCTATTAAGAAATACTAGGTAGAGTATTCTTTTTCTTCATTTTTTTATCCTAAAATTAATAGAAATATTCTACAATTATAGATAAAGGAGTTAAATACATGGCAGGTTATTTTTTATTTGTTATTTTTCTTAACATCTTTTCCATATAGAGTGAAACTTATCGTTTTTTAATACTAGAATTTTAACTATTTATCACTGTACTAAAATGTTCATTATTAAATGATAGTTTCTCCTTTATTGAATCTATTTCAAAACAATCTGTAGCATTCCTTCTAAATTTATACTTTATTTATTAACCTTATTATATTCTCAGATGCATTTGGAGACTTTGGAGATCTATGAGAATGTGCTGATTAAATTATCATTGTCCCTCGTTTAACATTCATTTAAGGATTTCTAAGAAATTGTTATAGATATCTCTGTCTTTTATGTTTTCTTATTTATTCTGATTTATAAAAAACTAAAAACTAGGCTGCATATCCAGCTATTCTAAAGCGCTTAAATACTCTTTTCCTTCTTGTATAACTTAGAAAAAAAATAGAATTTTGACATACGCTGACTCAAATGAAGATATTTAACTCCATATTTTAATCTAAAACAAGCTCATCTTTCCACATTAACCACAATTACAACTTGTATTACATTTCTTATTATCATTATTACTTTGATTCTTTATTAGAAATCTTTCAAGTTCATTATATCTGGCAGTTTTCAACCTATTCTTAGATTCTTTAGAAATACTTTTAGTGTATTTCAATTGAAAATTTTATCTTGGTGAAATTAATCTAAATATTTATATTCTAATACCTTGAAGTACTTTAAACTATCCTTTATTATGGTTATTATTTCATTTTAAACTAATATAATAATAATAAATCAATTGAAAAAATTAAATTAGACATAATAAGATGTTCTTAATAAAACATTAAATTACAATAATTTATTGAGTTGTTTTAGACTTTTTAGAATAGTATATTTTATGTATATAAAGTTTAATTTAAATTACAACAACATAATATTAATATTGAATGGATAATAAAAATAAATAAAAATTTAGTATGGACTATAGAATATTATGATATAAATCAATTAGATATTAAAATATCATTTTGTTTCTTCTATTATTAAAATGGAGCTAGTTCCTTTTATTTAAGAAATTTGCTAATACCTTTACTAATAAATCTATTTCTTCTCTAAGTGAATCAAAGGTTGTTTATGTTTCTACTCTTTGTTTACAAAAATCTTCATTCAATTATCTAGATCAAATATATATTTATACTTTAAATGTTATCTAAGTCTTTTATTTTCATCATTTACTTATTTGTATTTTGTCGTTAACTTTTGATGTTTGAGTTTGTCAGTCTCTGATAAAGCTTAAGGGTCATTCATAATTTTTTCCAATTCACAATTAAGTGCCTATAAAGATTCTTTACATTTTTAATATGATGCTTAAAGTGAACGATTATCTTCCATTAACTTTTCTAAGTCTTGCAAATTAAAAGCTTAAGATGATCCAATTAATCTTACAATTTTAGATTAATCTAACACAAAATTCTTTGCCAATTTTTGATGGAATTTCAAATAATTCATAAGATTAAGATGATATACACAATGTTTATTTTAAAAGTTTATCCTTAATGCTTTATTAAATATCATACAATCTAATTTTCATGTCTTACTTAAAAGGCTGGTAGCAGAATAGAAACGTAAATTCCTTCAGGCATTTTTATTATAATTAATGTTAATTATTAATATTTTATATTAATTTAATTTAAATTGAGATTATAATTAAATAGATGCTCTAAAACAATATAATTTAATAACATTCAAGTCTTATATCTACAAGATTTCTATGTATTTTCCAATTCAGTAGTCAATTTCCCTTTTGCTTAAAGTAGTTTACCAATCAAAAACTTAATTTCATTATTTATATGTACACTTTTTGATGGCTACTAATTCTCTTTATTCTATTAATACCAATTTAATTTACATATTTAAATGAAATAGAATCATTTTAAGTAGATTCATCCTAATTTATATATCGTGCTTTAATTTATTAAATATGATTAATATGATTATCATTCATTCTCAAAGTTGTTTAAGGTTATTATTAATATAAACTATATTTAAGATTGTTTAACTGACCTTAAGTAAAAGAAGGAACCTTAAAATGAGAAAATGAAGTGTTATGAGTTTTTTATTAAGTAGATATTGAAGTATTTTAATTTTAATAACTTTAATCTGTTTATCCTAATATTTTACTTAAGTTTGTAGTTGAATTAATACTATGAACTTTAGTTCCTTATTATGAATATGATCTTCTTTGATCAACTTCATTATTAAATCTAGTTGTTTATTGATTAGATAACTTAAATCTAATGTATTCATCTCCATTTTCTGTTTCTTCTTTCATTATACTTGCATCTTATAGATATGAATTAAGATTTAAATTATTTGAAGGAAGAGAATTGGTTGATTAAGATTTTGCTTTTTTGCTCATCATTAAATTAAAATCTTCAATAGGCATAGGTAGAGTATCATGATTATTAGCTTTGACTTTTTCAAATGATTAATTATTTTTTGGAGGTTAAAGTGATTATTTTTAAATAGATGTTATTGAATTCTTTGGTTATTAGAAAGCTTATTTAAAATCAGGTTAGGAGATATGGAAACTTTTACACTAAACTGGACTATCTTAAGAAACCATAGAATTTCTAATTTTAATCATATCTACACTTTTTTTTTTTGAAGTACTATCATAATTGTTAGTATTTCTAAAATATATATGAAATTTTTATTTACATTCTTTAATCATCAATTTATTTATTTAACATTTTCTTTTCATATTAAAATTGAACTTATTGTTCATGCATCTCTTATTTTAAAGTTGCAATTTATTCATCATATTTTTATTGTAATTATTGAACTTCTTAATTAGATTCAATATGAGTTTAATATTTTTTAATTGTATTTTGACTTCGAATTAATCTTTATTGTAATTATTCTTTTTCTTTTTCATATAATTATGCTAATTATTAATATCTTTAATCATAATCTGATTGTTTTTCTTACATATCCTTAAAGAAATTATCCTTTATTTTTTGAATTTCTTATTCACACTATAATTTAAATACTTATTCTTTAGATTTAAAATTTTCTTCTATTTTTTATATTTATTCTTTGAATTTCAAAATTTCTTAGTTTAAATATTATTTCTCTGATTCTAAACTTTAAATTTTGTGATCATAAGTAATTTATTATTTTTATTGCTATAATTCAAGATCTTTAACTTAAATTTCTTTCTCATTTAATTATTCATTTAGACATCTAAGCTAAAACTTATGATTTTATCATACTTTTTCTTCCAATTTTGTTATACTTTCAGAATGTTTTTTATTATTTGCCATTTAGACTTCAATAGATTTTTGAAATTCTGTATAACTTTTTTGCTTAATATAATAGATTTTGAATGATACTTATGATTTTCCTGAGATATCTATAGCTTAAGTTATGGTATCATTCAATTTCTTTTAATTCATTTCTCTTGTTTTATAATCCTCCAATTACATTTCCAACAATTATATTTTTTATTCATACAAAGCTTTATCCTTTTTCCATTCATTCTCTCTCAAAGCATACTAAAAATATAAATAATATTCTGTTACATTTTTCTTTAACTAAATATATTCTTCTTATTCATTATTTTCCATTCAAATTTAACGATTAATTAGAAATTATAAAATATAAGAAAAAGTAATAAGAACAAATGAATATAATGATTATATATAATATTTTTGATTTAATTCTTTGTTATAAAATATACTCTATACATTATTTTATTAATATTTTTAAATCAAAAAAAAGATGATTGATCTTGACCAAATCAAATTAGAATAAATTAATGATTTTAAGGCAATACAATTAATTACTTTTGTATCATAGAATAATAAATTTGAACTCAATAATGAAGCAGCCTAATTCTTGAGTTAATTGAAAGGAAATATAGCATTTGTTGTTGTATGTGGAAAATATAGGACAGGTAAAAGCTTTCTTTTAAATAAACTTATTGATGTTTAGAATGATGGAGTAATCATATTTTTTGCTAATAGATTCAGTTTTAAGTGAGTCCATCTACCAATTCTTGCACTTAAGGTATCTGGTTATACACAAAACCTATTATTAATAAACAAAGCAATCTTTAAATTTATTTTTTAGACACAGAAGGTAGTGAATCAGGAGTGAAATCACAAACTCATGATGCCAAAATTTTTGCTTTGGCTATTTTAATGAGTAGCACTTTTATGTTCAATTCTATAGGGTGTATTGATGAGTAATCAATTATTTAACTTCATCTAACTACATTACTGTCAAAGAATATTCAAGTTTAAGATCATGATAACAGTAATAATGAAAATATATTGGGTTATTATACACCTAAATTTATATGGTTATTGAGAGATTTTGTACTTGAAATGAAGGATGGTTAAAATAGAAAAATAACTCCTAAAGAGTATTTAGAATTAGCCTTGCATGATGATCGTTAATATCAAAGTGAAAATTCAAAAAAGGTTAGGAAGACTCTGTTAACATGTTTTAAAGATAGAAATTGTTTTTAATTCGTAAGGCCAGTGATAAATGAAAATGAATTATAAAGGGTTAATCAATTATCCAATAACCAATTAAGGGAAGAATTTCAATAATAAGTAAAGCCGTCAATACTAGTATAAGGTAACTCAATTCAGGGAATATTTATTGAAGAATACATCTCCTAAGTAATTGAATGGAGTAAATTTAAATGGAAGAATGTTCTGTAAGATGATTGACACTTTTATATCTAATTTTAATAAGGGAAAGGTTCCTATTATATCGACAGCTTGGGAACATATTGTAGAAACTGAATGTTAATAAGGATTAGCTTAAGCAAAATAATTGTATGAAACTAATCTTAAAAAATATTTTGGAGCAGATGAAGCTAAATCTTTTGAAGAAATATTTTAGATATTAAAAAAGATAAGAGATGAATCATTTCAAACATTTCATTATATAGCAGGTATTAGAGAAAAGAACAATCATTTTGAAGAATACAAGAAAAAGCTATTAGATTTCATGACTGAAAAAGAAAATCTAGCAATAAGATTGAATGATGATATGAATAATACGTATTTGATAATTATTAAGAGATTAGGAAGAATGAAGAAGTTATTGCTGAAGTATCTTAAAAATTAAAAGAGAATTTAGATTAAGAAACATTTACGATTGATAATTTAGAGGTCTTCTTTTAACATTTTAATGAGTAATCATATAAATTAATATTTCTTAGATTTCTTACTGCTTATGATAAAAAATCAGCAGGAACTGAAAAGGCTAATACTTTAATACATTTTTTATAGAATCACCATCCTATCATAGTAAAATAGTTAGTTAATTCTATTGTGTAAATATTCATTTTTTATATGTTTATAGATAAAAGTATAGCAAAAATAAAAATTAAGCTGAAGAAGAGAAGGCTGTTTAATAAGTTAAAGAAAAATAATTATTGGATAATATTAAAATATTGGAATAGAATATATAACAACATGAAACAAAAATAAAGAAATTAGATCAAGATAAAGTGTAATTAGAAGCATAAAAAAAATAATTATCAGATTAATTAAGTAAATTGTAAACTGAAAATAAAACAATTAGGTATTTGAATTTACAATTATTTTAGAGATAATATAAAGGATGTAGATGAATTATAAAATGTAATATTACAAAAGAATGAAGAAATACAAAATCTTAGAAAAATGATTACTGTAAAGATTTATTTATTAATTATTAGTCATTATAAACTAAAAAGAAAAAAGGTTGTTGTGGATGAAGATGATTTTAAACTATATTATAATATTTTATGATATCAACTATTTTATGTATTATTTATTTTATTTAAAAAGTATTTGGATAGATTTACACAGAAATTATTAATATATTTAATAAAATTTGATGGATTATACAAACTAAAAACATCCATAAAATTATTCATAAATGGAAGATTTAAAAACACTAGATTTAGAAGAAAGTGTTTCTGAGACTATTGTAATTCAAATAATTTATTTAGATGAGAGATTTGAGAATGATAGCATATAAATTGAAGTATGTTTTAATTCCAAAAGAATAAGAAGATAATGGAAAAGAATTACGAAATTGTAAATTCTATTTATATATTATATAGGGGATTTATGGGGACCTTTAATTTTTTGTTTAGCTTTAGCTATGTAAATAACTATTCTATTAAAGGACTCTGAGTTTCAAGGCTGATTCTACAACTACTAGTTCAAAGTCTGATGTTTTTGCAATCATTTTTGTTCTTATTTGGGTTGGTGCATTTGTTGTTACCTTAAATGCTTAGTTATTAGGAGGAAAAGTGTAATTAATATCATTTTATTAAATAGTTCATTTTTCTAATCTGTATGTTTATTGGGTTATTGTGTATTTCCAATCAATATAGAAGCAATAATTATTGCATTTATTGGATCCTACTTACCATTTGTAGTGAAATTAATTCCAGTAATCATTTGTTTTGCATGGTCTGCATATTGTAAAATATGAATTAATTAATTATAGCATCTGTTGGTTTTATGGCATCATTAGTTCCACCACATAAAAAGAAATTAGCAGTTTATCCTGTATTTTTATTTTATTTGTTTTTGTCATGGTTTTCTTTGATAGTATGATTTTAATATATTTATATATACATACATATTAATCAGATTCTTCTAATCAGTAATCCCATATCCCATTGAGCATTTAATCTTCTTTTATCTAAAGTCTCAAAAACTCCAACTCCATTAGGCAATCCATTCATAAATACACAAGTAACCTTTTCTCCATTACTTAATTCTAATTAACCAAATCCATTAAATTCCCCTTCTTTAAAATCACCCATATAATGAATCCACTATTAACCTAATTTTGTAAAATCTTTGTAATCAAATAAACTATTGAAATACTTTGGATTTGGATTAGTTGCCTTACCATAACCATCATATTCTCCATATTTGAAAGAACCTTCATATATGAGTTTACCATTTTAATACAATGTGCCTTTTCCATTATATTTATCATTTTTCCAACAACCATCATAAGAGAATTCATTTGATACATATTATCCTAAACCATCTCTTAATCCATTCAAAACTTCACCATAATAAGTACCACCATCATTACAATTCATTTTTCTTTTGTTCCTATTTTCTACTATTAAATTATTCTTTGTAGTAATTTCTTTAATGTCTTCCATTTATGGTTTAGACTATGGTTCTCCAATAGGAGATATTCTAAATGAGTTTACATGAGAATAACTCACATTCTTTGAATTTGCTCTTGATTTTGTAATTTTAGTCTCTATTCTTTATTAAACTTCAAAATTGTAAATTATATTAATAGGCTATATAGGTTGTAATTCACTAATTTTAGCTTCCAACCTTATCCAATCTGGTCTAATTTCTTAATTAGAAGTTAACATGAATTGTAAATATTAAACTAATTTATAAGAATAATTAGTATCAACTTCTTTGATTAATTAATTTAATCTATATTCATCAAACACATTTTAATATATCTCATAAACATTTTCATATTTATGAGGTCCTAAGCATAACTATAAAATACATAATCCTAATTAGAAAACATCAGATTTCCATGATGGCATTGCAGATTAATCATTCATTAAAAATGAATTGTATAATTCATTACTTAATAATATTTTATTTTGTTAATTTTAAAATTTCTTTTAAAGTACATTAGTTTCTTAATTTCTATATATAAGTTTATATAACTATGAATTATCTATCAAATGAGTTAATACAATATGATCTAAAGTTACATTGCCATGAACTATGCCTTTTAAATGTAATGAATATAATGCTTCAACCATATTTTATAAAATCAACCAAATTTCATGTTCTTAATAATGTTTATGTTTTATTGTGCTTTCACAATCGGAATGAATATAATCTAATAATACACATACTCTAAATGTTGCAAAACACATACAAACATATTTTTTAGTATGAATTAAATGAATATTTATTAAATTAGCATGAGTTAATTATTGTTTTTACAATTACAATTATTTTTCCTATTATTCATATATTGTATATTTATCAAAAATAAATACACGTAAACTTAATTTATATGATGGATTCAATTTATGAGTTAAAAGATAATGTTAAAGATTAAGATGATCATTTTACAATTCAGAATCAACATCAAAATATTTATAAAGTAAAGGCATTTGTGGTTCATTTAAAGATTAATGAGAAGGCATAGTTTTCAATATTTAATTGCATGATTCATCATATTTCATTTTCAAATAATTTGAGTCATATTATGTTTTTAATTGCTATTGTTATTGTAAATACTATTATTATTATTGGAACAATAATTGTTATTATTCTAATTATTATTATTAAAGTAATTATGCTTACTAATCTAATTATTAATCCTATTATTGTTGTTATTCAGGTACAATTGTTTAAAATTATTAATTGTAATTGTCAATGAGTTATTATTATTAGAGCAGAAATTGATTTTATTAAGGTTACTAAACAGTAGTAAAGAAAGATTGTGATTGATGTATGGGTAAAGTATTGACTGACAATCCTAACAGCTCTTCTTGTTATTTTTGAGACCAAGTTTTTATCAAAAATTGTTATTCTGGAGATAATCTATTGAAATCAAGTGGTGGAGTATTTGAATTACGACTTGTTTCTAATGGTTGCAGTCTTTATGATTATGCCATACTTTGTTTAGATGAATCATTTAATGTTTAATTGAATTATCCTAAAAACATATAATTATTAATATGGGAAATTGTTAAAGTCAATGTTATCAAAAGAGTGCTAGTTAAGTTAACAGCGTTGATTGTACTAAATTAATTATTCATGTAAAAACATGGCAAAAAGAAGCATTCTCATTATTTGATTATGAGAATGCTGCTAATGTTTAAGAACAAACTTTTTAGGTAATTAAATACAATTAAAATGGCAGATTAATTCTGAAGGATATTTAGTAGGTCGAAACTAGGTTGAATGGACTGAAAATGAATCTATTATCAAAGATTAACTTTGCAAGATAAAGAAAAAAAATGAAAATTACTATTTAGTAAATTCCTTTGTTATGAATGAGGATTAAAAATCAGTAATTTAAGAAAATGAAGAATGTCATACTATTGGAAATAAGTAATAACTATATATTTATTTTTTAGAACTGTGTCTGGAAAAATAGGTAACAAAATTTGGAAGGTTATTCATGAAAATGGAATTCCCTTAAAGGAAGGAGATGTAATCAAATTGGGAAGAGTCAAATTCACTATACGATCTATTGTTTTAGATGTTCAACATGTTCAATCCATTTTAGAGTTTGAATCACAATAATCAAATGTCTCTGATTAATAAATGTGTAGGATCTGTTGTTCCTCTTAGTAAACTGCTAAGAATCCTCTATTGAATCCTTGTAAATGTAGTGGGTCTATTAAATATATACATTTGGAATGTTTAAAGACTTGGCTCAGAATGAAATTAGAAAATAGATAAAGTGAAAATTGTACTGTTTATTTGTGGAAGAACTTGGAATGTGAATTATGCAAATTCAATTTTCCACCTAAATTCAAAAGTGATGATGCCTATTATGATCTAATTGAATTGAGTAAACCAAATGATTATCCTTATTTAATGATGGAATTTACCAATAAATAAGTATTATTTAGACTCAATTATGAAGGGTTAATAAATTGAATGGAATAATAGTTCGGGTGTTTATATTGTTAAATTCTCGAACTCCAGAGACCTTCGACTTGGAAGATCTAATGATACTGATGTTAGGGTTAATGATATATCAGTAAGTAGGAATCATGCTCGACTTTTTGTTTCGGATAATTAAGTGTATCTTTTCGATAATCATTCTAAATTTGGCACATTATAGTAGATAAGAGAAGAAAAATTATAAATTTAAAGAGGAATGGAAGTATAAATTGGAAGAAGCCTAATTTCATTTTAATGATGTTTCATTTTATTTATTAAAATCTTTTATAATTTTTGTATTACAGTTTTTCATTTATATTTTAAATGGCTTCAAACATATCACTATAAATATTTTTAGGCGATAGAAAGAGTAAAAACAGCACAATAAACTGAAAAAATTAAATCTGCCCTAAAATTTAGTTTTGATTCTCTGAGATTCAATCATATTCATTAATATTAATAACGTGAGATGAACTTATAAAATTCCAATTACAAAATACTCTCAATTCTAGGAGCTGGCTCTGGACATTAAGTCTTGAAGGTCCAAAATATTTAGACTTCTCAAATTTTAGCCTTAAAAATAGAAAAAAATTCTAACTTAGGCTAATTATAAGGAGAAATAGAAAAATTGAAAGACCTTGTTGGCATCAATGGTATTCCTTAGTTAATTGATTATGGATAGACCTAAGATTCTAAGTAAATATTATCATAATTTTTATAGAAGTTTTTTAATCACTCCACTTTTACAAAGAAATCTATAGGAGATCACAAAAGTACACCTGCTATCGCTACATCAAACTTTAGCGATTGGTTTAAGTCTGATTGAAATTTTACAATAAATACATAAAAAAGGCATTCTACATCTTGACATTAAACCAGAAAATATAATGATATCATAACCTTTTATCAACGTTTCAAGTGATCAAATTCTAAAACCTAATTTCATATTTCTTATAGATTTCGGCCTATCTTAAAGGATAGGACTCAAACAATACCCAAAGAAAGTTTTTGTTGGGTCTTTAAGATATGCTAGCAGACAAGCTCATAAAGGAAATCCACTTGGGTATAAGGATGATTTAGAATGTCTTCTATATGTTTTAGTTTATCTCAGAAATTGTAAAATGTTATGTACTATTTTTTTAGAGAACTTACCTTGGTAATCCTTAAAACAATAACCATCCCAATAAATGGAAATAAAAAAAATAGGAGAAATGAAAGACGCCATTTTTAATACATCAGTTCTATCCTAGAAGTTTCCACCATAATTTTCATTATTCAAATCATATATTGAAACTTTAACACAAAAGACTATGCCTGATTATGAGTACATTAAAAACATTTTCAAATCGATGCTTTCAGTAGGGGATCAATCTACATCTGCTAAATTAACTAATTCAGCCTCTCTAAGCTAATCAATCAAGGGGACAAAATAAAATTAGAATACTGAGTAGATACTGATGCTTCTGGAAAATATACAAAATAATGATTCTATTGATATATCTGATGATCAAATGGACACTGAGACTTCGATTGTATTAATCTCAGACTTAATCAGATCTTATCCTACCTCTTCTATTAAATCGATAACTGATATTAAATTTTGAGAAATGGTTTAATTTATCTTGAATTTATATTTATATATATTGTTTAATATATTCTTTTATTATAATAGAAATTAAATAAATCATAATTTCATTTTGGAGGTTTGAATATGAAACAGGAAATCTTTCTCTTTCCTTGATACATGTTGCATTTTTCAATTAAATTTTTAGCCTCTTCTATTCTTTCTTTTAATCCTAAATCTAATTTTGCAGCTACATATTTGTCAACTTACTTTCCTATTTTCTTTTCCTTTATTTTAATTTCAATTTGGTCATCTTGAATTTATTAATTAAGAAATATTTTTTAATTTAACCATATTCTAATATTCTCCTTAGTTTCATTGTTAGGAAATCCCTCAACTATCAAAAATTCTTTTTCCCAAGTTTGTTTTTATGATTATTATTATTATTATTACTATTATTATTATTATTATTATTATTATTATTATTATTATTATTATTATTATTGTTATTATTATTATTGTTATTATTATTATTGTTATTATTATTATTATTGTTATTATTATTGTTATTATTATTTTTGTTATTATTATTATTATTGTTATGGTTACTATTATTACTATTAGACTTATTATTCTGGTTTACTTAATAAAGGATCTTCTTTTTAAATACCAATCACTTCATCATCTGAATCGTTTATATCTAATGCATCAATATCAAGTGAGATAGGTTGACCATTAATTTCAATATTGTGAGATTGAATAATTTGCTCAGCACACTTTTTATTTACGGCTATAATAATTCCAGTTCCAGTTTTGTAATTGGTACCAAGTTTAAAATCAAATTAAACTGATTTCACATTTTATGCTCCCAACATTTGTATAATATCTCTATCCTTAGTACTCCATTTATTATGACTAAATCTAATTTTAATTTCTTCCTAATCTCCATAATGTTTCAATCTCTTAATTAGTTTATCCATATGTGCTTTATTATGGTACTCTCTAAAATAAATCTTATCAATAACCTTTCATAATCATCTTCATTTTCTTCTTCACTATCTGTACCTCCGTCATATTAATTTAATAAATCATCTATGTCATCTTGAGAATCTATAACAGGTTAAATAAAATTATTACATTTATGTTTGATTGAATCCCAAAACTTCAAGCTATTTTAATTTGGTCTAGTTGGTTCACCATTTGAATTATAGTAATTACCAAATTCATCAAACCAACCCCTATATTAGTCATAATAGAAATCTATATAATCTCCATCCTCTTAAATAGTAAAACCAGTATGATCTTTGAATTCTTCATACTCCAAGAAACGATCGGGGTCAGCCCTTTTGCGTGCCATTAATTAATTTATATTACACAATAAATTATTTAATATTTAATGCAATATTATTTCTAAAATCACTTCAGCGAATTTCTAACTTTCTCTTCTTAAATAAACTTAATTGCTATATTATTGCATAAAACATAATTCATCTATTAAATGAAAGAAGTTTGATTTTTCCAAAAAATTCAAGATATTAAAAATTGATATTTAGAATTCCTTAATATTAAATCTATAATTCTGTCATCATTTAATCAATTTTTATTATTTTAACACAGTAATCAATTTAGTTTTTTCAAAATTTTTATATTTTTTATTAAGAAATCCTTATTTTACATATAATAGTGAAAAAAAAAACGACTAAAATATAGATATAGATTTATAGTTATGATTAAAACAATAATAGAATAAAGGATAGCGAATAATTTTAAGAAAATGATATATATAACATAATTTTCTTCATAGATATAAAATCCATTATTTTTGTAAAATTCTTTTAGAGAGCCATTTTAAAACGAAAAATTGTATAATCTAGATATTATTTCGAAAGATTTAAATTAAAACAAATGAAAAACTTAATAATATTTTATAAATTATGGTATTATTTATAAGTATATATTTTAAAAATTAATTTTATATATTGTAATGGGAAATTTGTTCGAAAAATTGAAGAATTTATTTTCTACTTAGAAGTTAGAAGTTTGTATGGTTGGATTAGAGAATGTTGGAAAAACAACAATGCTAAATTAACTTTCTATGGGGGATCCTTCATTTACTGTGCCCACAGTGGGTCTTAATGTTAGAACTGTAAAGAAAGGTGGAGTGACTATGAAAGTAGGAGTATATATAAAAAATAGATATGGGATATTGGTGGATAAGTACAATATAGACCAGAATGGGGAAATTATGCTCAAGGTTGTGATGCACTTATATTCCTCGTTGATACAAGCAATGTAAAGATGGGTATTATAATAGTAAGCAACTTTGGGTACATCAAAAAAGGAATTACATAATTTATTAGATAACAAATCATTGCGAAATATTCCTATATTGATCATTGGAAATAAGATTGATGTGAATCCTCATCTAAATGAAAAATAATTAATAGAAGGTAATAATTGATTAATGTAGGTTTAAATTTGGATTATATAACATCAAATGGATGGGCTGTGGCAATGTGCAGTGCATTGACAGGAAATAATATTACTTAAGTAGTGGATTGGTTGATTACTAAATCAAAAAAGCAATGAGACTATATATAATATTTGTAATTCATTTAGAAATATATATTACAATTAAAATCATAACGCATAATTTTTTGTAAAAAAAGATGAGTCAAATTTACTTAAGATTTTATTAGACTATTATTTACTATAAATTGATAAGTATATATATTTATTAGTTATTATTTATGGATTCAAAGATAATAATTGTTAATAAATTTTATATTGCTAAATTGATTATTTTAAGAAAAAGTTTTAGTATTTATTATGAAAAAAAATATTATTAGTAATGAAATGAGACTTAAAAGTGCTGTGTAATTCAAATTTCAGGAATTCATGAATTTAAAACCAGCTCCTAGCATAACTACTAGATTACAAACTGGAACAACAACATCAAGGAATGTTGAAGATTTTGCTAAACCATTATTTTCAGAACCAAAATTTCTTGGAGTTTTGAGAAGAGTTAGTTCATAAGTTAGTCTTGATAAACCTATAGAGGATGTTTATTAATCTTAGAACTAGTCTCTTAAGGCTGTTAGTTCAGAAAGAACGTAAAAAGTGTGACTATTACAAAGTACAATGAGGGCCTCATAAAAAATTATAGTTACGTCTGAAAATATGCAAACCTAAGAAATAAAAAGACGAATGAAATTTGATCCTTAGATAAGATAGCAAGTTAGTATTTTGAAGATTAAGATTTTGAAAAATGTACCATTAAAAAAATTCCTTCTCTATTTAGTAGGTAAAGAAAAGATTTTATTTGAACTCTTAAGATTAAAACAAATGCCATAAGCTATTGATATAATGTAGAGTATTATAGAGATGGCACTTGGAACTAAAAATATCATAATTTTTATAGAGATATTACTATTCATAGCAGAGACACTTGAAAATTCAAATCAAATTGATTTAGCTATTCACTTTTATAATCAAGTAAGAATTGGTAGTACATATGGAAAACAGACACTTGATATATATAAGATGAGATCTTTGGTTGGTTTAGCAAATTGTTGTATGGAATTTCAATGCTATGATTGTGGAGTTAAATTTTTAAAAAAGTGTTTATAATATGCTTGGATAAATAATAATTAGGAATTTGAAAACATAGTTTATTAAAAATTAGGAATGCTATATTTTTATTTAGGTAATATTGAAAAAGTAATATGATAATAATTATAATTTCTAGGCTACTTTTTATCATGAGAGATCTATAAATTATGATTATGAATTAGAGAATTCTCCATTAAGATAATTAAGTTGTGATACACTTAAGAATTATCTCAATAAGAATTTTCCAAAAAATTGTGCAGAAAATATTAATAATCTCTTTTTAAGTAAACTTAGTTTGAAATTCCATTTTGATATTGCATAATTATCAGAAGATCTTATTAAAGGATCTGAATTAACTCCTTCACCAAGAATATTTCTAAGTTCTCAAGATTGTTCAAGAAGAATGTCAATATCAACTGAATTTAGAGAATTAGCAAATTTAAAAATTAATGGATAAAAACTAATCTAATAAATTTTAACCTAATAAGAATTTGATTTTGAAGTTTATACACCTAAACATTCATGTAAAATTTAACATTATAATAGTCAGAAATGAAAGTTCTTGTTTTGATTTCTTAAAAAATAAAAAAATACATCCTTAAGATGTGTTTCATGATTAAAAATACAAAAATAATCCATTTGTATTAAATGATTTAGGTGTTGAACCAAATAAACATTAACTAAATTTTGCAGAATATTTAAGTAAATATAAATTATCTCTTCAAAAAAAAGTAGATATTAGATTATAATAAAAATTTGATATAAACATAGAACAAAAGTTATAATATGCTGTAAGTAGCAATTATAAAACTTTTGAAAGGAAAAATAAAATCTTAGTATAAAATTAATTCTATTAAAGTTAACTCACAAAAATTAAGAGAACTCAAAAAAAAATAAATAACTAGATGAAACTAAAAAATTTAATAGCATTAGTACATTATACTAGAAACTAATTAATAAATTGCTTACTGTGTAATGAATAAAATAGTACTGCTTATATAATAATAATTTCAAATTCTTATAGTAGTAAAGATATATTGTTCATCTTCATACCTTCTTTATTAATCATTCAAAATAAGTCTTGATCTTATTAAACTTTCTTTTTTTCCCTTATTGCATCCTTAATTTATATTATAGAATTACATATATTTTAAATAGCTATTATTATTTAATAGATAAAAATTATAGAATAGTATATAGTTCTAATTACTTTTATAAGTACCATTAATTGATTTTATTTCAAATTATATTAGTTTTTTTATGGTTTGAAATATAGATCCTAAAAAATTTAACATAATAAGTTAAATATTTAATCAAACTATATTTAAAAGCTTAATTTCATACAATGAAAAGGATGTTGATTTAGGGTGATTAGAAACAATAAGTAGAATTTAATTTTTATATTATTTATAATTGAACATAAATGTAATATTCGGATAGAAAAAATTATGACAATGCTCTCGAATATTTTCAATAAGCTAATAAAAAGGATTTTGAATTAAAAGATATCAATGACATTTCTGGTTAAAAAAATTTAGTGCTTTCTGAATTCTAATAATTGAATATTATGAAATCATATTTGCCAGATTATAATCTAAAAGCATCTGATTTTAGTTGTTCATTCCTATTAGTTAATGCTTTTAATATTGTATAATAAAAAATGAGAAATTTAAAATAACTTTTTGAATAAAGAGAGGATGGATTATATGGAGTATGGCTTTGGAAATAAGGAGAATAATATTTAATTATAGTTGATGATTAAATACCATGTAAGCTATGTGGCAATAACTCTCAACTAGCAACAGTGATATCAAAATATGAATGGCCGATTATTATGGAAAAAGCAATAGGAAAAATATTAGGATAGGAATATAATTCATTAAATCTCATATAAAATGATTCAATAGAATATTATATATAAGTAATATTCTAATTAAAATAAATTAGATGATAACAGGATCAGAAATTTAAGAATAAGAAATATAATCTATTGAAGAATTATAGAAAAAAGTAAGAGATTAATAATAAATATATTATGTAAAATATACTTAAGATTCAAAAACCATAGCATCTGTAATTGCTATAAATAATTAATAAGAAAATTAAAAACTAGTTAAGTTAATTGCTCCAAATCAATAGTCTGTATTTTTGAAAGGTATTTTATTTTATAAATATTAATTTGAGGGAGATAAAAACATGAATCATCATGTTATTTAACTTGGGATGAATTTAAATAACATTTTTAAACTGTGTATGTATTAATTTGGAAAGATGAATATCGAGTGACTCCAGTAACTTTAAAGAATCCAAATGAGCGAAAATCCGATTTTATTGAACACACTTATTGTTATAAATTTATTATAGATGATAATGCCAATTATTAGATTACTTTGTGGTAGAATAATCTTATAATTAATTAAGGGAAGATATAAATAAAAGATGAAAAATAAAAAAATTAATTTGGTTTAATTAGAATGCTGTTATTTTAAGAATTGAATTAAAATTAATATAAATTTATTGATGGAATTTGTGATTTTTAAAGTAATATTTCAATTAATACAATACTTGATAAAGGGAATTATTGTATTTTATGTTAAGGGTATTTTAATAATTTTCAAAATTACACTGAAGAATAATAATTAGAATAATTTAAATTAAATTTAACTATTAAAGGACTATAAGTTCCCTAAAATATTGATCCAGATAATTTAGATAAATAAAAATAAATAAAATTAATTAGAAGTTTGATAAAATAGGTATCATAAAAAGAGAATACAAGATCATTTAATATTATTGGATAACCATAAATATAAGTGACAACTAAATAAATTTATGGTTTTTTATATTTTTATTATGAAAATAGAGGAACAATAGATATTAGAGAAAAAATAGAATTTATATAATTGGGACATTTAATCAATTATGAATCATTAAAAAAATAGAATAAAGAATTAATAGATATAAAACAAAACAATTTCAAAATTATATTGTATACATTAGATCCAAAAATTATACTTTAATAAGATACTATAAATTTTGAATATAAATATAAACATATACTGATTAAGGAAAATGAATAATAAGAAGAATTTGATTAAATAACATAAAATTTAGAATTAGAAGAATTTAATTAAATAATATAAAATTAAAATACAAAAAAGATTTTGTGTGATTTTATTGATGCTTATATAAATTAATATCAATAAGGTATATAAAGAATTATTATAAGGGATTACAATATTGTTTAAGAATAATTAAGAAAATAGTGTTGAAGTAGATTTAAAATTTAAAGAATTGAAGAATCTTAGCTTAGTGTAAAATTCTATCATTATAACAAATGATCAATCAATTAGATTTTCATTGGAAAAATAATCTAAAGTAAAAATATAATTTGATATTAATGAATCTGCAAATAACTATCATTATAAGATGGATTTGAATTGTTCTAATAATTTATATTGAGTATTATTTATAATAAATCTTTTTAATAATTATTATTATACAAATTTTTAATTATAATCATTTATTAAATTAATCTATCATTTAAGTAGTTGAAACAACTTTAAAAAGATCACCAAGTCTCTCATCAAGATCAACTTTTAAAATATATATGATTTTCTAAAATCTTATTAATTCTAATACATCTCTGCATAAATAACATTCAGTTTTCTATTTCCAAATATCAATTGCACATTAATAACAAGTACCACCATGTCCACAATTCATAAAAACTGCATTTGGTCCTCTTTCATAACAAACTATACAAATATTACTATTCTAACTTATGTCAGGTTTCTCGTTTTTTATTGATTCATCTCTAGCAATCTTTTAATATTATAATGAATTACACTTATTAATTAAGAATTACTTTTTTTTTTATCAACTTAAGATCTTCCTCTATTTGTAATTTCTTAATTAATCATATATGATTATTTTTCAATTATTCTTAAATCCATCTCTTGAAACATTTAAGAACCTACACCTTAACTAGAAAAAGCTCTTTTGTGTCCTTTTGATAATTTGTTTAGAACAGGAGATCCATGAATATAGTCTTGAACAAAATCATTTTATCTTTTAGGAATACTGAAGTAAGCTTTAGAAATCTTCTACATTACTTAAGGTACTCTTGTTCTTGATGTAAGTGTATTTAAGATCTATAAAGTTTAATTATTTCCTTAAGTATTTGCAGATTATTATTATTAATTAGTTAATGGTTCATCATCTTAAAGAATACTATAAATATATTCCTTAATTTCTGTATGGAAATAAATTTAATAGAACATTATGATTATAAGTTCTACTATAATGAAATATTAAAGAATGATGAATTTCCTTGTGTAATTTAGTGTCTTAGTTAAGAAATCTAGATAACCAAAGGATGTGAGACCTATGCATATTGAGACATATATAGTTAATTAAGTTAACCAGATATATGAGATTACTTTATATAAAATGGAATATATAAATACTTTTTGATTTTTAAGAACTTGATTTGTCAAATAAATATTATACAATCTTATTGAAAGTTAGTGTTACACAAGCAACACCAATACCTATAGAACAAAATAAACCTAACCATAAAGTCCATAATACAGCACTCCATTCCCAATTTATAATCTTATCTAATTTTAAACTCACAAATATTGAACAAATCAAAATATATAATCGAAATATTATTAATGTTTTACTAAATACTTTTATTGATTCTAATATCTCTTTACTAGAATATTATTAATAACAATTGATTATAATTGAAATAATGAGGATTATATTGTTGTATATGTATAAGTTTTATTTTGATTATTCTAATACTAAAAATGATGTTATAAATAGGCAATCTAATAGCGTAATAATTACATAAATAAGTATTCCTTTCATCTTACTGAATATGATATAATAATTACCATCTTACATGCTGATTCTTAATTTAAATGTAATGATAAAGAAAATTCAATAAATCAATTAAAAGGTATGCTTATAGTACAATAAATATCATTATTTTGTTTAACTAAAATTAAACTTAAAGGCTAAGGTTTAGTAATATGAATGTTGTGAATACAAATTTAATTATTAATGAATTATACAAATGTTTTGATCTAATACGATTTCTTAAACTAATGAATAATTAAATTACTTTATATCTGTTAATGAGAGAGTTTAGTTTATTTCATTTTATGTTTGCATAGTAGCCATATATGTATTAAATTTTATTATTAAATCAAAAAATATTCATAAATTGATTGATTATATTAAACTTAATTTGATTATTTAGATATTTTTAATCATAGATAAAGAAATAAGACATAATTCTAAAATAATAAAAGAATCTCTATTAATCATCATGTTTATATCAAAAAATATACTTTTTTATTTAATATTATCACATTTTAAAATATATAATAATAATAGTTTTTGATACTATTTAAGTGGAATTATATAAATATTTACTTAAAATTTATATAAAATATATAAATTCATGATTATTATTACGTTATAATAGTGGAACTATTTAACATAATATTTAAATATTAATTTAAGTCTAATAACTTGATTTTGTTATTTAATTAATATTGTAAAATAAAATATAATATTTTTATGATATAAATAAGTACAAATTAAGAAGGGGAATTCGTTTTTGATTCAAAAGAATAAGATTATGTTTTATTAGATCTAAATACCTTATAAGATTAATTAGAACAAGGAAGAAAAAATGAAATTTTCGATTTGTTATAATAAGTTATGAAATCTAATGAATATTAATCATAGAATGAAAAGGTGAAAAGTTAAATTGAATGGGCTTTATAGACTGTAAATGAGCATCTTACAGAATAGTATTAAATTCTAAACAAGATATTAGTTATGATCTAGAGTAATAAATAGAAAATTAGAGATATCCTGAAGTACATTCTGCTAATAAAATGATTGATATGAATATTGAAAAAGTTAAGGCAAGAGTTTAATTTATGTCATAATAAGAGAAAAAAAATTTAATGAAAGTATATTTATTAAAAGTATTGAGACAAAAAGCTTAGAAAGAAGCATGCAATAAATATATACTTGCAAATATAATAAGTTTTATAAAGAATAATTGTAATAAAAATACTAGTTGATGTAAAAGGAGATTATTGATAGAAGGAGGAATGAAATATAGTAGTAAAGATAAAAACATTTCTAAATTATGTAAAGAACTAAAGGGAAATTAGGATAAATGTAAATTTATATAATATTAAGATTATAAATAAAGGTTGAAGAGAATAAGTAATTAAAAGATTCAATTCAATTAGGATTATATTAAACAATGTCTGAATTGAGATCAGATAATGTTAAAGCTTATAGAAGAGTTAAGGTTATGGAATAAGAATAATAAGAAAAATTACAATTATTTTGGTAAAACAAATAAGTAATTGCTAAAACAAATTACAAAAGAAAAGTAGAAGATGCTTATTTATAAAATATGCAATCTTAAGATAGACTTATGAATTTAGAATAATAAGAAAATGAATTAATGCATAGATTATAATAGACATAATAATAATATTAGATGAGTTCAATCAAATTAGAGAAAATGAAATCAAAATCATATAAGGATTTAAGGATTATGTGGAGTTGATTGAATTTTAGTCTTTATTTATTTATTTATTTATTTTAAAAGTTAATTCGCTATGTTTATACAGAAATTAAAAAATTTAAAATAAAGATTTTTAATAAATGGGTGTGAGAGTAACTTATAGAAGACGAACAAGCTACAATACAAGATCAAATAAGATCAGAAAAGTAAAGACCCCAGGTAAAAAGTGAATTAATTGAAGGTGGCAACGTTGTTGTTTAATATCCAAATAAGAAGACAACTGCATCCACATGTGCAGATTCTAATTTGAGTGTTGTTTTAAATGGATTAAAGAGAATTAGACCTACAAAACTAAAACAACTTGCAAGAAGATAGAGAACAGTTTCAAGACCATATGGTGGAGTATTGAGTGCTGGAGCTCTTAAAAATAGAATCATCAGAGCATTTTTAGTAGAGGAAGTTAAAATCGTTAAGTAAATTAAGAAATGATACATTTATACAACAATGAAAAAATAATAACAATTAATGTTCTGATTGCAAAGGTTCGATCTATTGATCAATATCTCAATATGATTGATCTTTAATCAAACCTTCTAAATTATACCCTTTAATATTTATATTAATCAAAGACAATTTAGAATGTAAAGAAATACTAGTCTTTATCATCTTACTATTGCAATTCCTCAGTAGCATTTCTCATATGTATTTGCATTTTTCCATAATCTATTCTATTTTTGATGTTGATAAAAACATTCAGAATCTTAAATATAATATGTCAAATGTATATCCACTTCATTATTTTAAAAACACAACTAACATTAATGTTTATCTTCAAATTTTTATCATTAATGATTATTGATTTTCTAATTATTTAATAATCTCAATAAATATTAATATAATATGCAATTTGATTCTTATTAATTTAACCTAAAATTCAAATAGCAACATGACAATCTCTTATATTTTTATATTATAAATTATTTATTGATAACTTATCTATTGATGTCTATAAATTAATTTTAAAGTATAAAAATAGATTATTCAGTTTTTGCTTTACTTTTATATTCAATAGAAATTGAAATATTGATAAATATAAAAATTGAAATTTTTCAATATTATTATTTTTGACCATTTTTCTCTTTATTTATAATTGAAAATTGCTTCGAAAGATTTAAATTTAATTATGTACAAATTTTGATCAATTAATTGATTTATAACAGAATCTTTATTTCTTAAAAAATTGATTTTTTAGGATTCAGATATCTTTTTAATGAATATTATAAGTTCAAATAGTAATTGAATAATATTTATAAAATATTATTTTTAAAAACAAGCTAAAAATTATAAAACAAAGTAGTTAATAGATATATTAAATTAGGTATTAAAGTAATTACATATATTTTGTCTATATATTTATAAAGCTATATATTTTATTAATGATTATTCAAAAAGTAATTAATAGATTAATTTCACAAATAATGAAGAAATGGAAAAAATAGATATTTCTTATAACAATTTGATTAAAATTAAATATTTTACATTATGATTTGAAAGAATTAGAATATTAATTATATTGTGTATGATATAAGTATAAGTATTAAAATATAATTAATATAATTTATGAACAACAATAAACTGAATCTCTTGGAAGTTTTAAGAAAGAAACGAATAGAACAACAAAATGAGTAAATTCCTAAAACTCCGCCTATTTTGAAATAAAAATCTAAAGAGGAAATTCGAAAATATTTACAATAGAATCCAAAAACTAATCTTATAAGTCTCTTCAAAAAGAAAAGAGAGGATGATAATACACCTTGTACTCGTCAAAAACTACTTAAATTTTACGATAGCCAAGGTCGAAGTTCTATTCTCTCTCCAATTTGTGCTGCTAATCATGTTCCATAAAAAAGTGTATCCGATGAAAGTACTAATGCTTTATAAGTATTGTATTTATTATATAATTCATAGATTACTATTCCTAAGAGAATGTCACTTATATCTCCTAGATTATAGCATTTAAATTCATAGACATCAATACTAGAATCTCCAAATGAAATAGAAAGTTTCATAGTGGGTGGATCTAATGCATCTAAATTAGACTTAGATGAACATTATCTAAGAATTGAGAATGTTGATAATCCAAGAATCATGCGATCATAATCATAATGTTAAGATGAAGCTTAGATGGCAATAATTCCAAATACTTTAAGTGTTCCTATGGGTAAAGGACCTAGAAGATTATAATCATTTTCAGTAGGTGATCCATTTAGAAATGTTATAAATGCAGCAGAATAAAGGAGATCTGTAAGATTAATGAGAGGATTAAGTGGAATTCATTAACCAAAAGAAACATAGATTTTAGAAAGATCTAGAGATGAAGCAGGAAGAAAGAAAATGAATAATTTTGTAATTTTACATGAATTGGGTAGAGGAGCCTTTGGAAAGGTGCGTTTAATTTATAATGAAATTGATTAATAATATTATGCAATGAAAATAGCTGACAAAAATAAATTGAAACGTAAATTATTAACAAAAGAGACATCAGCATATTCATTATTAGAATAAGAAGTGGCAATATTAAAAAAAGTGGATCATTAAAATGTAGTACGATTAGTAGAGGTTATAGATGATCCAGAAGAAAGAAAATTATATCTAATAATGGAACATGTTAAGAAGGGATCTATCAATTCAAAATAATATTGGAAATCTGAAGGTGTAAATATAGATTGGGATGAAGGAGAAAAACCACCTAAAATAAGTTGTGAAAAGATTAGGAAATATTTGAGACATTTCTTACTTGGATTAGATTATTGTATAAATAAACAATTATCTATTAAGTACACAACTTTGCAAGAATTGTACATAGAGATATTAAACCAGATAATTTATTGATTGATGAATTTGATAATTTAAAAATTGCAGATTTCGGTGTTGCATAAATGTATGATAGTTCATCTGCTGATTTGATTTAAGGTGATGTTGGAACCAAAGCTTTCTTACCTCCAGAAGCATTTAAGACATCTTAAGTTAAAGGTAAACCAGCAGATATCTGGGCTGCTGGTATTACATTCTTTATTCTTACTTAAGGAGAACATCCTTTCCCAGCTAAAAATGTTTAATAACTTAAAGAGGCTGTTTTAAATAATGAAATTAGATTCTCTAAAGATACTGATTAAGATTTGGCAGATTTCTTAAGCTGTTGTCTTAAGAAAGATGCAAGATAGCGTTATACACTTGAATAACTTATGGTAAATTATGAAGTTTAATTAGGATCATCCATTTATTACAATGAATGGAGAAGAACCATTAATTGAATAAGAATTTTCAGATGAAAATTTCTTCATTTCTGAAAATGAAATAAGTAAGGCACTCTCTAAAGTAACTATAAGAGCTACAGTGAGAGTCTTTGCAAAACTTAAACAGAAACTTAATTAATCTAGATAGAGAATAAAGAGATAGTAATGAATATAAAAAAAACACACTCTATTATATATTTTATATTATCATTCTTATATATCTATTTCAAAAAATCATATAAATTATATAAATTTATTTAACTATTATATAATATCTAATTAATTAATTTATTTATGTAATAATATCATAATAAATATAATATATTATATTTGAATAAAAATTATTCTAATAATAAGATGAATTCAGTATTCAAAAAAAGTAATCACATTTAGTAATCAATAATTTAATGAATATATATAAAATCTGAATTAATTATGTTTGATTAATTTAAGAGATATATTTCATATAATGATAGTAAATAAGTTTTATTTTTACTATTATTTAATTTATTTATGAAAGTTTTATAGGCACTTAAATCAACAAAATTCCCATTTGCATCATTCACAAATAGAGATGTCAAATCAGATTTTTAATTGCTTAAACCTCATTTCGAAACACTTATACCTGATCTCTATTTACAAAAGAGACTCAAATTACCAACAGATAAAATTATGAGATAAAGAAGAATGATGAATTATCACATTGAGTTTGATAAAGATGGCAATATGACAAGGTTCCATGAAGAATATCGTCTAGATAATTATGATGAAACAAAATGTCTACAATATGCAAATGTCTATGAAGAACTAACCAAAGAAATGAAACAAGATCAGATCTATAAAGATTTCCTTTATAATACACTTTAAATTACATGGCAATTAAAAAAATACAACAAAGCTTAAATCTCTGTCCATGCAGTTAGAACTGTAATACTATTCTTTATATTACTTTAGATATCATATCCTGATTAACCTGCTCAATCTACTCCAGAAGGACCAAATAGAGATGGAAATGATTTAGAAATCATTGGAGTAGTTAATAAGATTAACTGTTAAGGAGCAGACAGTCAAATATATAGTCCTGATAAAACTAAGTTACTATTTGAAATGAGTCTCGAACCTGGAGAAGGATACATAATAGATGATAAATCACTATGGAATTATGCCACTTCCCATAAACCAGTTGATCAAAGCTAAGTAGGAATTAGAGATATATTGGGGTTTGTACTTAAAATTGATGAATGAATATACACAACCACAATTATATATAATATAATAAAGCATTTTTAATTAATATTAATTTTAATTCTGCTTATTTATAAGCAAATTATTATATCATGTTAATAATAAATTCAATCAAATTAATCAAGCTAAACTTCATATATTTTTGGTTCCTATTAAACTATTGATTTGATATCAGAATCAGAATCAAATGATGTAATTTTTATGGTTATCGTACTAACATGAGAATATTTTCTATTCAAATTTGATGTTGTTCTAGATTAAGGATTTATTGACAATTATTTTTTTTCTTTTTTTGCAGTCTTAGTCTTTCCAATTGTTTCTGTTGGTTTTTTTGCTGGTGTTACATATAATTGAGATTATTTCTTGTAATTTTACAATATTTTGTGAAGTGTAGATTACTTATCATTTTACATTACTTTATTTTAAATTTTTTGTTTTATTGATTGGAAAGAACTCTTTTATCTAGGAAGTGTTTATATAAAGTATGATTATGTTGTAGGTATTCCATTCAATATGCTTGCCATCTGAAATTATTATAGAGAAATTTTTAATGTATTTAAATTTAAAGACAAGATTCCTCATTTTATTTAAGATGATTTAAAAATTTATTATTTTTTATTATGATTCTATAAAATTAAAGTAAATAATTTAATTCATATATCTAATTTTATTAAAAAAAAATAAAGAATTTGATTAGTTTATTTATAAGAGATAAATTTTTGATTTATAAAAATAATTTATTATTTAAATCATTATTAGTTCTAATTAGATTTAAATGAATCATTCATTAGAATTGAATGATCATCTTAAAATAATTGTTAATCATTTATTTAAAATTATTCATTTTCTTATTATTTATGCTAAATATTTTATTATTACTATATATTATCTTATTATGTATTTGTTATTATTATTTCTTATTATTAATTATTATTTTCATATATTTATTATTTTTTTATTTAATTACAATCTCTATTTGTAAACATATTTTGAAATTATTACAATAATTATTGTTATTCATTCTCATTAATGGGCTCAAAAATTGTATCAGTCAAATTTAATGCCTATGCTTCTACTAATAATTAATCTCTAAATTCCTCTACATTAAAATCATTTTCCACAAACATAATAGATTAATTCTTATTGAGAAAAACATGGAGTGCTTATTTTAAATTTTTTTTATCTTCTTCTTAATCATCACTTAATTAAAAATCAGTAACAATAACTGTAAATTTTTCTTTAAATTTCTTGAAATATTTAAGAACATCTAATAATTTTTTCTTCATTAAATCTGTTCTTTCAAAATTAACTAATAAGAAAAAATGTATAATATGATTTTTCATCATGTATTATGAGAATTATTTAATAATGATTTCTCTTTCATTAATATTTTCAAAGTCAAATGAAGGTGTAGAAACTAAATCAATATCATGCCTTATTTAACATTCTTCAAATTCTTAATTTACCTATTTTTATTTAAAAAAATTAGATATTCTTTTAAATAATTTAGTTTTTCCAACTCCTGGTGGACCAACAAGTAAGTATTTAAGAGTTTAAAACTTTTAGTGTTTTTTTGATTTATTTTCCATTTCTTTTTTTAAATAATACAATTTAATTCCAAAATAAATAATAACTGCAGAAGCAGAAGTAAATGTAATAGCAGAAGCAGAAGCAAGAGCAAGTATTTTATATATATTCTTTTCAGCCATCCTTTATTATTATTTAATTAATATTTTAATGTAATATGCTTATAAATTAGATTAATTCTATTAAACATCATAATTAATATTATAAAAATAAGAAAGTAGTTGAATTCTTATGAAATTTCTTTTATCCACTCTTTAATTTATGTGAGAAAGCAAATTATAAAATTATTTGCATAAATATGAATAACAATAATTCAGTGAAAAATCATTTTTTAGGTTTTCTAAGTTTAGCATCTTATCTTTATTGCATTTCTAGATCATCTTTTTCTTTTTATGCTTCTTATACTTTATTACGTTTAAGTTATCTTAAATCTATAATAATTATAAAAATCTTATATACCAGGTCTGAATGATGCATCACTTAAAAGAAATGGATTTGGTTTAAATACTTTACATTCATATGGACGTATATAATTAACATCCCAATATCTAACTTCTCCAAATTCAATGTATCCCATATAAGATCCATATATTTTACAGACCTTTTTACCTTTTTATTTGATTTCTCCAGATAGATAATCAGATGCTTTCCATCTTACACTATCTAATTCAACACAAGCTGTAATATCATTCTTTTTATCCATAAATGTAATCTTACCCTTACATTCTACTTTCATAGGTCCCCAAAAACTACCACTATATTCTTCTCCTGCAAAATTATATTCAATTAATTCTCCATCAGCAAATTTTAAAAACCGTTTACCTTTATTTTTTAAAGATAATGAATTGACTCCTGCTTTGGCTTCATAATTATAATAACCATAAAATTTATAACTATTTTTAGGACCAATAGTTAGAAAATAACTAATGGGAGGATGGTGTGAGATTTATTCTACATATGCAGTAGTACCATCTTAATAGAAACCAGAAATAGTCTCTCCTAAAATGGGATTTAAGGGTTTGAGAAATGAACAATTTAAATAGAAATTACCTAAGGTGGCACAAATAATTAGCTTCATCTAATAATATGATTAATACTTTACTTTTTCAATAGGATCTTTTTCTAGTACTGCTCTATTAATGTATAATGGGAATAGACAACTAGACATTAATACTTTCTCAAGTGCAGATTTAGGTATCATAGCTTTAATAGGAAATGACACAGTTGTTAAATTTAAATTACCAGATAAAATTTGTTTACCAATTTATTTGATCAACTCTTTACCTATAGCTCTCAAAGTTCTAATTAATTTTTTGTTTTTGCACACTTTACCTCCATCTTTATGTGCTAAAGTAGATCTTGATTCTTCCTTTGATTAAAGTGGTTTAAAATTAGAGATAGCCTTGAAAATCAATTCTTCAGTATTGTCTGTATTATAATCATGTATTTCTTTGGCCCATTTATATATGGCTGCATTTTTGGCTTCTTCCTCTGACATTTCTCTATCATCTTCTTCTTCATCTTCTTCTTATATTACTTCAGGTTGATCAGGAATTTCTTCAAGTTATGATTTTTCATTTTCATTATTTTTAACTTCAGCTTGTATTTAAGGATAACTAACAATCACACTTAAATCTTCTTAAAAATCAATTTTAATTTCCTCTTGTTACTAAGACTCTTTTTTCATATTTTATTATTTTTCAAGAAGACTTATAACGAAAAGAGTAAAAGGAGTTTTGCCAACAACAAATGATGGACATATTGATGCTGATACATTTTCATCTTATACTTAATATCCAATTGAATTTTTCTTTGGTCTTTCTTCTATTTCTAACTCTACTTCCTGTTATTGATTGGTTCTACAGGATCTAATAATCAAGTTTATAACTAATTTATTTACCTATCTCCTTACTGATTCTCAGGTATCAACTGTTCCGATATCTCTATTGGTTTTTTTTTTTCATCTTTCTACTTAGATGATGAACAGCAAAACATTATTTTTTTATATAATTATATTTTTAAACATTCTTGCTTTAATCTTGCAAATTTCAGTTTAATGTGATTTGACTATTTGATTAATAAGATATCATTTAATTGATCAATAAAAAAGATGAATTATGTAATTCTTTAAATCAGTAATATTTTGAATTATTATATGCTTTCAAAAATTCAGTTGATCATTAAAATTATTTCAGAAAAATAAGAACACTTAAGAATCTTTTTTTCTAAATTATTCTAATATAATCATTCTCAAAATATTAATCTTTAATTCTTGTTTATAAAGATAATATGTAAAAAATTTAATTTAATTGTACTATTTGTTTGAATCATTTAAGCGATCCAACCTGCTTATCTTGTGGACATACATTTTGTGAAAAATGTATCAATCATCATTTAAAACTCAATCATTCTTGTCCATTATGTAGAAAACCCACATTATCAGAATGGCCTGTCAATGAAATGTTAAAAGAAGTACTATTGATACTTTTTGAATAAGGATCTGAAGGTAACTTTTATGTCTCTATCCAAAATTTAGTTCTTTAAACAGAATTTCCACAAATTGTATTATGTTTGGATTGTGGCCTTACTCCTATTAATCCTGTAGTGTTACCTTGCTAACATCTCTTCTGTCTTTAATGTTATCAAAACGACTTAATAGAATAATACTGTCCTGTTTGTCTTTAACAATGCATGATTACAGAGCCAAACATAAATCTTCTTTTCAATTAATTTTTGCAATGGTACTGTGAAACAGATGAAAAGTTTATTCTCTAAAATTAGTAAATACGATCCATGCCCATATTTCTATTTGATAAGTAAATATGCTATAAAAGGAATTTCTCTTTAAGAATTGTCGAAGATAGATATAAATAGTTGATAAAATTGGCCTCACATGGATCAGGTAAATTTCCTGTTGTTCCTTTTACTGATTAATTGCCTGTTTATGCTGATATGGTAGAATTAGTTAGCATAACAGATCAAATCGAAATTATTGGTTGCGATAGATTAATAATAGATGCAATCTATTGCTATATAAACGATGAAAAAATACCATTCACTCCTAATACATTTAAAGCTTTACCAAATCAATTATGGTTATGCAATTATACTGTTATCAAAGATAATCAAGATAAATCAACTGTATGGAATAAAATTAAACAATTTATTCAAATAACTTTTACAGAATTAACAGAAGAAATGAAATCTTTATTTGAAAAACCATATCATTTAATGAGTATTTTTGGAAACAAATTTCATTAAGTAAATTCAAGTCTTATTATGATTTAATTATTAAAGATTAATAATTAGCAATTCTAAAAACTATATTATTCTAATGATGAATAATTAAGAAATTAATTCATCTGGAATTTTATTAATCAAATTTAATAAAAAATCATTTAAATTATTGGTAATCAAAATCAAAGTGCTAAATTGAAATAATAAAATATGGATTAAGAAATTGAATTACCTAATTTATAGTTTTATAATTTATATGAAGAAGATGATGAAGATAATAATGAAGATTTAAATGAATCATTCTCAAATATGACAATTACTCAACAAATCATTCTCAACCTATTTCATCTTCATAAAATACCAATTTTTTAGTGATTTTTAATTACTTATATTGTCTATCATATACTCATAATTATTATTTATTATCAAATAGTTTAAACCAAATTTTACTAGCTTTTTCTATAGTTTCTTTATCAATAAAAAACAATTATCTCTTAAAATGTATCTAGATTTAATTTAAATTTTATATCTGAATTTAATATTTACTTAATCATAAAATAGTATTAATTACAAATTTAAAGTATATGATTTTAATACTTCATAAAATTGATTTTAGATATTTACTATTTTATCTTTTTTAATTTTTCATCCACATAATTAATAAATAAATTAATCTTCTAATTTAATATTTATTTAATTGTTCTAATTAAGTTATTCTTTTTTATTAATTTATACTTATTATTTCTTATATTCAATTAGTTTTTATATTATATAAAGAACTTAATCTATTCTATACTTTATTTTCTATTTTTTACAATTTAACTCAATCATTATTATACTCAAAATTATAATTTCTATACTTAAATTCTTATTCCTTAGACTTAAATATATATTGTTTTTTATCAAATACATAATCCAATTTTCTTATATTCAACCCAAATATATAATGACTAATTCAATTTCTAAAAATTGATATTAATATTAATATATTTCATTATGTAATATTTAATTATTATTTTACAAATAATTTTATATTCATATAAAAATAACAAATATTAATTAGATTAGCTTTTTAATTAGAAATTTTTTTATATAATTAAAAAAAGAAATCAATGGCTACAACAAAGGTAAAAAAATCAAAAAAAGTTGAAGAGGTTGAATAGGTTTAAGATGAGGGTGTGATAAAATCTACTCATTAGGGACCTAAAATTGATTCCTCAAATTGGCCATTGTTATTGAAGAATTATGAAAAGATGAACATATTGACCTCACATTATACACCAATTCCAAGTGGATCAGTAAGAATAGAAAATATATATAATAGACTCCATTAAAGAGACCATTGATTGAACATTTAAAATATGGTGTAATAAATCTTGACAAACCATCAAATCCATCATCTCACGAAGTTGTATCATGGATCAAAAGAATATTAAAAGTTGATAAGACAGGTCATTCAGGGACACTTGATCCTAAGGTTACAGGAGCATTAATCGTATGTCTAAATAGAGCAACAAGACTTGTAAAGGCATAGTAATCTGCTGGTAAAGAGTACGTCGGAATAATAAGGTAATAATGATTATGATAATATTATAGATTACATGATGCAATATCATCAGCAGCTAAGTTAGAAAAGGCTATTCAAGATTTAACAGGAGCTGTATTTTAAAAGCCACCTGCAATATCTGCAGTGAAAAGAGAATTAAGAGTTAGAACAATTTATGAGAGTAAATTGTTTGAGTATGACCCTGAAAAGAGATTGGGAATATTTTGGATGAGTTGTGAAGCAGGAACATACGTAAGAACTCTATGTGTTCATTTGGGTTTATTATTGGGAGTAGGAGGTCATATGGAAGAGTTAAGAAGAGTAAGATCAGGAATATTGGATGAGAATAAATATATGGTAACAATGCATGATGTATTGGATGCCCAATATAGATATGAAAAATTTAAGGATGAATCTTATTTAAGACATGTAGTCATACCATTAGAGGTTCTCTTAACAAATTACAAGAGAGTTGTAGTAAAGGATTCTACAGTTAATGCTATATGTTATGGTGCAAAATTAATGGTTCCAGGAGTATTAAGATTTGATGATAAGATTGATATTGGTGATGAAATAGTCTTAATTACAACAAAAGGAGAAGCAATTGCAGTTGCTATTGCGTAATTTAATAAAATTTATAATATTAGTTAAATGACAACAGGTGAAATGGCATCTTGTGATCATGGAGTTGTTTGCAAATCTAAGAGAGTAATTATGGATAGAGAAACCTATCCAAGAAAGTATTATAAATATTTTATCCATTTTAGATGGGGTACTGGACCAAGAGCACTTAGAAAGAAGGCATTAATTAAAGAAGGATTACTTGATCCACATGGAAAACCAAATGCCAATACTCCTTAAGATTGGTAGTAATTCTATGTTTCTGAAGAAAATAATAATATTTTAAAGGAACAATAATAACCAGAGGTTTAATAAGAAGAAGTTGAAGTACCTGAAGTTGTTGAAAAGCCAAAGAAAAAGAAAAAGTAAGTTGTTTAAGAAGAGGAAGAATGATTTAATATGTTTAACATTAACAATATAATAAAAAAGTATAATAAATGATGAAACTAACTATTACTGAATAGAATTCAATTGATTTTAAGACAATTAAGCTCATTGTTATTAATGGGATGTCATAAAACTTTGTTAAGCCAAATCAATTATACTTTCAAACTTTTAAAATTCATCTTCAGGTATTACTCCAATAATCTAATTTTCAAGATGTTATTTAGAACTAAAAATAATATTGAGTTATATTACAATAATTATAGATCCTCTAAATATGATTTATATGGTGGGAGTTCAGTTTTAGCTCTGTTTAAAAGCATTATCAATTAATCTACAATAGGTTTAAAGATTTATGTTTTTGGATTGTCTTTGTTTTCCAAGATGATATCTTACATTAAATAGAATCTTTGCATGAGATCAACAACTAATTAAATTCTATTTCCTTATTTAATTTATGGAGGTCCTTTGTTTATTCTATCAATTCCAAATTTACAATCTTCTAGTCCATATTCCTAATGAATAGAATAAATATATAAACCTTTATGAATGAGTTGAGATCATATTTATCTATTTTAGATGTAAAGTTTTTATATCTTTCAATCAACTTTGTGATTTCTTAAGAGTGTTTTTCTGGTGTTATTTTATCATCAGCCAATTATGCACACTTTTCTACCATATCAATTAATCTAATTGTAATGAATATTTCTTTTTATAATTCAAATTTTTACTAAGGATATAAGATAGATCTACTTACTTTATCATCTATTGTTAATTTCTATACTTAGCGAGTCTGTGGTTAATTCATTTTAAAAAATTATTAATATATAAAATACAAAATATATATTAACTTAACTTTAACAAAATGCAGTATCTAATCTCCTTATAAAAAAACCTACAAACTGAGAATGTATTTTTAAGTGCAACTTTGAATTTTCGAGATCAGAATGTTGAAAAGAGCTATTAGAACTTTTAGAAGAAGTTTAATGAAGGGACATTGATCTTAATGGAATCCTTCAAATTCTTTTTGGAATTTGCCATTACAATTTCAGCCCTCATTTCAGATTATGAATCAATTTACTCATAAATTCTGTTCTTATTTCCAATTTCAAGTCTATTATAAATTTGGATAATTCGAAAGAACTAAAAGTGTAATGATTACTGGAAAATAGGACATATGATAGCATTATTTCTGTTTTTAGCAGCTATTAAATAACCATATTTAATGAGAGGATCAGTGTCTTTGTATTGCATCTATATGACTTAAAGTTTAAATGACAAAAAATATGTCATTTTTTACTTTTCAATAATGTAAGTTACATTCTAATATTTTGATTAATTTTTTGATTGGATTGTTTTACCATGTTAATGGGCATTCACATTAATATTAACTATAAGTATTTATACTAGACAAAGAAGAGAACTAGTATATTATTATAATAAATTCAAATCCAGTACTGATTTATCCTATTAAGAGGTTGTGTTAAATCATAGTTTATAATAGAATCTATTTATAGTTAGATTATCTCAAGATTAATAAAAAGTAAATCTTAATTTTAATATTTATTTAGAGATCAGTAGATTATTTTGAAGTTTTATTTGCTAATCAAGCATGTAAAAAGGAATTTGCTTAAATTGATAACATTTTTCATCGAACTACATTAATTAACATCATAAATTGTAATGAATCTAATCTTTCCTATTATAATTTGAAAGTCAATTTAAGTTATGAATAAATTTTTAATAATTTTAAAGGATCTACTGGTGAATAGATCAATATGGTAGACAAACCCATATATTTAAATCAAATTCTTTATTAATATATAGTAAATTATTAGAATAAAGAATTATAAGAGAGTCTACCTTTGAAATTGACAGGGATATAAAATAATCAAACATTTGACATATTAGTATCTCCTTGTATATGGAAACATGAGAGATGTTTTATTATTTCATTAATTGATTTAACTGATCGTATGAAGATTTCTTAATTGGAGAAGTTGGATTAATATAAAGACAGTGTATTAGCCACTGTTAGTCATGATTTAAAGAATCCTATAATTGTAATTTAATCTATGATCACTCTTGTTTAAGAAGGTTTATATGATTTATAGGATTGTGAGAATGTAAGTATTTAATAAAAAGTTTAATCTTGTTGTAATTATTTGTAAATGTGTTAAACAAATGTGTAAACTCTTTAATCATTTGTTAATGATTTATAAGATTTTGCTTAAATTAAATAGTAAAAGTTAAAATTGGTTGTTAGTTAATTTTAAATTTATACTCTTATTTAAGAGATAAAGAATGTTTTTTAAATTTAAATATAAAAGAAAAATCTTGAATTAGAAATCTAAGTAAATTTAAAACCAAATTAAACTTATTACAATGATCCATTAAGAATAAAATAAGTTTTATTTAATCTGATTTCTAATGCAATTAAATTTACTTCAAAAGGAAAGATAATTGTTAAATTCTCTGATGATATAAAAGAAATTTTGAAATTTTGTAAAGCAATAAAAGAATAAATTGATTCAAACAAAAGTATTGTAGATGTTGGAATATTGTTGAAAAACAAATCAACTATTTTCATATGTACAGTTACTGATAATGGAAGTGGAATGAGTTTAGAAATTCAACGTGGCCTTTTTAGAAATTTTGCTACCTATGACAATGATAGTAACATAAATAAGTAGAGTATTGAGTGTAATTAAATAGAAATGGTGTTGGATTAGGTCTAATCATTTGCAAGTAACTTTGTGGCTATATTGGTCCATTATAGTACATGTATTTAAGATCCCAAACAGGAGTTGGTTCAACTTTTTAATTTGCCATTTATAAAAATTATGATAAACAACATCGCTATGATTATTCAGGTGATTAATCTAGCATCGATTCTATCGATTATGATATTTCAGTACAATCCCCATATAAAAATATATTCAGTACTCGTCACATAACTCCTCTATGTAAAAAGCAACGAATGAAAGAAATGCTGCAAATATTGATTGTTGACGATGAAACTTTCAATTGCATATTGCTAAAACTGCAATTAACTAAAATTGGCATTCATAATTTGGATGTGGCCTATAATGGAAGAGAAGCAATAGAAATGTCATAGAAAAAAACATACGACATTGTATTTTTAGATGTCAATATGCCTGGTTTAAATGGATTCCAGTGCATTCAGGATATTAAAAATACTAATGAAGAAATTAAGATTTATATGCTCACAGCATTCAATGATCTCTAAACTCACTAGATGTGTTTAGCTGCAGGAGCGGATAAACTTTTATCCAAACCACTTTCTTAAAAATAGCTTGAACTATTGTTGAATTGATTATATCATTTGTTATGTATTCAATTATCATACATACTCTTTACATTCTAAAACTAAGATTCAATGTTATTCATCAATTAAATTGTTTTTAGAATTATTTTTTGTGAATTTTATATTCAAAACAATTATGTATATATTTTAATACATTACATAAATGATTCATTATTTATTTACAAAATCATATAACGAGGACTAATCAAATCTCACATTTTATTTCATTTATTTAAATTAGTATTTCTATCTAAATATATTAAAATTCATATAAATCAATTAAGGTTTATATTTTCTATTAAGAAATTATAGTTCATTATGTAGTATTTTGAATGTTTTTGGATGATTTAAATATATATTTAAATTATTAAGTCAAAACAAGAAATAATATTTAAACAAAAATTGTTATCTAATGTATTAATTTATGAATAACTTTATGTAGTAGGATGGAGGTTTAGATGTGATTCTTTTCAAAAATTACTGAAAAATAAACAAATTGATACTTAATTTTATATTATCTGATATATATATTATGTAAATTATGGGAATTGTATTTAGGAGAAAATTAAATACGTGTAGGGCAATTAAAAAAATATCTATATTTTAAAAAAAAATTTGTATGGACCCAACACCATAACCAGAAGTTTAAAAGGAGGAGAAAAAACCCAACTAGGCAAGAGGAGAGAATAGAAAGAGGGAACCTAAACAAAAGTAATAACAAGTTCAATATGTCGTAAAGGGTGAGGAAGGTATAAAATTTATTTTGATGCATTATAGGTGCTGCAACTGAAGCATAGGATGATACATAAGAAAAGAAAGGAGATAAAGGAGAGAAGTAATAAAAAAAGAAACAAAGAGAGGAGAGAAAACGTCCTGAATTTGATTGGGATAAGACTAAGATTACTCTTGAAAGTAAAGTACCAGAATTACCTGCTCATCCTCCTTAAAAACCAAATAAAGAGGAGCATTACAAATAATTGGATAAGATTGATGAAGATATCAGAAAGCAATGGAATCATTTCGTAAGAGTTTATTGTTAAATATGATAGAATGATTTTGTAAAAAATGTTAAAGAATAATAAAATATGGCTAGACAAGGTAATGAAGAGAAGTACAAAAATGAAGTGAAACCATTAGGATTAGTTATTGGAGATAAGATTAAATTAGTAAATGAGAAATCATCAGAATTAAAGAAAATGAAGAGTGAGAATGATGAAATTAAAGATCACATTAATAAACTCTTTAATTAAGCTTAAGAATATAGATAAAAGATGAAGAGTTTAGATGATCCAGATAGAATTATTGATGAATTGGCTAGATTGAAGGAATCACTTTAATAAGATAAATTAAGTGCAAATGAAGAGAAGAGAATCGTATAATAAATAAGTGCTTTAGAAAGATCACTTCCATACATTGAACCATTATAAAAGTTGGAGAAAGAATAAAAAGTTTTAAGAACTAAATCAGCAGCTATTGGAAAAGTTATGAGCTCTCTTTATTAAAGCATTAAAGATTTGAATGATGAAATTAATTAATACAAATCTGATTATGAAAAGTTAAAGGATAGTACAAAAGATTCAGTTGTTACAAAATAAAATCCACTTATTGACAAAGAAAGATAAATAGTTGAAGCTAAAGTATAAGAATTGAAAGAAAGAAAAGAAAAATTAAAGAAAGATTACAATAATTCATGGGATAAATTTGAAGATTATGAAGATTTATAAAAATATAGAGAATGGTTCTTAAAATAAATCAATAGAATTAAGAAAGACTCTGAAAGAAAGAAGAAAGAAGAAGAAAGAAAAAAAAGAGAAGAAGCTAGAGCTAAAAGAGAAGCTGATAGAGAAGCTGAAGAAAAGGCTGAAGCTGAAGCTAAGGCAAAAGAATTAGAAAATGTTAATCCATTCTAATATTAAGTTGGTATCTATTCTTTTTAAATATTTTATTAGATCTTTGTGAAACTTTAATCACTTATTGCAATAAACTTAAACCAACAGCTGCTTAATAATAAGCTTAATAATAAAAATAAATAGATGTTGAATAAGTTTTAAAGAGTGATGATTGGAAGAAAGAGAAATGCACTGTTATCAAAAAAGATACAGATGATGATATCTATAATTTTAGTCAATTGAAATCCAAAAAGAAGAATAAGGTATATATTAAATTTTAATCTAAGCAACCACAATAATAAAAAGAGGCTAAAGAAGATAAAAAAGATGAAAAACCAAGCATTTTATAACATGATTTGTAAACTCTCTAATTCTTCGATACAGTTAAAGTGGCAACTCCATTCTACATAACTGAACTCGACAAGGTTGTCAAGAGCATCTAAGAGCGTAAGGAGTATTATTTGAACCGGGAAAACTGGGGCAAAAAAGAAGAATAAGAGACACACACAGAAGTATTAAATAATTTAAATTTGTTGTAGGAATCAAAAGCCAAGAAATAATAGAAGGCCTAAAACTAAGATGATTTCCCAGCCTTATAATGAAGTGCGTATATATATATTAAATAAATGGTACATATCTAAATTGATCTCTTCTTCTAAACTAGGATAACTAATAAGCATAATTGTATTAATATTCCATTCTTCTCTTTCATCTCTTAATTAACTAATTCATAATTTGAGTCTCACAACTCTTCCTTATATCAATATAAAATCAGAGATTACAATAACTATTTCAATCTAGCTTTGTTTTTCTCTTTCAATATAAACTTTTGTTCAGACCTTTTTTAGCAAATAAATATTTTATGAAGCATAAATATTTTAATAAATTCTAGTATTTATCAAGTTAATAAAATTCTATTATATTAAACATTATTGTATTTGTTATCAAATTTATGAGATGAGATTAGCTAACTTTTAATAGTCATTATTTATAATTTAAGTATTTGTAATGCGTTTACAATAATAAAATATATTGGTTATATAAAATCAAACATAAATGAACATATCTTTATTAATAATTTTAATGAATAATAAATAAAAAGAAGCACAATACTCTTAACATCCATCAATAAGGAATTTATTTATTACTAAATAAGATAAATCAATTGTAAAGGAATTTTCTGAAACATCTGATATTAACTTAAATAATCGAAAAAAATTAGTTAAACTCTAATAAAAATACGGAGATTAACATAGTTAATATGCTTTGGGAATTAAAATCATATAGAAAAAGAATAATTGTAAAAAAATAATAGTGAACTATAATTGCGATCAATCTGCTATACCTTTATCTTAAATTATTATACCTGAATTGCCATCTTAAGTTAAATCCACTATACCTTAATCTTAAGTTAGTCCCATTTTACCTTAATCCTAAGATAAATACAAAATACCAAAACTCTAAATCTAAATATTTAGAAATTTGTACTAAATTTATGGATTTTTAAACACAAATAACATTTACCATAGAAACCTAAAACCTAATAATATCATTTTATATAATAACTAATTATTTCTTACGGATTTTTGTCACATAGAAGGATAATGGTTTACCGATTAAATCAATTTTTATGGTCAATAAAATAACAGTGATCATCAAAATAATACAAATCCATATCTATCGCCAGAAATATAAGGCATAATTGCTAAGTATAAATAAACTTAAGTTGAAGATTATAATGCTTTATAAAATAGGGATTAATTATCTGTAAAAAAGCAGGATTAATTTGCAATTGCAATTATGATGTTAGAGGTTTTTAAAACTTTAGAAAATAGGGATTTAACTTCTGTTTAAATAAGATAACAAGAGATTAATGAATTAATTTTATCTTAGTTTACAGAAGAAGACGCAAAATTCATTAAAAATACAATATCTGGCTTATTAGAATTAAGTGAATTCAATGAAAAAGATTATAATGATAACTTAAATAAAATTGAATAAATAGAAAAATAGCTTGATAATTATCAGATTAATAAATAAGCCTTAATGAATTAAAACTATAAGAATTTAGTTAAATAGTTGTTGGAAAATAACAAAATTAATTTTGATTTGAAATTACTTTTTTTTTTTACTAAATAAGAATTAAACCATTTATCTATTTAACATGTAACAAATTAAAAATTAAAATAAGAGATAAAAAGATTTTTTAGGATCTATGAAGATATTGATAAAGGAAGATTAAATGATATTAAGGGATTAAAGGAATATGATTTATTATTGATTAGTTTAATTTATTTGGATGATTAAATATAATCATTACAAAAAAGTAAAAGTATAATGTCCGAAGAACTATTACGATATCACATACTGAAAAGAGAACTGAGAGAATATTATGATTAATTAAATAAAATGTAATAAAGTGACTTTACATTTAATACTATCTAATAAGCAGATATACAAATAAATCAAAATCAAAATTAAAATAATCTTTAACCATAAAATATAAACAATATCTAAAATTATAATCTCTAATAAGCAGATATAAAAATAAATGAAAATCAAAATCAAAATAATCTTTAACCATAAAATATAAACAATATCTAAAATTATAATCTCAAACGCTATTATTAATTTATGAGGTGTATTAGATAAAAAATAGATAATATTTATCAATGTAAAGGTAATTCTAATGAGATATATATTGGTAAAATTGAAAACAATAATATTTTCACTGGTGAAATGATATAATTAGAAGAAGAAAAAAGAAAGGATAAATAAGAAGAAAAAGTTGTATTAATCAAGCACTTTTTTAAAATAACATTAGACAATATGGAAATTAAAAGCATAAAAGACTAATAACCTAAGTCATAAATTATTTATTTCAAGGAAAGTAAACATCCAGGAAATTTTAACAAAATTATTGAATATATTGGTGAAATTAAAAATGGGAAAAAAAATGGAAAGGGAGAAGAAAAAAATTTCATTAACAATATGTCCTATGTTGGGGAATGGAAAAATGATTAAATGTTCGGAAAAGGAACTAAGAAAATAATAAATACTGAATTTACACCTTTAAATAGTCCCTATAAATGGAAAGGAACATTTGTAAATTCTTAATTAAATGGGGATAAAATAAAGACATATTTATTAGATCGTAAGAGAAAAATTTGGTTAGAGGGAAAATATCAAAATGATTATAAAATAAGGACTCATATTTGTTATGAGAAAAAACAAGGAAATAATAAAAATGATGTTCTTTACAAAGCTTACTATGTAAATTGTTTTCAGAAAGAATATTCATTTTTTAGGTAGATTAATTGAAATTATTGCTGATTATCATCTCATATATTTAAATAATTATTATTTTACTTATTATCATTTTATATATAAGTTTCTTAATTTTACAAGGATTGAATTATTAATGTGTTTTTTGAAAGCATAAGTCCTATCATTAATAAATTTATTATAAATATCTTGGAAAATACAATTATAATCATAATATGGATAATAATCTTATACGAATCATAAATTTTTAATTAAAAATTCAATAACTATATTTAAATTAGAAGAGTAATTATAAAGTATCAAATAATATAATTTAATCTAATAATAAATTTTGATTCTTAATCAAATTATTTTTTTTTTTTTCAAAATAAAGTAAAAATATAAAAGGAGTTTTTTATTTTTAATAATCACAATCATAAATGAATTATTCCTCTTCTATTTAGTACATTTTTTAAATTTTATATTTTTAGAACTTGATTAATTTTTAGGCTTCATAATACTTGCAATATATAAATTTGAATCTAATTAATTTATAATTTCTATTTTAATAAGCTAAAGAAAAGCATAGATTTAAATTTAATGAATTTTAAAAAGAAATCATTAATAAAATTATTTTATTTTTTATTTATAAATAAACTTGTTAATTCAGCTTTAACATTCTTAAAGTTTTCAAGAAAATCTTGCAATTTTATCATAAATTTTTATATTTTAATTTTTCTATGTTAAATAATAGTGTTAAAAAGATATTTATATATTGGAAACCCTAAAAATCATTTTATAGCATCAAATCTAATCTAATATAAAATAAAATAATTTACTTCTGTTGATTGTTTAATAATAATTTGAATAATAAAAGAAATATACTTTTTAAACTTCTTTTCTCATCAATTTAGATCATTTAAACAGAAATTAACTAATAAACCATAAACCTTATAAGGATTTAATAATATCAAGGTACTTTCTAAATCTATAGTATATATCTAATGAGGAATTTTAATTACATAATGTTTCTATTTATAAAAATAATTTAGATAAATGGTGCAACACTGAAGTATAAATAACATTTGACTAAATGAATAATAGTTGATGAATACTAATTAGAATCACTATTATATTAGATTAATAAGGAAAATGTTTAAAAAATGAATAATTAAATCATTCACGGAAGTTGTTTGATCTTTATAATTTTTTTTGCTAATTGAACTTTGTATTTGATTAGATTAGGAATTTATTTATTTTTAAACTTCAAAAGCTTGAGTTTATGTGGACATTATGTTGTTAGTATAGTTTCTTCAGGTTAATTCATTTTTAAATAAAATAAATTAAATAAACAATCAATCAACAAATTACTGGTTTTAACTTTGTCATTCGGTTTATTCTTAGTTCTTAAAAACCTCATAAAATATTATTATATATTACAATTTAAGTATGATTTTCCTGTTGAAATTCAATATTAAGATTTTATGACTAAATATTGAAATGATTTTGTAGAATTTATTATTTTTAATCTTCTCTCTCTGTAGATTCTTTAGATTGGTTTTTAGTGATGATGTTGATTCTAATTTTTGGATGTTTCTTGATTGGATTAGCTTTTTAAATTTGTATAATTTAGATATCTTGAATTTGATAGTTCAAAGTATAAAGAACGCTTTCAATAGTAATAATATCATTTGCTTTAACATATAATTCATCTACGATTCCTGGTTACTTATTAAAGATCTCAATTATTTTATTTTAAGCACTAATTTTCATAGCATACTAAAAGGACCCTAAGCTTTCCTTTTCTTCTTAAAATCAATTTAAGAAGATTACTAATGCATACTTCTATAATTTTGGCAACAATACAGCGAAAAGGTATATCTAAAAGGCTTTTGAGTGTCACATCTTAAGCCTTTTTATTTGAAGTGAAAGTTATCTATTCTAACATACTATAAATATTTGAGATAATAATTATAATGTCTAGTTCTATTTAAGAAGTAATAATAATTTAAATGATTTATAATATTAATTGAAAGTTTTGATAAATAGATAAATAATATTATAATATCAAGTATTTAAAACAGAAAAGCCATCAACTAAATTATAAGATATTTTATCAAAAGTCTTCTTAATTTCTTCATGTATTTTAGATAATATATTATTATTTTCTTTGGTCAATTCAAACATTTCTGCTTTTTGATCCATTATCATATCATCTTCAAATAAAGCATATTATTTATATTTGAATAATAGATCAATAGGCAAATCATCTTATTGAAGATTAAAAATGGCAATTTAATTTAAACATTGAACATGATTAAGTAATTTGACTAATTCTCTATTTTGAGATAATAAATCTCCTTTCATTTTTGATAATATTCTAACATAAAATTCTTCCAAAGATTTTATTTCATCTTAAATCTTCACTATATGCAAAATGAATATAAATACCTTGGAAAATTAAGTAATTTTTGAATTCTTTTCAGCTAATTCATTTTCTAGAAGTTTGATTTACTTTTTGTAATCTTGTTAATCTTAATTGGATTGCTTATCAATTTTTTATTATATTTATTAGTTATAAGTAGTTAACTATTAAATAGTCAATTTTAATTTCTTAATGACGATATCCTTTTATTGAATTTGATCCTACTGTAATTGGATTTGCTTTTTGTAAATCAAATTTTCTTGCTAAGTCTTGTAGCATAAAGTACCTACAAGGAAACATTCAGATTTTGCATGTCTAACACTTTGAGTTCTTGCATTTATTGTTCTTGAATATAATGCATTTTATTCTAGAAATCACTAACAGGCGAAGCAAAACTACCTATCTTGGAAGTGACCTTTTAGAATTCCTCTTTGAAAGAAGTGCAAGGTTATGTAGTTTGTTTACCATCAAGGGTTCTGTAAGTCTAAATTTTGTTATCTGACTATAAGGTGATAGTGCGTTAATTAGCTTTAGGAGTTCGAAACCACTAATCGTTCAAGTTTTTGTTAGCACTCTTAGTAGATGAACATTTGGAATCACATTGAATTTCGGTTTGCTTCATTTGTAAGTTGAATAAGTTGTTAATAATTTAATTTCTGAATTCAAATGTAACATAACCTTCAATAATCATAATAATATATAAATACCATTGCACTTCTTTCACATTAAAACTAATCCTTAATTTTATATAAAGGCATTGTTTTAAATATAACTTATCTATATTGAAGAATTAATCCATAAGAATTGAATATAAAGAATCAATAATCAATAATATTACTGACTAGGTATACATGATTAAATAAGAATTATAGAAAGATTATCTATGATTCAAATCATTATTAAGTAAAATATCAAATATAATTAAAACTAATATACTATATATATCTGTTGAATACATTTAATAATTGCTTGTTTAATAAAATCAATAATTTTAGCCAATCTAATAAATACATTAAAATTTTAATTTAAAGCATTAAAATAAAGAAAATTAGTTATTACAATAAAGAAATCAAACAAAAAAAAATTAAAAGCATCTAGATATAAACAACAAAAGAATGATTTATAAATATGGAAGCATATTTTTTAATATCCGTTAAAAATATTAATAATGAATTCAAGTTAAAGACAACCAAGAAGTCGCATCTTTGATGTTGATTCATAAAGACCATCTGATAGATCTAATACTCCTACAAGAACATTATCACCATCTTAACATATTTAACCATAATAATAACAATAACCTATACCAACATTTCAACCTTAAAAATTAAAACATATTCTATATAATGCTCAATAAAGTACTCCTATTGTCAATTGCCATTACCATCCAGATCAATATATTTAAAATTTTTGCAAAAATCTGTATATATTTTCAATAATCCAAATAGTGATTGTCTATTACCGCTTTGCCCTATGTGTGTCACTATCCATTAAGATGATCATATAACTTAAAACTATGCTCCTCATTTCGATTTACTAGGTTATTGTCTTGGGGAACAATATAATAAAACAGTTGATATCTGCAACCTATTAGGAGAAGATATTGAGGATGTAGTAGAATTAAAAAATCTTGTTAAAAATCATAGAGAAATTTAGAAAAAGAAATTCTTAGAAGCAAAAGAATAATTCTATAAAGCTATTGATTCTTTTATGTAAAATCTAGAAAACAATTTAAATTCATCATCTATCAAACAAACTGATTAACTACTCAATGAAATCAATCAATTTCATAGATTAGCCTATGATAGATGGGAAAATATGCAAGGGAGATTGTAAAAACTCAATTCTGAGAAGTGTCTAAAAATATTAATTAAGTCTTACAGACAAAGCAGACCAGAAGATATCTATTAACGTTAACATGAAATGACTATCGCTTTTATAGACTAAGTCAAAAGTGAATTAGATCAAGTAGAAATAAGGCCATCTTAATTATAAATAATATTAGATTAATTACAATCCTATATATACATCACTAAAGATAATCCTAAATAGATATCTCCAATAAAACCATAATAATAATAATAATAATAATAATAATAAATCATTAGAAGAGTAGTTCATGAAAGACCAAGTAGTCAATAACATCATAAAAATTCTAACTCTCCAATTCCAACTAGAGTTTTATAAGGATTTCCTATACTCTAAAAATTCAATCCAATCACAGCCATCGAAAATATAACTATGCCTTAATTACCATAAATTCCTACAGGATTTCCTTAAATCATGCCATTTCAAAATTAACAATTCAACTTCTAACCCTAATATGCTTAATCTATGATGTTACCTAACTCATAGTTTATCCCATAATCACCTCTTAATATGCCCTTACCTTTTCAAACCTAACATCCATATCAAAACCCTCCATAGTTACTTAAACAAACCTAGTTACAATAACCACTAAAACAGTTTGTCTAACCACTTCAGTCACAAGCAATTTCTCCAAATCAATAATAATAAAATCAGCCTCTTGCTTAAATCAATCTTAATTAATAAGAGAAACCTGGAGAAGTCATTGATTTGAAATCTAATAAAAATCCACTAAGAATGGCTGAATAATATCATAATTAATTGTTTAATTCTGGTGAATGATTTAATTATAGCCTTTATATAAATTTATGATATCCTTTTTCGAAATTATATATCTCAAAATTATATTGTTGATTTTATTAATAACTTTAAAATGAAGGATGTGTTTTAATTAAGATATGAAATATATTAATATACTAATTAAATAATCCGTATTTTTCAATACAATGCATAAACTTAAGCTATAGTTTCTCAATCAAGATGTCGAACATAATTACATCCAAGAGCACTAATTTCCAAAAAGAAAATTTTATTTAAAAGTTTGCACAGTAGGATTTCAAATTTTGTTAATTTTCAAGTTGATCGTTTCGCTCATTGAAGAAAATTATTCAGTTACTTACCCTTTACTCATTACATGGGGAATTACAATACCTTTTATTTTAATTCCTTCAAAAACTGATATTTAAATACGAATGACCATTATTTGCCTCAATATAATTTATGTTGTCTATCTTCTATTTTTTGATCCCCAAGAAGAGGCTTAAATAATGTATTTTAAAGGTTCCACTTAAATGGCTGCAAATATAGTTAATATTTTTGTACTTGAATTTATAGATTCATCAATCTTAAGTGTTGTGATTCTAACATTGAGAATTATCCATCTTAGTTACTACAGTCTCAAAACAGATTTACCTTCAATTTTGTTTGGAATAGGTGTTCATATAATATTAATTTTAATGATTTATATTTACCATAAGGCATTAAGGTCTTAGTACCTTTTAACAAAAACTGATCAAAGATGGGAAAATATTTTAAAATAAATTGTCCATGATTAAAAATTCATCTTAATCAATTTTGACTAAGAGAAAATTAAGTTCATTAGTATAACTTCTACATTTTCAAAGAAAATATAATCTTAAGAAGAAGTAATAAATTTTATTCGTAATTCAAAAATTTAACACTATACTTTTGAATAGTATCTTTATAAAAACATGAGCAAATTTTAACAAAATTTTATAGACAGTCTAAACAATACTATAATGGTAACTTATGAAAGATAATTATTGAAACTAAATTTCTCAATATTTTTTGGAAATCAGCCAACCATATTAATTTAAAAATGTAGCCATTAATAAGAATAAAATATTAAAAATTATTAAAACATATCTAAATTGTATCTAAATATTATTATCTCTCTCATAAAAATTATCAAAGAAAGGAAGAAGTTTGATTCATTTAAATTTTAATTAATAGCCAAGAAATTATTCTTAAAAAATCTAATTTCAACCATTTAAAATCAAAATTTTTCATCCTATATAATTAGCTTTAAAAGGCTTTTGAGCAAGATTTACATACTCAGCAACAAAAAATAATAAATCTAATTGTTGTGTTAAGATGTATAATTCATAACGATTCCGAAAATATTCCAATTATTTTTAGTTTTATTAATTGAATGTTCACATAATGAAATTATTCTGATCCAACATATTAGGATTGAAAACGAAGTCATTACTATCAAATTTTGTAGTGCTTTTAACATCTAAAAAATAAAAGCATATGTAACTAAATTAGAGTATTATTTTCTATTGATTTTTTAAAATATCAAATATGATGATGATTGTACTATTTATAATTTATAAAAAGCTGTGACAGTTAAATTAAATTAAGAAATATTTGTACCATTTAAGAATTTATCCTCAATTAATACATCAGAAGACATCCTACTTCCATGATTACGTTTTGTAATATAATATGACTTATTTAGAATATTATTTATATATTGTCTATATTAATGATATAAATCTGAAAATATTTTCATTCCCAACTAATATGATTCTACTTAACTATTCATAATCATAAAAAGTAGAACAATAATATATATTTTCTTAATTTTCAAATTTCTTTCTTATATTAATTTTAAGTAGATTTAAAAAAATTAAGAATTAATCAAGTAATTGTATTTAGATGATATTAGATGATAAATTGTTTTTAAAAGACCTTTTAATGATATTTAGATTATATAATATTTTATAAAAAAATTAATCATAAATATTAATAGGTATTTAATGGCTACAACGAGAAATTAAAAGCGCACAAAAACATATACTTATGTCAGAAATGTAGATGAAAATCAAAGGAGCTTAAGAACTTAATCAAAACTGGATATTTTGGAGAGTGATTATTATGATTCACCAAACAAATTGGCGGAAGAAGAACTTTCTGATGCATCTGCTAATAGAAAGAAAAGCAAGATGTTGAGAATTGCTAAGAAGAAATAGAATAATTCATTAAGAAAAAATGTAAACTTAAAGAAGATGCTAAAAAATACTCCATTGGATTCTGAGTTCCTAAATTTCCAGAATATTACTCCGAAAGCGAAACCGCAGTAGACTAAATAGTGTAGTATATGCAGATCGCAAGCCAAATATACATGTCCTAGATGTTTGGAAAGGTATTGTAGTTTGGATTGTCACCAAACTCATAAGGAAATACAATGTTTGCGAATGGATTATTGATTTAATAATTATTATTATACAGGACTTAAATATTATATATTATAATGTTAAGCCAACATAATTTATAAAGTAGTCGAAAGAATATAGGGAACAGTTCAAGTTAATAATTGTAAAAGTTCTAGGAAAATGGATTTTATTAATTTATCTTGAGCAGAAATAGAGCTAAGGAGAAGATGGTAAAAAAATAAAAATAAATCACTCCTTTAAGGCAGATGCGTCCTTCGACTGCTTTTGTAGATTCCAAAGGAAAATAAAAGTTCTAAATGAATTTTGGGTTATAATTGGAAAGTTTCAGCACTTTATAACCTAAACATTAAATATTTGAGGAGCATTAGAAAAATAACTCCTAGCATTAAGCATCATCTACTCCTAATTAGAAAATTTATGTAAATGATCAGAAGATATTGAGGGCAATGTCTGCATTAAGAAAAATAAAAAATTAAAGAGCTTTTCGTCCTTGTCCATTTACTTTGGGGTTTAATATAGAATAATGCTCCATTAAACCAAAGACTATAAAATAAAGATCGATTAGTTAATTCTAGTAAATTAAAAGCTTAAATCGTACAGAGATCATGAAATATAAAAGACATGAATCTCCTTAGACTATTTAAAAACCAAACTTGTAAAATTAATTTACAAAATGGGAGTAATATGATGATAGCAATTTATTCGATCTAAATTTCTTGAACAATAATCTCTTCAAATACGAACTTTGATGACATATTTTAACACTTTTTTTGAAATTTAAATCTGTGTTTAATTAGTGTGCTTGTTTATATCGATTTGAAATTTTTTAATAAATAAAAATCTTTTTTTCTCTTTCATAATGGGTGCATATAAATATTTACAAGAGCTTTGGAAAAAGAAATAATCTGATGTCCTCAGCTTCATCATGAGAATCAGAACATGGGAATACAGATAATTGCCAGTCATTCATAGAGCAACTAGACCCAGCAGACCAGATAAAGCCAGAAGATTAGGTTACAAGGCCAAATAAGGTTAGATTTTAAACTGATCTTTTAAAGGTTATGTAATTTACAGAGTCAGAGTCAGAAGAGGTGGAAGAAAATTGTTGATCAGAAAGGGTCTTGTTAAGGGTAAACCTAAGAGTCAAGGAGTTAATCAATTAAAGCCCACCAGAAATCTTAGATCAGTTGCTGAAGAGAGAGTTGGCAGAAAAATTGGAGCATTGAGAGTTTTAAATTCATATTGGGTGGCTCAAGACGGAACATACAAATATTATGAGGTCATCACAGTTGATCCATTCCATTCCGCCATCAGAGGAGATCCAAGAATCAATTGGATTACCCAACCAGTTCACAAACACAGAGAATTAAGAGGTATAGTCTGCAATTTCTATAATTTTAGGCTTAACATCTGCTGGTAGAAAGAGTAGAGGTCTCAGAGTAAAGGGTCACAGAAATAATCAAACAAGACCATCAAGAAGAGCCAATTACGCTAGAAGAAACAGAATTTCCCTCAGAAGGTACAGATGATGATATATTTTGCATATACTCAAGTACAATTAAAAAAAACAAATACATCCCCCAAATTTATTTTATCATATTTGAAAAAATATTAGAAAATAATTTATTTATGAACCAGATTTTCTATCCTTTGACTTAAGTATATAGAACATCAACTAGACAAATTAATAAAGTGACATACTATAGCAATCCTTTACCAGAAATAAAACTAAAATCTAACGATCTAAAATAATCTATATTTGATTGGTATCAATTCTTCTAATTTCAAGGTTGAGACAATTAAATTAGGATCAATTAGATGAAGTGCTTTCCTTTACTTCTTATTTTAGAGTTTATTAATATCTTAAAATGTTCAAAATAGATCAAAATGGGATACATGAATATTAAGAATTATTATGTAGTCCTTTTGAAGTGAATGTAGCATAGGAACTTAATAGATATTATTCTATTTAAAATTGTAAGCGTTTAAATAAAATTGATTTAAATGCTCATAAGGTATATCATAAATTTCAATAAATTAAAGTACATCCTTGATCACATCTATGTGTCTGATTATGAATGGTTATTTGATACCATTATATTAAAAGGGGATGTTGAATAAATTATTAATTCATTTGAAGCAATATCTAATGGTACCATATTTACAAATTGTGGAGAATTAGAATCTCATGAGGATGAAGGATATTTTGAAATTAACCTTAAAAAATAGAAGGTCTATTAGACATTATCTGAATTATTGGTTGAGGAGTTTCAAATTGCTATTTTATTAAAGTATTTAATCAAATCTAATTAATAGGTATCATTAATCTTGTGAAAGGAATAATTACACTTATCATAAAAATTTATTAAATTTGAATAATGTAAGATTTAATTATCTATCTTTGAACTTAAATTAAGCTTATCTTGAGTTTAAATAATTGTTAACTCAGTAATCAAATCAGAAGTAATTAATTACTGAATTTAACTTAATTTAATCTTGGAACGAGCATATTAAATAAAATCCATTGTAGTTTTAAACTCTTTGTTAAGAAATTTAATACTATTTTAATTAACCTAAAGAATTATTTTCTGTACCTCTCAAATAAATTCTTAATGAATTTATTCTATTTTGTAAATTTTTGATTTCTAGAACATTACTCAAAGAATTTCCATTAAACTAAGTACCTGAAATTAAAAGAGTCAAACAAAAATAGGATAAATAAACATATCATTAATTGTAGCAGCTTAACAATTTATTCAAAAATTCATCAAAATCTAAAATATTACCTGAAAATGATTAAAGGCTATTTAGCACAACCAATGAAGAAATAGAAAATCATTTTTATGAATTCACTAATTAGTTTATAAAGAAGTTAATGGATGAAACATTAATAGAATTAGAAAATCAAAAGAAATTCAAAAAATAAAAATAGAAAAAGGTAAAAAGTTAAAAAAAACAATATATGAGTGAATGTACTTCAAATTGCACTGAATATTAATAGTTATAATAACAGTAAGAAATTCAATTTGGTGATGAAGAATGGATTAATGATACATAATCAAAGAATCAAAAGAAAAAATAAAGAAGAAAAGAGTAATTATACTATTTAATCTTAGAAATCAAGAAAAGAAGAAATTTAAGAAATTACCTGAAATTTAGTAGGTATAATCAAACCAAAGTGTTTAAACTTAATAATTTGAATCCTTATAAAAAATAGAAAACCAAAAGTAAGTAGAAATTTAAGAATAAGTTTAAGAGACATTTCTTTGTACAACAACTTCTACTCATGATGATGATGGTGAATTTATTGAAGTAACCAAGAAGAAATTTCATATGAAAAAAAAAAAATAAAATAATAAAAAAGACAAAGAATTAAAAGAAGTCTAAGTTGAAAAATAAGTAATCTTAATAAAGAAATCTAATTCTTCATCTCAAAATTATTTATCTGATGATTAAAAAATGGGAAATTCAACTCCAAAAAAGACTCTATCTTAAAAAAAAGAATAAGAGAATACTTCTCAAAAACCAGGTTTAGTAAAAAGCTTAAGCAAAGACTAAAAAACATATAAATATGATATGGATAAAGATACTCTTAATAATATATATTAGAGCATTTTAGAACATAAAATTTCAAGAGATATATAATTAATATATTAAAAAGAATAAGATAATCTATTAAAATTTAGGACAGCAAGAGAGGTTGCTATACTTAGAGTGTAACACATTATTAAAGCCCATTTCTTTTAATTTCAAGTTGAGCCAGTAATTTTTGGTTCATCAAGAACAGGTCTGGCTTTGCATGATAGTGATGTTGATATGGTCGTTTTTGGGTTACCTGTGTTTACAAAAGTATAACTTTTTGAACCTATGAGAAAACTGCTGGAAGTTTTTTCATAAATGAAATGGGCTATTAGTTACAAGTATTTTATCCTTTTTCACACCTTTTAGACACATATTTCAAGCAAGTATACCATTAATTAAAATAACAATTGATCCTTCTATTGGATTTTTAGAATTTTTAGGAAACCCACTCTATTATGTAATGAATCATAGAAATATCGAATAATTGAATTTGAAATTTGGAGAATAATGTATTGAATTATTTTAAATAAAAGCTTAAAATATCTAAATTGATATCACATTTGAATTATAGTAACCTTACCCCATGTATGGATATTAAGGATATCATATTGGACTACTCTCAACAAATTATCAACGTTAAGTTGGAATTTCAGTAAAAGGATTCACAGAAGTAGCAGTAGTCTTAAAGAAAATCTTAAAATAAAAAGGATTGAATGACTCTTATACTGGAGGAGTGAGTTCATTTTGTTTAACTATTATGTTAGCTGCAATAGGTGAGAATATTTCTATAGGAGATAAATTATTGTAATTTTTGTTAAGATATGGATGGAATTTTGATCCTGAATAATAATGTATTTCATTAAATTCAGAGGAGACTTTTATGCCTATTTAGGATTAAGGAGATAAATTACCTTTGAATATAATTTCACCTATTAATGATGAGAAAATTCAGATCTATGTCTCAAAGATATAAGAAATTCTATAAGTCTTTAAAGAACTATATTTGGAGTTGAAGGAAAATATGAATCAAATAGCAATAAGTCTACAAAAGAAATTAGATTAAAAGGAGTTATTATAATTATATTAAACAAATATTGAGAAGCTTGTTGATCTGATCTAATGGCAGAATACAAATCTTCTTGATAGTCAATTCTGATATTTATTTATATATTTTGTTTATAAATCAATCTATTTATATTATGAATATCTAAGATAAATTTAGAAAAAAAATAAAATAATTTTATTATTAATTTTTCAGTTATTCATTTAATTCTGATTAATTTAATTTGAAATTTTTTTTGTTTAAATTCTGCTTTTCTTCTTTCCAATTCCTTAAAGTAAGGTAATAGAGGGGCAGTATTTTTTATGAGTGTAAAGCCATTTACAATATTATTAAGTTGATTATTAATAATAAGATTGATTAGACTTTCTAATTTTTGTTATTTGATTCTTTATATGAGATCTGATTAAGCATTGTTTTTTTAATTTGTTAGAGGAGTGAAGCATTAAAATTAAGAGACTGTTTTATTAAGTATTGGTGTCGAGGTATTATTGTTATTTGTAGATTTAGAATGATTATGATTTCTTTTTTATGTGCTCACCAATTATGATGAATGTTAAACCATTGTAATTTTTTATTAAGTTCTTGGACATTCTTGACTGACAGTTTTGACTTTTTATTTAATATCATTAATTTCAACAATAGATGTAAAGATCTCAGGACTCCTTTTAACTATGAGAGAAGATTCAGGTTATCTTCTTCTTTGAATAGGTGTCCTATTAGCTTGAATGATTAATTATATTTACTTTATCTTAAGCTTAATAAATCATAGAGTTTAGTTTTAGCAGATGTATATTATTCAAATTTGTATTGATCATAATAGTGAATGGTTTTTTGTTTTTTTTGAAGATTGGTTGGCTAAGGCTAAGGTATTGATTTAATTTCAAGAGCTGATTTTGATTGGATTGTAACAGGTATTTATGGTCTATGATAAAAGGCGAAATCTTTATTCAAAAAATAATTTCCATTTTGAAGCTTCGATTTCATATTTAATTAATAACGTAATTTTGTTTTAATTAGTTTAATTATTAGTTTTTGAAGTACTTTAAAGAAAGAAAAATAGAGATGGATGAATTATTGATGTTCTCAGCTTAAAACAAACTAACCTTTGCTTATAATAGAAATACATTACAAGTTTAGACGGAATTGAAAATAAAAAATATCTCATAGAACATATTAGAAATTCAAATAGAATTGTCTAATCCTCAAAATTATAAAATATATCCAAATAATATTTACATTTAAAAACAAGAAACTAAAGTTGTTGAGATAATATAAATAAATTATGTAGATAAAGATATATTTTGAACATAGGTTCCTATGAAATTAGATGAAAGAGCAAAAATAATGTATAGAACAATTTTAGAGAATTCTACAACTTCAAGAAAAAACATATAGAGTATTTATCATTTTTACAAATACTTCTTTTTTGAATTATCTTGTCATAAATAGTCTTCTTTCAATGATAATAATAGTAGAATAACATAAGTGAGGTAATAAGAATAAAGACAACATTAGATTAGAGTTGAAGTAAAAGAATCTTTAGATTATTGGTAACTAGTAACTCTAACAGTGTCTATTATTATAATAGTAATAGCAATATTTAATTGGTTTTATATTAAAATTATAAAGAATGATTAATGACTTAATTTTAATCTTGGTTTAAATAAAAATTATTATAAATGTTTTTGGGCTTGAGAAGGGTGAGATTCAACTTTGGTGCAGTTTTAGAGCAATATCAATACTTAGTAAGACAAGAGGAGATAGCAAGAGACGAGAGGTAAGTGAATACGGTATGATAAAATAATTAAGGCTAAAAGATTGTCTAATTTGACAGGGTCAATGATCAGTTGGTCTAAACACACTAATAATGGTTGTAATACTCAAAATTCTTGGATGAATTTATTAGAAGAAATTATACAACTTAGTAAAGTTAAGTGTAATAACCATCTGCAAAGTAGTCATCATTCTTTAGCTCTTTGTTCGGGGGATCTCAAACTGTTAGTATTAATGAGACTAAATTATAATCGACTCAATAAGATCATAATCGTCCATTTGTATAATAGATTTAGGGGTTGTATGTATTTGGATCACCAGGATGTGGGAAAACTTATATTATGGATTTATTTTATGAATAATGTTAAATTACCTAAAAGAAACGAATCCATTTTAATGAGTTTATGCTTGATATACAAAAGGATCTACACAAATGTTCTAGTAAAGAAGATCCTGTGAGTAAGGTTGGTACTGCAAAAGCTAAAGATATAAGATTATTATGTTTAGACGAGTTCTAAGTTACTGATATTGGAGATGCATTAATTTTAAAGAGATTATTTGAGACAATGATTAATAACCATATGATTTTGGTTGCAACATCCAACAGACCTCCAGAAGATTTGTATAAGGGAGGATTATAAAGACATCTATTTTTACCATTTATTCCATTTTTAAAATAATCATGCATTATTCACAACATGGACTCGTAAGTTGATTATAGATACTCTTACGTATGAATATTGTGTATTCTAAATAGTCTGAAGCTCAAACAGAAAGATTATTAACATATATTAGTCCTTTGGATGATAATGCTGAATAGACAATGAAAGCAATTTTCAAAAGAATAAGTAAAACAGACAAATTGTAAAATTTGTGTATCTATATATATTAGTTATGAAAAAGAAATAGAAGTAATTGAAGGAAGAAACTTTAAGATAAAAAGATAAGCTAATGGAGTAGCAATGTTTGATTATGAAGAATTATGTGAAGATGTAGTAGGAGCTTCAGATTTTATAGCTTTATGTAGAAATTATCATACAATATGTCTAAAGGGAGTAAAACAAATTAGTATGAGTAATCGAAATGCTGCTAGAAGATTTATATTATTAATTGATGAAATGTATAATCATAAAACAAAATTGTATTGTTCTGCAGAAAGAGATTTGATGAATCTCTTTATTGTAAAGAATAAAGGAGATTAATATGATGAAGAATTTGCTCTTGAAAGATGTAGATCTAGATTGAAGGAGATGTAATCTAAAGAATATTTAGAGACTCCATCATATTATGATTAATAAAAATAATGATTAATTTAAGTATATTATTAATATATATATATATATATTAAATAATCACTATATTATTATTAATTATTATTAATTGTGAAGAGATTATTTCATATTATTATTTTAACCTTTAATTGATTCGAATGTAACTTTTTTAAAAATTGATGATTTCATTGATTTATATCTACTACTATTTTCTCCATTGCTATTTTCACTACTTACAGATTTACTTTTTAATATACTTTTTGGTTAAGATGTATTCAGTAAATAATTATTAGTATTTCTGTACATCTATCCTAATTTATTTTCATTTAAAGAATATATATTTAATTAATTAAGACTTAATTTTTCTTAGATTGGATCCTTAAATTAATCAAATTAATGAGTTAATAAATGATTAGATCGTTATACAATTCTTATTGGTTGATAATCTAAGGTAAATCCAAATTATTTATCTTAAGAATAACTCATACCTTTTTTTGATTTATGATATGTTGAACTTTTATTTACAGATCTTTAAGACTTTTTTGATTAAGTTTCTAATAATTAGATTTATTAATTCTTAATTGGAGATTGAGATTAACTTTTTACAGAGTATAAAGATCCTTTTTTACTTTTTTTCTTTCTTTTCTTATCTCTTCCCAATAAAATATCAAAATTTTAATTTACATATTGGTCATTTTTCATTTATTCTTCAATTTAATCTTAAATTTAAAAGTCACTCAATTTCCTTCTACACTCATTTTAATTCAATGAAAAAATAGATTCATGACATTATTTGAATTTATACTCACTTGAACTAGATTTAATCTCCATTATCCTTTTATAGACTGAAGTACTTATTTCTGTTTAATATGTATCATAGTCTTGTTATTTAAACTTTGGTTTCATAATTCTACAATCCAAATCCAACGATTATTCATCACTTCTTATAGAAATGGAATCTTCCCTACTTATCATTTTTTAATTATCGTAGTATATAAAACTATAAAATACAATAAATTATTTTCAATTGTTGATATAAGAGTAACAAATGTTCCTATTTGGAACACTAAAATAACTATTAAATTGTATTTTCTATTTGGTTTAATATTTATTGTATTTTTTTACATTATTATCTTATCTCTCTATCTCTTATTTATTTTGAGATGTTGATATTGTTGTAAATCCCTTTATTTAATGATTTCTAGTAAATATGTTGTTTGAAATAAACAATTAAGAATATGGAAGAGATTTACTACAAACAAGATAACTACTTATGTTAGTTTAATTTTTAATGTTCTTTCCTTTTTTCAATATTTCTTTTTAATCTATAGATTATAAGGCTTATTTAGTTTTGCTATATAATTATTTTATTTTCTATTCTAGATCATTTTCTTCTTCTGATGAAATATCTGCTGAGGAATTTATATTAAAATGTATAGGTTTTTCAATATCAACTTCGTTAGGATATTGAAGACTAAATGAGAAATCTATAAGATCACTTTGTTACATTATCCAAAATTTAATAATATTACAAATATGTAAATGAAATGTAAATTATAATACCCATTCATATAATTAAACAAAAAATGTGAGTAAATTATTCATATATTTTACAATAATATTTCTTCAATCAATTATTCAGCAGTTTTATGTTTCCCTTTTTACTCAACATATTTAATTATATATTATTCACCTTTTTATGGAAAGAGTTCCAATAATTTTTAAATCTTCTCTTCTTATGGTGTTAATGGATTCTTAGCTGGAGCCTTAACTCTTACTGGAATTTAACCATTAACTAAACATAATTAACCGTTTTCATTTTCAACATATATCTAATTTTTTAGAATTAATTATTTACTTCAAAAATATAACAAAATTAGTCATTGTTTATGAAATGTTGAGCAATGTATGGAATTGAAATCTTAATTGATGCAATACTACCTGGAACAAGGTCTTTAAATCTTTAAGTAACATTTAATCCTTTATTTGTTATATATGGATTAATCCAATTCTTATTACCAGTATTTTTCAATTATAAACAAAGATTAAGATTCTTATTTTGAATGCTAGTAAACTTTGGAATTTTAGTAATCAATTAAAATTTATAATTATTTGGATCAATTTTTTCTTCTTTTATTAATAAACCTAATTCTGTTAACTTTTAATCAATAATTTCATCTATAAGTTATTTTAGTTATTCATTATTTTTATAATCTATTTTATTTGTATTTTAAGCATTATCAATTTATTAAACCTTTGCTTAAGTTCTAGTATTATTAATTAAATAAAATTACCCAATATTGCCTAATAATGGTTTAAATTATTGGCACTAATCTTATTGATTAGGTTAGATGAAGGTTTAAGCATCTTGATTCTTCTTATCTGTTGTTATAATACTTTGATTTAATAAATTCCATGAATCTTTTAAAATCTCTTAATAATTTTGAGTTTCTGTAACAAGTAATTTAATGGAAGGCCATCCTTATTAATGATAAAATAGTTTTAACTATAAAAAAGTAACATCTGAATTGATTTCAGTGACTGCTTCAGGATTTTCTATTAATTTAAGTTTAAAAAATATACATGGATTTATGATTGCAAATAAATGTATTTAGTTCAATTATTTATAAGTATTCTTGATGGTTTCAATTAAATCATAGTAATGAGTAACATTAGATGGTACTTTGTGAATTTTCTTGAGATAAATAAACTTAATGTTTGACATTTAATTAATTATAATATTATATGAATTTTATATTCTCATCATCTTAATTATATATAAATTCTAATAAAATATGATTATAATTATATAGAATATAAACATCTTATCATTATGATTATGAATTTGTAGTAATTTATTTAATTGATAAATTTAGATAAATATATTTATTTCTGTTAAATTTTTAGATGGGAAATCAGATTCAAAAAATCAATAGAAAAATCGATTAATTACTTTTTAAAGCCTATGATTATTTAATAAAAGAGGATGAATTATCAGATAAGACTGTAGATGTACTTTCTACAGATGATAATTTAAATGAAAATTTTGAAGAATCAAAGGAGAGTTAAATTTAAGATTAATGCTAAAGTTTAAATCTATATAGGAATAAATCAAAAGTAATAAATAAAACAACTGAAGATGAATTAGGTAGTAAAAGAAAATCAAAATCTTAATTATTTTCTGATAAAAAGAATAATAAAAAAATTTGTGAAAACAAAGAAAATTATCTATATAGCTGATATTTATATTTATATATATATATATGTGTGTGATATTAATGAGTTTTAAAATTTAGTTATATTTTTTACAATTATGATTAATAAATTATGATTTTATAATAAATTCAATAGAATAAATTAAGTTAAACATATAAATATACAAATCATTCTTAATGACTAATAATATATTCTTCTAAAAATTGTCTTGCTTAACACTTTAATTTCTATTTCTTTTTATAATCAGATTGATATCTACTTTATCTATTCTATGATCCAGATAAAGAAGGCATAAATGTTTAATTTTATTATGGTAAAATTGCATTTGTTTATGATTATGAAACAATATTATAGAAATGTTGATATGATGTTTTTAAATATGGATTTGGTGTCTAATTTGTATGTCTTTTATAATGAGCTTCTCTAACATAATGATCATTTTCTAATTAAGAACTACATGCTCTAAAATGTTTATTGTAAGTAGTTTTTTAAGTCATTGGTAAGTTTATAGAATGATCAACTTCAATAGGTTTTAACATTTTAGTTATATCTAATATAACTTTTAATATTTACTATTTGGTTATTATTTGAAATTTGCTCTATAAGAAGTCATCTCAACAACAGGTGAATCATTTTTCCAGTCTTAAGAAGAGGGTTTAAAATTTTCAGTTTTCTAAATGTTAAATGATTGAAAATTTCTTTAGTAGGTAGAAGATCTAAAAACTTATTCAAAATTTGACTAGTATTCTACTTTTTAAACTGGTTTTGGAGGGGAAGAATATTTCCACATATATTCTCTTTTATAATTTGACAGTAATATTTTGGGATAATCATAAGGTTGTTAAATCATTTAACATTTACATTAACCACATAAACAATCAGCACATACACATGTACCATCAAGATGTGAATAATTTCTAGATTTTTACATTCTAATTTCTTTGATTCTTTATTCAATTGTACTTGTTGATCTTGGCTTTGACATAAATTTAGAATAATTTTTATTTAAAATTATTAACTCCAATAATTAAATGAGATAATCATAGAACTTTACTATTATATGATGTTCTATGTATATAAGAATATAAACACTTCATTATTCTTCAATTAATACAATGGAATAAATATATTTATTAATATTAATTAATTCATATAAGGAAGAATTAATACATGAAATTATTAATAAATAATATCATTGTCAATGATAGGTCCAAAATAATTATTACTAATTCCCTTAAAATATTATTAAAATCATGAAGATTAGAATGTATAATGTTTGGATGATTTTGAACTTAAAATTTAATCAAATGAAGAATTTTCTACTACTCATATTATTTAAACTTAATATTCTCATAAAAAAGTATAGAAGATTGATAAAAAAGTTAAATTCAATCCAACTATCATCAGTTATAAATTCCGTGAAAGTGAACCAGCTATTACAATTTCTAAATAGATGAAGAAATTAATATAAATGTAACCAAATTTAAAATGGATCAATCCTAACATTTAAGTATGAAATTAATATGATCTTTATTATTTTCACTCCTCAACTTATTAAATTTTTATAATATATATGACAATTTACTAAAAATAATTCAATCTTAGATGTTGAAAATTAGATAAATATATAAATAAATAAATTATTATTTCTAATTATTATATCAATTTTTTATTTAACAAATACTAAATATCTAAAATTACTATATATTATAATTAATTATATATATATTTATTTTATTTTTGTTACAATATTTATAATAACTAAATTTGAAATGTCATTAGATAATTCAAAGTTATAAGATTAATAAGAAGATATAAGATCAAATGATTATTTATCTGAATTTTAATACAAAAAGAATCGACCATCATAAAAAGATTGGTCAAATAGAACTAATAAACCATTAAATAATAATAAATTGTAAGAATAAATACAAAGTGAATTCTTAAGCAAACCATAAAGTTAAAAGGAGGCATAAATTTAACATAAAAAAAATGATACAATTTAATTGTATCCTTCTCAAAAAACAAATTCAAATAGAAATTCATTGGCTGAATAAGAAAAATAAGAAATTTAGTTTCAATTAAATTAAATAAAAAAGGAGTAGGAAAATTAAATACAATCATAAGCTCGTAAGAATTCACAACTTAAAATTTAGCCTGTTTTCAATATCAATATCTAAATTACTAAAATTTATCCTAGATCTTCAAAATCTTTAGATGTTGCTTAGAATTCATACAATAGAACAGAGAAAGAATTAAAGTAGTTAAAACCAATTCAATAAATTTAATCTAATATATTCTAATCATAAAGCAGGGAAATTATCAATAGAAGTTCAAATAATCAAACCCAAATTTCAGATTTTGATAAAGTCAATTCAGTGATTTACCCCAGCCAATCATAATTAAGAACTTATGAAATTAGATTTGGAATGTAGAATGATCCTAAGTTATAAGAGAAACAGGATATTTTATCTGATATTCATGAATAATTAAAATAATTGACTATTACATCAAGTAGTAAAAAACATTCAATTTTGGAAGATGCTCTTTAATTGTGTTTATTGTTATTGCCAGATTTAAGAGGATTTGACCGACATATTATTTCAAAATAATTTTATGAAAAAATGAAGTGTGTGTATTAATTAGAAAGAAATTATTAAGCATTTGTAAGAAGGTAAATATTATAATTAAATAAATAAATAGATTCTATCATTTATCAATATTTTCAGAAAGTTGGACTACATAAAATATATCAAAGATGTGTGAAATAATAATGAAAAATTAATAGAGTACACTTTAATCATATCATATAATTTATAATATAAAAGACAAAACAATTGAATTCCCATCACAAAATTCGAATAAGAAGATACCTGAAAAACCTAAAGCAATTCAATAAATAATACAAAATTAATAAAAAAAAAGAATTGTTTTATCATGTAAACAATTTATTAATAATTAGTAACTACTAAAACACTTTCTTAATATGTAAATCTTTCTGCTAAGGAAATTGATGAAGATATTTAAGAATTTGATGATGAATTGTAATTTGTTGAAATGATTCTGAAATTAATTCCTCTCGCTTTATGATTATATTTATTTATAATTTAAAATTGTATAATAATTTATTTATAAATTTTAGTTGAACAACTATATTTATTTATAATTGCATCTTTATAGGATAGAATAATTTATTTTTATTCAATTAGTTTTAAAATATCTTAAATTTATTCTTATATGAATAAGGAACTTAAATATATAAAGAATATAAATATTACTTATTTACAAGATGAGGTTTTATTCATAATGAGGAAAGAAGAATATTACTAGAATATTATCAATTTGAACAAAAATATTCAAATTTGTTAAATGATTGATTCATTTTAACTTTATTTATGTGCAATTATGATTAATTATAATTAATAATTATAGTAAGATATAAGTTTAATTATTGATTCATTTATTTGTTAAGAACTTATATGTATTATTATTATTTACTAATTATCAATATGGTTACAATTTTGTATATAATTTAAAATTAAAAGTTAATAATTCTTTAGATGATGAACACTTTGATTTTATTATAAGATAATAGATTAGATAAAATATGATAATATATTAATATTCTAAATTTGATTAATGATTTTTCAATAATCCCATATGAATTTAATTAATATAACAATACAAATACATATGTTTAAGAACATTATATCATAATTATAAATTTAAATTAGTTCTTCATTGAAAATGATAGTTAATATATGAATTGATATTTAAAATCTTTATGAGTATCTTTCAATTAAAAAATTAAATTCTAATATATATTAAAAATCATTTTTTAGTACAAAATAGAAAAAGTTAATCAGTATTTCTAATTATTCTTTCTTCTTTTGAGAATAGTTGAAGTTTTAATTGACTTTAGTTTAGGAACCGTAACAATTCTTTTCAAAAGAGAATCATAAAAGTGAAAAGTAGTTTATTCAATAGCCAATTCTGAAGTATCAAAATCCTCAAAGTTTAATATATCATCTTCAACTAATTTAATGATAGTTTTGACAGGAGAGTTTCTGCATGTGTCTAAAGTAGATTCTCGACTCATTTAAAGAGATGATTTATAGTGCGTAGATTCAGAGCATCCCATATAAATTTAATAATTATTAATGTCATTCTGATGATGCAGTATCTAATTATAATATTAATGTTAATTATATTAAATTAATCATAACATAGTGAATCACTAATTCTGTAAAATGAGTTAACTTTACATATTTAAATTTTATTGTCATCTAAGAATTTAAATTTGTTTTGAATTAATATAATTTATTGAATATTACATATATTATTAGATTTACTATAATCCAAACATTTGTTTAGTTAATTATTATATTAATATACTAATAATTGAAATAATCAAATATATTCATATCTAATTACATTTTAATTGTATTGAAGAATATTATTATAAATAAGTTAATCCTTTATTAAATTTTTGTATTTAAAATAATCATTTTTTTATATTAACTCTTTTGAAAAACAAAAAAATATTAAAATAATATTCAATATAATCTCAATTAGTAACCATACACATCATTAAGTAATTGTTAAGCAAAACCTACACATTCTTGATAATCTTTATCATTGAATTAACTTAGTTTTCGTATTAATTCAATAACAAAATTACTAGTAATAAATTCTTTGATTTTTTATTTCATATCTGGTAGATTTTAAAAGAAATGAGAGCAATCAAATATACAACATAGAGTTAATCTTACATATTCCTAAATTCATATTTAATATATTTACAATAGTTGGTTTTAATTTTAAATTACACATTTCTTAACAAAATATAATAAACCATTAAACTGTATCACCTAATTCAAAAATAGGAGTTTTTGGATCACAATATGCATGTAATATACATGTATAAAATGCAGTCATTGTTTCTTTCAATCTTTCAGCATAATCTTAATCAACACTTAATTTGCTTTTTGTTAAATCTATACTAGCTGCAAATCCTAATTTAAGTATCTCTTTTAGATCATTAATAAATGGAATTGATTTATCTTTTAAACCTAATATGATATCTGCAATTGCATTATAAACTTATATTTTCAATTCTCTATTAAAACTAACATTCTAATTATAATCATATTATTTAGATACCTTTATTAATCCAAAGAAATAATTTAAAATATTCATATAGGGTACAAATTCTTCTTCCATTGCTCTAGCTATATCAGATAAACAGAAGAGTGCAGTTTTAAAACTATCCATATCTTCTGGTTCTGAAAGTGGTTTATTTAATTCAGTAATGATTTAAGTAGAATATTTAGTTAATTTCTTTTTAAATGCATAAGCAATTCCAGATAAAACATAAAAGTAATCATTCTTAACTCTAGAATCAACTTTAGATAGAGTTTTCATTATATCTTCAAATTATTAATCAGGAGTAGTAGAATCATCTAATCTTACAACACATCCATGCATTGCACTCATTAATCCCATTTCAAGATGATATTTAATTTCAATTGGTACTTAATTACTACTTTCTAGTAATTAAATTTATTAATAAAATTGTAATAAGTAATCATTACATAATTTAGTTTCAGTAACACTATAAATGATATTTAATATAGCCATAAATGCAGTATCAATGAGTGAAATTTCAGAATTTTTGATATCAGATCTAACTGATGTACTAGCTAAATGTTATAATATAGTGAATTTCTCTTATGTAAAGACACTATTTTAAAAATTAGTTAATCCTTCAGTTAAGTAAACAAAGACCCAAACTAAATTTTGTACAATAGAAATTTTATTAGATAATTAATCTAAAAGAGTAATAAGCATTTATTTAGATTAATCATGTTCATGAAAGCATTATGGATAATTTTCAGCTATTCTACTTAAAGTAAGTGTAGTTGCTTTTTTTACTTTAAAATTTTAATCAATAAGACAAGTAAATATACTACTTAATGCTGATTTAATTAAAAGACCAATCTCTTCAGTTTATACTTCAGCTAAAGCTCCAAATGCCATAACACTTGCTTTTCTATATTCCCATTATTAATGAGTTATAGTATTTTAAATAAAATTTTTAACAGCATCATATGTATTATTACCAGCAAATTCAATTATATAGGCTAAACCTTTACTTGAAGAATTGGGTACAGATAATCCTTGATATTCGTCATCTGCATCTGCATCATCCAATAATAGATTACGCATAAATGGAATAATAAATCCTTCATAATTTTTCTTAAAAAATTAAATACAACAATCAACTGAATTAGTTTCTGGTGTTTATTAATTTGTATTTTCAATTATAGTTTCTTTTATTTCTGCACATATTGTATTCCAAATTTCAATTGCTGCTATAGTTATTTCTCCTTAATTCTCAAAAACAACTTATGTAGTTTAATATAAATCTGAAATGAATACAGGTAAAAATGCAAATAATTATTTAACATAATCAATTAAACATTATAAAGATTTAAGTTTAATCTCTTATATGTTTGACATAGCATTTTATAAAATTAAATTTTTAACAAAAGTAAATATTTCCTACAATAGAATATTATAAAAAAACTTACTTATTATGTGAATAGATTATTCATAAAGTAAAGTGAATCTTATAATGCTTTTATTGCAGTGATTCTAATCTCTACATTTTATTCATTTGTATCCATTCCAACACAAATTCCCATCAAAATCACTTTAGCATCTTATTCTGAAATACCTGAAGATTAATGATTTTTCTATTATATATAATATATATATATACCAATGATTCACATATATATCCTAAAGTCATGATAGCTGATACTTTTACTAAGACATTACTATGTTTTGAGTTTGTAGTTAATCTTGATATAAGATCTGGCCATTCTTAGCGTGGTAATTCAATAGCACATATCTCACTTATAGTCTAGAGTATAGAATTGATATATTTACATTAGCAGCTGATCTTCTAATCTCATGTTCAGGATCAATTAATTAATCCATGAACTTAATTTTTACTTCATTTTTAGTATTTTAAGAACAAGCTAACCACATGATTTAATTTGAAGGATGCTTAAATATATTAACTATAAATCATTACAATTAAACCAACTAATCGTTTTACTAAAGTACTGCATGCAATACGAACACGATTCTGAATTGAACGATTTGCAAATGCAGATGCACAATACACAAGAAATTCATCTGTATATTCATCCTTATACTTTAAGAGTACTTATTCAGCCTATCCACGTGAATTATTGCTATCAAAGAATGCACATTGCACTAAGTCTATAAATTGTTGTGGCTACATTTTGTGTTTAATTTTAAAATAAATTGTAAATTATAGTTTACTTAAGTTCTCAATATTAGTTTATATAAATAATGTTTATTCTTAAAATATAATACAACTAATTATTTATAAAACAGAATCATATTTATTTTACATTCATCATATAGATAATAACAATATATAGTAATTATTATTTGATATAAAATAACATATTGAAGATTATAAAATATATTAACTGTTTAATCAATTAATTCTTCCTTTTTTGTATTATATAATCATTATTTGAGTCAACTTTTATTTATTCTCATATATTTTGGATTATCATTACTAATTGTTTTTATTCATTCTTAAAAAGATAAATAATTTTATATTATCTAAGATAAATGAAATCTCAAAACATTAAAATCTAAACTTTATGATATGATTCCTATTTTTACATTTGTTATTCTATTTACATAAAAAAAATCTATTATTGTATATTAAGTTGATGTTCTATTAATAATCTTTTCATTATATATATGTAAACTATATTCAAGATTCTTATACTATTTAACAAAATAAGAAGAAATTCAATAAATAACTATGAAATAAAATTTAAAAAATAATTGCAAATATAACTTAATTTAAACTTAATATAGTAAGAAAATAGGAATGTTTTGTTTTATGTTAGAATATTTAAGTATAATGGGAATATAAATCATGGTATAATATAAAACTTTTCAATTATTGTTGATTAATGAATTTGATGTATAATAAACTTTAAATAAAAGAAAATGGTAGAGATTTAAAGTAGAAAAAGGATAGGATTCATATAAAAATAATGTAAAGGAAGTGAATAGATATTTAAATTAATTTAGAAGTAGTGATTGAATATAAGCTTACAACAGTAAAGGTTGCTATGAAATGATTTGGGATAATTGAATATATAATTCAATTTGCAATGGAGGATTTTTAAGGTGTGGCAGTTTTATTACGACATAGTTATTCTTGTAAGGCATCTTTAACATCAGACTGTAGTTTAACTTACTTTCTGACAGTTTTTGTTTATCTATATTCATCTAGAATTAGATGGGCTTTAATTCGTTATTCCTTCTCTCTCTATTCTTTATTAAATGTGGATTCCATCATCATAGTTTTCTATTGGCTTACTTTTTCAGATGTTATTGTGCATCCCATATTTGTTAATAATTATATTATATATATATATAATTGATGATAGATATATAATGTATATAACTATTTGGATATGCTTAATAATATTAGAGATTAGGAATAATTGTCAGATAAGCATATTTATAATTGAATATAATTAATTTAATTAAATTCTTCAATGTGACTCTGCCTGTCTTACTGGAGTGAGTTCTCTCCTATCCAATCAACAATAATCATTTACTTCTTCACCAAAAATTCTTAAAAGACTTTCTCATCACATTTCTCTAAACAATCTTTCATTCTATGTACCCATCCTTTTTGATGTGCTATTCTTATACCATTTTCTGATTGGAAATCCTTCACATTAATTTCAGATGAAATCTCTTTAGGTTTCTCTTAAATATCACATTTTTCCAATACATATTATAAAGCTGAACCTTAAACAAAAATCTAAATTTATAATTGCATATTAAATCATATATTACATTTAAAGCAATTATAACTACTGTCATTGTTAATATAATTTCTCCTTCTTCTTTAAAAGTATCAGCTGCATCTAAAGCCAAAGCATAAGCCATTGCACCTCTTAATCCACAAAACCACATTGCTTTTTGATGATTTGGTTTTATAAAATTATCATGACGATATCTATTGAGTATAAAACTAACAATTTTTATATTTATATATCTAGCCACTATTACAATCAATATAGAAGATATAGCCAAAACTATTCCCATTTCATTCCAAGCTAAATCATAACCAACTACACCTATCCCTATAAATAGAAAGACTAAATTTTCAAAATTGTAAGACAATATATGATAGAATTTATTTAATAACTAAAAATAGAAATCTTTTTTATAATTTACTTCTTTTCCACTTTCAGATAAATTAGGTAAAGCATATTTAGCCATAACAATACCACAAAATACAATACTTACTATTCCTGAATAACCAACAGCTTATGATATTAAATAACAAACCCATGGAATTATTACAGTAACTGATACTTCAATATGTTCTGTTTCATAAGAAACTTCCTCTTTTACTTTCAAAATCTATTATATTCTATTATCAATAAATACATATGCACATAAAACACCAATTATTATACCTATTGCAATTGATACTATAAACATTGTTAAAAATTATTTCATTGCTTCCCCATAACCAACAACTTCTTAATTCCAAATTCTTCCAGATATTCTAAAATTAATTATTCATTAAATCAAATACTCATATAATAAAAGAGAAATTGCATCATTAAGAATACTTTCTCCATAAAGTAGAATATGAATATGTTTATCAGCATCTAATTATTTAAATATTGCTAACACAGCTACTGGATCAGTAGAGGATATTAAAGATCCGAATGCATAACTACTAGTTAATGATAATTTCTAAAATTTTGCATTAATTATAATTTATATACTTAGATAAGTAATCCAACCAATTATAAACTAAATGCTGTTACAAATGTTGCTATTAAGGTACCAATTACTGCAAACATTACAATACTACCAAAATTTTAAAAAAACAATGCCTTCTCCATATTAATTGAACTTTCAAATAATATAGGTGGTAATAAAACAATCAAAAAGAATTGACTAAATCCTTATCTATATTCTTATAAAAGTGATGATTTATCAATAAATAATAGAAATAATCCTGCTGCTATACCTATCAATGCTGTTATTATGGTATTATTTAAGTAATTTTTTAAGTATCTATTATTCATCCAATAATTAGTTAAAACTTCATTTATCACAAGCAAAGTAAGCATAAATAATATGGCATTACATAATATTTATACATCCATAATTTTATATAATTATTAAATTAAGAATTTAAAATAATTTAAGTCAAAGGATTCATGATTATTTTGATTAATCAAAGACAAAGATTTTCTCATTGTTTGATTGATACTCATATCCAGCAAATTATTATTAAGCATTTGGATCTCTTAACAACTACATATTTTATGCAATGAGTTCAGCATTCTCCTCATCTTCAATGACAATCTATCTTTAATCAAAATTATCATCACTAGGATTAGGAACAAAGGGAGCCTTTAATTCCCTATTTTATAGTTTTGACCATGGAAAGTTTTTAAACCAAGGATGTAATTTGATTTCATGGCCACCATTGAAACCGAGACGACTGGTTGGTTTGCGTTGGAGCAGCCGATTCACAAAGTCTACAGCTTCCACGCTCCAGTTCTGAGGTACTTCACTAGCCTTGATTTAGACTTGTCGAGCAAGAATTTAATCACGAATCTCTTGACGAGATCTACCAACATAAGGACGCTATAATATAGAATATAATAATTTACTCTTCCTAACATAAATTCATAGGCTATTACTCCAAGTGCATAATAGTCAACAGCAAATGTATGATTTTATCGACACATAACTTCAGGTGCTTATTATTAATTTATATAATAAATATAATACCCATATATCCAGGAGTTCCAGAAGTGTCACTTGAATTCTCTTATTTCATAACACGAGCAATTCCTAAATCAGTAATATGCACAAATCCTTTTTCATCGAGGACTAAGTTTTCTGGTTTAATGTCTCGATGAATAATATTATTTATATGTAAATACTCGAGACCAATAAAGATAGATGCTACAAAGAACTCTGAAATTTTATAAAATACTTACTAGTTTGTTCTTCATTGAAACGTCGCATTCTACCAATATGAAATCGCAAATCACCTCCACACATATAATCCATGACTAGATAAAGGTTTTCACGATCTTGGAATGCATAGTACATATTGATGAGAAATGTATGTTTAAGTTAACTAAGTAGCATTCTCTCATTCATAACAGAATTTACACTTTTCTTTGTGATTACAAGTGCTTTAGACATCTCTTTCATTGCATATTATTGTCCTGTTCTTTTAACCTTCCACACTTTTCCAAACCCTCCAATACCAATTACATATTCAAATGTGAAAGCTGTCTTGTTTATTAATTTTGTATCTGTAGCTTTTGGACTTACTACTTCTGCTTCCTTGTTCACTTTTCTAACTTATGCTGAGTCATTCCGAATATGAATAGGTCCTGTTGGAGTTTTAGCTGACATTGCAATTGCACGAGCTTTGGCTATTAGTTGAGTCATTGAGTCTTTTGATCCTTCAGATGATGATTATTTCACTTTCTATTGTTTCATTAATGTTGCTAATTTCGTTAAATCAATTGAAGAGTTTTTATGAGGATAGAGGGCTTTTGGTAAACTTACTTGAGTAGGAGATACAGCAGGACTTTAAATTGTATATTAAGAAGGACTCTTCTATTTTAACAACAAAGTATTGATAAGTTTATTATTGGGACTGCTAGCCTAACTCATCTTTGGAGTTTGCTTCATCATATTAATTAATGAATATAATTGAATTAAGAGTTTATGGAATATAAACAATATTCTTTTATAGTCATTAGATAGAAATAAACAAATGTATAAGAAATAATAGGTTATGAGACCCTTTGTTTGAATCTTACAAATATTGTTGAAACAAATCAGAATGTAATAAAGAAATTAAATCTAAGAATTTATGATATTTTATTTGAGCAAGATAAAAAGATTATGTATTCCTATCAACATTAAATTTATTGATACTTTTTAAGTAAGTTTAGTATTTTATTAATCGGGATGTACATTTTTTAATTTAGAAGAAATTTGTTATCTCATTCATTATTTAATATTGAAGAGTATTAAATAGTTTTCAAAATTTGATTTTAGATTACGATAAAGAGATTTTCTTAATAATCAATACATTTCTTCTTAAAAAAAAGAAAAAAATTATATTGACCAAATTAATTTTATTTTCATTAATATTCAAAAGGAATATCAAACTATAAAAGATAAAACTCGTTTTTTTAATTTATATACACAATTAGAAATTAAATTAATAAAGGATGAAATAAAATTGTAAAAGATGATGGTACAAAAAATATCTATTATAATAGTTTATTAAAAATATATGAATGGAAATATTTATGTATGTTTAAGATTATATATATAATAATGAATTTAAACTTAATATAAACTAAGTAAAATAGTATAAATGATTGAATTAATATAAAATAAAGATAAATATAAATATTAAAGTAACTATTTAATTTTGATCATTGATATGATATGAATATAAATTAAGTAAGTATTGATATATACTTTATCATCTATATGAATAAATAATTAATATTGTTATTTAATGAATTTAAAAGTTTATATAATAGACTATTCTATTATAATTATATATTAAATAATATAAATTCAAATTTGATTATTAACAATGTCAGATTAAGTGAAAGAATTAATTGAGGAAATGATTCCTAATGTAAGAATATTTACAATTAATTTAAGATTAGAGAAGAAATCATTAAAGAGTTGAAACCTTAATATGAAACTCAATTTTAGGAGTAATTGAATTAAGCCAAATAAGAAATTACAGGTTCATAATTCATTAGTAATTAATTGGCAGAAAAACGAAGAGAGGTTTTTCATTTCATATATAATGATAGCTAGCATAATAGATTATGAATTAAATTGAGTAGGAATTTGAATAAGAAAAACAATCTTTGATTCATAATGTTTCTGTAAGTTTAAGTAAAAGTAGATCAATGCAAGTCTTGGAATAATAGTATTAATTTATTAGAATAGATTAGATTGAGATAAAAAATATAAAAAGAATATACAGGTTATGTAGAAGAAGAAGTGAGGAAGAAAATTCATTTAATCAAATTGAATTGTTAAAAAAGTTATGAAGAAGATAGAATTTAGATGAAAAATTAAATGACTAATGAATTTACTGAAAGATTATAAATTCATTTAGATCAGCTTGAATAAAGTATTATCCATTTATAGTTCCAAAGCAAAATCTTAATTGACCGTTGACTATTAGAATTAAAGAGAGAAATTATTAAGAATAGAAGCTGAAACTAAATAATTCTAATCTTAAAAAGAAAATCAAGAAAATACATATGGATAACAGATATAAGAAATACATGAATAGATTAAATTATTACAAGATTAATTATCATAAATTAAGGCTTTAAAACATTAAGCTATTAAAATAAAACCTCAAAAAAAGGAAATAATTTAACCTTAACAATAAGATACATAATCTTAATTATCACCTTATCAATCAGCTATAAAAAATTAAGTTCTTTAAGAATGTTTAATTTATGAAGGATTAAATATAGCCAATTTTGATGAATTGCCAGATTTATTTCATTTAGAAATTAAATAAAATGGAATTGATTCTAAGTAAACAGCTTAAAATCTGATTCCATAATATGAATCAAATCATATTTAAAAATCAGAAGTAGCATAAACTATAAATACTTAAATTAATACTCATGATAGTTAAATTATTTCATTCAATATATCATAACCATCAATAGTTAAGAATACTATTAATCAAACTTAAAATAATACAGGTTCTACATAATAAAAGTAATAGATTTCTTAACAATAATAAATTTAAAAGTAATCATAAATTTAATAAGAAAAAGAAAATGATCCTTCTATATAAGGAAATTATAATTTTCCAAAACGATCTTCACACTCTCCTAATTAATAAAGGAATAGTTAAGATGAATAATAAACTAAAAAATCTTCATTTATTAATTAATCAACAATAATAGAGAAATTAGAAAATTTGTGTAAAGAAAAGATTAGATAATCTCAAACAAATTCCAATTAAAGATAATCTAAAATATTATTACCTTAAGATCATTTTGAAGAGCTCTTTTAGATAGATTCAAAAGATAATCAAACAACAAGAAATATTAAATTATTAAGATAAGAGCTTTAAACAAAATTTTTAGAAGATATATAATTAGAAGATTATTATTTCTAATAAATAAGTTTCTTTAAATTAAATTTTGTTTAATAATATCCAAAAAATTAGTAATCTTAAGTTACAGAAAAGATATAATAATTAATATCAATTTGGAATAAAGGTCATTTATCATTTTCAGAAAGAATAGATTATATTAAAAGAATTATTAATAGTTCAAATTCTACTTATGAATTAGAATAGATTTTAGAAGAATGTTTAATGTATTATTAATAAAGTAAATTTATATAAAATATAAAAATTAGATGAATTATTAATAGAGAAACTTTAATAGAGATAATCATTTAGATCTTAGATAATGAAAGAAAATTATTTATGTTAAAAAAATAAAAAAGTTTTTGCAGCTTTAAAAAGTTTAACTTATGAAATTAAATGTTTACTTAAATATAAATTCTTTTGGAGAGAAGTTGATGTTGATTAGATTATTATGATTGATTAGTTTGAATAATAATTAATAGATAGAGAAGAAATGAAAGAAGAAATAAAAAGGAAAGTCGAAAAAAAGTTTAAATGAATAATTTTACAATATTATTATCTACTCCTTTATTAAAATTGTCTTCCTTATTAATGTTTAATATATAAAAATGAATTTAATTTATTTTTATTTATCTAGATTTTTCATATATAATAAAAGTATTAAAATTTTATTAATTATTTATGATTATTTATATTCTAATTATAAATTCTATTTTATTGATATAATTTGAATCAAATGAATTATTTTATTTTCTTATTGATATAATAAAAGTATTAATCTAAATATATTCCATTATTTATTATTTATTAATAATCATTAATAAATAATGAAAGTGGTCAATATATTTTATTTATTTAATTAATATATGACAACATTTTAAGAGAGGTTTAAAGGTAAAACAACAGTGATGGGTAGAAATGGATTAGAATCAGTATTGAATTCATGTCAATAGCCCATCAAAAAGGAAGTTGATTGTATGATTATCAAATAATCAAGAACAAAATAAACCACCTCCTATTTATTAGACTCTTTAATAATAATAAAAAAATATTTAAATACCTTCAATAAAAATTTAATACAATAAATAGACAAATAACTAAACATTATATTAATATAATCCATATATTGGATAATAATAAATACAAGATTCACTTTAATACTTAAGCTAATAATAATATTTTTAGCCAATTACAAATTATCAAATAGCAACAGAACCATAAAATAAAGAGGATAATCAATCAAAATCAGCCAAATAAAAAATAGAATCAGCAGATAAATCATAACGCTATAAACCTTATACTTTAAAAGATTATGAAATTATGAAGAAGACTGCTGATGCAAAATTAGGTGGTTTAGGTCCAAATTTAAGTGGAGATGAATGGGTAAAAGAAAAAGAAAAAGTATTAAAACGTTAAGAATTTGCAGAATAAGTAAGATAATTCAATTCTACAAACATTATAACTACAAGAATAAGTGAAACAAAGTAATCTGAAACTAATTCAAGGTATAATAATATATAATTTAGAATAAAAGCAATGGATTTTGCTAGAAATATTCCAAAACCATAAATTAGGAAAAAAAATGAATAACAAATTAAAAGTATTCCAAATAAACTTTCAGATAATAATATAAGTAGAGATCCTTTTGATGATGAAATTGGTCGTTTAGAAAGAGAACACTTAAAATATTTAAACTAATTGGATAAAATGAAATGAATTTTATATATTTATAAATAACTAATGAGTCTTGAAGAATTTGATGCATTCACATCCTTAAAAGCATTAAGAGATTTGAAAAAGTAGATTGAAGCAAAAGCCTAAGTAGACTAGAAATCAAAAGCTGCATTACAATATATATAGAAAGCACAACCTTTAAGTTAATACGATTTGAGAATACAATTTTAGCATTGGCTAGCAAAATTAGGAGATTTAAGCACTAAATAAATTGCTTATACTAATATATTTTAATTGGTCTAATAAAACTAATCCTAACCGAATCTATAATTATTAATAACTTGTCTTTAAACACCAATAAATGGCAAAGGAAGTGAAAGCATCATCAAAACTATTAACATTATTGTAGGAATTTATGGAGATACTATTTCTGTTACAGACATTTATAAATTTATAGAAATTATGCTTAAATACTTTAATGTATGTAATAAAGATAATTCTTAGGATTCTAATAATAATGTTTAGATGGCAATTAGTGAATGTTGGTCAAATATTTATATCAAAAATATATCCAAAAAGCCAGTTTAATAAAGAGTATTGTTGATGTATTCAACTCTAAGTTAATTAATTGGATCTGGAGGTAGTAGACAAACATAAGAAACTGCTACCATTGTCTTATCATAATTATTTGAAACATTAACTACTGCTTAAGATTTATCATTCATAAAGGATGTTGTCAAAGATTATTTAGGAATTTATTTGGTATTTATTAAATTAACAAGAAATAACAAATAGATCATTCTGGATTTTATACTATTATGTTCTATATTTTAAAAACATTATAAATATAAAGTTTTACAAGTTAGTAAATCCAAGTTATCGATAAGACTCTTTAAGGAATTAATAATTAAAAACTAAATTATAGAGTAATAATTAATAAATCATTTTATTTTAGACTAGAGTAGGAGCATTAAATCTAATGAAATTAATTGCTACTCAGTATTAGAATTCTAATTTCAAAATTGCCTTAGGAAATTTACATGAATAAGTTATCATTGTATTAGAAGATTCAACAAGAGATAGAGTTATTGCAGTTTAAAATGCTGCTAGAACAGCTCTTAAAGAATGGATGAGACTTAAATTATAAGTTGATTGTGAATTAATTCCTAATCCTGTTTCTCTTGATTAATCTCCTGGTTTCTTAAAAAAATAAAGTGGATCTGGAGGAGGACAAGTTTATGTTAATCAAAAAATATCAAATTAATAATAATTTAAATAAGATATTAAGTAAGCATTAATTGAAGATTAATTTGAAAATACTGTTGATTATTCTAATATTGTTCATGAACCTAATCTTAATGTATGGTAAAAGGCTATGAGACTTTAATAAGATGGATTATTAGAAGATGCTGTTGAATTATTACTACATGAAGGTGATGATCTATATTTAATCAGATTTTTGATGAGTTACAAAAATTACTCTCAATTATTTGATCATCTTTCAAATTCTTTAGCATTAAGATTAATTGACACTTTAATATTAATCTTAGAATCTGATTTCCTTAACATTTTATGTTTAGATTTCATTCAATAATTTATTGATTGTGGATTGGGAGATTGGTTTAAAGACACTGATTTTACAGATTATTTAGAATATAACACTGAATAAAACTTGCCCTCAACTCCTTTATGTAAAAAAGTTAGAGACTAATTGAAGTGATTATATATAAATATTAAATTAAATTTTCCTTTGAATGGAATCCCAAGACCAGACAAGTTAAAAATCCTAAAATAAAGAGATCTAAGAAGTATTTTTATCTTTTCTACAGAAACCATTGTCAATTTCCTCCTCAGATGATTGCATTGAAATGAAATCACAAGATTATAAAGGTTATAAATTTACTATTTAGTGAGCATTCTAAAACAAAAATTAAGAAATAAGTAACAAATATATTCGCTAACTAAAATATTATTTGGATTTCGATTTGATTTTCAAAAAGCTGCTTGTTTAATCTGTAAAGAAGAAGGCCATGTTAATTGTTGCCAAATTAATTTTCAAATTGATAATATTTATAAAAAATGAATGAATTCTTTTAAGTAAGTATCACTAATAAATCATTTATAGATGTTTCTTTAAATGTTTTATCTTTAAATCATTAATTTTAAACATGAAAACATAATAATAAAACTTTAATAAAATATTTTACTATTTAATAAGAAACCTTATGATTTTTAAATCTTAATAAATTTTTAATCTTATCTTATATAAATTTAATTTGTTTCTTAAGTCTTTAAATTTTATATAATTTTTTTTTTTGTTTCTCTAAATAATTTAGTAAAAATTCCCAAAAATTTTAATAAAAATTATTTACATGGAAGTCTAATAATCTTTGACTGTTTGTGTTACTGGTGCTGCAGGATAAATTGCCTACAGTTTTATTCCTTTGCTTTTGTCTGGTTAAGTTTTTGGATAGGTTAAAATAAATTTGAGATTATTGGATATTCCTAAGATGGAAACAGCATTGAAAGGAGTTGTCATGGAAATTGAAGACTGTGCATATCCTTTAATTGGAGATATATAAACAGGTTCAAATCCTAAAGAGTTATTCTAAAATTGTGATTTAATTGGTAATTCTAAATTTTATTGTAGTATTTTTGGGAGGATTTCCTCGTTTACCAGGAATGGAAAGAAAGGATTTATTACAAAAAAATGCCAATATTTTCAAAGAATAAGGAGAAGCATTATAGGAAGTAGGAAAAGAAGATGTAAAATGTGTAGTTGTTGCCAATCCTGCAAATACAAATTGTTTAATTTTAAGTAGATACGCAACTAAGTATATTATTAATTTTAACTTAGAATTCCTCGTTAAAATTTTACTTGTTTGACTCGTTTAGATTAGAATAGAGCATATGCTTAAGTTGCTTTAACCTTAAACAAACCATTAAATAGTCTTAAGAATATCATTATTTGGGGAAATCATTCTACTACTCAATATCCTTCAATTGAACATGCTACAGTTGAAGGATAATCTTTTGTATTACCAGATTAGGGACAATTTATAGAAAGAATTTAAAAGAGAGGAGCTGAAGTTTTGAATGCTAGAGGCAATAGTAGTGTTTTCTCTGCTGCTAATGCAGTTAAAGGTATAAATTATTAATTAATAATTTTAGATCATATAAAAGATTGGTATAATGGAAGAGAGGATACTTTATTATCACTTGGAGTTCTTTCAAATGGTGAATATGGAGTTTAGAGTGGTTTGTGTTTTTCATATCCAATCAGATGTCTTGGAGCTTTTAAATATGAAATTGTTGGAAACTTATAGTTGAGTGACTTTTCTAAATAAAAACTCAAAGTAACAGAAGAAGAACTTATACAAGAATAAGGTTTGGCAGAATCTATTTGAAAAAATGAGGGTATTCTTAATAAAAATGAAATATAAAAATAAAGATTTACAAATAAAATCATATGAATATATATGCAAATCAAAAAGTGGATTCACATATGAACAAATTTAGACTTTTAGAAATGTACCTTCTTCTGTTATTTTTGTTAAGTAGATTTTTAACATATCGTTTTTTAAGATTAAGGTCGTCTAAGTATTCCTTTTTTATATGTTTCTGTCTTAGTTACTGAGAAATCTAGGCTATTTCTTTATGTGTTTTAAGATGCTGTTCTTCTATGAGAACCTTCCAAAAAAGACCCATTAGAATCTGAAGGTAATTCTTCATCAATAAACTCTTTAGATTATTAGATTAAAAATTTAGATATGTCTTATTTAGTAGGGCAATGTGTGTAGAGTTTAGCATTGCATTAGAAAGGATATGCTCTGATATCAAAGTGATCTAATAGTAGTTAAGGAGATTATTCAATAGATTATTAATGTAAAGAGCAGGCAGTTCCCATTAAGAGTTTATTTTTAAATATATTAAAAAATGAAAACTTGTGTTCATTTTTGTTTGTTAAATATGAGGTTTTTTTCACTCAGATGAATATATATTTCTTTATGAGAATACATTTCTCATATTTTTCATTAAGTTTGACAAATTCAGAAATTCAGGGATTAAAGTAAACTATATTATACATATTCAAAATTATTTATTAAAATAATTGTATAATTATTATTGATGCATCATTTATGATCTTGATCAAGATAAGATTGCATATCAAATATATAATTATTAGAACAGAAATATAATTGTTCTTTGATTATTTAATACGATTGATATCAATGATGATGATGATGATCTTCAACTTATCCATGCTTTCTTGCAACAGCTTATCTAGTCTCTGCCTCAACTCTTTCTATATAAGTTTTGCCTTCTAAATTCATGAGCTAAATGTGCTTATTTTATTCTTCATAAGTTTCCAATAGTTCTGTTGCAAAACTCTTTTCTCCAGGAATCATTCTTTATATACCCATATCCCCTGTAATGCCTATTACTATTAATGATAGTCCTTACTTAAATCTAAGAAATGTTTCACCATGAATGGTCTCTCTTATTATACTTTTCTTGAGTAATTTACAATTGGATTTTTTAAATAATCAGGTTAAATGTTCCAAAATCTGGCTTCATAGAATATTTCATAGGTAAATATAGCTGCCACAAAAGCTGCAACAACATATTTCGAATCAAGTATCAAAAATTTAATGGCATTCTAAGGTGAATGTAAATATCCCTCATCTAAAAATCAAATTAATTAATTACTTTAATTAATAAAGTATTCAGGCATTACACCACAATAAAACCATAAATTTGTATCAAATACATCCATCCTTCTTTTATGTTGATATGGAATTGTTAAAGGTACATCAGGTCTGTCCCATCCATGACCACCTCTAATTGCCATGCTTCTTGCAGCACTTCTTCTTAATATCACACTCAACATTTCAATAAATAATTTAATATATAAATATATAAATATTTCTAAAACAAATATTAAAAAAGTATAATAAAAACCTTTATAAATTATTAATAACAAACCAAATCAATAAATAATCTCTCTTTAAACTACAGAGTTAAAGATAAGAATGTGCTATCCTATAGGTTTGCCTTTTAAATATTCTCCTTCAACTATTAAATCAAGCCCTGTTTAATGATGATGAATGGCTTTAATATTCTTACCATGCTAAACATCATCTTAAAATTAACCCTCATAAGTTATAGATTTCTTTCCTCCTTATTTTAATGTCAATATCCCTAAACCTTATCTCTTATTTTTCTTCCATTGTCCTTCATATTCAGATTAGTCAGCATATATTTTCTTTCCTTTACCATGAATATATCCTAATATAAAATCACCTTCATAAATTTCATAATCATAAAATTAATAACCTCCACAAAATCTTATCTTTTAAGGCTGATACCATTTCAATCTTGCCTTTCCATGTTTTACTTCATATTCCTAATTATAATATCCTACATATTAAGTCAACTATCCTTAATTATTCATCTCTAAGACTTATCCCCAATAAAATTTACCTTTCTTAAAAAAACCCTTATAAATAGATGAAACTCCTCTCTTTCTCAAAATTCCAAATCCATCTGGATAATCATTAAGGGTTTCACCTTTATACTTTGAACCTTGAAAATCATAGAATTAAAATTTCCTATTTTCAAATTAAAATTTATAATTTTAACAATCACCAGGAACTAAATCAGTAATTTAATAAGTAATTGAATTTAATTAGAATTCTCTTATGTATTTATTCAATGAGAGTAGTTCAGTATCAATTTCATTGACCTATTTCTTTATTGCTTTTATGAAAGCATCTTGAAAATTTAATTAATTGTTTATTTTCGAAGATAATTTAGTACTACCTTCATTACTAACTTCATCTATTCTATAAATTTATGTTTTTTTTCTATTATTTTTCTTTTTAATTTCATTAATGATGTCAATTTATTCTTATATGGTATTTTTTTATCTTTATGTGGATTTAAATTGTAGATCTTTAAGAGCTGCTTTATACTTTTTTCTATCATCATTATTTAATTTCCTTAAATAAACATTAGGTAACAATTTATCAAAAGTAGGATGTCTTAAAAAATCAATAAATTTTTATTTTTTTAATTCTTCTTCTTCTTATTTCTTTATTTCTTTTAGTTTACGTTCAACAGCTGATTATTCTTTTAATAGTCTATCCCCTTGCTTTCTCTCCTTTGGCAATTAATATAATAATTGTTAATAAATTTTAAGTTCTTCTTTATTAAGTAAATCAAATTATTAATTTTTTAAGAGATTTTATAAATTTGGATTTTGTTTTAACTTTTTAAAATGATCTTTTACATCTATTATTTTTTATATTTAATCAGTTATTAACTTATTACCTTGTATTTTTTCCTTTAATAATTATAATTAATTCTCATTTAGATAAGTAAGTAGAAGATGATTATTCTCAATCTTATTATCATCAAAAAGTTTATCTGCTTCTTACTTTTTTAAAATAAAACCTATACCATCATTTACATTTTCAATTAATTAAAGATTATCATTTTGATTTTGTTACAGAATTTCAATATAAAATTATTAAGTTTGTTTTTAAGTCTTCTTATCTTGTTCATCCTCACAGATATTAATTGTATCTATAAGATTCTATTCAAATCGAGTTAATATCTTTTAAATGATTTTTAATTATTCCAAAATCTCTTTTTAATCTTTATCTTGCAATTATATAACACCTTTATTTAATATATTTTTAATTATTTTCAAAGTTACAGTATCATCTTTGGATTCTTAATTTATAATTTCCTCTGGATCCTCATATTATTTAATTTGTTGAAATGAATTACAATCATTAACAAAATGTATTATACTTTGTTCTTTACTTTTCTTTTTACCTTAAAATGATTCCTTATCATTTTAAGAAATTTCACTCAATAAAGAATAATCAGCATCTTCTAAATTTTTATCAGGCATTATGCTCTTACTTTAAATTTTATTTTTTTCATCATTATTTTAATCATAAAATGGTTAAAGCTGTTATAATTAAGCTTTCTTGACATTAACACTATTTTATTCTACTCTTGACACAACTCCACCTTAATTGTTAATTGGATCATCAATATATGTAATATTTTTTTCTATTGAAGGAATAATTATTAATGAGTTAGTCTACTTGGAATTTCGTTATTGATTTTAGGTTTATTTTTGTGAATCATCTATTTCTTATAGCTTAACTACATTTTGATCAGATTTTATTATTTTCTTTTACACTTGATTTTCTTTAGGAACTTATTAATCTACATTTTCAAAATCATCAATTTCAAATATATTAATTTATTTTACCTAATTTTAATTCTCTTTTTGTCCTTAAAATTAAATCAATTATTATTTTTATTACTACTACTATTCATCTTCTAAATTTAGTAAATCAGAATTGATTGGATTAAAAAATTAAAAATTTTAAGAATCTTTAAATGAAACTAAATTGTTAACACTATTATCTTTTTCGTTTACAGTATTTAAATTTTAAGATTTTTAAATTAATAAGGCTTATGTTTCATCTTTTTAAAAAATTGGGGACTAATTATTAAGAGCTTCTCCCAATTATTTATCATCAATTTTATTCAATTAAATACTTTGTAAGTATCCTAATTATATATCATTTTTATTTTTGTCTTTATTAATTTATTCAATTTCTTATTTATCTTTAACTTATTCCAGGTTACTTAGATTAGATTAATTACCATTTACTATTTGCAATTCAGACTGAATTGGAATTAAAGCTTGATTCAAATTCTTATTTGGAGTATCTTCAAATTGAATACCTTTTATTTCCTAATGATTGAACCCAAAATTGGTTACTACTATATTTGGTTTCTTTATAATTTGATTTGAATCATTATCTTGAATATTTAAAAACTGATTAGGAATATTTTAAGAAAATTCAAAAGTTAAATTCTATGGCTGATCTCTTGAAAAATTTAATTAATTAAGAGTTGGTTATTATGAATTAGGTATTAAATTTTAATTACTTTTTGATCTATTATTAGATTTATTAATTTTAGAAGCATCATTATCAATTTAATTCAAAAGATTTTCAAAAGATAATTTGGTAAGTTATTATTTTTCAGGTTTAAAAGATGAAATTTTATTATTATTATCATCATCATTTATAAGGTCAACTATCTCTCTAATAGTATAAGTTTATTCCATTTATTCTTAAAATTCAGTCTATATCAGACATTACTTTTATTCAAGAAATATTTAATATACTTATTCTGGATCCTTCTATTCAATCAATAATTCATAAATGACATTAGAATAAATACCATTTTAATATTATTTCAGATTCTCTATTTTCTCTAAAAGTAATGTTTTATTTAAACCATAATAATCAGTTAATTTATTTGGTAATGTTTAATTGTTTTGGAATACTTAAATCATCATCATTGATAATGCCCATATGTCAATATATTTTTTAGATTTTTAATTATTGATTTCAAGTTTTAACCAAGATTCATTTTTAAAGTCTACATCAGACATTATTTTCTAGTAATCTTGAGGATAAAAATATATTAATATATTCTACCATTCTTTTTCTGCTTATGCTGCAAGTGGTTTAAGAAAATTTTAATAATGAGTTCTTTCACTTCCAAAATCTGTGATAAGCACTTATTTTTTATAATATAATATATTATTTGGCTTTAGATTTGTATGTTCGAATTGAGACTTGTAAAAAATACAAGTGATTTATAATAGTTATTCAAATATTTAAGCTTATTCTTAGAAATTCACAGAGTTATTGTTTAAATATTAAAATAAAGGTTCTGTGTCATCTTCACAATCATAACTAATATAAAGATGGCTCTCGTGGTTAATTGTTTCAACTGTATAATTTAGGATTTTAAGAATCTTTCCTGGATATTTGGAGGATAGTTGTCTTTAAATTAGTAGTTCTTGAGTTATGCTTTTGCTCCAAGTTTCCCATTTTTCTTTAGTTTCAAATAATTTTTTCTTTATAATTTTATTGTCTTTGGATTTGTATAACTAAGTAAAAAAGAGACAAGGGTGTGGCAATAGTGACATTGGATCATGAAGTGATTTAAAGGTCTAAGAATCTATTTAGAAATTATTATTCATAATAAAATAATAAATATATCATAAATCAATAATAAATATCTCATTCATAAGAATAAAAACTATTGAAAATAATTTATATAAATACTTCAATTAAATAGAATAGCAATGTTTATTTATAAAGATCTTAGATATAATATAAAAATTAATTAAAGTTTGGAAATGCTATAAAAAAGTCAATATTTTGCAATTTATCAACATTGCGTAAAGGTAAAGTTAAATTTATATAGAGTTTAATGAATAAAAATAATTTTATTAGGTGTGATTAAATAATCTAACCACTAATTACTTAATTGCTAAAATTAAAAAATATAAAAAATCTCAATTAAGCAAATATTTGAATTTAAATTGATGTTTAAAAGAAATTAATTTACTTTGTAAATAATTAAGTATTTTAAGTAAGTTAACATGATTATGATAAATATAGAAAACATACTTAATTTCTGTCATCTTATTCGTTTAAATTTAATTAAAATCTAATGTACTAAATTATATTTATGATATCTTAAGAAAATGTATATTAGTGAAAAAAGAAAGTTTTTGACAATATTATAATAATGTATTTTGTAAAAATTTAATGAATTCACTTATTTTGTTTAACCATAATATCCTCTTAATTGATTAAATATTAATCAAACAATACATTCAAAAATAAATGATGATTGGATTTCTCTTTTATTCAAAAGAATAATAAAGATTTTTGTTTATTTTTCTATTTATTTTAATTTTTGAGATTCAATAAATATGTAATTTTTAAGGTCAATAGATAAATGTTAATAATTCTATGTAAAAATTTTTAAATATAGTTATTATATTAATTTACATTCCTATTAAATAGTGTATTACATATGTTTTCACATTAAATTAGAAAGAATAGTTTTGATAGATATTTTAATTATGGAGTAAAGATGAATTTTAAATGAATTAACCATTTTTATTTTATTTTGATTATATTTAGATTATTTATAATGATATAATAAAATAGAGTCCCTCAAAAAAAGTTTAGTTTAAATCTACATAATTCTGCAATAGATTATATTGATAGAATACTATCAGAAGTGTCAGGTATAGGTATCAATTGATAAAAGGAATGAAATGCCTCATTTTGGATTAGGAAACCATTGGTATAATTTCACTTATATACTCTCAATCATAAATATTGAAGAAAGATGTCTATTTAATGGAAAAGATTGATGCTGCTGCTTCTACTAAATAAAAGCTTTAACATATGAAGGTTATTTTTTTGATTCGACCAACTTAAGTATAGAATGCATTTTAAATCTTTAGGAAAATTAAACATTGCTATTATAAGAGATTAAAGATAAGAGATTTTGTGAATACTATATCTTCTTTACAAATACTTTAAGCAATTTTTATATTGAATAATTGGCAGAAGCTGATGATTCTGATCTAATCAAACAATTATAAGAAATTTATTTAGATTATTATATAGTTCAACCTGATACTTTTACATTAAATATACCATCTACTATTTCATTAACTAAAAGTGTTTCATAATGGAATTCAAAAGATGAACAATTATTTTAAAGAGTACTTGAGGGATTGAGTGCTACAATTTATAGTCTTAGAAGAATTCCAATGATTAGATATTAAGGATCAAGTGAAATTTGTGCAAAATTAGCTTAGAAATTAAGTTAAACAATGAGAGAAGAATATGAATAATCTTAATCTTAATTTATGCTATCAAATTGTTTACTCTTAATTTTAGATAGAAGAGAAGATCCAGCAACTTTATTATTGAATTAATGGACATATTAAGCTATGTTACATGAATTAATAGGAATCTAAAATAATAGAATAGATATTCGTTAAGGTTAAAAAGCATTAAATTAAGCTGCAGTATAATATTAATAATTATAATTAGAGTATTAATAAAACTGATTCAGATAGTGAATTTGTTATAGCATCAAGTTTAGATGACTTTTTTGCTGACAATTAATATTCAAATTTTGGAGAATTAGCATAAAATATTAAAGATTTTATTGATAAAGTTACAAATTAAAAGAAAGAAACAGTTTAAATAAATTCATTAGAAGATATGTAAAAAGCTGTTGATAGGATTCCAGAAATAAGAAAAATGAGTGGTAATTTATCTAAACATGTTGCTTTGAGTTGTGAATTGTCAAAATTAGTAGAAGAAAGATAATTATTAAAAGTATCTAAAGTTGAATAAGATATTGTTTGTAATGAAGCAAAATCTGAACATTAAAGAGCTGTATTTTAAATGCTTGAAGATAGAACTATTTAAACATATGAAAAATTAAAATTAGTTATGTTATATGCTTTGAGATATGAAAATTGTGATAAAATTTCAAGAATGAAGGATGTATTAAGAGATTTAGGTGTTAAAAACAACAGTTTAAATTTAATCAATCATTTATTAGATTATTCTGGTAAAGCTAGAAGATAAGGTGATCTATTTAGTGATAAGAATATATTTTCAAAAGCATAACAAAAATTAAAATCAGTTTTTAAAGATGTTCCTAATATCTATACTTAACATCAACCATATTTTCTTACAATATTAGACTAAATTCTTACAAATAAAATTAAAGATAACGAATTTCCAGCAACAAATTTAAATTACTTTAGAGATAGACCTACTGAGATTATTATATTTTATGTTGGTGGAACATCTTTTGAAGAAGTTAAAGAAATTGGATTGTTGAATAAATAACGTATATAATATAGAATAATATCTTAGCCAATTCACCAAACATTTTATTAGGAGGTACATACATTCACAATTCAAGAACATTTCTTGCTGAAATTTGTTAATTAGCATATGAGAATAGTATAGACATAGTTGTAGATAAGTCTAATCCTAGAAATGATGCTAAATTTCATAAATTTTGATAGGAATAATAAAATTGATATTATTTTAAATACACATTAAACTTATCAATAAGTATTATTAAAGAAATAAAAAGGTTACTTACTTTTTAATTGACTATTCAAATGATTATTTTTAGATTATTAAATCATTTATTTTAAAATACAACAAACTGGTTTATTATATCCAGAAAAGAAGCAAGGTTATTTACATTTCTTTGCATTTAAAATTGCACTATATCCAAAACAAAGAGCATTCTATTTTATATATGATATAAAATACTTTAATATTTTTTATCTTGAAAGTACTACTAGCTATATTATTACTTTTATTATGAAGATCCAATATTATTAATTCTTAATATCCTTAATCACTAATTTATAATTAAACTTATTACAACTAAAAATATTGTTATTAATAAATATTTGGTTCATCTATTTATATATTTTCTGACTAGGATGGTACTATATTGATTATTTTATTATAATAATCTATCTCTTAACTATAGAGATCAAAGAAATCTAAAAAAGTTTTACCAATTTCTTCATTTTCATTATCTCTAATTCTTTTAATTTACAATAAAGCTAGAATCATAGTCAAGAGACAATAACTATTCAAACCACCCTTATTAAAATATTGATTACTTAGTATGAATTTAGTAAATTTATAGATTTAAAATAAAATTTAAGTATTAAAGCTAAACTCTTAAATTATTTAAACTCTTTTTGAAATTCAATCATTGAATTAGCTGTCTTCCTTCCTGAATGATCATTTCTACTTATTGTAATATCAATTAATTTTTCTTAATATTCTTTTGAACATTACATTTTCAATACTGGTTTCTTTGCATTTTCAATCACTTTTACATCCTTAATAAAACTTGTTATCTAAAAATAAATTCTATGATACTTTAAATTAATCTGCTAGTTTGAATAATAAAATAATTTCTTCTTATTCTGTAGTTTCAATAACTATGTCTATATCAGAATCTAATAAATTTAATCCTGTTTGACATGATCCATACAAAAAAGCACGAGATTTAAGTTAAACATTTTGAACAGTCTAAAAAATAGAATAATTATAATTACTTCATCTACTAACTAAACTATTTTATCAATTATTGGTATCTACTCATCCAAATATTTACTTAATTCTTATGTAAATGTATTAATTTCAAAAGTAAGTTGCCTAATAATCATCCTAATTTGTGTACTTAACAATATCATCTAAACTAATTTTATGTTATGGTAATGTATATTTGGATTCACTAATCAATTAATTATAGAATGCTTAATTTATTTATATTTTCTCTGGAATCTAAATTTCTATTTCTTTTTTTTCCTTTATCTCAGTTTAAGTCTCTTATTCTTTATTCAATATAATTTTTATAATTTTTGGTAGAATATCAACTTCATCATCTTATTTTCCAATTTTCTGAATTACATCTTATTATTCTTCTTATTTCTTTTTTCTATTTGGAGATTTTGTAAATTGAGTCTCTTCAAAAATTAATAAATCTTTAATCTTTTAATTCCTAGCAACATCAAGAGGTATTTGATTCTATTTATTTTTCTTTTGAAATAGAAATTCCTTTTGACAGATTTATTTAATTATATTTAATTCTCCTTTACGAGAAGCTACATGTAATACTGTATCACCATTTTCATCTGAACCAGAAACTCCATATTTTTCTATTATTTTTGAAGCTGTCTTATAATTGCCTTTTTTTAATGATTTAATTAAATGTTATGGTTTATCAAGAGATGTAATTTATAAGAGAGTTTCAACTATATCCCAATTATCTTATTCAGATTATATTGCAATATCAAGTGCAATCTTAATTTATTTTGTTTCTATTTTCTCCTTATATTTGATTATTTCATTCAAAATACTTATCTTAGCTGTTCTGGCTGCATAAACAATAGCTGTATTACCTTAATTGTCCTTATAATTAAAATCAATTGATTGTCTTAAAGTTAAAACATATATACTTTAAAATTTATTGGATACATTGAAAATGATCCTCACTATCTCTTGTATTTTGTATACATTCTAAAAAGGCTTAAGAGTAACTTTATTATGCTATTTGATTTGTTCTTATATATTCTTCTAATTAAACATATAATCCTAAGGATTACAACATTTTTGAATACCTTAATTTGTAAGATCGACAATATTCTATTAATGGATCATTTATTATTGCATTTAGTGCATTTACTTAATTTTAATTATAGCAAAATCTCATAATGAAAGGATTAATATATAATAAGGAAAACAAAATTATAATTTTTTTATTTTTAATCATCAAAATTGTAAACATGATTCTTATAAAATAAGAGTCCTTTATCCATTGATTAGGATATGAGCAAGTTCAAAGAGTCTCATATTCCCATCCAATTTCTAAGTCTTCACTCTGCCAATTAAGATTGACAAATATGGTATTTACAATTTTGTTCTATTGTTTTGATTCGCATAAGTTTCATTAATGAGAAAACTCAATTCCCTTACTCTAAGAAAACATGAAAGCATGCTGATATCAAATGTGAATTCAAATTCACTTTAATTCTTCAAAACAATAATGTCAACTGAATAAACAGATTACTTCTATAAATGACATTCTTACCAACTATTGCTTTTTTAAGGATCTCCAGACTTTTGTTTATAATTCATCCATTTCAATATGAAGAGTTGGACTTATATTATAAATGAGTTAATACTTGATCTAATTGATATTACAAATCCCTAATCTCTCATCATTTTAGGATGAGTTTTTGGACAATGATTAATAATTAATCTCATCTTTTGTGGAAGCCCTTCTATAAACCATAATGTCCAAACTACGACAAAATTGGCTAGATTCATAACTAGTAGTTCTTCCTAAAGTGAAGTTAGAATCTTTAGGTTGAGCATGGGAATGAAGCATTTCAACTTTTCTCAATATGGAATAATCTTTAGTTGCCACTACTTATTTCATTAATTAAAAAAAATGCTTTGTTTGTAATGTTGTCAAATTAGGAAAATAAATAATTATATAAATGTATTATAGTATATAAATTATAAGGATAATTACAAACAAAGAAGCCTATTATGGACATTCTTATTATAATTTAATATTTTAATTAATTAATAGAAAATGTTAAACCTAAAAATTGTCTATTAATAAAAAATACACAAATTACCTTCCAGCGTTGTCTCATACCAAGACATCATTAATGCAGTGAAGAAACTTTATCCAAACTTATGTTAATTTTATTTATTTACAATTATCCCTTGTAAAATTTTATTAAATTTTATAAAGAATTTGAAGAAATCGAAGAAATAAATTGTGAATTCAGTTTCTCCTTTTTAAAGAAAATATACAAAAAGGAGGGTTGGACTACAATAAAATTTCTTGTTTTAGAAGACAAAAATTTAAATAATTTGAATGCAGAATCATTGAATATGTTAAATCAAAGCTCTATGATTATTAATAATTCTAAAATAGATTAGAACTAAATCTCATAGTTAAATAAAAATTAGTAAATTAAATTCTAATATTGTTATAGAATTAAAATTTAGGAATCATAAAAAAAACTTGAATATTCAAAGGATGAAATATTAAAAGAAACAGTTAACAATATTTTAGATTAGAGATTAAGATAATATGGATTGATTAAAAAAAAGATTATCATAACAGAGTAAATATTGCCTGATAATTATTTTTAATAATAAGGATAATTTTATGATATAGGCAGTATTAATTAGTAATTTTTATTGATATTTTAAGTTAAGAACCTGAGAACATTACTCATTATATATGATAGATAGTAATATGATTTAATTATTAATAATATTGATTATTGTATTTGTATACTTCTATAAATTTAATAATGTCATAAATACTTAAGAATAAATAAAAGGGTTATTTAAGGTTAACAAATAAAATATATTTGCACAATAAATATTCTTTTTACAATTAAATTTATATTCCTATCAAACTATTTTGAAATATATATTCCTGTATTAATTAGAATTAATGTATTTTTTTAAACAAACAAATTTCTTAATTTCTCCTTAAACTTTACGTTTAGTCTGATACAATAAATACTTTTTTAAAGTTAATATATAAATTATCAAATTAATTATATAATCACCGAAATTATTTCTATTTTTCTTAATAGGAATATGATCTTATTAAGTTTTTAGTCAGTTCTTAAGTTTTTGAGATAAATTTCCTTAAAATAGGTTTAGCAATATTTAAAGAGTCATATTTTTAGCTATATTTCTTAGAGAAATGGTTCAATTCCTACTGTAGATTCCATATATAATATATTTAAATTATTTATTTCTTCAATTATATAATAAATGATTTTCTTTTATAATTAAGATGAACAAGGAAGAATTATAGATTGAAATAATAAATAAATTGTAAACTAATTTTTATTATATTGCACAATATTATGCCTAATTTTATTTTTCCTTTGCTTTACAGGAATAAGACACTTCAAAATCATGTTGTAGAGAAAATAATTGGGAATGATGATATTTTAGTGACAGCTGGTTAGAATGGGGAATTAGTAATTTGGAAATAGGATCTAAATCCTAGAATAGTGATCTACCCAAACCTGTCAAATGCATATGGAAAATTATTGACTATGAATTTAGTTCGCTTATCATTCTTTAACATTTTAGACAGAGCAGAATAATGTTTACTCACTATTCATGAGGATAAGAGAATAAGAATATTTGATTGTCGTGATGGACGTTGTGTTGGAATATCAGCACATGATAGTTCAGGACCAGTATAATATTGTGTTCCTTTGAGTTCCAATAATTGCAGGTTTTTGATACTAGGAATGTAAAATGGTTTGAGTCTTTTTGATCTTTGGAAAATGAAAAGTGTTAAACAATATGATACTAAAATACGTTCATTATGTTAACTTGATATTAATACTGTTTGTATATTGGATTAGGAAAACTATTTACATCTTATAAATTTATCTCCTTTAAATAATGAAAGATATTTGAATTTTAAGGAATTCAAAAAAAAGAAAGAGTAAATAAAATTGGATTTTTCAGAACTTAAGTTATGTGATGGATTAAAGAAACTTAAAATTGATGGTATTTAAAGTAATCGTATCAGACATATGAGTTTTAATTAAGAATATTAACATTTGACTATTTTGATGCATAGATAACTTTACTTAGTTTTTGATATATTTGATACACCTTGGATTATGTGTATAAGTTAATCTAAAAATAATTAAAAGTTTACTAAAGTACATTATTCAAAAGAGTATCTCTATATAACTACTAGAAATGGTAGTGTTCTTGGTTTAGAATACAAAGACATAATATATTTGTTATCTATTTTGAAAGAATAATCTGATTTTGTTTATGGTTTTAAAGAATTTTAATTTACTAAAATTGCAGATTCTTAATTTAGTAGATTATAAATTAATTTTTAAGAATTAATATCAGGCTCTGAAGATTAAAAAGAGCATAATGGTATTTTTATATTAAAGACTATTGTATATCAATATAAAAACAAATGTTTGTGTTAATATAATTTAACAGATGTGAAATTGGATTTGTCTTTGATTCGTATAAATTAATCAGATTCAGACATCAAATTCAATGGATTTAAGTGGTCATTTAATACTTTTAGTGATTTGATTAAGATAGAAACCTTGAAATAAGGATGCAAATAAGTTGATGCATTTAATTTTAAAGAATCTGGCTAAGATGATTTGCTTTGGAATTTAGGTCAAATGACTACTAAAGAATTTTAAACTAAATATTTACCATATATAAATATTGATACACAAATTACATCTGCATTTATTAGTGTAAATGATAAGAGTTAAATTTATTGGTTTGGATGTAGTAATGGTATAATATATGGATTTCCAACTATATATAGTAGTAAATCATATTTTATTTACAGAATCAAAATGGATGAAAAAACAGTCACATTTATATATTAGAAGGGAAACTATTTAATTGCTAGTTCTGAAAGTGGATAATTTATAATAATAGATTACAGTTTAGTGGTTAATGAGAAGATGGGAGAACAATAAGTAGAATTCATAGATCTGGAACCATCACAAAGAATTTACTTCCCAAGTTATGCAAAAAAAACAATAAGAATTCATAAATTAGAGAATGAATCATATGAGGAAATGTAATCAAATAATTAATAATAAAAATTTTAAAAGATTGCCATTTTGATGGATAATAATGTTATTCTAATAATTAATTTATAAGATGGAGGAGTATAATTGAAATTACATGGGATATATCAATAAGTTTTGGGTTTATATTATGAAGATCAAGGAGATTAGTGGTTTGTAGTAGTTCAGGGAGGAGAATCCTTAGTATTTGATTACAAGGGAAGATATTTGAGAACATTAATGATTGAGTAATACCATTCACTATTTCAAGTAGAAAAGAAATTAAGTAAAGTTAAAGATAAGATGATTAATCATCATCAATTAAGTGAATTCAAGAGAGAATTTAATAAATCAATAAGCAAAGTATATCGATTGTTAGAGTTTTAATAAAGAAATAATTATATTAAGATGTAATCTCCTTATCCTAGTTTGTATGAAGTAGGAGGTTAATTTAAATAATGGTAATTTGAAGCTGAATAAGCAGCTAAGATGTTATACTTGATAGATCATAATTCTGTTAAAAGTAATATGAAAATGTGTAAGTTTGTAGAAACCAACATAGGAGAATTAGAATGGTGGGACTTAAAGAAATAAGGAGATAACAATAATTAGAATAGGTTATTTTTAATGTTACATCCTTGGGAAGCTGATACTCAATTAAGTACATAATTAGACTAGATATTGAATTATTAGAAACCAACCTTCGCTCCTTTAATTGGTGTATAATCGATGGGTTATTGTGTCAGTTTTGCATTATCTCGAGGTTGGGATGTATCACCTCATTTTACTTCATAAAGAGCTATGTCATTGATGCATTTCTATTTATCTTGTTTATCTAAGGAGGCTTAAGTATTTAATCAATTGATGATACAAACTGTTGAATTACTCACAAAAAAAAAATAATTGCTGGATTCAAATTTTAAATCAATGGACTTATTTTTGTTAGCATAATACACTATTGATGAATCTAATGAAGTCATGAATGCCGCATGTAATTTAATACTTTCATAAATTAGAAAGTCTGATTAAGATATGCAAGAATAGCATAAATTAATTAGAGAGCTGCTGGATTTAAATAAGGAGCAGCAAGGACATAATTTTTCAAATGTAGAAGTGATACTTCTTATGTTAGAATCCTATTTAACAGGGATGTGTTAAAATCTCTAATAAAGTGAAGATTAAAAGCGAAGAGTGATTTAAGGATTGAATCTCAAAAATTGTATAGTAAATCCTCACCTTTGTGCTCCTCTTCTTAAAGTATTTGTAGATGTCTAATAACATTTTCGAAATTCCTACAATCCATCAGACATATTTAAAAATCTATTCTTCATCTTTTTTCAATACAATACTGTAATTGAATACTCAGAAATTCTCACTTAAGGTAGTCAATAAATGTAATTGATTAATTTATTAAAAGAAATTAGTAAGCAGTCAGATGATATGAAAAAAAGAATGAGATAACTTACTGCTAAAAGTATTATTTAAGTTGCTATTGCAGCTCCTGTTGATTTTACTAAAATTTTAAATAAAGATATTGTGAATTTGGAAACTCATTTATTTTATCCTTCATCTATCATTGAAATCATAAGAAATTATATCAAATCATAACATTAAAACATTCATAAATAATTACCAATTCTTATGGATATTATACTAAAAAGTCTTGATCCAAATAATCCTAATTTGCGTAAGGTTTGTCATAGATCTGCTACATATGCTTTATAAACAATTTGTAAAACTTTTAAGTGTGTTTGTTTCCATCAATAAACTTAAAAGATAGCAATTGGAGATACTTAAATTATAATCTATGACTTAAGAACTGCAGTAAAATGGAGAGTCTTGGATGGACATAGTGGTTAAATTAATTGTCTAGAATTCGATCATACAGGCAAACAGTTGGCAAGTTTTAGTGATACTGATTGGAAGATTAAAATTTGGAAAGTTGGATCAACAGGGTATAATAATTAATATATATATAAATTAGATTCTTTGGAGCCATAATTGGAATACAAGGAAAACCAGCTAAAGATATGTCTGTTAGGTAATAACCTTTAGTTCATCCATAAATCTCATGGTCATAAGATGATAATAGAGTATTCTTAATGTCAAATGGATAATCAGTTGTACAATGTCAGCTTTGATGTAACAATAATTAACGTATTAGATATATATATATATATAATAAAATCTATTATTGTTCAATATTATTATTATTATTATGAATATTGATTCTTAATACATGGTACTTCTTTCATAACAAAATCTTTTTTTGTCATACTCATAAATTATTTCTCAAAAGCTGGAATATTTTAAATTGGCTATATTAAAAATTCCTATTGATTACTTCTTAAAAGTTCTTCATTTAATAACATTTTTCAGGTATTTTTAAATCATGTATTAATTTATTTTATGATTATCCTAAAAATAAATCTATTGTTGGAAAAGGTTTTCCATTTGGGGGTTTTTGACTCTCTAATAACATATTTATCAATTACAGTTGTGTCTACTTATTTTGGTGATCTAAATTCAGTACCATAAGTAGTTGATGAATTAAATTTTAATTCTGGTATTACAGTTTTATAATGACTTTGTTTGAATTGTTCATGATGTAAATCTCCATAATCCATATAGAATTTCTAATTAATATTATATTTTACATTATATGAAGTCATAGGTGTTGATCCATAAGTAGCTTAGTATTTTTATTTTTCAATAATATTATTTGGAAAAGCATCACACTATTTATAATCAGATCCCATTGTTGTTTTAAATTCATTTAAATCTAATGTATGATAACGACCAATAGAATCTAGATTCATTTTTAATTCTTAATCTTTCATTTGTGTTTGTTTGAACTCTTAATTATAATGAGATTTCCATGAGATATTAGGTTTAAATGGTTAATATTCGAATTTGCATTTACATTTTCCACATGGACATTAAACACAAATGCATTTTCCTATCTTTTATCATTTAATCATATACCTGCCAAATGCATAACAAAAGCTTAATAATCAGATAAATGTTATTCTACCATGCATTATATGTGATCATTATTATTTTCTTCAGATGATTACATTTACATTTACATTTGATCTGTTTATTCTGTTAACATATTTTGATTTTAGGAATCCAGTTACTTATGCATATCTTATTAAGTATTCATATTAAACTCTGGGTCTTATTTTATAGGTTAATTATTTTCAGATTCCAATCTTGGTAAAAATGATGATAATGATTAATGATGTTTTCTAGTAATATTAGACGTTGGAGTAGGGATTGGAGTAGGAATAGATTATTAATATTATTCTAATGGAATAGCTTAGTTACTGCATCCTTTAGTTCTTATCATAATTCTTTTGCCTGGCTTAGACAACTTGGAACTTGATGAAGAAAATGTTTATCTGAATTATTGCATTTCTTTGTGCTTTTTTTGAAGAATGGTCTATCTTTCAATTTCACTTAGACGACGTTATTTATCAATGAAGGATTCCTTAACTTCAATTGAATAATGGCCTTGTTTTGGTTTAAGTTTTTAGATTATATGTTCAGGAATCATTGTTTTATTAATAAAAAAATTAAAATAATCTTTTATTTCTTGATTTTTAAGCAATGGTGAAGATGAATGTTTTGAATGATTGTTTACGTTCAATCGTAAATGCTGAAAGGTTTAAAATGAATCGAATTATGATTTTAGATAAGGAAGAAAGCAAGTATTAATCAGACCTACATCAAAATTGGTTGTGAAATTCTTATAAGTCATGTAAAGACATGGCTATATTGGAGAATTTGAAATCGTTGATGATCATAGAAGTGGAAAAATAGTAGTTGAATTATTAGGTATTTGCATAAACTATAAAAAAATAGGTCGTATCAACAAATGTGGAGTCATCTCTCCTCGTTATGATGTTACTTTAGGAGAATTCGAAAGATGGGCAAATAACATTCTACCTGCTAGACAATTTGGATGTGTAGTATTGACTACTAATGTTGGTATCCTCACCCATGAAGAAGCAAGATAAAGACATATAGGTGGTAAAATCCTTGGGTTCTTTTATTGACACATTTGCATCAGTACATTATATATTTAATAAGTCTTCAATTAATAATAATAACATTCATTATCCTTTTTCTTTATGAAATAGATTACTATTTGTTAAATATATTTTCTACAATTAAAGAATCTCAAACATATTCATTCACTCTCTTCCTAGAATATTAATTAATTTTGTAGCTATCTTTTTTAAGTATCCAATAATTAATTTTCCTCATATCTCTTAACATTCTCTTTATTATACAATTTCTTTTTATAATTGTTCTCCTTTACATTCTTATTAAGCCAATAGATTATTCTTGAAATCTGCAAAATTATTTGTTAATTAAATCTCCTACTTTTCCGATCCCTTTATTGTCTCACTCAATTTATCTACCAATTATAAGACTAAAACTATTATATATCCTATATCATCAATTATACTAATAATACTTTATTTTTATCTTTATCCTTTTAATTATTTTATATAAATTTAATTTACTTAATTAATACATTTTCATTATATCTCTTATTGTTCCAATTGATTTAATAATCTATTTGATCTTCTTTTGTCTTAACATAGCACTTTAATTCAATAATACTTAATTTACACATCTCATATTTCATTTTATTATTTCTCTCAATACTATTTTTATTAATTCAATTAATAAACTTAATTTTTAAAAAGTCTCCTTTAATTTTATATTCAATAACTATTTAATAAAAATAATATGTTAATTCTTTAATGAGTATATTTATATACCTTTTTATTTTATAATAATTTATTAATTAAATTATTATAAAAATTATCTCTAAATTAATCTGTAACATTTTATTTATATACTATATCTGAAATCCTATTTGGAATATTAAACTAATTAATATTTTCCATTAATTATCTTACTAAATATGAAATACGTCATTAATATTAATATTTCATAATCATTAAAAATCTCTATTATCATTTATAAAATTAAACTAATATTATATTAGCTAGTAGACAAAAATATTCCATAAACTAAGAATGAGTTGCTGGATTATTAATTTCGTTTTATTATTAATATCATTATCATATTAATTATTGACCATAAATAAATATATTGTATTGTGGTTCAGATATAAAAAAATGATTTTTTTGGACATCACAATATTACTTATAATTAATTATTAAACTCTATCCATTTTATACCTTAAATTCAATTTAGTTAATTCTTTTTATCCTTATTATTAATTAAATTATTGATTAATGTTGACAATTTTATTAACTTTATTTTTAGAGTTATCTTTTCAATAAGACTCAAAAATATATTGTCATAAAGATGAATATTACTATTTAGGATAATAATTGATACCTATTTCCTTGTAAAATAAAAATGAATTAGAAATAAAGCTAGAATAAAATGAAGAGATTTTATAATAAATTGCAAATTTCTCAATCTCTAATTTAAATGATAAAAGGGAATTGGTTTTTAAATAATTTTAATAAAATTAATTAGAGTTAATTTTTTGGGATCAAGATCATTATTTATGTAAATATATTAATTTTAAGCTTAATTTTGAAAACAATAATTTGATAAATTATGAAGAAATAATAAAAGATTAAATATCCTTCTAACTGCCATTATGTACAAAATTTCTAAATATGTATTAAATTGATCAATAGATGTTTATTTTTTGTGAAGAAGAACTTTTTATCTAACTCTTTGTTTTAGATTAAATTAATAGTACTCGTTTCAATTTAACAATATCATCAACTTCTAAAATAGATAAACAAAAAGATTGTCTTTTTTAATTATAATAATAATAATAATATATTTACTTAGCCTTTTTAAATTGTTAAGATTGGATTATTTATGTAGTGAAAAATAATAATTTTGAAATATTTATTTATTCTAAATATTTAAATGACAAAATTTTAAAGTCATTCTCAATTTAAGAAGAAACTATTCTTTAATTTGAGTATGATATTTATATAGTAAATTAGTATGATAAAATATGGTTTTCTAATAATTAATCACAATAAATCTTATTTTTTTTTAGTTAAGATCAATAATAAGTAATTTTTTTTGAAGGAGAAAATAAAATTGAGCTAAAGCATATTGGTTTAAATAATATTTTATTAATTACTAATTAATAAACTCCTAAATAAGTCTTAAAAATTGATGATNACTTATAATTAATTATTAAACTCTATCCATTTTATACCTTAAATTCAATTTAGTTAATTCTTTTTATCCTTATTATTAATTAAATTATTGATTAATGTTGACAATTTTATTAACTTTATTTTTAGAGTTATCTTTTCAATAAGACTCAAAAATATATTGTCATAAAGATGAATATTACTATTTAGGATAATAATTGATACCTATTTCCTTGTAAAATAAAAATGAATTAGAAATAAAGCTAGAATAAAATGAAGAGATTTTATAATAAATTGCAAATTTCTCAATCTCTAATTTAAATGATAAAAGGGAATTGGTTTTTAAATAATTTTAATAAAATTAATTAGAGTTAATTTTTTGGGATCAAGATCATTATTTATGTAAATATATTAATTTTAAGCTTAATTTTGAAAACAATAATTTGATAAATTATGAAGAAATAATAAAAGATTAAATATCCTTCTAACTGCCATTATGTACAAAATTTCTAAATATGTATTAAATTGATCAATAGATGTTTATTTTTTGTGAAGAAGAACTTTTTATCTAACTCTTTGTTTTAGATTAAATTAATAGTACTCGTTTCAATTTAACAATATCATCAACTTCTAAAATAGATAAACAAAAAGATTGTCTTTTTTAATTATAATAATAATAATAATATATTTACTTAGCCTTTTTAAATTGTTAAGATTGGATTATTTATGTAGTGAAAAATAATAATTTTGAAATATTTATTTATTCTAAATATTTAAATGACAAAATTTTAAAGTCATTCTCAATTTAAGAAGAAACTATTCTTTAATTTGAGTATGATATTTATATAGTAAATTAGTATGATAAAATATGGTTTTCTAATAATTAATCACAATAAATCTTATTTTTTTTTAGTTAAGATCAATAATAAGTAATTTTTTTTGAAGGAGAAAATAAAATTGAGCTAAAGCATATTGGTTTAAATAATATTTTATTAATTACTAATTAATAAACTCCTAAATAAGTCTTAAAAATTGATGATTCACTAATTATTAATTATGGTACTTATATAGAAGTTCTAGAAAGAATAGATTTTAAATATATTCTAAATTTTGCTATTGATTACTTAATAATTGAACTACTCAATTATCCATTTATTTATGGCTTTTATGAAAATTAAATAATTTTATTTAAAAAAAACATTCTTAATCCACTTATATCATGTAATGAATTGATGAAATATAATTATATTTATTACACAACTAATCATTTGTTTAAAACTAATGTACTTTTTAAATCAGAAATCATTTCTGAAGAATCTTAAAATTAAAATTGTTAGATACTTAATGCTCAAGTTTATTTGAGAAATACAACCTTTTAATTAAAGATATACAAACAGTAGTCTACTGATAGTTGTGTATTTCCTAATATATTAGATTTTAACCAAAGTAATCTTAAATGCCAAATATAATAACTTCAACAAGAAAATAATTGTCAGAATCTTTATAATAGTAATATCAGATGGTAAAAATTCAAATATAATAAAGAATTATATATTCTATTTTAAAAAAAATCTAATGTAAAATTATACTTAAAAAATTGTAATAACAATCTATTGATGGAACTTGGAAGATATGAAAATTTTGAAGAAAAAAATATATATGAATTTAAAAATCAATTTCTTCTTATTTTTCAATAATAAACTAAGGTTTTAATAATTTATTGTGAATCCATTAACTTTAATTAAACAATAATAGAATTTAAAGAACAAGTTATAGATATCTTTTATGAAAATTATTTCATTCACCTAATTACAAGCTCCTGTAGTAGCTATATTATAATAAGTAAACATTCTTCACTTTTCTAAAATAATTAGTATTTATTAAGAGATGGAGTATGCATTAAAATGAAGTTTTTAAATGGTTATGCAAGTTATATTCATGATGGCTCAATAGTTATGATGAAGAATAATATTACTAATATAATGAAATTTCCAGATGCCTCTGTTGTTAATATATTTCAGATATATACTTTTTAAGTTACCTATATTATTCATCTAAGAAATTAGGATGGTGATCATTTAAGTAAATATATTTTTATAAATAACTAACTTATAAAGTTATATGATATCCCAAAACTAAATTTCTAATTCACATCACCTTTGAATTATAAAACAACTAAATATCTTTTAGTTGTGGCTGCATATACAAATTCTGGTATTAATGTACTATTAGTTTATTATTGTAATAACAATTATTCAAATAGTTTGATTGATATTATTTAAGTAGATAACTTTAATTTTTATATGTCTGATGAAGATTTATTAATTTATAATTTTAATTAAGAAATAAGAATGGTCAATATTAAATTTGATAAATATATTTGTGAAGTAAGTTTATTCACTGAATTTGTTAAAAAAATATCAATTCCTTTGATTTTGACTACAAAGTTTAATATCTCTCGAGATTATTTGTAAACATTAAATTTAAACTTTTATAATTTGATTAAAAATTTATGGTATAAAGAATCTATGACAATACCTACTTTATTGGAGGTACAAGATTCAATATTCCCTTTAGACCCTAGATTGTATGTAAATGGACCTATTGATTATATTGTTGCTAATGATTTAATAATAATTGATCCAATTTAAAAGTAAGGGTAAATTTCAAAATTGAAATGTCAAAAACTCATAAATTAAATTTGTATTAATTATAATGATTAGCACATTATATTTAATCCCTTTTCATAGTAAGAAATGATTACTCTAGCATTTGTAATTAATTAAGAAATTATAAACATAATAAAATATTAGAATTTTATATTCATTTTATATGAAGATAAATTTACTATTTAAATTTATAATACTCTTAAACAATATGAATATTATTTATAAATCCCTTAACAATGTTAAGGATTCACTCAAATGTAAATTTATCTTAATTTTTACATTCTATTATGTCCTTGGATGATTTATTTATATAAAATACATGATCATTCTATCGAGCCTTTTTCATAACTCTAAACACAATGTACCGATTGTGAAATTATGGAAATAACAAATGAAAATTTCACATTATTGTATATGTCAAGTAATAATTAGTAATCAGAAATTTCTTTTATAACCATTTATGATGATATTTATCATGATTATTCAAATAGGACATAAATATAGATATTTGAATTTCTATAAGAAAATTCAGCTATCTTTATAATCTAAAATATCACTTTTCTTAATAATAGTTATTATGAAATACTAGTTTTGAATTAGTAGATAGAAGGATTTTTGTATTATTTTTAAGCCTTTTTAGATAAAAGAGAAAGTATTGTAATTAAAAAAAAAGATTATGCTCTTATTAGGCATTTTAAGTATACAGAAAATTTAGAAAAGATATATTTTTTAGGTAATGATATTATTCTAATTATTGTAAATGATTCTAATATTAATAATACAATTTAAATATATAATGTTTCTAATGCATTTAATCTAAAATATATAGATTATATTTTTAATTTTTCAATTGATAATTCATCAAAAATATTACTTTACGATGATAAACATTTTATTATAGATTCAGAAATATAAAATGATTATTGTTATTATAATATATAACCTTATAAATTAATGTTAAAAGAGTAAAAATAAGATAACATCATTGTAGAATTTAAAAATTCAGTATCATCATTAAAAATTTAAATAAGGAAGAAGGCATCTCTTTATGTTGATATAAATTACAATTTTGTTACTATTGTGATTGTATTTACAATATTAATCTGTTTTCTTTTAAAATTTTTCAATAGAAATAAGCATATATCTTTGAAGAGATCAAAAGAAATAGAATTATGACGATTATTCCAATTAATTAATAATGAGTAACATAAAAATTAAATATAATAATTATGAAATTTAATTTTTTAAAGTTTCAATACTTTCTTCATATATATATATATGTACAACTTTGGTATTGATTGAATATCGAAAAATCTGTATAATTATTTTCTAAGCTGTAAATTTATCAAAACTGTCTGTTCATTTATTTTGTTTTTGTAATATATATATATATATTTATATTAAATGAGTAGTTAAGAGGAAGATAATCAATTTGATCAAGAATATGAATAAAATAATTAAGAAATAGATGAATTCGAATAAAAGTACAAACAGAATCAGACATCTTCTGAGGATGAAGAACATTATTAACACAAAAGCCATTCTTAAAATAGTAAGGTTGAATAGTTGCCATAAATACAGTATTAATGATCATATTGCAGTAGACCATAAAATAAAATAGAAGCCATTTAAAAATAATTAGAATTTTATAAGAAACAGCCTCCTAAGACATTGGCAGAAGAATGTGAGGATGTGATAAATTCAAAAAATGAAACATTAAAAGATAGAAAGATTAGGGAATTAGTATAGAAGAATAGACAATTATTGCTTAGTTATGAGAAGGAAAAGCAATCAAGAAAGAAACTTGAAGAATAAGTAAATAAGGCCTTAAAAGAAACTGATGAAGGAATTAAAGCATTGGATAAAAGTATTCCCAAGGCTCTAATTCCTAAAGCAGATCCATTGGCAAAAGCATTGAAAGGATCTGAATCATAGAAAGAGGATATAGGAGTAGCTGATGATTTTAAGAATAAATTCAAAGAAGCAGATAAAAAAGTATAAGAATAGAGAGTAAAGTTATAATAATTGAAAACAGAATTAAATAAAGCAATGAGGATTATATAAAGGGAAGTAGGTGAGAATGTAAATTTAGATCAATTATTAATGGATGAAAATGGATGGAAGGGTAGAGCTTAATAGATAGAAATTTTGAAATCAAAAGTGAAAGATTTAAATTCCAAATTAGGATCATCTTCTTAATATTCTGATGTCTCTTAAATGTCTAAACAATCTAAATAGGAATCAAAGAATAATACTGATAAATAATAATTTGAGTTATTAAAATCTTAATATGAAGCAGTAAAATAGGATAATGAGAATTTATAACAGAAAATAAAAGCAGTATCAAGTAGGAGATAAATATTAGAGGATTAAATAAAAGAAGTAAAAGTAGAATATGAGAAGAATAAAAAGGTAATTTAAAGTGTATATCTATTTTAGATATTATTAGAGAAGAGTGAGAATGATGATAAGTACATATTTGCATTGAAATCTGAATTAGATAAATTAAAGAAGAATTAACCATAATAAGAAACTAAAATAGTATATAAACCAGCAGATGATGAGGAGACAAGAAAATTAAGATAAGAATTGAAGTATTGTAAAGAATAAATTGGTCATAATGAATAAATGATAAAAGAATTAATAGCAGAAGTATATAATTTAAATAAATTTAGAAAGTCAATAGGAGTAAATAAGAATTACCTTAGTAATAATAATAATAAGAGAAAGTATAGACTAAACCAATTCAAACAGATGAGAGAGTAAAGAAATTGGAAGAAGAAATTAAAGTGTTAAAAAGAGAGAGGGATGAATTCTTTAAGACATTGACTAAGGATGTAGAAACTTAGAAAATGATAAAAGATTTAACTATGTAAAATGTGAAATTACGAAATAAGATTGATGATTTAACTAAAAAATGAATTCTGTTCTTTATTTATTAATATTTTCAAGAAACATTACTTGACATACTTGGTCTAACTCTAGACTTTTTTATTTATTTCTATTTATTAGGAAATACTCTCCTTATGAAATATTCATCTCCTAATAGCATTACCAATCCTACTATTATGGTTAAAATAAATTGCATAAAATTATAGGATCTACCATGTTATTCATTTGTATTATGTAATTTTAATACTTTGAATTGCCATTCTTAATAAGTGAAGAAGATCCATAAAGTAAAGAATAAACTTATGCATATAAACATTAACATAATTTTGTGAGTAATTATTTTCTATTTGAATGGTCTTGAAGTATAAATAGCAATAACTGCCATAATAAAGTAGATTTACATACTTTTGAAAAGAGTAGTTTGAATTGTTCCTTCTTTTGAAAATTTACCATTTATTACTGATGGTTCATTCTCCCATTCTAAACTATTCCAATATAAAAAATTAATAATCAAACCAATTGAGGCTATTAAGATTTAATAACTTAATACTGCTACATTCGAAATAGCCATCATACTTTCATTTGGAAGATCTTTTGTCAAAGTGATTGAAGGTTTAGAAAGGGATATTGACTTTAAATAAGGCAAAGAACCCACATAATTGATAACAATATATTGTAAATCTCCAAAGTTTTATCCAAAAGCCATATTTATCATAGCTGCTGTGTATTTTATAACACTAGCTCCAACATAATACTAAAATACTTCTAAAGCATTCTAGAGTGCACATCTTCCATCTAAAAGTATCTATCTTACACAATCAATACTATCATCTGAACTAGAATAAGGAGCTGAATAAGCAGCATCACTTTAAGCAAATGAGACACCAACATTTGCTTATTTGATAGCTGCACAATCATTAGCTCCATCTCCAATCATCAAAACCATTTTATTTAATTGTTAAAGTTTTTCTATAACCATAGATTTTTGTTCAGGTCTCATTCTTGCAAAAACTCTTGCATTTAAACATATTGAAGCAAATAATTTATGATGAAGTTCATCATTACTTAATCCTTATATTTTTATTTATTCTACATTATCTATTGGTTCTTCAAATCCAGCAAAAGATTATTTACTGTGATTTTTTATTTCTTCTTTAGGTAATTGACCCCAAAAATAATCAAATGCCTTACCACTCATTGCAAAACAATGACTAGTACTAAGATTATCATTATCAGAAATAATTGATCTTTTGATATTCTAAGCAGTCAATAAATGTTAAACTAATTTATTCATTATCTATTAATGATCTAATGTTTATTCATTTACATCCTCAAAATCATCAATGAGTATTTCAATTTCACTATTTTATTTTGATTGATTGTCATTCAAATTATCTTCAAAAACACCTATTTCATCTAAGGATAATTATTACTAATTAAATGATGAATATAAATACTTCTTTTTCATTATAATCTAACAATAAGACTGGCTTACCATTAGGGATTATTCCACATTCTCTAGCACATTATACTGTAGTTAAAGGATTATCACCTGAAATGATTTTTAGATCAACTTATGCATTATTTAATAAATTAATAACATATGGAGTATCATGTTTTAATTTGTTTTCCATTGCCAACAATCCAAAAAACTAAATATCTTATTCACATTCTTATCTACTTGTATTCATTAATCTTTCACTTTCCTCTTAACTTATTTATTTATATCCAAATCCTAATATTCTAAGTCCTTTCATTGTCAATAAATTAAGGGTTTTCTTAAAATCAATAGGTATAGTATTTTGAATAGATAATTCTGCCATCTTTTCAGGCGAACCTTTAACAAAAACATAATAATCATCTTTGTCTTTTACTATTACACTCATCCTTTATAAAGCTGATTCAAATTCATACAATTTAAGTACATCCAATACAATACCTTCTCTATTTACAACTCTAGATTTAACATTTTAAGGAGGATGTTTTTCAAATTTAAAATCTGTAAATTTAAATAATTCTACATCAAGACTATCACCCATTAAATCACCTTCTATTTCATATGTTCCATGACAAGTAGCAAATAATTTAAATTCTAAACTATTTTTATAATTCACTTAATTTTTGGTTATGAATTTTCCAAATTTAGATTAATTTCTTAATTAATATCCAAACATATCTATTCCTATTGTTGTCAATGTTCCTGTCTTATCAAAACAAACTGTATTGATCTTACCAGCAACAAGTGATTTACTTGGATCTATACCAAAAATGCCTTTTTGTCTTAATCTAATTAATGAATATGTCTAACACATTGAAACAAAAATAGGTAAGGCTGGAGGTACTATCCATGTTAATGCATCCCAAAATCTTAAAAATATAATCATGAAACTAAATCCAACAGAAATCATTCTTGGTAGTAATGCAAAATAAACAATCAAAACACATATGGCTAAACAAATTAAATATTTTATTCCTTAACTGTAAAAAGGAAATGGCTAAACTTTTGGATATAAAACACTTCTAAATATCTACCCCTTAAAAGAGCTAAATCCTGTTCTTCCTACTATTGCAATAACATATTAATATGTAGGTCTTGCAAGTAAAACCTTTGTACCTTCATATAAACAATGTCTTTTATCAGCCATGAATGAAATTGGTTAATCCAAATCTTCTACTGGAATCTTTGGAATAGGAATTGATTCCCCTGTCAAAGAAGCTTCATTCATCAATAAATCTCCAGAAACTAAGACACAATCACAAGGCAATATCATTTTATTCTCAATTGCAATTATATCTCCTGGTACTAAATCTTTACTATCAATCTTCTTAAATTGAATTCCTTATTAATAAAAGGGTTACTACCCTCTATAAACTTAAACTTAAGCTAAACTCTTTGCCATGTTTCTCAATTTATTGGCTGAATTCTAAAGTAGTAAAAAGTTTATTGTTGTAAATATCAATGAAACGGATATCATTATTATTGACAATATTGCCAAGTCTTTTAATATTATTCAATCATTACCTTCTAATACCCACAAAAAACATGACAAATACTATAATATGTAAAATGGGGCTGTTAATTCTTTCACCAAATACACAAATAAATTAGGTTTTGGAATATCAATTATACATTTTCCATACTCTTCTTGAAATTTATTGGGGTCTAAGTTAATTAATCTTTTGCTTACATTATATACCAGTGGCTTACAGTAATTCTCTTTTAGTTTTCAAATCATATTCAAGAGCTTTAAATGTATTCATAGCACTATTATAGATATACTTTAATTTTCTGTTGATGAAATATATTTAGTTTTGCTTATTCTCTAACTTTGAGATGTTATTTGAATTATCATTATTAGTAATCCATATATGTGTAGCCTTGTCTAATTATGATTCTTTAAAGAAAAACTATCTTACAAGCTTCTTTGACCAACTACAAGCTAATGTGAACAAGAAGCTTGTGATTACAGAGAGAAACACTCCAAGTACTATTCTTCTCTTTTATAATCTTATTGGTTCTATATAAGTTATTTTTGTTGTGCCTTCTATTTCACAATCAACAACTACTGCATTCTATTCTTTAGATAAGAGACTTGAAGGATCCATTAAAGATATTATTAATAATTTTATGCATGAGTTATGATTGATATGTTTAAAAATGGTGTAACATTTTTATTTAGTACAATTGAAAATTGCATATTAAAAAAAAGATAATAAATGAATAATTATGATAATGCAGGTGAAGATTTTATTTAATAAATTAATGTATATCAGTCTTTCCTAAAATAATAAAACTTGGTGGACTCACACATCTCTTGTACCAACAGAGAATGAGTAAAAAGTGGTATCATTGGTAAATGGAGTGGGAAGCTTTTAGAATAAGGCATCTTTAATTTCAACATATTTGAGTTTAGAGGCAGTCAATCGTATCCCAGTTGCTAAGAAATTGGCAATTTATTTCAAGGCAGGAATTGTTGGTGCAGTATTTTTGGGATCAAGGTAATTTTATCATAATTCAAATTAGAATAGCAGCAGGATCTATTTATTAGAGAAATGTTTAAGGAGAGATTGGAAAAGTACTTGATGGTGCACCAATTTGGGAGAATAAGTTTGACGTTCCAGAATTAGACAAGAAATTCTTCTTTATTGATGATGATAATAATTTTGAACCCTCATTATGGCATCATGGAATGTATGCATTCATAAATAGAAAAGCAACTCAATTGAGAAGCCAAAGGTATTCTACAAACATGAGTGAATTTTAATCATTTAATGGATAAAATTTAAAATAAAATTAAATCTTTAAATTATTAATGGGTCGTATGCAAGCCAAGGGAAAAGGAAAGGGTATCTCTGGATCAGCCCTTCCATACAAGAGAAAAGCTCCAAAATGGTTGACTCTATCATCAAAGTCAATTGTTGATCAAATAGTGAATTTGGCAAAGAAGGGTAAAGAAATAATTGTAATTTGAGGTTTGAATGGATCATAAATTGGTGTTTATTTAAGAGATCAATAAGGAATTCCATAAACAAGATTCTTAACAGGATAAAAGATCTTGAGAATCTTAAAAAAGAGAGGTATTAATAGGTAGAATAACCTAAAGGTTGTGCTCCAAAGATTCCAGAAGACTTATATGCTTTGATTAAGAAGGCTGTTCAAATTAGAAAACATTTAGAAAAGAATAGAGGTGATATTACAAGCAAATTCAGATTGATTTTGGTTGAGAGCAGAATTCATAGATTAAGTAGATATTATAGAAGAACATAAAAATTGCCATCAAATTGGAAATAGTAAGCAATATTAATAAATGTTTAGTGTTTCAAAGACAGCATCAGCCTTAATTGGTCAATGAACAATATTTTATACATATAGTACATTATATAATAATTATATAAATAATTAATAATGTTGTCCCTTATTAATGTTTAATATTTATGATTAAATCTCAGAATCTGCCACCAAGATATTGGGATGTTGCAGTTAATTTTTCAGTTAAATGCTCTAAGATTCTTTCAACAATTTCTTATTATCTTTATCTTTCTGTGGTTTAAGTATCATAAGTGTTTTCTTAGAGAGCACACCATTCATGTTCAGCATCAAGAGTTTCTTGAGCTTATTCTAATTCCAACTAGTATAGATATAAATAATTATAATTACTTAATGGACTTCGAAGAAATGAGTTGCAGTATCAATGTTAGTCTTGAAAGTTTGGATTGATTATTCCAATTAATTCTTTCTATCAACCAATCTATTGTGTTCATTGCTCAAATGAGTAGAGAATTCAGCCCATCTTTAAGCTTATCTATTTTCAGTATCCTATATATATTTAATATATTAGAATTACTTCTAAAACTGATCTTGCTTCAACTAATTGTTATCTGAGTTATGAAAGCAATTGGAGAATTCTTTAAATAGCTTTTTGATCAACTTTAGTAGCTAATTCAGTCAAAGCTGTAACAATTGGTTAGAATAGAGCACCATGACTTTCATTTTCAATCAATCTCTTTTAAACAGCTTCAAATTTAGGTTTGAGTTCAGCAAAAGTAGCACCAAGAGAAAGATGTTAGACTAATTTAGTTGCTTCATCAACAGCAGCAATAGCATCATCATGCTCTCCATTCTTTCTAACCCATGTTTCATGAGCCTTATTTCTGTTAGCCTCTTCTTGAGCAAATGTTCTTTCATTACTTTCAATATCCTAATTAATTATTTATTATGCATATTTTTACTTAAATTGTTTATCTTACATCATTTTCAGCTTCTGCTAAAGCTTTTTCGTTATCTTCTCTCATTTGAGCATTAGCAGCTACTTAAGCTTAATGATAAGCAATTGAATTTTCTAAATCTGTGACTATACGAGTGCAAGCAGCTCTATCAACTCTGATAACATTATCATGTTTATTTTAATCATCAACTAAACCAGCTAAAACCTAATTTAACAAAACTAAAATTTCTTCTGCATTTCCTTTTGCTTGTAAATACATTTAAACTGTTGATAGAATTGTATTTCCAAAGTTGTCAGCATCAATTTCAGCTAACAATGTCTTTGTATCCTTCTGAACACCCATTACACATGAAACAATCAAGGCCAAAGCGATGAATTTATACATTATTAAAAAATTAACGAAAACGGATTATTAAATTAATATATTAATATATTAATCAAAGGTATCTGTAGCCATAACCTGTTGCTGGACGATATCCACTAACTCTACTTGGACTATATCTATAATTTGAATATGATGTTGGAGCAGGTGGAGGTGGTGAAAAATATTATGATTAACTTCCATAACCAACTCTACTTTAAGGTCCTCTCACTACTTGGCTATTCTATACTGGAACATAATCCACATGTTCATCATATCGATCAACTGGAATATATTCCACTCTTTTTTCTAGTCTAGGAACTGGTACATAGTCTGTCTCATGCTTAACTAAATAACATCAATTTATTTTTTAAACCTTCTATGTAATCAGTGTATGATTTCTCAACAGGTCGATATTCAACCTTTGTCTCTGGTACATAGTCTGTATATCTCTACTCTACAGGAATATATTCAGACCATTATTCGCCTCTTAATGGAGCTCTTGATTAATATGAGTATGGACGATCATAAGGACCGTAGTATGAAGGAGCATATTAACTTGTTGGATAAACAGGGACTGTGCGGTCGTAGGCACTTTGATAAAAAGGCTTGTAGTACGACATCAAAAAAACTTAAAATTATTTATTTTTATTTCTTCTAACAGAACTTTATTTTCATGTTAAATTTATTTTTTTTTATTAAATGCATTTAAAATTTCTCATACTTATCGATTTAATACAGGTAGAATATCATATAACTATCAAAATTAGACTTTTTGATTCTATATTCTTCTTTTCTTTTTCTTACTGATAAAAAAATAACAATCATAGCATTATATATAAATTTTAAATTATTTTCTATAACTTAACTTACGATTATTAATAAAGTACTTTTAAGATTCATCATAAAAACTTAAAATTTGTGAGAAATGGTCATTTTTAAGTTAAATTATAATAAGAATCCAAAGTTGTTAATCTAATTCATTGTATATATATACTTTTGGTTAACAAATTTTTAAATAGAATTAAGTAAATAAACCAAATTTCAACTGTTAAATATATTTAAGTAGATTTTTATTAATGTTTTATAGGATCTATAAATATACAATATATGTTATTCTTTGTTGAAGAGTATTTGGTTCTTTTAAAAAGCTATCAAATATTTATACTTATTAATAAAATAAAATTATATTGTTTTCACTTTCTTGAATGATTTAAGGATTAGGTTTTTTATAGTCAAAAAAACAATTATAAAACAAAAACAATTGATTTCATTTATTTTACTAACCTCTTCTATTTAACATATAATAAGCAATAGCATTTTATTGTAGACAAATAGTTATCATTTAACAAATGAAGAAGGATTTAACATTGATTTTTAGATTAAGATTAAAGTTCTAAAAATAGGATATAGTAATTGTATTCAATTAAAATTTATAGATCTACAATTGAATTCATTTATATTAAAACTTAATTGTATATATATAAAATTCTTATAATACAAATTATTATATATGTTATTGTAGGATTATAAAATGATTTTACTTTTTATAATCATAGGGATAATCAAATCAAATGCCCCAGGAACACTTTCTTGTATTACTTATTTATCAGAATAATTATGTGAAGAACCTGGATATTGTATATGGAATGGAACGACATGCTAAGATTACACATAAAATTAGGATTGTTATCGAATTAATGAGGTTGGAGCATGTCGAGAGAATGGAATATATTCATCAATAGGAGGATCTGGTTTATGTGAGCCTTTGATCAAATTAGAAAATGATTACAAAAATGTTTGTGGTATAACAAATATCGTTGATTACAATTATGTAAGATATCCAATAATAACAACTGGATTCTCTACTCATTCATTAGCAGGTTAAACAGTGGCTTAATTGAAAATGTCAGCACCTTAATAGAATTTTATATACTAAGTGTTAAGTGTAAATATTTAGATAGCTAAAAACCCAGATTTACAAATAATTTTAGACTTGTACAAAACATATGAGGCTGAATTAGTAAAAGTGTATATACATCCCTATTAAATTGAAAAGGCATTAATTTAGACATTATAAAATTTAAGAGATGATACAACTCCATTGTCACCTGTAGATAAATAGGCAACGATGACCAAATTTTGGACTTTGGTTGATGTCTATCTAAAGAGATTGCAGATTCATAAAAAGAACTATTAATCTTACAATTATTTTCTAAATTTTTTATAGGGATCTTTTTCAAGGTTATATTTGACCATAAAAGGATAGGGTCATATGATAACAATTAGTTGGTCTAAATATAAAAAAAATGGGTTGATTTAAATAATATCATATTCTCCAAAATTGGTAGGCATATTAAATGCTTTGAGTGATATTATTTTTGTAAATGTACTAGGTGAAGATAGAACATCATTTACAGATATTGAAAATATGAAGATTTCCTATGTATAAGAGAGTGGTACATTAACTAATATAGTGAGAAAATTGAAGTTTATTAGTGATAAAACATAGATTCCTCACTAATTAATGACATATACTATCAATTCTGCAATATGCAATTCAAATGAGAGAGAATGTGAATTTAGTTTTCCATCTCCTCTCTCAAATAGTACATTCGTTTTTTATGTAGAATAATGATTTAGTTGTTATTAATTTTACATTTTGATTTAAATATTAAAATATATTACTCAAATTTAATCATGAATGACAAATAGAGAAAATGAAAAAAATAATATTATATAATATGAATAATTTAAATTTTAGAATTTGTCCTATATATAGTTAAATGACGTGATATAAATAAATAATAAATGATTTATTTTTTTACACTTCTTTTAGCAATAGTAAGTTCAGTGTCTGTGGGAGAAACAGCTTGTACAGCCTTTAATGCAAATGCAGTTGATTGCAATGCTTCAGGTTATTGTAGACATGATGGAACTACATGTATTGGACTATCTTGCTATATGGTAAATGAAGTAGCAGCTTGTAGATCTGGACCTTCAGGGAGTGGAATTCCTACAGGAGCTCTATCATCAAAATGTGACTCATTAGAGTAGTTTAGTTTACAATATGATAATGTTTGTGTTGATAAAGGAGATGGTAAATTGAATTATGCTTTTGTACGTTTTGCTAAAACCACAGAGGGATCTGCACTTTAAACTACTGGTACAACACCTATACTCGTTGGAGCATTAACTGCTTCAGAACCAAATATGTTCTCTTTGTATACAATAAACCCATGGAAATCTCCTGAGGGAAGTCAAAGTGCAGCTACTTTGAAAACAGAGTTAGAAGCAATATTGGATAGATATATTTTATTTTATTAAGTATTGATTGATACTACTAATTCTCATCCATTCTACTTAGAAAGAACTACTTACTAAGCATTATAATTGATAAGAGTATTATAAATTCCATTTAATGATAGGATTAAGTAGATTTTGATTATACAATGAGAAAAGCAATACTACCTAAAATATGGTAAGTTGCTGAAATAGCTCTTTTTAGAATTGCTAAATTTTCACCTGCTTATTATCAAACAAATTATTATTTCCTTAATTTTGCATCATGTCCATATTCTAGAAGAGAATTAAAAATTAATGGATAATTAAACACAGTTAGAATTGATTGGATTGGTTATACATATACAGCAAATGGATTTATGCAAGTCTATTCTTATGCTGCAGAATAGTTTGGTATAAGAAATGCACTTACAGACATCATTGCTTTGAGACCAACTACTTCTGTCATCACAGCTGATACCATAAATTTAGATACTGGATTTACAGGTTTTTACTTAGAATGGACTTGGACTGACACAAATTTAGTTGTTGTTGAAAAAGATATCAAATTATATTAATTTGATGAAAGTGCTGCCATAGCAACTGATGTTGTTAAATAAGTAACTACAACTATCACTTGTACTATTGCTACAAAAACATGTAAAACAACTGTTATAACTACACCAATTACTTCTGCTACTACTAGAATCAATTATTATTTTAGTTATGGTCCTGGTAAATGTGTTGATAAAACTGAAATGTAATGCAAATTATCAATCGAATAAGGAGCACCATGTACTTATACATCATCTAAAACAACTGATTATAAATGTTCCTGATTAATAATTATTAATAAATATAAATATATATTCAATGATAAACTTTCAAGATCGATTTAAAGGCAAAATGTCATACATCTCAAAATATGGAATTAACTAATCTCCTGATATTAAATAAAATAGCTAAATTCTGGTATTCTTTTGATGACTATTAAGTAATAAGATTAATCAAACAATAAAAGTCTTTAAAAAATTATTAATCTAAACTCCAAATCACCTATCAAAAATTCTTATTTTTATAAGTTACCTCCAATAAAAAATAAAATTGTAGATAGAACTTTAAATTTTAATTAACAGAAATAATAAATATAAACGAAGAAAATGTATTAATCTACAAATATTTCAGTTATTCAGCTGACCACTCAAAAATTAGTTTGAAGAAATATGATAGTGATCTTGAAAAAATTTAAATGAAGCATTTGCAATATTTAAATAAGATTGAATAATTATATATGCTTTAAAAAAATTGATTAAAATATCATTAAATGAAAATTCAGACATTTTTAGATAAATTTATATAATACAATAATTTTAATATAAAAAAAAATAATTTTTAACTTCATTTTTTTTTTTACTTACAATTTAAGATTTCTTATTTGAGAGAATAGAAATATCTAATATGTAATATCTCTCATAACATTAATAGTCATTAAATCTTATTTATAATAAAAGAGAAGGTTTATTATAATCATATAATTTATAACTTTATTGTAATAAATCATAAATTCTTAAAATGCATTAATGATACTATTAATATAATTGTTAATTTTCTTTTGTATCTCGAATTTAATGCTGTTGATTATATTTGATAATATTTATTCCATTAAAAATTAAACCAATATTATGAATTCCAATTATCATGAATAAAAATATTGGTTTTGTAAATAAAGAATCTTTTATTTATATACATCAATTATTTTTTGAATTAATTAAATAAGAATGGAGGAAAGAAAGAGAAATGATTTTAGTTAATTTAGAGATGTTTTAACGTTATATAATTTAAATATAAAAATGAAATTGTAAAATATTCGAACTATTGATTTCAGCAAGGCTAACAAATAGATTAAGGATCTATCTCATAAATTTTTATAGAGCAAGATGCTTAGAAAGAACAAAGAGAATTTCAATCCAAATACTAGTCATTAAGATGCTGCAGCAAAATTATTATTAGAAGCTCTGCAAAAACCAATACTGAGAAATCTTAGAGATTTAATTAGAATTAAGTAGTCAGTAGTTTGTGAGAGAAATATTTTTGATGAGGTTTGTTCAATGGGTGTAAGTGAAAATAGTGACATAGGAGAAGGATTCAAGATTTCTTTTGCAAATTTGAGTATCAAATAAGAAAGTATTGTGGATTGTGAAAGTATTCAGCCTACAAATGCACCAATATTATTATTTATGGTGATTCAAAATATTAGAAAGAAGAAAATGATAATCTCATTCTAAGAAATCAAATTTTTCATACTATAAAGAAGTTTGAGCTCAGTTAACAAAAGACTTGAATATGCAAAATAAGAATAATTGCGTAAAATTATTGTTAACAAAACAAAGTAGGAATAGTTATTACTTTAAGTATACTTGAAATATTGGTCTTAATAAACACAACTTCTTATATTTTTTGATCATTTTGGTTCAAAAATAATGAAAATATACAAAAATAGATTGAATGAATATATAATTGCAATGAAATAGTAAATAGCAAAAAGAGAGGCAGCCTAACATTTAGTTAGGATTGTAAATAAGAAATTATTTGAATATGGACAAAATTTGAATAAAGTGAAAAACAATTTACATTTGTAAAATTGTTTGAAATAGGTGTTTATAAGATAATTGAGAAGTTCATTTTAGTAATTGTTATAGAAAAGACATAGATCTCCAGTTATTTTTGAATTAATGAATAAATTTCAAAATAATTTATTGAGATAGAGTTTAAAGATTTTTTAATTGCATGTATTAAGATAGAAAAGAAGGATTAAGTCATTTACATATGGTTTTGAAGATCTTAATAAAATAATGAATAAATTAGATTATAAATTGGGTTTTATTAGACTTCAAAATAAAAACTAAAAATAATAAAGATTATTGCCAACAAAATTTTTAATAATGATTCTTAAAAAAATACAGGACAGGCAAAAACATTGGGTTTTGCGAAAATTAAATTAATGAAATATAATAATTAAAATTATTGTCTATTTAACTATTGAAAGAATGAATATAAATGTAGGGGATTATTGGATTTGAATTTCCTATATTTGTCATAATTCTGAATTGTATTAAGTTTCTCTTAATCCATTAATTAATATATATATATATATATATAAAAGATTTAATTTGCATCAATGGTTCGACTTGAGAAACTCATCTATGAACAATTAGTCAATATTCGTGCTTTGAAAAGAGAGAGAATTATAGGATCACCAAGAAAATGGTATTCTGAACCACGTACACCAGCAATGACACTTTCAGCAGTCAAATTATTCACATAAGGATGGACTGGATTAATTTACAAATTTGTTGAGCCTTTATTTGCAAGGTAAAGTGATTTTGAATACAAAACTTAGATTCTTATACAGATGGATGAGAAATATAGGATTAGATAGAGGATTGGCCATGGAAGACTTATTGTTATTTTAAGATAGAGAATTAAGAAGAGATCCATTATTTGAACATATTTAAAGAGAAGGATTCCATCCATATACTTGGATTATGTTCAATAAGAGAAGAGCAAGATTTTCAAAAGTAGAAAGAGGTGTAAGAGGATCTACTGCTCCTGAATGGTTATAAGCAGAAGCAAGAGAACGTACATTGGCTGATAGTGTTGAAAATATTTATGAATGGGATAATTACGTTTATCAAAATTATATGAGTGACATGACACCAACAGCAAGAGGAACAATATTATAGAAATTATTACCATTGGAATGGTTCCTATTTTTTGGTATGTTGAGAGTTGATTCATGGGATAGATATTTCTATAATGAAGTAATGTATAAAGGATTAGAATATTCAAAAGAAGAGTTGGCTAACATTCCTAAACCATTTAAGGCATAATTATGTATAAATTTATTATTAATCAATTTAATTAGCAACTGAAGAAGGTAGAAGACAATTTGAAGTAAATGTAAATAGATTTATTGATCTTTATCCAGGATCAATTGTGAAGGAAGGGTATTATTATTATTATATTAAAATTTTAGTGATAAATTTGATTTCTAAAGATTTTATGCTCTTGAAGCAATTAATAATAATAGAGATCTCAGCAAATTTGATTCTTCATTAATTGCTTAATTGAAATCAGAACTTACTTAATAGGTTGCATTAAAAACAAGCACTAAAGTAAAGAAACAAAGAGCCACTCTCCCAAGTTGGTTATAGTAAGATGGAAAGGGATTCTTAGCATGATCTATTAAATAAAATATATAATTATAAATAATATTTTTATAATAATATAAATATGTTTATACACAAAGGCATTCTAAAGCAATCAATATTAAAAATGAATAAATCTCATTTACTATTATAAATTTATAACATAAAAATGTTGGTATCCTATTAATAACAATCTAAATAATAAAAACTTTTATGATCTTAATTGATCTTAATCATTTCCAGTAACTTATTTAATTAAAGGCTTTTGAATTAATTAATACAATAAAGAAATCAAATTCAAAGATGTATTAAGAACTTTATAAAAACCAAGTATTGATTTGTGTGAATGAAATCCAATAATTAGACAATTTAATAAAGAAATAGACTAAAATAAATTTAAGATATTAGAGAGAAATTAAAAGAAATAATTATTATATGTTGATGCTAATTCAAATTTCATATAGTTTTATAAGGAATTGATTAAATTAAATAATGTTAATTATAAAAAAAGTTAACATAAGAAAATCATAATGAACTCAGTCGCATATAGTAAATCTAATAAAGAAGAAAGATTTAATTTATCATTATTTAGATATTTTTATTAATGTATTATTAAAGATAACTTAAATTATTATGATTTTAATTATAATATTAAATTATAAAAATCTACATTATAAGCAACCTTTATGTATTTGATTATCTACTTGCTTTTCCATAATATTTAATGCTAATGCTATTAGAAGTATAAGGATTAGACCATATATTTATCACCTGGAGAAACTTTAAAATTAGATTTGTAAAATTATATATACGGTAAACAACTTCATTATTCATCTTCAAATGATTGTTTAGAGAGCAAATTGAACTAGAAAAACATAACTTTAGCCAATTTATAATTATCAGATTACTCAGAATATAGTTTATGCTATGACCCTATAAGTGGAATTTGTAATTAACAAGAAATTTATTATTATTATTATAGAGTTTGGACAAACAGTGTAAATGTATGTTAAAGATCAATAAGTTACTATAGTATTTTATAATATTACTGATACTTTATCAAGACCCATTTATAAAACAAATTTTAAAATTGATCGAGTATTACAATTAATTAATATGTAGAATATTGAATGTTAAAATGTATTATGCATGAGAATTAATTTGGGTTTGATTGAATGCAATCATAAAACAAAAGAATAATCAACCATCTATTTAATTAATGCACAATTACAATAAACTTAAATCTATATTCTACAAATTAATCAATTGGGCCCTATATAGTAATTGATATCATAATAAATAGAGCAGGAATGATCAATTACATCAATGATGACGTAGTGACTTACTATAAAATGGTCAATTTCATTAACAACAATAGAATTGACATGTACAGTATAAATGTTACTTCCAAAGAACTTACAATCTCTACCATAATAGATAAATTAATCTATAAATTGTAATCATTAAACTTATATAATTTCTTGATTTATAATTAAGCTATCTATTTTTTATCAAAAGAACTTGGAGTATGTTATGTTAAAAATTACTCTTATAATTATTGTTGGAAATTTACAGATGATTTTGATGTTTTTAGTGTCTACATTGAATAAAATGGATTTCATAGTATACTCTTAGGATCAACTGTTACTTCTGATATCTTTAAAACTTATTTGTTTGATGATGATACCTACAAAATTATTTAAATGTATAAGTTATCTAAAAATATGACTATTTCATAGATATACCATAATGATAGGTACAGTTTTATTATTGGACACAAAAATAACAATACAAAGAAGTATTATATAGAAATTTATACTCAAATGGATGATTTCACATCTAATTTGTATAAATCAATTGAAATTGCTTCCTTTAAAGAGTTCTTCTATTTTGATAGTCTAAACAGTATGATGAATTATTAATTTAGATAATGCCTATGCAATTAATAATAGGTCCATATTCATTATAACTCCATAAGTATCATATCTTACAATTGATGATGGTCAATGCTTTGGTGAGATTATTGAAATTAAAGCATAATTTCCTTCTATTGAAACAGATATAATATGTAATTTCATATTCTATGTTATTAAACTTGAAGAAGGAAGCCTAGATATTTATGACAAATAAGAATTGGATTACTCTTTAAATGTTTTAAATCAAAGTATTAATAACATATATTTAAATAATTTTGTAATTGGTCCTAATATTGATTATTATTTATATAATACAACATCTATTGATAATTCAAATGAAAATGATTTTGAAAAGATCAAATTTAAAGAGCATTTTACAATTTAATATGCCTAAACTATGGATATCACTTCTATCATATATAATCGTGCCTTTAAGACTGTAATTAAAGATTAATATATTCAAATAATCTAATGGAAAGACTTAACTCTTTAAATATTTAATTGTATTATCTCTGATACTGATAGAGAGATTAATTGTATTTATAAATAAAACATCAAACTTTAAGATCCAGTATTGTAAGTTGTTACTGGATTATCATGTTCAACTGAATGTTTTGTTATAAGATAAGAAAAAAGAGCAGATCTTTATGTTGAATATAATAATAAGTTTATAAATACTAATTGTTATATTGATTCACAATATAATATTTAGACAATTAAATTGCATTTAGATAAATATTTAGTAGAATTAGAAAATAATAAGATACAAGTATGAATTAATTTTAAATAGATATACTTACCATTATATAAATAATCAATGACTTGTAATTTTTAAAAAGTTTTCGAGATTGATTCTCTATAATTAGAAGAACTTGTAAATGCTAATAGATCTATCAATATATTTAATGTTAAAACTAATATTAATATTTTCAATCTCTACATTTCAACTAATTTAGGTTTAATTATTATAGATCCAGGCTTATTAAGATTCTAACAAATTAAATTAATTGCATTTGTATAATTTAATTAATAATTTGACACAGTATTATAAGTCATTAGAAATCGAATTATCACATTATAGTATAAATAGATAATCATCATCAATCTAGTCTAATAAAATTTATATTATACTGAAAAAGTATTACCAAATTTCAATTTCACAATAACAAATACAACAAATTCATAAATTGCTCTTTCTTAAAATTATTTTTATTTGCAAGCTAAAGATTCCAATTACTCTGATGTTATAATAGTTTACAAAGTGGATGAACCTTAAATTTCAGCTTTTCATACATATTTCTTTAAAAATAATAATTTAGATTTTAGTGTAATAGAAAAATAAGATGATGAAATATTTTTGATACAATTATTTGATGCCCAAAAATTATACAGTTCTGTTTTTTTATAATTCCAATCATCTTAGTCAAAAATAATTAAGGTACTTTTTTCAGGATTTACAAGTTATGCAAAATTAATGGATATAAATGTAAATGTAAAAACTGCAGAAAAGTAATACAATCTTACATTATTAAATAATGATACTTAAAATATAACTTATGGTGATTAGATTTCAGAATACATTAAATTAGATGGATATAATGATTTTATTGATGGTAGTGTAAGTGAATGGTCTATTAAATGTTCTTCTTGTTAAAAAGAATTAGAACTTATCAATAACATTAATTATGACAAATATTTAACATAGATACCAAACACTACATAAATTAAACATACTTTTGATTATGTTTTAATATAATAAGAATAAAGTATAATTGCAATTGATAATTTTGGAAAAGTGAAATTTTATATCCCATTGCCTCTATCAGAATAATCAACCAAATGTACATCAATAACTGCCAATACTTGGGATAATAAAACAAAATTAGTTGTTTCAGTTTGTAATACAAAATCCTAAGCTTAATTTTATATTACATCATTTTTAAGTTCATTCCCTGTTCCTATGGGTCCTTTCTATACACCATTATTAATTAATTAAATCACTCATATAAGAATGTTACATGAAATTTTGTTTATTTTGGATGTAGTGACAGAATATGTTTATTTGCTTAATCTAACAATTGATGAAAATTAAGGAGATTCTTTGAGAGTGATAAATACATTAAATGCTAGAGAATTCACTGCTGATAAAGGTTAAGTCTTTGTTAGTTTTGACGTAGCATATAATGATGATACTTACCTATTATTTTTGCTAACAAATACATCATGTAACTAATATAAATTATAATAGAATTTATCATTTATACTTATCCTTAAGATGACGCTTATACATTAGATTTGATATTCTTTTTCTATGATAAAGGATTTACAGACATACCCTCAAATATAGTACCATAATCGTTGATAGTAGCAGAGACAGAATAAAAGGAAGATATATAATATTACAGAATTATTGTGGCTAATCAAAATTTTCATCATTATGAATTAGAGATTAGTATAGGATATCTAGACAATTCTATTTAATGCAAATTTATTAGGGCTTATATGTAATATGGATATTTCTATGCTAATGGAAAGATTAGAGTCTCAGAAGAGACATAAGGATTCTTTGGTTTGATTTACTAAAATCCTTTAGATGAAAGACAAAAATTATTGGTTGTTTATGATAGGTTTAGTAAAAGCTAAGAAAGGCTGAGAAAGATACTTGGAGGATATAAGATATTTTCAAATTATTAAATGTAAATATATGAAAAAAATATTTAAGCTTGTTTGATTTTTTACATTTTAAAATGAGAAATGATGAATTTTCATATGGTATCATTTTGTAAGATGGGCCTATATTAAATTCCTTGACTTTATCTAGATATTTGGCTATTAAAGTAAAATTCAAAGAATTTCAAACATAAAATATTACCTTCAATGCTTCAAATGACTTTGGAAAATGGGTTAGTTTTAAAGCAAATATTTATAATAGACATGGAGAAGTAATAGATAATATATTATTTATTAGGCAAATTTACTTTACATAATGATATCTTTAGGAGTTGTTGTATTTATAGTGATATTCTTATCATGGCTATATGTTAGGAATAAAATAAAATAACTTGAATCTAAAGGGTTTGATGTGATACAAGAAGAAGATGATATCGTTAAAGAAGATCAATGATTTTTATTTATAAATATTTTATTTAAGAATTATGATATAATTGGATAATTGTTAGATGAATATCAATTTTTTTTCTTTGGAGGATTCCACATTTAAGTTAATGTATCTTGGACTAAAAGTGTAATCATAGCATGTGGTCCTACTCTTGTATAAAAGACTGGCAACCCAACCCATAATCCTGTTACACCTTCTCTTTTGATTGTCTAAAGTTTATTAATAAGAATTTAATTACTTTGAGGAAACAATCTCCAATGTTTTTGTAAGGGAATTGTCCTGTTGTTGGATCTTTTTTCATTCTTTAAAGTTTGGTTTTGAGATTGTCAGGAGGCAAAGAAGCAATTGCACATCCAATACCAGCTGCAGCAGAGGATCTATAAGTATAAAGGATAGAATATACAATAATTTATCCATATAATCTTCCTTTCCTTTACCATGAAGAGATACGATAATGTCTTTGATTTGATCATAGGTTGTTAACATACCTAATAAAATAAGTTGTTGAATTACTTAAGTTCATAGCAATGGCTCTAATGACTGTTGGTAATGATCCTCTCCAGAGTGTGATAAGTCCCTCTTCACTAACAATTCTGTAGAGAGCATCAAAAACATTTTTATAATTTCTTCTTTATGCTTCTGGTAAGAGGGTGTCAGCTTAAAATCTAACCAGACATAAATCAGCTGGATTTCCTACAATGGATCCAACAAATCCAGAAAATGAAGATGCTAAACATCTTTCCCAAAAGATCATGCTTCTACCATGTGTTCTTTTATAATGATCATCGATAGCTCTATATAATCCCAAACGAGTAGTAGCATAAGTGACTTATCTCAATAGAGCAGCTCCAATTCTAATAATATATATTATTTATAACCCTTTGTAAAATCCGAAGGGTCCTTCTGTTTTGATGATGTCTTTGATAATTTCAACTGTGTTGACATTGATAGTTTATCCTTGTCCTTTAAGTTCACTTCGGACTTGAATACGTACTTTTACAGTATCCATTGGTTGGACGAAGGTTGTGGCTGTACATCCTGAGATACCTCCGATTAAAAAAGGAGATATTAATTCAAACAATGTTGGCATATCTAATTTTTATTTATATTAAATAATTCTTAAAGTGCTACAGGATAAATCAGAAAATAAGAGTAAGTATAAATATTCATAAGCATAAATGAAGAAAGAAAAAATCAAAATTATAGAGTCATTTGAAAATTTATTTAAAAAATATATAAAAATTGAATATATACAATTATTTGGGAAGAGAATTAGTTATATGAAATCAATGGATTATCGATAAGATTCTCAAACATATTTTATGTTTATGATCTTGATTATAATAATATTCAATTTCAAAAGAAGATTATTTAATAATTGATTATATTTAAATTAAAGTAGCTTTAGATAAGAAAATTATATATAAGGGGATCAAGATTAAGAAGGATAAGTATTTAAAATAAATGCATATATTAATAATCAATATATGTTAAATCTTTTGGGAAGATAAAAGTTTGATTAATTCATTTTAATATTACAAAATATATTTATTATTATAAAGCACTTTGTATTTATTGTTTCTGAACTCAATACTTAAAGATTCTTCTTAATGATTGATAAGATTAATGGAAATATAATCTTCTTAATAAAGAGAAGATGGTTTTTTGTTTCTCAAAGAAATAAAATAAAATGATAGATAGTTGAATAAAATATTTTAGAGGAGTCAGAAATTAAAGGATTATGAAAATTAACCAACTATTTTAATTTTTGGATGTTCTATAATTTTTTTTATTTTTAATTAATCTATTTAATATATTATTTATAAATCATTCAGATAATTTTGATTAATATAATCTATTGATCTATCAAAAATATATAATTTTTATATTCTTAATCTTCTAATTAGTTGATTCTAATTGCATCTTAAATGTTCAGTTATATTATTTCAATTATAGCAATTTAGATGTTAATTAATACATTTATTTCATTTAATCTTGATTAAATCTCCTTCAATTTATTATGTAGTTGCTAAACAGACTTATAAGTTTAGTTTTTCAAATCATCAACTAATCTATTAAGATTATCAACTTGGGTCTTATGATTAGATTCTAATTGATCTTGGTCTGCTTATAATGCAGTAATCAAACTTGTAACAAAGACTAAGAAAATTGTTCAAAGTTTCAGAGGATTTACTTTAGTAATCATATCTACTAATCCTTCAATAATTGATTAAAATAAGGTGAGGGAACTATTTTTAGTATGGATATAAAGAATCTCCTTAATTTTGTAGAAGTTCTCTTAGGTCTAAATTTAATTAGATTTAGTGTCTTATCTAAATTAATAATCATAACAATATTACGTCAATCAAATTAAAGAAGCTCATTCTCCTCTTAAATTCAATAATAATCTCTAAGCTTCTTTATATACTAATAGGGTATCATTGTAATCTAAGTATTTAGTAGTAAATTTATATTTTTTAAAGTCTAATCTTGCTTAAGCATCATTAAAGCCTCTACTATTCAGTCCAACCTAATCTTCTTTGGCTTTCGTTTCGAGTGTAGTTAATTCATTATTGAGATATGTTAATTCTAGTCTCTAATTAAGCTTATTCTAAAGTAGCTTTAAATTTAGCTAGATAGACTTATAAGTTTAACAATTTACCTTTTATAAAATACTATGCAGAAATATCTAATGATCACATTATCTATAGTAGTCTTATGAAATAATTAAATATTTAGTTATTTATTAATTCTTATTGAAGATATTAAATAATAATGTCCATAACATCATAATTATTGAACTTAAATCTAAAGTGTTTAACGATAATTGTTAAGTTTTTGGATTATTGAGAAAAAAGAATGATTAAAATTATAATTAATTTAATTTAAAGATTATAATGAGAGTTTCCATGATGATGAATAAGTATTTAAAGTCTTATTGTCAATTATAGATGACATTTAATAATGTAATAAATTATAATCATTTAACATTGAATTAATTTTATATTAACACTGAACAATTTTCAATAGTTTATTTATCGGCATTATCAAAAACCAGTGATCCATTCTGATAATTACTAATAATAATCTTACGATAAGTTTTAAATAGTAAAATCATAATTTATACACCAAAATTTATTGAATATTATTATAATATCTTTTACTATTAAATTAATTCTCTTTCATCTTCCTTTTTATACATTTATTCAATATTAGCACATACTAATCTCGATCTCTATTCTTACAAATATTATTTGCATTAATCTAATTTCAAATTATCCAATTTCTCCAATTATTTCTCCATCAAATCAAATATCCTATATAAAAATTATTTCTTTTTAATTAGCTCAGTCATCACATTACTTTCATTTGTTCCAGTTTTCAATCTCTTTGTACTTATTGATCTAATTGGAGATGCTTAAGTACTAGTAGTCTTACAATGCTCTGCTAAATTCTACTAAGAATATTGCTTCTACATTTAAGTTTTCTTTACACTTATTGGTAAACCTTTTAAATCTAACTTCTATTGTTATTATCCCAATATTGTCTAAAATAATTAATCCCAACCCCATCTATCTTTTTCTTCTTTACCCAAACAACCTATGATTATTTATTTTGTCCTTTAATCAATCTTAGGCAATAGAGGAAATTTCAAAGATTCATTATCTAAACGATTTAGCAACTCAACTACATTAGAAGAATGCCATGGAGTTGTCTTATATATCATTTCATATAAAATAAGACCCAGTGACCATATGTCAGATTTGCTTGTATAAGGTAATCTTCGTAAAATCTAGGGAGCCATATAAAGTGGTGTTCCAACTAAAGAGGACATGGTTGAATCTATTTAAACTCTCTTTGCAAATCCAAAATCAGTTATCTTGAATATGCCATCTTATAGTAGAATATTTGCTGGCTTCAAATCTCTATGCACTATACCATTTTTAAGCAATTCTTATAATCCATTTAAAATTTGTTTAAATATTTCTATGGCTCTCTCTTCTGATAATTGACGGGGTATCAAATAGGCCTTTAAGTCCCCTCCATTACAATACTCTGTCACTATATAAATATTGTTTGTGCTATGAAATACATCCAATAATTTCACTATATTTTAATGATTGAGTGATTTCATTATCTCCACTTCTTAAGCTATTTATTAAGATGTGTAATCACTTTTAATAAGATTGTTACTTATAATTTTAATAGCCACAGCTATTAAATTAATTGAATATATTACTCTGGTCATTAGAAGTATCTCTGGCCATATAAACATTAGCATAAGCACCTGAACCAATTTTAGCATCATAAAGAAATTCATAATGCTTTACTTTCTTCTTTTATTTAATTCTCTCACTTTACATTATTACTAAATAATAAATATTAATATATCCATACTTTATATTATTCCTAAACTTATAAAAGAGTGATTCATTTTTATAAAGATTTAAGAATTATAATTTATTTTTATGACAAACTAAAATAACCTATTGTTAGTACTTGATATATATATATATATCAATATTTCTATGAAATTGCTACTTCTAATGATCAATGCTCTTATAAAATAGTATTATTTAATATTAAAACTGTTTTTTTGTAATATCAAATACATCATATTCAAATATCTATAAATTCTTATTGCAGAACAGAAAAACATTTTCTCAATCAACAATATACTCATTAGATACTAAATCAAACATAAAAGTATTATAATAGGAATTTATAGAAAATAGTCTGATTAGAATTCAACTTTAAAATTTTTAGATCAAAAGTCATAAACATTAATTGTAGAAAATCTTTGTTGATTTTTCCCTAATATTATTATTTCAAATTTTGTATAGTGTTACTGTCGAATGAATATAATGATGAATGTTATTAATGTTAAAATAAGAAAGTCATAAAATATACTCAAATGTTATCATCTTCATCAGTCTCTTCTTCTATCAAACATAATAATTTCTTTGTTTACTATGTTCTTTAGAATTAGTTTCTAAATACTTAAATTTATTAAAGTAATAAGGCTGACATCTAATCCTAAGAAGTATCAAGTTAAGGATTAGACAAATTTAATATCACTTCTTTCAAGTATTATTTCTCTTCATCACTTACTAATCCCAGAGAATGGAAATTTTAGAGTGTCTGGAATGCTAATTTGTAAAATGATTACATTAGAATATAATTAATCATTAAATCTAATTGATGTTGTTAATAAATCCACAACGCATGGTTTCTTAGGATATATATATTTAATAAAATAAATCAATATTTTTTATAATAACTCACCAAATGAAGTTATTTTTTTAATTCTCCATAATTATCTATAATATCATTAATGGTTATTATAATTAAATATATATATAGGAAATATTTCCATCATTAAATATGTCCAAATTATCAATTATTTTTTTATATCTAATTTTCATGAGTTTTAGGCAAAGATAAATTTTGAATTTTATTTATATTGGATTTCTTTTTAGAAAATATTCATATCATTTACTAAAAACTTAACTTATTTCAAATAATTCTATAATTTAATGATTTTTATGAAAATTATCCTTAATAATAGGAATTAAATCAAAAATTTTCAGATTTAAATAATTCTATATATAACATTTACTTTCTGCATCATCATATTAGTAAAATAAGAGTTCTACTTTTTTTATTAAATTAATTTAACATTAATTATTCAAATTGATTTTATTAAATTCCATTTTGATTCTCAATTATCTCTAATCCAAAACTATCTAAAATACTTAATTAATAAAGTTAATTTCGATTATAGAAGAGGAGATATTCTAATTTATTCAAAATTATTTGGTGTTCTTAATATTTTCAAATGCTTAAAAATGATATTTGTTGAGATCATTCTTTTTCCATATCAACTTTTGATTGGACAGATGATGTGGATAACACACTTTTAGTCTCTTTTAAGGTAACCTTCATTATCATATTACATTGAATTTATAAATCAAATAATTAATATGGAGGAAAATAAACTAAAATTATTAAATCAATCTTTAATTTGTTTCTAATGATGACTCATTAATTTATTAAAAAATCCACCTTCAATTTTGATTAATTCTTAATATTCCCCTTATTCAACTATTTCTCCTTATTCCATAACTACAATTTTATCATAAATTTTAATATTTTCTAATCTATGTGTAATCACTAATAAAGTTCTATTTTCAGCAAATTTAAATAATAAATCATGTAATAACTAATAAATTGTATATAATAATACTTAATCTGTTTTAGGATCCATGTTTGAAGTTGCTTCATCTAAACAAATTATCTCTTTATTCATAAGAACAATTCTTAAAAAGTTTAATACTTATTTCTCTCCATTTGATAGATTGGATCCATTTTATGATATAATAAAATCTGCATTACAAGAATTATTATTAGTATTATTAATTCCTCTTAATTAAAATCCAGTATCAATAAATAATTTTTCAATAACATCTTTGGTTGTTTTATTTTGAGGATCTAAATTATCTTTAACACTTGCATTATATAGAAATCCAAATTAAGGTACTACAGATAATTATGATCTCAATTCTCTTAATGTTAATTTTGATGACTAATAAAGATATATATATAAATGATTACATCCATTCCATTTATAAAGATCTATCCATATTAATGATGATAGAGTCCAAATAAGATATTTAAAATAGATGTTTTTCCAGATCCTGTTCTTCCAACAAAAGCTATTTTTTATCCTTTTTTTATTGTTAAAGAGAAGTTTTTTAATGCAAATTTAGCTTCAGCTGAAACATTTTCATAAGTTAAATATATATTTTTAAATGTAACTGCATTTTCTATTCTAAATTCAGTAAATTCTTTAACATCTTTCCATATATCAAAATCAATTTTTGGTAGTATTTAAACTTTATCAATATTTTCAGTTTCATTACTAAAATATTATTTAACTCTTTCTACAGAAACAATACCTGATTCCATTCTTAAATATAAAGAAAATAAATCATAAAAACTATCTAATACTACCATTGAATAAGTAATTGCTAATGCTTATACTGAATAATCATCAGAAAAATCAAACATTATTGTAAGGATTACAAAACTTGATACAAAAATAAGAATTAAATTACTCATCAAATTTAATCTGACTCCAAACCATAATTTTGATCTTTCTCCACATTAATCTGTCATAACCCAATTTTATAATTTATTCTAAAAAGTTTAACAAAATAAAGAATTTTTATCAAAAGCTCTTATTATTTTGATTCCAGTAAGAGTTTCATTAACTGTTTATAATAGAGATCCTTGATTGACTGATTTTAATCTTTTAATTTCTCTATTTGATTTGATATATATTTTACTGACTTAATAATAAAGTACTACAACTCCTATTAATATTAATACAAATATTGGTTCCAATATAACTAAACCTATAGATAAACCAGTTACTCTACTAACATTTTCTAAAAAACAATGAAATGTCCAACTTAAATCATCATCAATCATTTATGTATCATCTTATATTCTATTTATTATTCTTCCAGCATTTGTTTTATCATAAAATTTCATCACAGATTACATTAAAACCTTATTCAATCTAAAATATATAATAAAAATAATACTTAACAAAAAGTACCCAAGCTGATCTCAATGCTGTTGAAACATATAAAGCTGCTCTAACAAAAGTAACTAATAAGGCAAATAAAGTTAGATATAGTAAAGTATCAGTAAATGAATTATTAAAATACATTGTAATTTAATGTAACCATGTATCCTCATTTCCTTTCAATTCTGATTTTAACCAAAAATCAATTAAAGACATTGATCCTTACATAAAGAAATTTACAATAACCCATCCAATCAAAGAAACCAACTCATACTACTAAAGTATGTTATCCAAGTATTCATATTAATTTTTCCTTATTCTCTTTATTCCTAATTTTCAGTATCATCATCTTCAACTTTATGCTAAAATTATTCTTTCTCACTTTTCTTAGAACTTTTCTATTTAATCAATTCTGGTATCATTTACTCTAATTCCTCTTCAATATTTGGTTTATCTTCTTCTGGTTCTTATTCTTTTTCCAAATATTCATTTATGATATTCTTATCATTAATTATTTATCCATTTTCTAAATATATTATTCTTGATTTAACATTAGGAGGCACTTAATTTAAATATCTATAATGAGAAGTAATCAATAAAACTGTTTTTCCATTATTTATTAAAAAATCTAATATAGTTTTCTAAAATATTTGATCTGCTATATGAATGTCTAATGATGAGAATATGTCATCAAATAAATATATATCACAATTTTAATATAATGCTCTGGCTAATGTAATTCTTTATTTTTATCCTCCACTTAAATTCTTACCATCAGGTCCTATTTCATGAAAATCCTATTTCTCAAAAGTCATAATATCTTTCCTTATTTCACATACATCTATTACTTCATTATATAATTTCTAATTAAAAGGTAATCCAAATAATATATTGTCCCTAATACTCATATTCTAAACCCAAGATGTTTAAGAACAATAACCTATATTTCCTTTTATTATTATTTAATCACTAATAGTCAACATTCTTTATCCTGAAATTAATGAATCAGATCTAATTGAATTACTGTTGTACATTCCTTCATATTAATTATACTTTTATAATTCATTTAAAATTGCATTAAATAAAGCACTCTTTCCTGATCCAATCTTTCCTATTATAAAATTTAAAGTATTTCTCTCTATCTTCAATTCATCAATCCTTAATATGAATTAAGAATTTTCATTAATTTAATTAAATACAATTACATCATCACTAATTTAATTCTTTTTTTAAGCTCTTTTTTATTATTCATTCTTCTCAATTGGCCATTCACATAATAAACCTTCAATTAATACAACATCACCCTCTTTAACATATGGTAATTAGAAACGATCATCAGGATCAATCTCTTATTATTTAAGAAATTATGAGATTCTCTTAAATGAAACATATGCTAATAATCCAGAATTTATACACCAAGGTAAAATTCCTAAAGGAAAAATCATTGTATTAAATACAGCTATTAAAGAGAATATATTCAAATCAGAGAGTGATTTACCATTACTTACCGATGAAATTATATAAGTACATAATAATACATAACTGACATTATTCCAAAATATTGAACATAATCCATCAAATCCTTTTAATAAACTAAGCATAAAGAATTCCCAATTTCTAAATCCCATTATCTTTTTACTAAAGGTCTCTTCCCATGATAAATATTTAATTTATTTCATTCCTTCAATAACATCTGTTGACAACCCAACTCTCATATCCTTATATTCTAACATTTTCTTTTCTGATCTCATCATCACAGCTGTAACAATTAAATTAAAAACTTAAGCACAAAGCATTGTAATTACAACTATTGTACCTGCATGAGAATCAAGATGATATAAAAATATTAAACATCCTGTTATTAAAAGGATTGCTTCCCATGTGTCTCTGATTGTAAAGTTAATTAACATAATTTAATCCAAGTCTGCTGTTAAAAGTGTCTAAAAAATATATATATTTCTATTTACATTGATATTAGCTGAATGACTATCACTATCACCTTTATTACTAATGCATTAGACTCTTAAAGCTTTATCATAGATCAAATATTCAGATATCAATCTAAGTCTAAGTACAAATAGATTCACAAACTAATCTGTTTTGGCATTGAAATATGTTCTTAATTATAAAATCCTTTAAATACTTGAGAAGAGAGAGAGAAATAATACCACAAATTGATAATATGGGTTGATACAACAATTCTCTATTTAAATTTATTAAGGAATCTGTAGCATAATTTAACATTAGTAAATTTCCTAACATTATCATATCTGTGGCTGTTTATATTCCAAGTAATTAGAAAGTTCTAAACAAGAAGAAGTGTCTAAAGATCTTTCTATATAGATATTTTGGCTTTGATTGTAAAATACTAATAATCTTGATAAAAATTTACTCTTTTAATTCTTAAAGGATCTATTCACAATCTGATTCTTTAATAACAAATTTCTTTAAATCATTATTTTATATTTGTCCATCCATACCATTGATAGTGTTAATCAATGGTGTAATGTCACTAAATAACCAGTTGTCTGATTTTACTTATTTGTTCAAGAATGATTATTCCATAATTATATAATATAATTTAGTTGATGTGGCAATTTTATGTAATATCAAAATTCTTTAATATAAATTTATTAGGAATCCTATTAATCAGAAACATAAATTTGGAGATATGAAAGTGAGATTTCAATATGGATCTAATAAGTTTGAATTTAATAAAAGAATAATTAAATTTTTTATTCTATATTCATTATTTATATATTATATTTGAATTATTTATTTAATTGACTTTTTATTCTAATTAAATTATATACACTCATTAATTTATTATGACATAAAGCAGTTCAACTCTTGATAATTGATTGTTGTGTTTTGAAATTTCAAGTTCTTATAAAAAGTTATTTCTTGTTTTATTACAAAGTTCTTTAATCATAATCTTATATATATCTTAAAATTAAAGATCTTTCTCCTTTAATAATATATATATTAAAATACTTCTATACATAAACGCAATAATTATTGAATATATTTTTAATAATTTTCAATAACATGTGGATCTCCTAAATATGTCTCTTAAACAGGTATAAATTAATTGATATATGATAAAATAGAAAATAAATGTTTTCTAGTTTCTTAATTTTATTCACCACCATATTAATCAATTGCATCAAAACAAAAATTTTATAAGTTTGGCAATAAATATAACTGATTTTTACTATCTAAAAGATGCTTTATAAATATTATTAAATAAATATTACTTTTGATGAAGGATAAGGTAAAAACAAATTACAAAATTCACTAATACAAACAACTATCATATAATATTATTTTCTGTAAAACTTTTAATATGAATTACATAATGATATTACAATCCTAGTATAATAATCAAGTGATAATTAATCTTTACACATAATTTTTCCAATATCTCTCTTTTTACTTAAATATCCAGAAATTGTCTTGAAAGTAACCAACATATTATCAAGTAATTTTTATGTAAATTATTTTTACTATAAAGAATTCAACCATTATCCTGCAATTGCACATAATTTTAGTATAATCTATAAATATAATTAAGAATGCTATTATTCAAATGACTACAATAATAATTAAGTAAGTTTAAGAATAAAATCACATGGTTCAGGTAATGAATTTGGAAGTATAAAATCATAAAGTATATCTGTTAATTAATATGCTTAAGTAGAACCATAATGTAATTAATGAATTAATTCTGAAATTACATTTTTCCATCCTGAATCTCCAAATAAAAAATCATTTTTCATATTATCTACTTTCAATAATTTAATTCTATCATTACTATATTAAAGTTTCTAACTCTATTAAATTTATTGATTTAATAACACTCCATTGAAATTTAAGATATAATTTATTACATTATCTAATAAATTTAATTAATATTAATATTTCTAATTAAATGCTATTACTTCATCTTAATTACCCATCTTTTCAATTGATTTTTTAACTGTACTAAGTAACTATTAATATATCTATAAAATTAAATACTTCCTATATTTCTAAATAATTTATTGTTGAAATGCTCTCAATCATACTATTTTCACATAAAAGATCTACTATATTGTTTAATAATTCCATTTTTTATCCTATTCCTTAATAAGTAGCTTCTATTGCTCCTTGACAAAGCCAACTTAAAGCTTAAGTAGCACTTCTTATATATTATTCATCCCTTATATACTTACCTCTCATACTTGAGAAGATAATAAAAGAATATGAAGTATAATCACAGAATCTTCCCAATAATTAATAAGTTTTTTATAACTAAATTATATTATTATAATTTAATTACATTTAATTGAACATTCTTATCTATTTTTGTTTAACCTGATTTAATGGCCATTATGGTATTTGGTATAAAGTTATCCAAAAACTATGTCATATAATCCTCACTAAATAAAACACCTAGAGTCATTAAATGACTAGCTCTTAATCTATTTTCTTCATTATTATCTATAATTTCTTTATAAATAGCTGGCCACATTTTTCTCACTTAACTTTTGATAAATCCTCTCATTCCTAATTTTGGTCTTTCCTTAAAAGGAGGAGGTAATGGTAATTATGATAATTTACCATCTAATGTCCAACCAGGTTCTATTCCTAATTATCTAACATTTTTTATATCCTTCTCTTTCTCTATCTCCCACTCTTTACCAACATCTTCTATTATCTATAAGGCTGCTTCCTAAATTGATGGATCTGTATCAAAAAGTCCAGATAAAAGATAAGGAACAAGTCTTGGATGATGATCCCATCTATCAGCTAATCCTCTTAACCAAAATCCAATTTCTTTGATAAAGGCTTATCTTACTTATTATTTTGGATCTATAATTAATGTAGCCTAATATTATATAAGTATTTTTACTAAATAATTAATATGATGCATAGGTTCAAAAAAAGCTTTGATAGGAACAGAATTAGGATCTTTGAAGCCTGTTAATATTTCAAATACAAATGCATTGTTTTTCCATACTCCACATAAGAGAACAGCTGATAGAGCTTCTAAAGCTGCTATTCTAACTGGACTCTTCTTATTTACAAGTGGATGAAGAATAGCTCTTCCCATTTTTTCTGTAAAATGTAAAAGCATTTGATGGTTAACTTTACAAAATTTACCCAAACTTTTGCAAGCTTCTTTTTAGACTTCACCAAAAGGATCCATTAAGAAAGCTCTATGAATATCCACAATATCATCTATATATTCATGTAAGTTATCACTATCATTTTTACACATAATTGAATATAAGAATTATGTCAATAACAAACGAATCTAATGATAATAAATATATTTACTTCTTCTGATTCTTCAACAAATTTCATTAGTCTTGTTGGCAATTAAGAGGGAGGTGGTCTCATTACTTCAGGTAGATGACTAATTCCTTCTAAATCTTAGCAATTGCTTCTTTCTATCAACACTGAAAAAACATAACTCAATATAGGTTCATTATCTTCTGAATTTGTTATCAATCTAGAATATATAATATTATTGATACTAAATCATTGATTTTATGGACATTTCTCTCACCTTTTCATTAGTATCCGAGAAAGACTTCAAAAGTACTTTACCATATTTTAAAAGTATTTATTATGACAATGCTATTAATATTGATTTATATTTTACAATCTGATTGAGCAATATTAGGATCTGTAACTTTCTAATATATCTAAGTTATTGCTGTTTTTCTTAAAGTTGGATTTTATTCATGCAATGCATTTGTATTTTATTTGAAAAAGGATTCCAATTCCTAAATTTGTATATATATTCATACTAGATTATCACCAATTATGAAATCGTTCATTTAATTCAAAAAAATATATATAAATTATTATTTTAAGTTTAAGTAATAATGAAAATCTTATAATATTAAGAAAATAAAGGCTTTATAGATACATAATTAATATTAACAATCTTATATACATATAGTAAATGTTAAAAAAAATAATAAGAGAATGATTGTAAAGTTTTTCTATTCAAATTTTACTTGTAATTGTAAAAATTGGATTATTTATTATAATCATGTACTTCTTAGTTTAATTATAAAAATATGTTAAACAAAATCAGTCAACTTTATCGACTTTCAAATCTTAAGTTACATTATCCAAAAGGATTTGCAAAGATTTTTAAGATCCCTCATCATGCCACTACAAGTGACATTGTCTAATTAATCAAATAAGAAGAGGAAAGTTTCTAAAATGTTAAAATTACTATGGGTGATAAGGATATGACTGATTAATAATTACCTTTTATAGATTTAGTGTTGCATAACACTCCTTCTATTAATATAGATGATGTTAATTTCTCATATGAATTAGATTTAAATGGTTGTGCACCATATTATATGAATTCTGAATTAGAAACAGCTTTTGGATAACTTGAGATTCCTTATTTTGATTCTTTGGTGATTGCTAGATTCCATGAATTAATGGTTTAGTAACTGAATCCTAATAAATAATCACATAGTCCAATTGAAATTGAAAATGCTATTTAAAAAGCTTTGGCAAAATTTGCAGAAGAAAATGCTACTACTTCTTAATTCTGGTAATTGTAATAGACAGTGTTGTAGAATTTGGATTAAGTAATAGTATACTATGAGAAAATAGTAGCTGAAGTAACAGATGAAGCAACTAAAGTATTTCATACATATATATAATTATATAGTAAGGTCATAAATTGTTAAAATAACTAATAGTATTTGCTTTGATTTAGTATTTCTTTCTACTTTATTTGACATATGGAATTTATGATTGGGGTGTTTCAGAACCAATATCATATTTGTTGGCATAAGTAATGGAAACAGTTGCCTTGTTTTATTTTATTAAAAAAGGAAGAGCTTTCAAATAAACTCATTTATTTAAAAATAAATTTGATAAGACATTCTATGAATTGATTAATAAGAAAACTAATTCAACATATTTTATGAAAGATCTTGAATTTGCAAAATTAAAGGCTGATCTTATATAAGCTAAGATAGTATATGGTACAACATCAATTTGATATATCATAATAATATAATCAATTAAAAAATATATCATTATATATTTATATATATATATAATTTGGAACAAATTAGAATAGATGTTAATTATTCTTCTGTTATTATAGTTACTCATTGTCTATGGTATTAAATTTTACGAATTCAACACCACCTTAAAACTGGGAGATATTAAAAGAAATATCTCTTTCTAATAGTAATAAATTTATATAACCTTTAGATAAGAATATTTTGGAATTGATGTACTTCCAAACGAAGTTGAGAATTTTCAATAATTAACACCTATAAATTATTAAGAATCAAGAGCAATATTTTATTTGAAATAAATCATAAATGGTTCATATATTGGTTTGAAGAATAAAAATTAAACTATTTATGCTTTACATAAAAATTGCACATTAGAGATCTTTGATTAAGGGATTTCAACTAGTTCATAAGATTTTAAACCTAATTGTTTATAATTTTTGATTGATAAAGAATAGAGTCATCTTGCTATAATGTATTAAGATTCTATAATTTTATACAATATCGAATATGATTAGATTTATAATTTAGAGTATAACTATAGTGATGCAATTATTGATATCTAATTAATTTAAAAGTACATTCTAATATCCAAAGGAGTATAAGGTTTAGATATGTTGAATTTCTAGGGAGAAATTATCTTAAATAATTTTATGGCCAATGAAAATCTTTTATAAACATCCCTTCAAGCAAATAGATTATTATTACTTTTTGATTCAGGTTTTCTTATATTTAGTTTTAAGTAAGCACCTAAATTAATTAATAAAATATTAGTAAATGAATGTGTAAGATTTGTACATAACAATGAATTATTCATAATATAAACAAAAACAAAAATCTTAGAATATTTTTGGAAAAATCTTATAATAAATTAAGAAATTAATACAGAATTTTAAGTAACTAGTATTTCACTTTATTAATAATAATTATAATTTATATCAAATGGATATCTCTAATAGAAATTAGTTGGAATTATTAAAGATGATTTCAATATTAGTTAAATACATGTATCAAAATACTAAACAAATTCTACTTAAATTGTAGGATATTAAGAGAAGAATTAATTGATTTTAAAGTAGGAATAATCATTTGAGATTGTATATTGGCATACAATACCAGCCTTTTTAATTTTTAAAACTGATGAAACAGGCATTTAGACTTGTAGAGTTAATCTATATTAAAAAAATAGTGGCAATCCAAATTCAACAGTGTAAACAATTCATTATAAAATCTATATTGAAGTTATACATGACTATTTCGATCTGTTTTAAACAATAATAATAATATTTGTTACCTTTTTTGTACTTTTACTATTGCTTTTTATTATAAGAAGAATATACTTAAAATCAAAATTGAAAGATTATAATTAATAGAATATAAAAGAAACCTAATAATCAAATGAAGAAAAAGATTAAGAATAGTCTATTGATGATAATAAAAATTAAGATGAAGGGACAGCTCTTAATTAAAAAATTTGAGATTGTTTTCATAAATATTTTATTTGATAAAACAATAAATAAAGAATGTCATTTTTAATTATTAAAAGAATATTTTTTATTATTATTTAATACATTTTAATTATTATTAAACTAAAGCAAACATATAAATGTCAATCTAAACAAAAAAGGAAATAATTGATTATTTTGTTTAAGACTTAGGATGGGCAAGAAATTAAGTTGAAGATTTAGGATTCTAGTGTTAATGGAATAAAAATAAAATGCTAGAAATATATAAAAATTTTTATCCATCTGACCAAAATTTAGGAGGACTTCCCTCTCAAAACTAATTTGCAGTAAATTTATATATTTTAATAATTAATAGTTGAGTGAATAGGAAGTTATAAATCAATTTGAAAATGATGATTAAGAATAATTACAAAAAGCTTTAATAGCTTCTTAATGTTTATAAGATAATACACCTATTATAGATAGAAAAAAATATGATGATTATCCTGTAGGAATATAAAATTTGGGGAATACTTGTTATTTTAATTGTCTTTTATAAATTATTTTTTACAATCCTAATTTAGTTTAATAGATTTTGTAATATAAAATAGTAGAGACAAATCGAACTTAAGAAAATTTAAAATAATTAAGCAATAATTTTATTACTTAATTTCAATATGTAATTGCAAAGTAAATGCTATGGAATTAGAAATATTTGAAACCATCAGAATTTTATGAGGCTACAACAAAATTTGAGATGCTAAAACCAAATTATAAAGTAGTTTCAATTTAAGAATATAGGGATTTAAGTGAATACTTAACTTCTTTTATGGAATTGATTGATTAATGTCTAAGTTAGAACTTTAATAAATTAAATGATTAAATTAATATTTTTTATAGTGAAGAATTAGAAAAGTAATATATTATAAAGCAAGATAAATAGCATTAATTATAATGGCATGTAGGTATATAACATAAATAAATATATCATTTTTTGTATAAAGAAATTATTGAAAATAAAAATTACATAAAAGAATTACCTCATAATCTTATTTTTGTCATAAGTAGAACTGATAATTTTAATAAAAAATTAGAAGATGATTTTTATTTTCCTTAAGATTTATATTTAGATTTTGTTTTAGGTAATCAATAAGCAATATAACATGTTCAAAAATATATTAATTAATAACTCAACACTTAAAATGTATATCAATAATGTATATTATTCAACTATTATTTATAGTAAAAAAGTAAGCAGATGCCTTTGAGAGAGTTGTGAATTATTATGAATCACTTCCTACTTTTGATACATTCATTTTAAATAGTTTGAAACTTGAACACAAACTCAAAATTTAAGAAATGAAACAATAATTTCCATCAAATTATCATCTCTTGAATGAAGAATTATAATAAGGTTCAAAACATCTATATAAATTGGCACAAATAGTTGCTCATAAAGGTAGCATTAGTTAAGGTCATTATTATTTGTATTAATACAATTTTCATCTCAATAAATGGTTTAAATATAATGATTCAACAGTCTTAATGTAAACAGAATAAGAAATAATAGCTGATTCTTTAAAACAAGGAAATATATTAATATATATTAGTTAAGAATAAAAAAAGAAAGTGGAATAATATTAAAAATAACTACATGAAATTGATATCATTAGAAAATCAAGAGGTCTATAATTGCTTAATCATAATAATATTCAATATGATTTTTTGCTAAAGATTCCAAATAAAATATGTAAGGAAGTAATTGCAAGTAATGAGGAATTTTTAGATCAATACAAAGAAGCAATCAAAATTAAATGATTGAATCATTATATATATATATAGAGATTTCTTTAAATGATTCATTCATCATATATATATACATAATACTTTAAATAATAAGATCGAAGTTTTATTATAAATCCTAAATTTTATTGTACGATTATAGATAATAAATCTCATTTTTTTGCTTATTGTGCTGCTAAATCTTCGTCCATTTGTTTGAGTTAAGCACCACCTCTAAGAAGACCAGATCTTCTGGCAGCAACCAAACCAACCTTTTATCCTGGTGGGGCATATCTGGAAAGAGTTGATGGATGACCAATATGTTGTTAGTTACCACCACCATGAGGATGATCAACTGGATTCATTGCTACACCTCTAACTTTTGGCCAACATTTTCTAAGTCTTCTGTATTTATGGAATTGTCTACCTGCCTTAAGAATAGGCTTTTCAGTTCTACCTCCACCAGCAATCAATCCTAATTCATAGAATATTTATATACCTACTGTAGCTCTGCAGAGAGCACTGAGAGTTTTTCTTGTACCAGATGGTAATCTGACTCTAGTAGTTGTGCCATCATCTGAATGACCAATAATGGTAGCATAACAACCAGTGGCTCTTCCCAAAGCTCCTTTATCTCCTGGATGTTCTTCCAAGTTGCATACGACTGTACCTTCAGGGATTTAACCAATTGGAAGTACATTTCCTGTGGCTAATTGAGCTATTAAGGGTATATAAATAATTAAAGTACCTTTAGCTCCGCAATAAATATATTATCCTGTGTATGATCCTTCAGGAGCAATAAAGAGTTTGGTGACCTTCTTGTATTTGTATGGATCATTAAATTCCACCTTAGCTAATGGAGCACCTCTTCCTGGATCATGGATGATTTCTACAATCACACCTCTCACATAGCCGTGTCTCTCAGCATAATCAAGATGTCTGTATTATGGGCTACCAACCCTTTAGTTTTGATGAGCCTTGAAGACACTGTTAGACTTTCCTTTTCTCTATGCTCTAATTCTCTTGCCCATATTTAAAAGATTTTAAATTTTGTTTTTAGAGTGTAAATTTTTTGAATAACATCATTAATTCTGAAAGATTAAATACAATCACATGGCTTTGAATCATTATTATTTTTCAGATTTTAAATAGAAACATTAATCTAATATACACATATATAGATCAAATAATCATATTATTTCTTAATTTAAATTTCTATTAATTTCCTTATTCTAATTATCCATTTGAATATTTTTCAATAAAAATAATTCATCTATTCCATCTTATCCTAATTCAAAATTACTGATTTTTTAAGCTTTTTCAAAATATTAAGTTTTAAATTATTGCCATAATTCATTTTATAAGTATTATTATAAATATTGATATTTCTCAGCCTTCTCTTCTATAAATATACCCAATTGTGTTATAAAACCCAATTATCCTTTTCTTTATTTTTCTTAATTATCCACTTTATTAGTACATTGTATTAATAATTAAATAAATTAGTTTTCTTCAAACAACTAAATTAAATAATAATATAATACATTTTTAATTAGTATATCGATTTCATTTTCTATTATCTAAGAAATTAAATTGCAATATTAAAAATGAAGTATATCATGTTATTCATAAGTGATAAATAATTAATTATAAACTTTAAAGATATTACATTAATAAAGCCTATTAATAAATAATTAATTTTTTAAGGAAACTCCAACTCCTATAATTTCAAGTAGTTTTAGTTTTTATTAACCAAAAATAGTAGATTTCTGATTTAATATATACTCAATCCAATCAGCACAATATGGTTCTATTCTTGAAATGACTATATTTGTATCTATCATTATGATATTATCTTATAACTATTATTCATTTTTATCAATATTTTTTAGGAATTATAGTAAATTAAAAAGTATAGTACATGATGATAGTGATATATAATTTATCTAATGTAAAGTTGTTTAACAAACTTTACTAATGAATTCTCCAAAAATAATATCAATATATTAATTTAAATAATCTATTTCTTTAATCATTTCTTAGATGATATATGAAATATTAGATGATATCTTAAATAAATTAATTATTTACTTCAAAATTAGTAGAATCATCTAATCTTTTCAAAATATTCTAAAGTAAATTGTTTTTTTCATTTTAGTATTCGATAGTTTAAATCTTAAGTAAATAAATTAGAAAGTCAGATACTGAACGAGATTACAATTATCTGATCATTCCCTATATAACTTATGGGTTTTTAAAGCATTCCTATACTATAAGTTCCTCTTAAATTTTTTGGAGCACATTTATAACAAATCCAGCAAGAACTTAATTAACATCTTGATCTTAAGAAAAAAAATTGAGCAATTTATAAAGAAATTGTCTTTATACCTTAAGTATATAATTTACTTATCGTTCTCAATAAAATTCTATGGCCTTTAGCTCCCTACGAAACATAGGAGTGTACTTGAATAAAATGGATATCTATATGCTCTTTTTGAATTTGAATCATCTTCAGGCATTTCTGTTATATATTTGATTAATTCAATCATATGATCTTCCTTAATACTAATATTCTATTCGAAATATTACTAATCTAAAATTTTGTTATTTTGATATTGAACTTCACTTATTAGGTTATCATCATCTAGTAATGTTGTCAATTATAAATCTTCATTTTCAAAATGAAGATCAAAGCTAGGGTTTCTTAATAGTAACCATGGAAAAAAGCTTTTAAGTACTAAATACATACTTCTAAAACATGAGAATTTATTATAATAATGGAATAATTGGCTGATTAATTGATCAATTAGAATTAATATGAAGAAGCATTTAATTTTTATCAGTAATGCGAATAAACATCATCAATACTCATTAAATAAGCCTAATTGGCTAATAAGATAGGACTATTTAAATAGGCCATCAATTTTTATAAGTTGGCTTATGAAATAGGAGAGAAAAAGAATGAACTATTAATAAAAATAGGTAAAAATTAAAGAATATATCAAATAAGGGAAATTGTAAACTTAAATAGGCAATTATACTTAAGCAATTCAAATCTATAATCTAATTTTGAGTATTGATGAAAATAATCCGATTGCTATGGGTGAATTAGGTTTTAAATTATCAAAATATAAAAGGATATACTCTTTATTGTATGGAAGATCACATGTAAGCTCTTACTCAATTTACAAAATGTTCATAATTTATTTCTATAATACCTAAATTCCTTAATAAATTAGGAGAAGAACTTTATAATGAATATAAATATAATACTGCCAAGCTTTATTATTTAACAGCCTATTAAATTGATAAAGGTTTTAAAAATTCTATATTTGGATTGATTGACACTTGCCTAAAACTGGAAGAGTATGATCAGTCCTTATAATATTGTCAAATTCTTTTAGAAATGGATCCTAATTGTATAGAAGCAAATTTAAGAAAAAGTATTATATTTATTAATTTCAAAAGTGAAAGTTAAGATCTTGACTAATAAGATTGGGGAAGCTGAAGAAATAGCTAAATAATTAGATGAAATATAACTTAATTATTAAGCTTAATATTAATTGATTGATTTGAAAGGGTTAATACTCCTTAAGAAATAATAATACTTAGATTGCATAAACTACTTAAAAGATTTCATAGATGAGAATAAATATATGATAAAATTAATTTTTACTACAGCTAAATGTTATTATAAGCTTAAAAGATTTGAAGAGGCATTAAATCATTTAGAAATGGTGTTTGATGTTTATCAAAATTATTATCCAGCATTATAATTGTAGTGTAATAATATATATTTACTTAGATAAAATATTGATTAATACTAATAAATTAAAGGATGCAGAATTAATAAAATAAAATATTGATATTCAAAATCTATGATTTTATTTAGAATCAGAAATTTATGGTAGTATATGGGCATAATCATTTATTAGAACATTCTTTATATGTATTCTCAATTTCTCCATCATCTTTTTAGTTGCTTGATATTCAATCTCATCAACATTTTTATTAAAGTATTTGTATTATAATATTGTATTGTAAATAGAATGAATTCCACAATCAAAAGTATTAGTTTATTGTGCAACATTTACAATCTTCATTTTTTCTTTACCTTTTTCTGCTCTTTTTAATTTAGGGAAAATCTTTGCAACTTAATCTAATATAACTTAATCCAACTTATTATTCAATGAATTCAGCATATAAAGATATTCATTTTAGTATACCAATACTAAAAAATGACTTCTATCTACATTCATTATAAAAATCAATTTATCAATTTCTGATAATTAAAGATATATTTCCATAAGTTATGGGAAAATAACAACTTTTGATTCCTTTGTAGTTATTAAACTTGAAAATATTTCTTAACATTCTATTGTATTAAGTAGTTTTATTGATTATCCTTTAGCTAATTTATAATAATCTATCACCAATTATAAATAATAATCTACACATAATTGATTAAGCCATTCTCCATAATTAAATCCTTTAAAAATATTATTAGAAATTGTAAATTCCTAATGAGTTAATAGATAACGAGTAGTTTTTTAACTAATGTTCTTTTAATAATCATTTTTATTAAATTCTTTCTTTGTAATTATTGTTCCATTTTTGTAATATTAAAATTTTTCTTAAATACTATTTTACTTATCACCCATTTTTTATTTCTAAATAAACTTTCCTTCTTTTAGATTATTTTAATAAAAGCATTAAATAGAATAATTATCACTTTCTTCCTCATAAACACCATGCCTTTAACCCCATTAATATTAACATTAGATTTTACACTTTTATTAATTTGATTCTATTGTGCAAAACTCAAAAGCAAATCCATCTTTAAACTAACCATCAAATTAGCAATACCTATTCCTAAACAATCCTTTTCCATAAGGTAAAAAATGTATTCCATCTATCCCTCCTTCATAAACTGTTTAATTAGTTTGTTCAAAATCAATTGGAATAGAAATAAAGTTCTAACTATTTACATATAGTTAAGTTTTTCTAAAAATTAAATAATCTCCTTACTCTACATAATTTATTATGCTAAAAAATTTACGTTATTAATTTACATATTTCCATTAGGTCTCAACAATAATCTTTTGCAATTAGGAGGTTTAATAATTTTATAAATATTTTTTATAGCTTTATTACCCTAACTGAATTTATCATTCTTAGTATTAATTTTTTCATCATTCATTTCTTTTTGATTTTCTAATAATTTAATACTTTTTATATATATATATATATTTAAATATAAAATCAATTACTTTCTTCAGAATCATTTGATTCCTTTTGATTTATTGAGTATTCAGTTACTAAATCAAAAATCTCATCCTGAGTCTCTTTATCTAAAAGCTATAAATCAAATTCTATCTAAAATTATAATTAAAATAATTACTTAATATTTTCCTCCTTCTAAATCCACAATATTGACAGGATTCTCTTATTCTAAGAAGTCTTCTAATCCTGTATTTTTGTTCTATTGAACATAGATGTCATCTTCAGCTTCTAATTCTCCAATAAAACAACGTAATTTATTTCCCTATAAACCATGTGATAATAATCGAGAATAAAGGAACATAAAAGATTTGCCATTTAAATTCAATTATTACCATAATTCCTTTTTTTATCCATGCTTATCTTATATTGTTTCAACTAATTATCTTTCTTAAGGGCTTAATTCTTCAATCTTCTTAGGGAAGTTGAACCAACATATTCTAATATTTGTGATAAAAAGAGATCCATGTATTGGCTCTATAGAAATTTAAGCATCATTTTATCCATAAATTTTTGCTTTTATATTTTAAAACAAGTGAAGTTTGTCTTCAATCTATAGTAAATCGAAAGGATATGCAATACCATTCATATTCTGTTATAAAAAAAATAAATATAATTGTAAATATGTTCTGTCTTTGTGGATTGAGAAAAGAAAACAATGAATAAGAACATGCATAAAATTCACAACGAACTACTCTTTAATCTAAAATGAAATTAGATAATTATGGTAGTAAAAATAGTATGAACATTACTCAAGACTGCAATAGAGTCAGTCAAGAATACACTGATTTTTTATGTGAGTACGATAAAAATTACTAAGAAAAGTCTTATTTTTTTGATGATTATGAACGTTCCCCTTACAAAAAACATGAAGTAGCATATTTAATGATTAAATAAAGGAATCAAAAACCGATTCTGAAGAATCTATGTTAATGCATTAAGGAGATGGGTTATTAGTGAAATCAATCAATGTTAATCAATAATCCATCACTAAATTGAAAGATACATTCACAGCATTTATCATGAGAATCCTCTATGATATTAAGTCTTTCTATGATGTACTTAAATTTGATTTGTATTTAAATAGATTACTCCTATTTAGGAAGTCAAATTTGTAAAATCACTTGTGCCAAATATCATAACTGAGTTAACTTATCGAAGAGTCAAGAATGATAAACTATTGATTGCTCATGATCCAACTGGAAGTTTCTTGCTTAAACATCTGTCCTCCAGTCAATAGGTATATTTCATAGAAGAAACTCAAGTCTTTAGACCAATTTTAGAAAAAGGAATTGAAGTTTTGAACTGTCAAAATAAGATACATTTTATAACTAAATCTGATATCACAGCAAAATTAGATACTGCTATTGTGAGTAAAATAAGCTATTTATGTTTTTAGATTTGCTATCTCTTCATGATATTCCTATATACAGCATAATTTAGGAATACTTGGATTTGGCACATGATCTTATTCTAATCCTTTCTCCTAAATTAGAGTATCATGAGATGATATCATAGTTGAGGTAAGGAATTAAGAATAGTGCACAATCACATATCTACTGTAGTGTAGAAATTCAGTCTATTTATGAATAAAATAAGATAGTAGCCTTTATTGTTTATTATGGCGATATATCAGAAATAAAGTAAAATTAATAATTACATTTTCTATATAAATGCATATCCAAGACAATTCAAAAAACATTTAAATATAAAGTATTCTTGAAAAATCTAAGGAGTCAAATTGGAGTGATGAAATTGGTTGACTTATTTTCTCTCTATGGATTATTATTTGATAGTTCAGATGAGAATTTTAAACGCTTTTATAAGCAAATTAAGAAATAATATTTTCCAAAAATTAAATCTTAAAAATTCATATAGGTTGATAGCAGTAAATCATCTACTGAATCTGAGAGTGATGGAATTCAAGAGATAGAATCTACTAATTCACTTTTTACTGAAATCAAATTGTATAGTAAAAGTGAATCTATTCAGATGTCCAATTATATTTATGTACACTTTCATTCATAAAACAGTTAGAAATCAACACAATATGAAGAACAAATTTAAATCAGTCAATGATATTTGTTTTTTTTTATTATTTATAACTAAAAGTACTTTGGATTATCAATAATTTCCAAATACTTTAATTTGATATCATTATTTCATATAATCTTATTAATTATTACTTTTATCAGTTCTAATTGATTTGTTCAGCAAATGAGTTTAATTGATTAAGATCATTAGATTTAATGTAGCTTAGTAATTATTTAATAATTTTTATATTTTATAATGAAGACGAAACCCAAAATCAATCAATCAACTTCAGCAAAGAAATTAAACACTTAGCTACCATCAGATTCTCTAAGGAGTAGTCAAATTAAGGAAGAAATTCGTGATGATTTGACATCTTGGGATAGCCGATTTGAATCTACAGCCATAGATTACCCATTATCTAATTATATGAATCCAAATAAATTAACCAAAAAAGTATTTAAACTAATATATTCAAGAAAGGAATTCCTGATACAAGTAGAGAATAGAGTGCAAGGTTGAAGAAATCTAATACAAATTCTACTCTCATATCTAGTCCTCGTCTGATGTCTCCAAAAGAATAAGTTGAAGTGATTCATTATCTTGAATTAAAAAATAAGACTTTAATAGAAGAAAATAAGAGAAAGGAATATCTTATAGCAAAGCTTTTGAAGAATAAATCACCACCAAAATAAAATATTAAAATTGGTCTGTAATGTCCTCCTAAATCTGCTGAATTATGTTCTCCTGCTACTCGATTTCCATAAATAGCTAGTCCTTAACCAAATGAATTCTAAGTTCCTATGTTTTATAAGAACACTTAATCCAAAGTGATTCAGAATGATTAAAATTGGAGTTTTGGAAAATTACAAGAGGAAGATCGAGACAATAAGACTAAGTCTTAATTTGCTAAAATTGTAAATGCTAGTAATAATTAAAAATCAACTATTAAAACTAACTTTTCAAAGCCTCTCCTTAAATTACCAAAAGAGTTTCATCCTCAATCTTGGAATTCAATTAAAAAATGATGAAAAATTCATTTATTTCATTATGTAATAACAATATATATTATTCTATTTATGAATATTTGTTTATTGAAAATAATTCATATATAATATAAATTTATTTTGACACATCATACTAAAATTGAAATATAGTAATTAATGTATTATTTATAATGTTCATAAATACAATTTTTTAATATTTTAATCTAGGTTTTATAATATAAGTATATAAATTCCTTTAAATTCAGCAAGATTACTTGATTTTTACAATAATGTGTATATAATTTATGGATTTGATTATTATTATAAAAATAATTGATGGATTAAAATAAAAGTATTCCAGAAGAAAGGTATTAGTTGGAGATCTTTGTAAAAGCTAAGAATCTGAAAGACATGGATACTTTCTCTAAAAGTGATCCTTTTTGTAGACTTTTACATACAATTTAAGGAGAGAAAGAAAAGTGTGAAGGGGATACAGAGTTTCAAAAGAACAATCTGAATCCTTGTTGGGAAAAGAGCTTTATCATAGATTACATCTTTGAATTGAATTAAAAGCTTGTTTTTCAGGTTTGGGATAAGAACTAATCCGCTGGATCTGATGATTTATTAATGGGGGAAGTTGAGACAACAGTAGCAGATATAGTTGGAGCAAAAGATATGAAGTGTGAATTTGAATTGAAAAATAAGAAAGGATAATGTGTTGGTACTTTGGTAGTAAATATTGACAAATAGCCAGAAGATAATCAATTTATATAGTTGAGTTGGATAGGAAAAGATCTGATGAAGTAAGAAGATAACTATTTATAATTTAGTACAGATGGTTTCTTTGGAAAGAGTGATCCATTCCTTAAATTCTATAAAAGAGTTGGAGAAGATTGGTTACCTGTTCATAAAACAGAGATGATAAAAGATAATTTAAATCCTGAATGGAAACCATTTTAAATATCTTTTAAAAGATTATGTGGAAATAAATAGGAAGAGAAATTTAAAGTTGAATGTTGGGATGTTCATGAAAAAGGTACAAATAATCAATTTATGGGACATTTTGAAACCTCAATTCATGAAATAATTAATGAAAATAAAAGTGAATTTAATTTAGAATATCAAGCAAATAAGTCTGGAGGTAAGATTATTTTGAAAGAGAAAAAGGTAATAAAGAGACCTACATTTATGGACTTTTTAAGAGATGGAGAATAAATTAATTTAATAATAGGTGTAGATTATACAGCTTAGAATGGTAATCCAAATTTCCCAGATTCATTACATGCTTTTAAAACTTAAAATGGGAATCAATATGAAACTGCTATTAAAGCATGTGCATAAATCTTGTTGAATTATGATTATGATAAAAAAGTAGCAATGTATGGATTTGGTGCTGTTCCTCATTTACCTAATTATAATGTTAATGAAACTGAATAATGGTATTCATTTTAATAATATAATTAGTTTCCCATTAACAGGAGATTTTTAAAAACCAGAAGTATATGGTTTGGAAGGATTAGTAAATTTGTACAAATAAACTTTGCCTAATTTATAATTCTCTGGACCTGGATGTTTAGGAGAAATTTTAAATTATTCTAAACAAATAGCTGAATTTAATGCTAAAAAGAAGATCTATACTGTTCTTTTAATATTGACATGTGGATAAATACATGATTTACATTAAACTACAGAAATTATAGCTTAATGTATATAAAATCATATTATTAAAAAATAGGTGCTAATATTCCAATATCAGTAATATTAGTTGGAGTTGGAGATTTTGATTTTAAAAAACTTGAATTTTTAGATTAAGATTAGAAACAATTATAAAAAGAAGTATTGACAAGGAATGTTGTTTAATTTGTTCCATTTGCTCCTTTTTCTCATAGTTTACCTATTTTATAAAGAGAATTGCTTGCAGAACTTCCTCATCAATTGACAAACTATAAATCCCTTTTAGGTTTAGTACCATCAAAATGAAACATAAATAAAATGTATCATTATAAATATATTAATATAATCATATAATGAGTAATTTATCAAAATAATAATACTCATTTCCTGTAATAAAGAATAAATTACATGTAGGAGAGAACCTCATGTATTAGATACATAAAAGAGCATTGTAAGAATATCTAAAAAGTGGCAATATTGATTAAAGAATAGTTTCAATGAATTTATTAAATGTAAGTTAATTGAAGAATGAAGAACTTAATGTATTACACAAATCTTTAAGTACAAAGAACTAAAAATTTGAAGGAGATGCAGGTAAAATATTATCTAAAGTATTTCCATTTATTTTTATACTCTTTAGTTTAGACCAAAAGTTAAATCTAATGGATTACCACTTTATTTTAAGAAACCTGATTATACACATGAAGATTAAGAACTTAATCAATTAGAAGAACATCTGTATAGAATTGATTAATTAAATTAGCAAAATTGTACTAAAATCTAAATTGAATACTTGCAAAGTCTTTAATGGAACTTATCTTGTAGATCCATCTATATAAGATCTTCAAAGGACTAATCAAAAATCTAAACAACCTTAATAATTTGTTTACTTTCCTGCCATCAAACGATAACCAAGTTAAGCTAATCTAAGAGATACTTAATAAATAAAATAAGTTGTTAATTAAAGATTACATGATTCTGAATTAACATTGCATGAATTAAGAGAAAGATATAAAGAATCTAAATTAAGTGACTTTTAAAAGTATTTTTTTTAATTGATTGATGAGGGGGATGTTGGTGAATTGTAATCTTTATTTAAACAAAAGGAAATATCCTAAGATATTCTTAATAGTCCAAATCATAAAGGTTATTATCCTGTTCATTTGGCTATAAAATAAAAAGATCCACAATTATTTAAATTGTTTTTGTAAAATGGAGCTGATTTAACAGTTTTAACAAGAAAAAAGAAATCAATCAAATAATTATTAGATATATATTATAATGATGAAATTTATGAATTAATTAATGGAAAGAAGAAAGGGAAATTATAATTATGAAGTAATTTATAATTTAATTTAATTAATATGTATTTCTCTGACATTACAAACTTTGAAAAATCATTTCATAATCTAAAGACTAAGTCTCTGAATTCTCAGTAAAACATTCCTAATAGTCCTAAGAAAAAACCATCAGTAAATTATATGGATATATAAAATTTTTAATTTGAGTGGATTTAATTGGATGATTATGAATTAGAAATTATGAATGAAAGTGATTCAAATCCATTTTAATACTCATACTATGAGTAAATGTAATGGTTCTAAAATTATCATCTTCATTTCTCATATCCATTAAAATTGGATCACATTAATGTATTTATATAATCTTATAAAGACCTAAGAATCTTTAAAACATCATTCAATATGTGAATTGAGAAGGAATAAATTATTATGTTTAATAGGATATGTATTGGGTTCTTATGATAATACTTCAAATGAGACATATTTTTTAACAATTTCAATTTTTGATAAGTTCTTATAATAATATCCATATAATCTTAGTAATCAAGAACTTTTAAGTATAGGGATAAGTTGTTTAAGTTTGGCTTCTAAATAAAAAGATATATATTGTTTGACTTCATAATAACTTGTCTAATTAAGTGGTGAGAAAATAACTGAAGATTAGCTTGCAAAATGTTAATTTTAAATATTAAAAACAATATAATATTAAATAGAAATGCCAAATTATTTTAGAAATTTTGATTATATAATGCGTGATTTGGAATTTAGATTTTATAAGTAAAAAGATTAAAATATAATTGATAATTCTTTAATGAAAATGAAATTATCAGCAATATATAAATGTAGTTTAAATTTATTAAGATTTGTTTCATAGTATTATGATACAACTATATTTTATTAAAGTACAATAGCTTATAGTTGTATTTTATATACTATTAAGAGAATGGAATTATTAAATTATAAATTACTTAATGATTTTATTGATGTTTTATTGCAAATTCAAATAGATTAAGAAATAATAAATACAGAAATAGCTTTAAAATATATTTATAGACTTTGTTAAAATTAATTAACATAAAAACAATCAGAATTTTTATCATAAACAGATTTCAAATATTGATTATTATTTTAATTTTTGTTGGTTTATTATAAATTTAAATAAAGTGTCAATAATTATTAATCTATCTTCTTCTTACCTTCAATAAATAATCTAATTATGAAATATTACGATAAGGATTAGTTATATTAGAAAGTGAATTCTTTTTTGATACAAAAGCTGATTTTTATAATTTTTTAATAGATTGATTTAATTAATATTTTAATTAAAAATCGATAGATTTATTACTAGAAAGAGTAAATTGGGATGTTGGAGTAAGCTAAGGAAGTATTGAACGAGTAACAGGAACAAATGTTTTGTTGAGTTATTTTTTCTTAGGTGCTTTTAAAGGTGAATTAGTTGGTTGAGTAGGTAATGATTTTATAGGTATTTATGTATCTTATACAGTTTTGAGAGTTTTAATAGGAATGAGAAGAAGTTTATCATTAATTGTTTATTGTCTTTTAACTAAGAAAGTATGTCTTAATTAAGTTTTAGTATGAGTGTCTTTTCTTTAAAGTAGTTATTAATGAATTTATTTTGCTTTTATAAGTTATTCATAAGGTATATGTGTATCACAAGAATTACAACGTTTTTTAATATATGTATTATTAATAGAGAATCTAGTTTTCAATAGATTCAATTTTTTAGTTAGTTTGTTTGCTTAAAATATATTGAAATATTTACAGAAAAGAATAGCTTCTTGTATAAACTGTTTTTTTTTATTTTATTGATTTGCATATTCTAATTAATGATGACAAATGGCACCTTTATACATGAGATGAATAATTTTAGTATTATCATATCCACAATTAGTACAATAACAACTTCTTCTTCTAATTTATTGTTCTTTTTTAATGCGTAGTCTTGTTCCTTAACGACTTCCAAAACGTAATTGTTTCTTTTATATATCAAATGGGGAAGGTTTTTATAGATCAAATGAAAAAGTTCTAGTTCTCTTATTTAAAGGACGTGTTATAGTATTAGATAATTGTGGATACTCTTATTTACGATTTAGAATGTAATTATATAGATTGATTGAGTTGTCTTCATAATCCATGTTTGGTAATCCTTGAATGTCTTTCTCTATTGAAATAGGATTAATGTTTAATACTCAACTGTTTGATCATCTTTTTAGCATTATTGAATAGTTATTCTTATTTAAGTATTCCTTCTAATTTCTTTTCAGGATGTGCATTAATTTTCATGACAGAAATAAACAAATATGAGACCATCATAACAATTCTAAAAAATTTGAACAATCCTAAATTTGCTTCATAATATGAGTAACAACTGAATCGTCTTCCCTTCTTTAGCTTTTATAGATAGGTCTTAAAAACAGACACATTCACTCAAAGTGCTTTTAAGTACATCTAACTTGTATATTTGAAAAAAGGTTAAGTCTATAAACATTAAAGTATATTTAGAATATATAAATAGCTGATTCCATTGAAAGTGTATTAATACTACTTGAAGGAACATTGTCATTAATTAAAAATGATCAAAAGAAACAAAAACTTGTTATGAAAATATAACCTCCAGAACATCTTTTTCAAACAGAAATATATAAGAAGACTGCCTATTCAAAATATAAAATAATGGCTTTAACTGATTCCACAGCTATCTCATTAACTTTCATTTCAATTCATGAAGTATATTTTTATTTTTTATATATTTTAGATATCAGTTTATGGATTTTAGTTTGCTAAATATAGAGAAGAAGTGGAATATTTTAGAATATAATTTCCAGATATTAAACCAATTGAATTTATTCCATTTATTAAGAAATTGAAGAAAGAAAATTTTTTGAATAATGTTAAAATTTATTCAGCAAATCAATAAGCCAATAAAGTCTATTTTATTATTTCTGGAGAAGTGGAAGTAAATATATATATTAATATTATAGATTTATGCTGAAAATGAGGATGGTAAACTCTAAAGAGTTACTATAGCATGTGATAATGACAGTTTTGGAGAAGAAGCATTATCAAATTGTGTTCCTAGATTATATAAATATACAACAAAGACATAATATTTTAAGAAAACAACTGCATTTGTATTTGAAGTAAATATTAAATTGTATTAGATTGATGATTATTGCCATACTTATGCCCCAAATCTTATTAAATAATTAGAAGATAAAATGAAACTTAAAGAAAATCTCATTCTATAAAAAATCAAATAAACTTAAACATAAACTAATACTTTACCTACTATAATTAATGGTTCTCTTAAAAAACCTTTTGAACAGTATAATTAATTAATTTCTATATATTTAGATTCTTACACATTACATCACCTAGATCAAAGGCTTCATCAATAAAAATCAATAGAGCTATTAGTCTTAATGATGGAGGATTATTCAATTTTATGGAACTCAATAATCCAGGTAAAAATCATATGAGATTATTTGAATAACATGTTAATAGACAATTAATTAAAGAAAGACATGAAGAACATGATAATCAATCAAGAGATAGAACTAAATCTATAGAACTTTAGAAAATATGGAATCTTAATTCAGATTCTAAAAAACTACCTCAAATTAAATAACATTGATTAATTTGTAAAAATAAACTATTATAATTAATAATTACATAAATGCAACATTAATTGAGTTTGACTATTGAGAGTAATGATAGTTATGATTAGATTGATAACATTGATATGTCATAATTCAATGAGAACTTATTATTTTAAGGAAAAGAATAATCCAAATTATTATCAGATATCCATATGGCTTCTGAAAAATTATCACATTCTGCTGATCATTATATAAATGAGATTGTAGAATAAACATAAGGATCAATGTAATATTTATTTTATTTTCAAAGAAAACAAATTATTATGATCTAATCATATTATAGAATGTATTCTTGTAAGATCAAATATTAAAAAAGAAAGAAATGGGCTAGATATCGTAAATGTGTAATTCAAGAATTAGTAGATAGTGAATTTACATATCTAAAATATTTAGAATTAATTATTGTGAAGTTTTATGATCCATTATAAGGAATCTTGACAGAAACTTAATCTAAATTATTATTCAGAAATTTGAAACAAATATATTTACTAAATAAGTAATTTTTATTTGAAATCTCAGGTATTTTATTAAATTTATTATTATAGAAAGATTTAGCAATTTTACTTAACATACTTGTTTTGGCAAAATCTTTGATAAATATGTTTAATTTTTTAAGATATACTTTGAATATACTTCAGGTTTCTCAATTGAAGTTGTATCTTTATTAAGAAAAGAAATTCCAAAATTGAATGATTTTATAACAGAATTAGAAGAAGCTGATATTTTTAAAGGAGGCAATCTAGAATCTTATCTCATTAAACCAGTTTAAAGATTACCAAAATATGTTCTTTTAATTAAAGATTTAATTAAACATACATGGAAATCTCATCCAGATTATGAGTCATTATAAGTAAGTGTCAATAAATTTATTGAAGTGAATAGTAAAATTGATATCTTAATGGATAAGTAAAAATTCATATATTTATTTTAGTGTTCTCAAGAATCAAATGTTATTTGAATTATAAAAATTATTTTTTGATTCTATTAATGTATCTATTGTTGAATCTACAAGAAGATATGTTTAAAGTGAAACTATTAATGTACTTGTCTCAAAATAATAGAAATCAGTTATTGTCTATATATGTAATGACATGATAATACTAACATAAAGAAATTAGAATGCTTTAGCTAAATAACATGAAAAATTGTATGAATATCTTTACCTTAATGAGAAATCTTATTGTAAAAATAAACCAGAAACTTAATATTGCAAATTCTTATTTACAGTCTCCTCTTAAGAATAATCAATTACATTTATATGTTAAGATGCTGAACAAAAATAAAAATTATTAAGTTTATTTGAATCCTTAATTAATGATATTAAAATGAAATATTAAAAATTAGAAATCTATTAAGAAAACGATATCTAACCAATTTAAGTATTTGCCAAGGGTACAGAATTAAGAAAGTCCTTACTTTAATCATATACTGTTTATGTGATGTTTGTATATATAGAATTGAATATAGATTACTGCAGGAACTTAAAATTTAACCTTATTAACCAGATACAGTAGTTTAATAAAGTTAGAAAATATGTTAAGAAAACAATTCCCTGATATATCTATTCCACATTTAAGCAAGAATCAATGGGCTAGCAATAAAAAAACTTAATTAATAGAAGCCAGGAAAATCATCATTGAAAATTTCCTTGAAGCTGTTCTAAATTCACCTCTTATTAAATAAAATCCAGAATAAGTATTAAAATATTTAGAATTACCACCTTCATTTTATGAGGCTATTGCATCCAGTCCTAATAAAATATGTATTGAAAGAGAGAGTCTAAGAAATACAATGAAGTCTTCTTCATTTAATACAGATGATTATTCATTAAGTGAAACTTTAAGATTTGTAAGAAATACTAATACTATCAGATAAACTTTGCATCATAAAAGTTTAAAAGTTAGTAATTAAACTATCAATATTAAAGTATTATTATATACTTCTATATATTTTTAGATAATGTTTCTAGATGAATATTATATCTTTTTACCTATTAGTCCTGAATTAAGAGTAGCTGATTTGATTGAAATGGCTGCTGGAGCCATTAAATTATAAAGTTATGATGATTTTAAGTTCTTTTTAATTAATGATTAAGAAATTAGAATTCTTGATGATGATGATTGCATTCCATAAATTTAATTAAATAAATCAAATAATGAAAGTGTTTTTTCAAAACTTACATTTCTATTTAAAGAACGAGAAAAAACTAATACTAAATTATTACTAAAAAAATATTTATATTTAACACCAAAATAAGAGAAAAAAGATTATTAGTCAGATCTAGTTAGACTTAATTTAATATGTCATTAAGCATTTGATGATATAAAGAATATGAAATATAAAGTCACCTTTTCATAATATTGTATATATTCCATTTACTATCTAATAATCAAATATTATGAAAATTTTAGACATGTAAAATAATGTAAATATTTAGATTTTTACTAAATAATCTTTACCTATTAATTTAGTGAAATAATTAATACCAGATAAAGTATATAAACAAGAGAAGGAATAAACATGGATTTCAGAAATATATATTGCAATAGGAATTGTAAAATAAGAAATAGAATAAATACTTAAATAACATGATAAGAATTTATAAGGCATTAAAAAATTAGAATAGTAATTCCAATATATTACAGAATTGCTATTTATGGAATCTCTATAATAGAATCCATTTTATGGATTACAATATTTTAATATTGAAATACCTAATACAAGCAAAGATATATTATAAAGGTTATTATATATTATTATTATTTATTTAGATAATTTTAATGTTAATTAGAAACATATTCTATATTAGGAGTTAAGTATGATAGATTTATTATTATTCATAATATGGAAAAGAAATTGGAAATATTTCTAAATGACATAGTCAATCTATCACCATTCCCATTTTATTTTCAATTTTAAATAAAGTAAATTAAAAATGAATAATTTATATTCAAGACTTCAAATGGATTAGAAATTTAAAAACTTTAAGAACTATACTCAAATATCTCTAATAATTTATGATATGAATTCTTATAGATACCAAAAAAATAAATTATCATCAACATTTAAACTTAATATTTTCCTTCCCTTATTTAAGTATATAATATTAATCATTTGAGTAAATTTTTTAATCAGGAAGTGTTGGAACTGTTTAATTAGTTTTTTCTCTTTCATTATTTCTATGACTTTTTTATTTTTAATTATCTGAACATGATGATATAAAACTAGCACTTATATTGGAATTATTCATTTCTTCACTTAAACTTAGGTTATTAAATAATTTTAATTTTTATCCATTTTATGAGTTTTTTTTAATCATTATTGATTGTTTTGAAGATTACGATTAAAATTTCTATCTTTCCTATTATAAAAGTGTATTCTTTAATATCATTTCCAATTCAACATTATCTTATTATAATTTTATTATCTATTTCTATTGATTAGTAATGATTAATTGATTATTTTAACTTTAATCAATTTAATTTTTAAGAGATTAATTTTCATTTCTAACTGTTTCAAACAATTCAGTTAATTTTTACAATTCCTCTGTTAATTGTTATATATGATTCTTATAATATTTTATCTCCTTATCCTTCTCTTCTAGTAATTCTATCTATTAATATGAATTTTGAACAGACTCAACCTATTAACTAATTTGAGAATGCATTAATGATTAAAATTTACTTTTAGATCTATTCCGTATTTTTTATAAAGCATTATTAGGTTATTCAGTATTAACTATTGGCTTAAATTAAAAATGGTTTATAAGATGTTAATTAACTTATTTTAAATTATTTTCATTAATTCCACTGTGCTATGTCTTATATTAAAATATACAATTTCATTCACTTTGTCAACTATCATCTAAGAAGATTTCACATCTTTTTATTAATTTTTCATAGCATCCATAATTCCATTAGAAACTTTAAACGATTTCATTTATTAATTTTTATATAGAATTTATAAATTCAATAGTATTAATTATAATTAATCATATATAAAAAAAAAGAAATTCAATCACTTAGGATTAATGATTAAAATATTTTCATATATATTTTTAATTATCTTCATTAATTTTATATTTATTAAAAATAGAGACTATAAATATCTCATATAAATATTAAAAAAATACTTAAAAAAACACATATATATACATTTAATTTAAATAAGAATTAAAAATATATAATTCAAATCTCAAAATATTTTATTTTGTTGAGTTCATTAAAGTTCATCTATAAACAAACTAAATGTGATGAAAGCAAAATGAAAAAGAAAGGGAATAATTTAAATAGATTAAATTCAGCACTGGAATCGAAATTGAAAAGATCATAACATCCAAAAATAAATTCAATTAAAGAACTTACTAAAGCACAAAGATTAAATAATAGAAACATTTTCCCATAGTTTCTCCTTGATTTTAAAAGCTAATAATATATTTACTATTACCCAAGCAGATAGAATTATCAAACTTATGATTTATGCTGCAGGAAATATTATAGATTAAGTGATAAATTCAGCTAAAAATATTTAATCATTTTCCATATCATGAGCAATAAATAATAACACCGGATATGCAATTACAAAGCACTTTCTATAAGTAAATTAAAATTACCCATTAAATAGCAAGTACAATACATATACCAGCAATAAGAAATTATTAATTAATTCTACTATCTCTATATCTAGTAATTTAACTTAATAACCAAGTGAAAAATCGTTTAACAACTTGGAATCCTTTAAGTTTATATTATTTCATTCCATCTATTTTAAAACGATTTATTTTGGATTACATTTTCTTCTTCTCTTATTAGATTTGATTTCTTAAATCATCTTTATCTTAATTAACAATAATTTATAATTATTCATTAATATTATAAACTAAATTATTAAATGTTTCTAAATTAACAATTCTATCTTTATTATAATTATTAAAAATAATAGATAATTTAATAGTGAATTCTTCAGGTAAATTTTTCATTATATGAATTTGTTTTAATAAAAATTCTAATTCTCTTTAATTAGCATTTCCTAGTAGATATACCTAACTTTATGCAGATACTTCATTTGCAATAATATGAATACAAATATCAACTTAGATGGCATGATGCAATCTAAAAATTTCATAATTATAATTATTTGTATAATTAAGAAGATCAATAAATCTTTTAGTAAATGAAGATTATGATTATCTAAAATCTATTTTAACTGCATAATAATTAAATTCAGCAACAAATTTTTCAAAAAGATTTATACTATCTTCATTAGTATTAAAACTAAATTACTACCATAATCTTTTGATAAGTGCATCATGAATATTAATTTAAAATGGATATGGAAATGTTCCAAAACCACTTAAAACTAAATAGATAGGTAATTCTATAGTATTACTCTATTCTACTATTTTCAAAGCTAAATTTAATCTATCTATGAAAGCTAAAGTTTTATCTTTAGAACATGAAAATTTCAACTTAATTTTATCTCTATCAGGATCTAATTCATTAAAAAGATATTCTTATTAAATAAATAATTTAGATAGAATTTAAAATTTTTTTACTTGAATTAATTTGAGAATCCATATGTAAAGTGGATAATAATAAAATTTGAAAAATATTAACATGTATTTTTCAAAAGTAGTAAATAATGCTTTTTAATTGAATGTTTCAAACAATCTATATAATCTTTAATTATCTCCTTGATTTAAATCACTATCAACTAGAGTTTCTTAATAAATTTACCATGGATTTTAATAAGTATTATTACCTGCCAGATAAATTCTTCTTACATGAAAATGAATATCTTAACTTATTAAATAAGTTTTATTATTTAATTCAGATAAAGAACTAGTCATTTATTATAAAGTTGAATCATCATATGATCCATAAAATTATCTTGACTTCTTCTGATTCTTATCCCTACTAGCCCAAACAATAGCAATATTAATCAATAATAACATTATAATAACAAATAAAGCAAATATAACATTTTATCCTCCTAATTTTTATGAGAACTCTGCTAATCCAGTTAAACATTAATATTCTTTTGGTTATTTATTATCAGAACATTCAACTGTACAAAATGGTGTGGATTCTCCAGATTAATTATAATATGTTTTATTATTATTGATAGTATTAAAACATGGTTAACAAGGACCTTATCCATAAAGTAATTTATATTTTCCGAACTGACACTATTAACAATAATTGCCAAAAGTACCCTAAGGACATCCTGTAGGTGTAATTGAACCTTGAAATTTGATTAAACTTTGATTAGACATAATAAGGACATTGTTTTATTGATTAGTTAAACCTCCTGGTCTAGTTTATATTTTATTTGTGCAAATGTTATAATAAGGACTATGAATCATTTCTGTGATATTAAAAAAGAACAATCTGATTCTTCCTCCTCCTCCAAAACCACCATAGACTTAATATGTTTAATAAAACTTTTATCTAGCAAATTCATATTAATTAAAATCTTCAGCATATGAAGAACCACCACCATCAGCAGTTAAATATCCCTATCCACTAAAATATATTATTCTTATTTAAATTGATCCTCCACTTCCACTCCCAAAAAATGGTTCCTCAATATAAGATGTTCCATTTGAACTTATTATCCCATCATTTTATAAATTTAATACTTCTAAATGTATAACTCCTCCTCCTTATCCTTAAATGTTTATTTTTTCAAAAAAATCTCCATATGTAACTCCACCACCACCACTACCTGGTAATATTGGATTGAATGAATAATCATAAATCTATTTACTCTATAATTATAAACATAATTAATTGTAATTTGATTTTGGACTTGTTGAAAATCCTCCCATTCCTCCATGACTTCCTCCAGTACCTCCACATTGTTATCTCAATCCTATTATTTTATCAGTGTATCCACAACCAAATCCCTCATTAGTGTCATATCCCATTCCATCTGTTAATATCTAACTAGAATTATCAATTGATAAATTATAGGAATACAATCCAATATAGAATCCTTAGATTTTGGACTAGTTTGTCAAACTTAATGATTATTAAACTGAAATTAACATAGTGTAATAGGTGAGATTTTTTAGAGTAAAGAAATTACATGAAAATTGAGATAACCATTATGATTCAATAAATTAAGCAGATAAATTTGTATAGTTTTAGGTGATATAACCTACAAAGCTGAAAAGGGATTTAAAATAAGCTTAATTGGAACAATTTAAATTATTTAAGCATGAACATTAAGTTTTATTCTACATTAAAGATTTCAGTTAGGAATTGCTGATAAATAAATATTATGAACAAATACTCATAGTTTTTGACAATATTTTTGTATTATATAATGACATATTATATGTTACAAATTAAATTTACATCTATCCTAAAAAATTAATACTTGAATTGTAAATATTCAATTAATCCATTTAGAATACTATTTATTAATGTTATATGAAATCACATTCATCATCTTATGATATTTTTGAATTATTTATTATCAATTGACTAAAATTCAATATTACTTTATTCACTAATTTTACTAGACATATCTACACATTACAATTCTCTATCTAAACTATTTCCTAACTATTAATTGTATTATTTTAATGAAAGATGTTCAATGAGCAATTGTTATTTATCAAACACACATCTGTATATGATTAATTACATTCACATTACGAAGCATTAACTTGTTGCACAATTAAAATCCATAAAAATTTTAACATGATAAAATAATAATAAAAATTGAATTATCAAGAAAAAATCAAAGTTCCATCATCTTCTCTAATGTGTTACATTAAACTAATAACATAACCATTAAATCATTTGATTAGATATTATTATTATGTATTGTACTAGCAGTCTCCTCATAAGAACTTACATTCTTCTATCTAATAGATGAAGCCTCACTATGTAGATTTTCCAGTAAATCTACATTATCATTAAATTAACTAGAACTACTATGAGCAATCAAAGGTTGATTTCTCATATTGTTTCCAAACTATTACAGAATGTTCATCTTCTATTAAATTGTACTTCTCTTTCCATTTAAATCCTTCTATAACATTACAAGAGTAGTTGGAATTCCATCAATTGGTTATCTTGATAATATATCACTAGCATATAGAGTCATCTATCCTAAATATAGAGCTTCATCTGTAATTAATGTCTATATTTAATATTAATATAAATTACTATTATTTTGCTCTGTTCTTATTATTATAATAATAATTCATTTATTTACTATTATAGATATTTTGCATCACTTTGATCTTACAATTAAGCATATTGTGCTTAACACTTTTCTTATAATTTTAAAATTTATTACTAATAACCTTTGTATTCAGCCTATTATAAATTAATTTAAATACTTCTATTTATTATTAAATTTTCTATAGATTACCATTTTCTTTAACTACTTAATTGAGTTATTCCAATTAGTTATTATTTTATTATAATAAATCATAATACTTTTATTCTATTTTCTTAGATTAATCAATATTTTCTTTGTAATTATTATTTTCTTTCTATAATTCTTTATTTTAATAAACAGCCTCCTCTAGATTTTAATTAATTTTATTAAGTATTTAATTTTCTTTCTATAAATTATTTTCTAAATCTATAATAATTTAATTTTTTTATTTTAATTCTTCTTACACTTATTTCAATATCTAATCATTCTATTATTTTTCAGTTTGTAATTTAAATAGTTTCTCCATCAATTATCTATTTGTTACTACTTATTCATCAAATAACTTTTTATTTAATTCCATTTATTATTCTAAATCAAAATTATGATTCTTTTGATTTCTACTATAAGGAGACTTTGATTTTGAACTAAATTATGTTATATTTCTTTCATCTGCTGTTTAAGTTTTAAAATTAGATTAATTTACAATTGATGTATCATTTGTTACTCTCTATTTATAATTTACATCAATTCCACATTTTGCTAATTATTATCCAAATGAAGTAGCATTTTAATTTTAATGTTAATTTTAAAGTTAATTACTTGACATATTTTCTTTGATATTTTTCATTTAATTATTTAATACTTCAACCTAATTGATCAATGTACTTTAATTATGTTTAGTTTATAAGACATTTATAATATCTTATATTAATTTCTAAGTATCTACTACCATTTTTTATAATTTCAATTAATTTTGGAAACTCATCTAATCACTTTTCTAATTATCTAATTATTCCTTAAGCATTTCAATCTATTATTGATATTACATTGAATTGTCTGCCATCTTAAATGCATCTTAACTATAAAGAGAGTTGACTTCTTAAATAAGCAAATAGATAAAATATTTTAAGGCTATCAAATCAGTGCATCTATAGAAATCAAAACAATCATTGTAATATTCTTAACAAAAACATTTAATTTTTGCCAAAGATGGAGCACATTCATCTTAATTTTAATCTTTAATCATTTTAAACTTTCTCAATTTCTTAGTTAACTACTAGATTCTCACTATACTATTAGTATGTAATTATCCTGATTATGGACCTAAATTAGAAAATTAACTATGCATTGAATATTTATCTTATTAAGCCATAGTATTATCAGTTTTAATATGTACAGGAGATTAATCTATTTTACTAATGTTTTCTAATCTTTTATTAATAATTGTTTCATAATAACTCTAAGAATCTACTTTCTAATTCGAACTGCATTATTTTTTCTACCTTACAAAAGGTGATAAAGATGCTTCATTTTTTTATGTTGTTGTTGATCTATTTTCTGTTCTATCTGCATGTTAACTATTAAGGTTCTTAACTCTCTACTCCAATCCCTAAACTTTCTATTATAGGTAATTAGCACACTATGAAAATTCAGGACAATTGCTAATTACAGCCAAAGGTTGTCGTTAAACTCTTAAACTCCCTTAACGAGAATGACCAGAATTTGGAGTCTGATAAGGTTTCATATTAATATTTAAATTATTATTTAACAGCTTTAAATTATCTTTAATAAAAAAATAAATAATTCATCTATTTACTTCATTTCTTCTTGTTGAAATACTAATTCAAATTCATAACTAATATATTGATCTATTATATTCTCATTTCATATCTCATATATATATTGCTCTTTCTCTCTTTATATATTCAATGGATTATCAAGAATTATACTCATATTCACTTTAATTAAAATAATGTGTATTATCTTTTAGATTATTAAAACTATAAATTAGAATCTTAAGATGAATCTTCCAGTTATTGCAGTTAGAATGAAATGAAACTCCTTAGATTTTGATAAGTAACATAAATTATATAAGTTTATTATGAACTCCTTTAATAATATCATCTAAGAATAATTAGAAGTATAAATAAAATTTCTAATCCTTTTAAAATTTAATATTAGTTATTATAAAATATGTTTTGTAATATTAACTTTTATTAATATGTAATATTTATCATGAAGGTTTAGAATTATCTAATAAATAAGTGGATATTTATTTATTTTTGTACTTTAATTGTTTTAAATTAGTGTAGATGAGTTAATTTGAATAAAGAGGATATGCAATAAATATATAATTTAATTAAATGAATGCTTCATATTGGTGATAATTTAATAATTAAATATTAATATTAATTGCAATTATTTTACTCTAACCCCCATATTTTAAATTATTCTTTTTTTAATATATAATTGATTTTGTTAATCCTAATTGTCAACTTATTGACTTTTTGGTTTCATGATTTTAACATCAATCTAAAAATAGATTATTGTGAATTCTAACATGAATTGAATTTTTAAAAGTATATCATAATAATGATTTGGTTTAATGGGTTCTGTGAATGCAAAGAAAAAGATTAAATTTATTAATTCATGGGTAATTCTTGCAAATAAAAGAAAGATACTGAATAAGAAGACACTTAATAATTGCAAATAATCACTTTAGAAAATGGAATTCAAAGAATAAATACAACAATCTAAGCAGATAGTCAGCAATTAAAACTAAATAAAGAATCTCCATAAGATGGTGTCTAAATATCAAATATTCAAGTTATAATGATTAAGCCAAGAAATGAAGAAGAAGGTGCTTTAATTTTGAGAGATTTAATATAGTTTGGAAATAAAATAATTGTAATCCCTAAAGTGAATGAGGATAGTCCAAATACTAGTGCAAAGTCATTATCAAAGAAAGGAATATTAAAAAACAAAGGATCTTAATTGACAAAATTTTCTCTACATTCTTGTACTTAGTAGAAAAGGGATAGATTTCAAATGTTTGAAAATAAATGACAATATTAAATCTTTTATGAGTAAATATTTCAAAAGAAAATGTTAATAATATTTATATATATATTTAGGTTTAATTATTGAGCAAATAATATTAAACATTTATTATTAATACTAAACCTTAAATATTAGTTTAATATCTCAATAATCATAAATTTTAATCAGTTGATATATGAATTTTAATATATTATAATGTATTTATATGTTGATATTAAAATGCATTTAAAGAATAATCAAATTTTATTTAATTTAATTTTTCTTTAAAATTATGTAATTTCCTATTATGATAAAGAAAGAAAATATTATATTATGAAAAATAGAATATTTATATAATAAATATCTATATAATTAAAATATTTGGAAATTAAGTTAATTAAAATAGAAAAGGATTTCTATATAATACTTTACTGAAAACATAATAATATTTATATTTATAAATATCCTTAATATATTCTAATAAAATTCAGGAATTAAGTTTTTAATTACGATGCTTTCCTTTTTTTGGTTTATTATGAAATCTATATTAATGATTAAGTAGATTTTTCAATACTTTGTAGGTAGTTTAACAAATTGAACATCTATAGGAATTATTTTTTGGATTGAATACAACTCTACAAACTGCCTTTCTTTATTCTATTATGTTTTATTTTGATGTTTATTATTAATGTTCATTAGAAATAGTTTCATTTTCTGAAAGTTTATCATCCTTTTCTGTTTATTCAACTTAATCTTCATCAAGATTTAATATAATTTCTATGTCATTTATTATTTCATCATCATTTGAATCTCTTATATTTAATTTATCTGGTTCATCATTCTATATTTATAATGAATTGATTTGTTAGAGTAATTTAAGCATTTGTTTCATCTCGATAATACTTGATCTATCTTGCATATTGTTCTAATTAATTAACTCTAATAAAGTTAATTTTGAAGCTCTTTGTAAGACTCAAATTGGTTTGTATAAATCCTTATAATATTTATGATCTAATATATATATATACATAAGTCAATTAAAATCTAAAACAAAATAAGAAAGATTTCAAAATAGTACTAGTACTATATTATTATCAATAGAATATAATTAATTCATTAAGTCTAATAATTAGAATATATGAATTTGTAAATAATTCTAAATATAAAATAAGTCAAAGAACAATTATGTTATTTACTTCAATATCTTTTAAGATCTTTTCTGTTGCTGAATTCATAGTTGGTGGTCCACAAATAAAGTAATTAGATACAGTATTTAAATCACCTATATATGATTTAAATATTTGTGCATTAAATCTTTAGGTGATTATATCACATTCTTTTAATTTAAAATTTCCTTTTACAACCATTTTGAAATTTGGTATATCCAATTAAGATTATAATGATAACAAAGTAAAATAGATTTCTTTACCAATCTAATAATAATATATATATAATAAATACCAAATCATCTAATGAATTAACAGCTAAAAATAAAGTGATCTTGAAATTCTTAATTTATCCTGTATTTATTATTTAAGCAGCCTCTTAACCAAATTGTTTCAATAATATTTTATGATAAGTCAATTTAAGTTAATACTCTAATATATCTAAGAAAGGAAACAATCCAGTACCACCAGCAATGAAAACTAAATGATTACCATTTTCTATTGTAATATTATTTCCATAAGGTCCTTCTATTAGATACTCTCCATTACGATTGTCTTCATGAATAAAAGATGAAAATCCATTTTTAGATTAATACCTCTTAATTATTAAAGGTAATTCAGATAAGTATTCTTCTTCTTTTGGAATTTCCTTTTGTATAGTTTACAAAGAAAGTATTTTTTTAAAGAGATCAGAAAGATCCTTTCTAAATTTAACCCTTTGAGATGTCATACTCTATACCATAGTATATTATCTAGTAGAAATGTCATTATCTTCAATTGATTTAATAACAAAGTATTAACCAAAAGTTTATAAACCAGATAAAGTATTTTTGAATTGATACTTATCATGAACAAATCCAAAATAAGCAATTTAGTCAGTGTATGGATGAATAGTATTCAATTTCCATGTTTCCTTTAATTATTTGACTACTCTACGATTTGATTAATTAATAAAGAATTCTAGATCTTAATTAACATAAATTCCAGTAGTATATTTTTCTAATATTTTGAGAGTGTATATGCTATGTTAATAAACTTTGATTTTGAGTTAATCAAGTGTATAAGCTCCTATTATATATCTAGTAACATCTTGACCTTAAATAAGTTTCCAAATATAATTGCCACCTGGATGAATCATTTATGATAAATCAACAACTTAATTTTTATATATACACCATAACTTTGATGATTTCTTTTCAAAACCTTCATCTTATTGACTATTATTTATATCCAATAATGGATTTTAACCATCATTATAAACTTTCTTAGAATTAGACTCTTTTCCAGTCATAACTACATTAACCAAACTACCCTTTTAATATAGAACTTCCAATATGAGACGAGTAGTTAAAACAGCTCCCAAGATCAACATTAATCTAATATCATTATCCATAAATAGTCCTGCTATTATTTATAATTTGCCTAATGTATATACAATACTGCCTAGAATAGCATGAATTGAAGGTTTTACTGATACTTTTTGATTAATCTTTAATGAAGTTAACATATAATTATAGAGAATTCCCCCTATACTTTATGCTATCATAAATATTGCTACTATCATAAATATGATTATATGGAATTGATTTTTAACTGATTATTCTTTAAAATTACTCCATTCTAAAACACTCCAATCTGTACTTAACATCATCATAGCTGTTGTAATTGAACTTGTCACTATTAAGATAAATAAAAATCCATGTAAATATGTTCTATATCCCCAAGTCTTGTAATATCTTCCAATTATTATAGCAACATCACTAGCAATACCCCAACAAACAAAATTTGTCCATTTATGAATATAATATGTATTGTCTCCATCCACTATAATAACGTCATTACTTCCTCCATCATCAGTGAAATTTAATATTACTGATCCTCTATTCACATTCCCATGATTTGATACTGTAATATTAGCCTCAGTCTTACCATGAGCCCATATAAAATCAACTGCTTCTCCCTCTATTAAATCTTTATCATATTGATCACCTAGTTATTTAAAATCTATTTTAATACCTGTTTTTACTAATCTCTTGAATTTTACACCTGTTTTACCATTCTAATTATAGTAGTAACCCAGAAGTTACAAATCATCAGTTCCTCCTGATGAAATATCAGTTGGAGGTCTTCCATGTTTAACACAATAAGAATCATTTACAGTTATCACATTATCGTAAACTTCAAATACCCATAAATCTGCATCTGACATAGATTTTCCAAGTCCTAAAGAAAAATAACTTATCTTATCAATCTCTATGAACATTATCACTTCTTTCTTATCTTCACTAAACTCAAAGTAAAAATCAAAATGAGTATCTACAATTTATTAATAAACTCATTTACCGCTATCAGAAATCTTAGCATGAGTTCTTGGCTTTGTAATATCATTACTTGGATCATGATAATAAAATCTATTTTAACAGATTATCACTTCAATCAAACCTAAAATGAGTAGGTTTATCATCTTTAATTAAAATATGTTAAAAATAAGGTCCATCTTTTTTAAATTATACTCGATGATGTAATTTATTACATTAATTTGAAATTGTATAATTTTATGTTATATAATAATTTATAATCATTATATATATTTAATTACAATCAAATTAATATCGTATTAAAACTTTCATTAATTAAATTTATGTCTTACTAAATGAATAAAGCTCAATCCAATAATAAATTTTATATCATTTCAAAGAAAAAAAAAAATAAATATAAAATTCATACTAGTATTCAAACAAATTTTAGTGAACTAATTGATGTTATTATTCTCACAAGACCATAAATGTAACAACAAGGAAATTCATAAAAATGGTTCAATCTATTGTTTTGATTAACTTTGGGGATTCATGAATTTTATAATCTTAGATGATCAAATTTGCATTTTTTAATTGTGAATGAATGTATATATCAATTAGCCTATATATAAAATCTAAATCTCTAGAGAAGATGAGAACTTTTAGAAATTCATAGTCTATGATTATATAAGATATCATTTAAATAATAAAATATGATGAGTAAATGTTGCTTAATCAATATGAATTGAACAATAAATTAAATAATAATAATTTATCATTGACATTATCCAAAACAACAACAAAAACTAAATTGTCTAATATAATCTAAGAAATAATTCAAAAAGGAAAAAATTTTTTATAATTATAAAATCATTAGTGAATCAGTCATTATAAATTTTTACTAATAAATAATTTAAGATTCTCCTATTGATTCCTTTAGTTTAGTTTTTGGAGGACCTATAAAAGATTAATAGCCTATTGCTATTAAACTAGATTCTTAAAATTAGTTAAGTTATAATGTTCTAGCTAATTGATTTCATTCTATATAGTACTATTTAATAAAATATAAATAGAAATCTTTTTTGGGTAATAATTGTATGATGATAATTAAAATGGTGAATCACATGTTTTCAATTTCTAATATGTACATAGAAATAATATTAATTAAACAGTTTATATGATTATCATCTTGTATTAATATAATTTTATAATAAAATAGTTGATTATTTTTACATTATTAATCTATTAAGTAGGAGTTTGAACAAATATAATAAAATAATTACAATAATAATAATTTGAATAGGAATTTGAAAGTATATAATTAAATGAAAGATCTGTTTAGAGGATAAATTACTAAAAAATCTTTATAAAAATATATATTATGATATTTAATATTAATTTATCAATTATAATTATACTCTTAATTAAATGACTGACTATTTAAAAGCAGTAATTGAAACTTAATTAATTGGTGCATTTAGAGTAGCTGTAACATTACCACTAGAGCATGTGTTAGATAGAATAAAAACATATAAATAATCTAGATAAGGGATTACTTATTTATAAGTATAAGATTAAATTTGTATTAAAGAGTTTTAAAGAAATCATGGGAGCACGTGGATATATAGGTTTATATGATGGATTCTATCCAAATTTCTTAAGATCAATGTTCAAATAATATTATAGATGGCCAATGATGATTTTCATACCATAATTCCTGAAAAACTATATTCATGATTATTCTTTGAATAAGATTTTAACTGGAGTTTCAATAGGGATATTTGAAAGTTGTATAATAACACCATTTGAAAGATTGAAAATACTAAAAATGACAAATATGGCAGTAGGATTTGGATATTTGAAATATATTACATTTGACTAAATTTATGTTGGTTTCAGAATATTAACAACAAGATAGATAGTTTCTTGGACAAACTATCTTTATTGGGATCATAAGATACGTTATGCATTGAAAACAGATGCAAGTTCAAGATTAAGTTTTTGGAATGTGATAGTAGCATCAACATTAACAAGTTTGTTGAATATAATGGCAGGTAATTATAATAATAATAATTAGTACATCCATTTGATACAATCAAAACTTTGGTGTAAATGGAAGCCAATTAAATTTATAGTAAAATATCAGTAACTGAAAGTTTTAAGTTAGTTTTTAAGAAATATGGGATATCTGGATTGTATGCTGGTTGGTAAGCAAGAATTATAGGATACTTTTGTTAAGCAGCATTAACAACACCAACAATAGATTATTTGGAAAGAAATTATGGAATTGCAAAATAATGATTGATTATCTCATTGGGATGTAAATAATTACTCATCAAATATACTATTAATAGTCTTTATCTTGTTTGAGTGAATCAATCAAGAACTGATCATCAAAGAATTTCAAAATAGATACATCTTCATTCAAACCTTTTCTTCTACGAGTTTTTATCATAAATTCTCTTGCTAAATGATTTGAAGGTGCTGGTTCTAAAGGTTTAAGCACTATTGTTTTATCTAAAGGATCTCCTGGTAATAATGACCAATGATCAAAAACACTTAAACAAAATGCTTATCCTGATGTATGTACTCTAAGATCAGTTTCGAATCCAAAGTGATCTATTGTTGGAATATGAGCTCTCACAACTGAAAAGGGTGTACCTGGTTTTGCTTATTCAGATAAAATATGTCCTCTTCTTCTCAAAAGTACATTATGGATGGCAGGAATACAATCTTGGAAACACATAATTTCTGTTAATAACATTGGTTCCATGATTTTTGGTGTTGCCATAAGGAATGATGAATAACACACTCTTCTTGTTGTTGGTATTATTTATCCACCTCCTCTATAGATTGGTTCCTATTTATAATAAAAATATTATTATTACATTTGCAATATTTGCTTCAATAATCTTGAATTTAACATTTCTAATAGGTTCATCACACAAAGGACCTTCTCTAGTTGCCCATTAAAAACCTTAAATCATATAATCTTTGACTTCATTTAATAATTATTTATTTGTTTCTGAAGGTAAAGTATCATCTAGAAATACATTAGGTCCTGTTTTTTCAGGACCAAATGCCCATACAGATCTACTCTATATAATATCCCAATTAAAATTGGATTTAAAGTATTCACTTAATTTATTTTTTGGCCATGATAAATCTATTTCTTCATTTTCAATTCTCTCAGCCAATCCCTTATCTTATGGAGTCAAACCTTTATCTAATGGAGTTGCTAATGCTTTAATCTAATAAATAATATAATTAAATAAATACTCTATTCTTTTTATTAGGAGTATCTGCATAACAAGTTTTTGATGAAGTTTCAATAACAGTTTCACAAAAACGAACAGATGGATCAGATACTTTTATTTCTATTTCTGAATACATCTTTCTTAAATCATGCATAACACAATCTAAATATAATTCTCCTGTTCCTAATAAAATATGTTCTCCTGATTCTTCAACTTTAGTTGTCAAAATAGGATAACTCTTTGTGACTTTACGTAAACCTTCCAACATTTTAGGTAATTCACTTGGAACTAATGGTTCAATTGCAATTTTCATAGTTGCTAAAATATTATGTTAAATAGGTCTCAAAATATCCATTTATTAAGAATCTTCAATTATTGTAGCACTCTTGCTTATAAATTAATCAATTCCCTCAATTAAAACCCAATTTCCTGCTGGTACTTTATTCACTTCTACTCTATATCTACCTTAATATATCCAGATATTTTTAATATTCCTTATTGCCATATCCTCTTCATCATCTATATTATATTTTTCACCTAATAATTTAACATTCTATCCTTTTTTAATAGTTCCACTTATAACTCTTCCTAGAGCATCAAAACTCATACAATCTGGTCTACTGTACAATTTCACAACATTTATACATAATGGTCCTTTATGTGAACCTTGAGAAGCTTAAATAAATGATTATTTTGATTTATCACCCTAATAATATAATTCCATTTTCTTTTTACTACCTTCCTATGAATTAGGTACTTATTCAACTAGTACATCAACTAAAGAAGATGTATTACCAAAATATATAGAACAAACTAATTTCAATAATGGTCTAGTATCCATTTTGAATTCACTTTTTTTTAGAGATATACCTTGACTTAATAAGAATGGTTCTAATTGTTCCTTGTCTTTAGAGACCACTTACCCAAATAATTTATAAATGGGTTCTAGTATAAATTCGACGAATGTCCTTTATGTAGCATATGGAGACATTTTACGAACAAATTTCTTCTCTTTATTATCATAATAGATATCTCCCCATAGAAGACGAGTGAATTGTTCAGGATTTAAGAAATTATTGTATCTCCTTGCAAAACTCTAAATAGTAAAAACAAATTAAAATAAACCTGAACCAAATATCACATTATGATTAAGAGGTGAAATGATTTAATTACCTCCATTATCTGATATTATGATGTTGACTTCGTCAAGTATATTTTTGATCTTTAAATATGCATCTGAAGGTGGCAACTTTAACTCAATGATAAGTCTATCTATTTTGTTAATCAAAACTACTATAGGAATCTTCTCTTTTACGGCTGCCTTAATAAGCATTTCAGTAGTCATCATTACTCCTTCAACTACATCAATAGTAAGCAACATGGCATCACTAGCTCTTAAAGCACAACACACTTCATCCATAAAATTTACATGTCCAGGAGTATCGTATAGATTTACTAAATATGACTTATCTTTGCTATTGGGTAATAATAAACTCATAGGGATTGCTTTGATAGAGATCAATCTCTATTATTCATCTTAACGAGTATCAGTATAACGGATATCTTTCTACAAACTAAATTGCTTAAGATGAGTTTGTTTAACAAAAACGTCCATCAATGATGTCTTACCATGATGCAGACCGCCTACAATTGCAACATTTCTTACCAAAGCAGGATTCTTAGAAATACGACATAGAAACTCATAGTCGAAAGTAGTTTGAGGTATCTATGTCTCTTAGATATCAAATTCCTTTGATTTTAGTGGAGCAATCATAGGCTAAGTTATTGGTTAAGCATCCTCTTCTTAAACATTGATTTCAACATCTCGACCATATACTTGTTAAGCATCTGGATAGTATTGTTTGTCTTCATTAAGAATTACTGCAACTTATTGATTAGGTATATACACTCTCTTCAAAGATAGAAGCATTTTATTACATTTGCTATTACATGTTCTTGGTCATTTTCAGCTATCTATTCTTCTTCAATCTACACATTATCTTCTTCATCTGAATCTATTTCTGGTCCTATGTAATTTCCAAACTCATCGTAATTATTCATGTCGTCCATAATTAATATATAATATTAAATTAAATGCATAAATTATTTTGATATTGTACTATATAGATATCCATGCAAATCAGAACAAAACAAATTGCTTTCTAACATTACCAATGATTTCATTTGGAATTACTTTCAAAACATTGAATCTGACAGTCTTTGACAATGGTCTTAATATTAAATCATTAATACCTGCATTATCCACAAACTACGATATCTCCTTCTTTAACAGGACCAAATGCTGGAGAAATGTGTACTGGTACATTTCTATGTCTCTTTTCATATCTATTATATTTGGCAACATAGTGCAAATAATCTCTTCTAATGATAATGGTTCTTGTCATCTTTGTAGAAATCACAATTCCTCTATAATTTATTCTTTTTTGATTGTACTTTAATATTGCTCCTCTAACACTAACATTTCCTGTGAATGGACATTTCTTATCAATGAAATTTCCCTCAATTGCCTCCTTAGGTACTTTGAATCCCAAACCAACTTCTTTCCAATATCTAACACCTTTGGAAGTCTTCTTAGCTAAGAGTTTCTTGGAGTTTTAGAAAATGCCTTCTTATTTTTAGAATGCTCTCTATGATTGAACGTCTGCCATAATATATTTTTTTTAATTAAAAGATATAATTTTTTTTTTCTTTAATCCTCAAATTAGAATCAATATTATCCAAATAATCATTCCCTTCNTGATGTCTTACCATGATGCAGACCGCCTACAATTGCAACATTTCTTACCAAAGCAGGATTCTTAGAAATACGACATAGAAACTCATAGTCGAAAGTAGTTTGAGGTATCTATGTCTCTTAGATATCAAATTCCTTTGATTTTAGTGGAGCAATCATAGGCTAAGTTATTGGTTAAGCATCCTCTTCTTAAACATTGATTTCAACATCTCGACCATATACTTGTTAAGCATCTGGATAGTATTGTTTGTCTTCATTAAGAATTACTGCAACTTATTGATTAGGTATATACACTCTCTTCAAAGATAGAAGCATTTTATTACATTTGCTATTACATGTTCTTGGTCATTTTCAGCTATCTATTCTTCTTCAATCTACACATTATCTTCTTCATCTGAATCTATTTCTGGTCCTATGTAATTTCCAAACTCATCGTAATTATTCATGTCGTCCATAATTAATATATAATATTAAATTAAATGCATAAATTATTTTGATATTGTACTATATAGATATCCATGCAAATCAGAACAAAACAAATTGCTTTCTAACATTACCAATGATTTCATTTGGAATTACTTTCAAAACATTGAATCTGACAGTCTTTGACAATGGTCTTAATATTAAATCATTAATACCTGCATTATCCACAAACTACGATATCTCCTTCTTTAACAGGACCAAATGCTGGAGAAATGTGTACTGGTACATTTCTATGTCTCTTTTCATATCTATTATATTTGGCAACATAGTGCAAATAATCTCTTCTAATGATAATGGTTCTTGTCATCTTTGTAGAAATCACAATTCCTCTATAATTTATTCTTTTTTGATTGTACTTTAATATTGCTCCTCTAACACTAACATTTCCTGTGAATGGACATTTCTTATCAATGAAATTTCCCTCAATTGCCTCCTTAGGTACTTTGAATCCCAAACCAACTTCTTTCCAATATCTAACACCTTTGGAAGTCTTCTTAGCTAAGAGTTTCTTGGAGTTTTAGAAAATGCCTTCTTATTTTTAGAATGCTCTCTATGATTGAACGTCTGCCATAATATATTTTTTTTAATTAAAAGATATAATTTTTTTTTTCTTTAATCCTCAAATTAGAATCAATATTATCCAAATAATCATTCCCTTCAATACTATCTCTAATTCATTTATTTTTTTTCAACTAAATTTATACTTAAATAAATTATGCAAAATCAAATTATGCTCCTTCAATTAAAAAGATAATTAGAAGACACAATCAAGACTTAGCAATTATTAAAGAAATTGCCAACCTAAAAATTAATACCATTTAATTCAGTCATGTATCTAGATGCAAAAATACCAAAATAAGATAAATGCATAATTTCTTTAGAAGCAGACTATGCAGCTGAAGTGTCTTTAGAATCAGCTCATTAAATATTATAAAGAAGAAGAATTAGATTGGAAGAAAATTTTATTAAGTTGAGGGAGAAGGAATCATATGAAGAAATGTAACATGATTTAGGACATAAAATAGATGAGGATAAGGATTAAAGTAAAGGTGAGGATGTGAATGAAAATTGTGATTAAAGAAAGCCTAAATCATATGATTTGATTGAAAAATTAAAAGAAGATGAAAAACTTTAATAAAAGTAGAAACAAGAAAAGCAAAGGTTAGAAAAAGAAAAATTAGAAAAAGAAAAATTAGAAAAAGAGAAATAAAGATAAAATTAATCTATTGGGTAAGTCACTTAATTAGCTGATGGTTTATTTGAAATAGAAGAAAAATATATTTAAGAAGAAGACAATAATAAAGATTAAATGAATGAAGAAAAATAATAACTTCTAAAATTAATTTCAGAAGCCTTTTATAAAGAAAAATTTGATGATTATGATAAATATTCACTTTAATTGAAAGAATTGAATGAGAAATTAAATTAAATGAAACCTAAAAAAGAGATTTAATAATAAAAAGAAACAAATTCAGTTAAATAATAATTACCTACAATTCAAGAGAATGAAACTAATGATGAATATTAATAAGAAGAATAACCTAAGAGAATTTCAAAGTTTAAATAAGAAAGACTTAAACAAAAAAAATGATATATATTTTTTATTGTAAATAATTTTAATTATGGATTTATAAGCAATAAATTCCAATTTTAAGAATTTCCTTGAAGAAGTTGGTTCATATTATAGTGTTGTTGATGATTAAGAAGTTCAAATATTAAGGAAAAAGCAAGATGATTGTTATCAAAATTTCTTGGATGTTCATTATGAATATACAAAGTGTAATAATATTATTATAATTTAAGGTATTTCATAAATAGATGACAAATATTCTAGTCTAAATAAAACTTTTAAATTCAAAACAGAAAAAGCTGCCAAATCTTACAAATCTTGTTTATAAAACAAAAAAGTTGAAGAATGTCATGAAAGAACTTGGAAGCATTTACATGAAAATATGAAGCAATACATATCATTATTAAGAAGAATTGATACCTAAACTATTAAATATTGAATAATAATATATAATAATAAAATACTTAAAATGTAAAACTTAGATTCAACAAAAGAATTGACCTATGAATAATAACATGAATTATACAATTAGCAAATTGCTGATAATAAATAATTTTCAAGTGCAATGGCTTATTTACTAATGGATTTATGTGAAGAAGGTGACAATGATGCTAATAATATTTAAGAACTAGAATCTTTTAATAGTCCAAAAGTCCCATCAATTTCTATTTATGATTATATCTGTAGAATATTAAAATAGGCTTAATGTTCTTAAGAATGTTTAATAATGGGGTTAATATTAATTGATAAATTATCTTAAAAATGGGGAAGAATTATAGTAAAATCAAATAATGTTCATAGGTAAATTTATTTTTATTTTTATTAGATTATATGTAGTATCAGTAATGTTATCTGCTAAATTTTATGATGACAGATTCTTTCAAAATTCATATTATGCTAAAGTAGCTGGTATTTCACATGAAGAATTTAATCATTTAGAAAGAGTCTTGGTTTTCTTATTGGATTTTAAATTAATTATAGATCCATTACTCTTCTTTACATATCGTTAAAGAATTATAACCAATTATTTTGATAATCCAGAATGACCTTTTAAATTTAAATAATGTGTATTATTCTTAATTTATAAAGTAATAATACATATAATTAAATGCAATCTATTAATAATGTAAATTATCAAATAAATTTAACATTATTAAAATAGATAATAGATATTGAGATAAATAATATTTTATAAGTAAATGATTGATTCATTATCTTATATATATATATTCTATTCTTATAATACATTTATTTATAGAGATATTAATATTTTAAATTTCAATTTTAAAAGATGAAATATAAGTTGTCATCGATTTGAATTAATAGCTATAAATTATTACATTTATGTTTTATTAATTATTATGGGGAATAATCTTTGTTATTAAACAGGAGAAAGATCATCTTAATTTCCTTAATTACTTCTTAAATATGAAGTAGGGAACTGTGAAATTGCATTGACTGCAGGTCCTGTAGAGAATGAGGATGTAGAATGCTTAGTAATTCCAACAGATTAAGAATACTCAAATATTAAATAAAGTGATAAACCAACATTTGCATAATTAAATGGAAAGTGTGTATTTGTTGCAGCTAGAAAGAGTATGATTAAATATCAAATATTTTAAGAACAGAAAAATTAGATTTTGGCTGTTGTTATTGATAAGGAAACAGTATTAAATAGTGATAAAAGTGATGATGAAAAATAAACAATTTATGAAGCAGTTTAAGAGGCCTTAAAAATAGTATATTATCATATATAATTCTTTTAAAGGCAGAATAAAAGCAAATGAAATCTATAGGATTTCCAGTTTTTACATCAAAAGATCACACAACATCAGCAACAATTATGTTGATGGCCATAAAGCTTAGTGTGACTGAGTAAAAAATAAAATCATTAAAAAGAATAGTAATTACATTAGATGTATTTATATTATAAATTGAAAGCATATTGAATAGGTGAGTAGCTTTAAATGGGTGTTTTAATAAGTATTTAAAGGAAACTAACAAGTTGCACATTCTAGAACTTATTCAAGTTCAATAATGGAATAAATGGAATCAATTTAAGCTGATATCATTAAACCTAAATAAAAAAGTGCTACAAAAGAAGAAAAAGTATGAGATAATCTTTCATTCATAAGTAACAAATTGATTTATATTATTTTACATTAAATTCATTAACATTTACTTTTTTAATTGATTTCTAAGACTCTAAAGATAATATATATAAACTATACATAGAAAACAATTAAAGTAATTCCAATCTAGATATATAAGTATTATTTTATAATTAATAAAAATATTTTCTTAATTATCTAATTGCTATTATAAATTATGACATTTAACAGACTGAAATGATTTGAAAATCTAGTTTAAAATGTTAATTTTGATAATATATTGAAATAATTTAGATAAAATCTTATTTTTAGAATTTTATGATGTATTTGTATTTAGAACACTTTTTGAATAGTATTTATATTATTTGTTTACATAATGGCAGAATTTGAATAAATTATTCAATAGTAATAGAATATGTAGATCAAATTAAGTGTTATTAATGTTAGATACAAATTTTATCTTGAATTTAGTTAAATTTTAAGGGTTTGAATTTAATTGTAAGATAGGATTTATTTAATTAGTAAGTAACTTATTAATAGTATATTAGGAATTAGAATTTAGTTAAGTTTTGAGGAATTAACACTATATTATAAATGACATTAAATAGTCGTTTTTAATTAATATATTATATAAATGAAATATTTAGTGCTCTTTGCTTTAGTACTTTTGACAATCGCAGTAAATGACAATCAGACAAAGTATTTGTTAAATAAATAAAAAGACAAAAATCAATTGAAGAACAACATCCTTCTCTTTTTAGAGCATTAAAAAATATGGCATTATTACAAGAGTAATCATAATAATTAGATTACTCTCGTTTGATTAATGCGATTAATGATCTTGAATCTGAAATCACATAAAATAAGGAGGATGAAAATACATCATTCAATAAAGACTTTTTATCCAACAATGCAGATTAAGAATTTTATGAAAATCAAATAACTTAATATTAAGTAGAAGTAGCACAACATGAAGTTGATTTAGCTGATCTTACAGAAGCTAGAAACACATTATAATCATTATTAAATGATGCAATCAAAGAACAATAAGATGTTACACTTTTAAGAAATTAATTGGATCAATAAATGAAGACTGATGCTGCTAATACTGCTGCCTAATTATAAGAATATGATGATTCTGCTGCTGCAATTGATGAAGCTCTTAATATGTTGACTTCCTTAAAGAATGCTGATAGCTTAGTATAAGTAAATGACAAATTGAAAACTCATTTGAGTAAATAAAAGGTATTCTTCCAACCATTAATTGTTGCTCTTGCTGAAATTGCTTAATCTAAGTAAAAAGAATTACATTACATTATAGTTTTGCAAATCAAGAATTAATTAGCAAAGTTACTAAACTTTTAAATTAATTGAGAACTTCACTCTTAGAAAGCAGATTACAATTAGTTGTATCATCTTAAGGATTGGAAACAATGAATAAAGAATTGTTGGCTACTTATGATTCAAAATTAAATGTATTATCTACAGTTGTCTTACCAGATTTTAGAGAGAATATTGAAATTAAGGATGGTATGTGAAATAATTAAATAATTTAGCTGAAATTAAAGCAAAATCAAATTTACTCAATGATGCTAGATCTAATTTGTAAGATTCTTAAGATAATTTGAAAGCCACATAGGATGCATGGATTGTTAGAGCTAATTTGAACTCTAAATTAATATAATAATATGATAATGATCTATCACTTATTTAATAAGTCAAATAAAGTTTTGATAGAGCAGGTATCAAATAATGATTGAATAACAATAATAATTATAAAATATACATTATTCATGTTATTTATATATTAATTAGATAATGATATATCTTTTCAATTATAAATATAGAAATATGATAAATTTTATTGTTATATATATATATATTTAATATTAATAAATGCACATCAAATCTTAACCTTTTTTCTTTGTCTCCAAACCATATCAAGTATATTATATTATTAAATTAGAGTCCAGATTGCTATCCAATTAGATTGGATAGTAGGGGTTCTCAGGTGGATGTACTAAAAGTGTTTTATTTAGAATAATTAGTGAGTGATTTAAGAAAAGATAATCAATAGTTATTTGATTAAATGGAAGAGATGAGAATTAAAAACTTTAATAAGGAACATGAATATATAAATCAATTAAAAGATTTATAAGAATAACTCTTAGATATTTAAGCACTGAATAAAAATTATGAATATTAGATCTAATTATTACAATCTAAAAAATCTTATATAGAATTAAATCATAGATTTTTAGATTAATAATTAACAAATAGTACAGGTAAACATATATAGAATATATATATTTTAGATTTATTCAATTCTAAATTTCAATCTGAAAGTGGAGAATCAAATTAATAAATTAGAAGTCTTAATAATATTTTGGAACAAAAAAATATTATAATCAAAGAATATGATGAAATGAAAAATAAATTCAAATTAACATAATTTGAGTAATCCACTAAAATTGAATAATTGAATAATGAAATTCATAATCTAAACAAATAGATTACTAAATTAGAACTTTAATTGATTAATTAATAAAAATAAGTTACTCTATATTAAAATGAAACTCAATAATGGAGAGGCAAATTTTTATAATTAAATAAAACTTATAATAATAAAAGTTCAGAGTAATTAGTATTAACAAATGTTGTTGAATTAGATACTACATAAAAAGAAGTATAAAAAATAAATGAATTACGTAATAAGAGAAGAAGTGTTGGAAGTATAATTTGATACTGGTTATATTATATTTATATTTTTCATTATTATTATTATAATGGATATTAAATTATAAGTGGATAATCTTATTAAACCAATTAAAGAAATACTTTAGAATATTGATCAAGTTAAAAGTTAAATCATATTATCACATACTCAATAATTTGCCTTATCTATAATTGAATTTATATACTTAGGTAATTGTTGTCCTTGCACTTTAACGCCTGTTGAATATAAAACCATAATTATTTAATATGTTTAACAATTAAGAAAGTATTATCAGAACATTAAAGAATCAACAGCTTGTTAAGTATATCAGTTAAATATTTAGAGATTGTAAACAAACTAATAAAACAGCGATAAGATCATGGAGATCGTGAACTAGAAGGATTTATGAATTCAGATGAAGAAGAAACAAATTTAGTTAAATAAATAACATTTTAATAAAATACTTAAGATTATTCTAACGATGCAGATTTAGAAAAACATAAATTAGTATTATAATAGAAGGATTATGAAATTTCTAATCTTAAAGCAAAATTATAGGTAAAAGAATAGAAACTCTTGGATTTAGCAAGTGGTTATTTGAAAGATTTATAAAATATGAGAGAATAAATGTATAAGAAATCTGATGATTTTGATTATTATGAGGTTTCTTATTGTGATGTTACTGATATTGAAGATCCTCGTTATAGAGATTTAGTTAATAATAAAATAGCTAATCTCAAGAGTCAATATGAAAAGAAAACAAGAGAAATGTAAATTTACATTTAATACTTAGATATGTATTTGTATAAAAACAAAAAAGTGAAATTTAGAATTTAAGATAATAAGTAGGAAATTATGAATAAAAAATAAAGATGATGGATAATGTAGAGTATTTAATGAATCGTGTATTTACATTAGAATAAGATCCTTATAGAATATGGAAATATATTTAAGATATAAAAGGAAATGAATATTTTCATGATGTTTTTGAAAAATAGAAACCAGCATCAGGAATTAAATATAGAGAAGTGAATAAATTGTTAATGGTAACTAAAGCTTACGATAGAGAATTAGAATATTTTAAGAAAGGAATAGAAGATTAAATGTATATATATTTAGAAAGGGCTTGTGGAATTATTAATCTCTAAAATTAAGATTTATTAGATGAAATAGAAGAATTAAAAAAAGAAATTAATAGAATTAAATAATTTGAAAATAGAATCAATTAATAAACTATGCGTTAATTTGATTAATTTAAAAAATAATGTAATTTATAATATAAAATTAATAATAGTAAAATAACATTAAGAGGAATATTTGGATGTAAAATCAAAAGAATTATAATAATTACAGAAGATTCAACTAAAATATGCTACTAGACTATGGTATTTCGTGAGTTAAATAAAGAAAGGCAAAGATATAAAGGAATTGATTTTACATGCATAGTAAAGCAAAAAGTTAATAATATAGTTAGAATGACTACGAAAAATTGACATCATAACAATTCTTAGAGTTAGAAAATAATTATCTTTAAAGTATGATTACAACTAAAATAAAGTAAGAAGAGATCGTTGAATTAAATAATAAATTAGAATAGATGTAATTATCAAATGATGAACTAAAGAGTTAAAATTCTTAAATGAAATTAACTATTTAAGATTATAAAGCTAAAATTAAAAATCATTAGAAATGTTTATAATAAACAATTAAACATATTGATGCTAAGATCAATCCTGAATAACTTAATTTAGAAGATAATAATAGAGAAACAACTATTAGTTTTAAAGATAAACTTAAATAACTTAGATAATAACAGAATGGTTTAAAATTTATATAAGAAGTATATTAATAATATGAAAAAAATAATATGGCATTAGAATTTCTAAGTACATAATATGAAAATAAATCAACATAAACTATGATTGGAAATGTTAGTAAAAGTTTAGCAGAAGCAATTGAAATACATGAATTACATAAAAATAGTGAAGAAATTAATGATGATTTTGTTAATATGTAATATAAATAGAAAGATATAGAATGCTAAACTGATTTAATTAATGTTGATGATTTATAGAAATAAATTGTAAGTTTAAAATAATAAATTAAACATTTATCATAAGATATAGATGATATGGAAGGTGAAGGAGTAATATAATAACATTTTTAACTTATTAATTAAAGAAATTAATCTTTTGATGTTAATTCATCTTAAAAAAGTTCAAATCTTAAAAGAAGATATGTTTAAGTTAATGAATCTAAGGATTCATATTCAAATTATTAAGATGATCTTAGAGCATCAAATGATAAAAGTAATGGTTATCAATTAGGTTAGACTAATTAATTAATTATATTACATCCATAATCATCTGTTGAAAAAATTGCATAAACATAAACATTCTATACATCAAAACTTTAATAAAGAGGAGTATTTAATAGATTATTTGAGGATAGTAAAAAGAAATGTGAGAGAATACAATAAATAAAAAATAATTTAGAATAATTAGAAAAAGAACATTGGCAATAAGTAGCAGAATTAGTAAAAGAAGATTTAGAAATTGTGAATGCATTTAAAGATAGTCTTTCATCAAGTAAACATTTTTATTAGAAATAATTAAAAAGAAATATAGAAATGGAATAAAAATATTTTCCATAAAAACATAATAGAGCATAATTCTATTTTAAAAAATTTAAAGATTTTCATGTACATCAATAAGAATTAAATGAAATCTTATTTGATCCTAATTCTAGTGATGAAAAAACTTCAGAAATTTAAAGATTGAATATCAAAAGTGTTGTAGATAATAGAAAATTAAATGGATAAATTAAATTTAATGGATTAAAAAGAGAAGAATATTAATTTTTTAAGTAACTTGAAAAGAGAAAATTATAAAGTAGAACTTTTAGAAGTACTTAATAATCTCCAAAATAGAAGAAGATTCAATATGTCTCATTTACTAAACCATTTATTGGAAGTTTAACTAGCTATGAAATGAACGATTTCAATAACTAATAAATCACTAAACACTTGTAAAAAGTTTACGATTTGGGCTGACTCTAACCCTTCTACATTATTATCTCACTAATGAATTTATTGAAAATTTTTCAAATCCCAATTTATTATGATTTGGAATGTCAATTGATTTCATCTAATCTATTTCCTTCTTCTATTCTACAGGTTCCGTTGGGTATCTATTTTTTACTAATGCTCTAATTAAATAAGGAGATGTTTTTTGTTATTCTTATATCTTAGGTAGATGTCTTGAAAATGAATTTTTTATTTATGGTTGATGTATAACTTATTGCATAGCCACTTCTAATTCATGCTATTTTTTTAAAACATAATTAGCAAAGCTAGTTTCCTCACTTGTATGTTTTATTATTTTAACATATGATGAAGTATCTAAAGAATGTCTAATATTCTCTTTCATAGGTCTAAATGGCTTCTTTAAAAGAGGCAATGAATATTATTACATTTATTTATTTTATGTAAGAATAACAAATTTAAGAAGGACTTAAGGAAAAGAAACCTAAATTAACAAGAGATGAAAAAAAGGTTTTAAAATATTAACGAGCAAAATTGAGAGCCAAGATTCTCAGAAAAAAGATTGCAAAAAAAGTTAAATAAAAAGTTCATCATATGAATCAAGAAGCTAAAGAAAAATATTCTGAAATTAAAAATCTAGCTAAAAATAATTTGTAACTTGGATATGAGTCAGGCATTCCAATCTATATAGATTTGGAATATGATGTTTTAATGACAGACAGAGAAATTAGATCCTTAGCATTACAAATTGCACATGTATAAGGAATCAATAAAGAATTATAATTTCCCATTTAATTACATCTCACAAATGTTAGAGGAGTATAGAAAAATGAATTAGAAAAATAAGGACTCTCAAAATGGCCTGTTCATCATTATGAATTAGGATTATAAGAGTTAATTTAAGAAAGTCTAGAAAAAGGAATTTCAAAAGAATTCATATATCTTTCTCCAGATGCAGATACATATTTAGAATCAGTTGATCCAGAAAAATGTATATATATAGTTGGTGGATTTGTTGATAGATAAGTTTAAAAATATATGAGTTTGAACAAAGCAAACACCTTATAAATTTGTAGTAAGAAATTACCAATTGAATCATTTATAAAAGGAACTAGAAGACCATTAAATATTGATAGAGTTGTTGCAATCTTAAGCTTATTTTATTAACATAAAGATTGGAAAGTTGCTTATGAATAAAGCGACAATTTTAATATAAGTTTGGCAGAGAGAATTTCTAGATAGCATCAAAAACAAGAATGAATGTAAATTAGAACAAATATATTTTATTAAACTTATTTTTCTAACAAAAATTTATTTATAAAATAAGAATAATATATCAAATAATATATATAAATTTAATCCATATTATATATAAATTGAAAAACTGTTAAACTATGATCATTTTTATTTAATTATTAAAGAATTTTCATACTTTAAAGCTGTTGTTATATAGCCTTCTATAATAATTAAATGAATAGAGTTGGTTAAATCGGGTCTCAAAAATCTGACGATTGGCTAATTAGAAAAATAAGTCCTCTTATTGATTCGATTAATCAATAGAATCAATAAGTATCTAATAAAGGATTATAATAATTTTTATTATTGGAATCAGATTCTAAAGTTTTGTTAGATGAATTAAAATAGTAAATAGTTATACTAAATATAAGAATATTATAATTAAAACTTAAAAATCCATATAAAAAAATTTTCTATTCATTATTGAAATGGAAAATTCTAAAATACTATGGTATGTAAACATTTACAGAATTATTAACCATTTGCATTTTGAAAATTCTGAATAAATCTACTCTTTCTATAATTAATTTTAAGAATGATTCTAATTCAATTAAATAAGTTGTATTTTGGATAATGTGTTTAGTTTCATTTTAAATATTTAAGTATCATTAATATTAAATAAATAGGACTTATTAAAAATCAAAACTTGATTAAGATGCAAATTTATTAAATATGAGAATGAAAACTATTATTGAATATTTAATTTATGAAAAATCTCTTAAAGTTAAATGTATTACTAAAATAGAAGGTGATACTCATACTGCAAATATATATGTATTTATTGTTATCTAATTATTAAGACATTATTAACTGCTGATGTTGAATTATTAATAAAAATAATATCAGTAATTAAAGATATTTGGTAGGCAATCCTTATTTTAAGTGGATGTTTATATTTATTATATTCAACTGAACCAGAAGCTGGATCAATAATTGTTATTGCTATGATTAGTTATTAAGTTATAAACTTTATTTTAACTTTTATAATGACAAAGGCAGAGGCTCAACATTTAATTTATAAAGATAAAAGAGTTAGTTTATAATCTGATATCATTGAAGGAATGAAATAGATTAAATTCTTATCTTGGGAAAGAATATTTTATGAGAAAATTATGAAATTAAGAAAAAGTGAATTTTAGATGTTAACTATTTATAAAGCATTAGATGGTTTTGGAGCTGTATTTTGGAATAATATAAGCTACATTCTATTATGTATTTTTGTAATAAGTTCAGTCAATAATGGTAAAAATTTAAAAGAGTTGAATATCTTCTCATTGATAGCCATATTCAATACTATGATATTTCCTCTATGTATTCTCCCTTGGAGTTTAAGTGTTGGATATATGTCATTAATTTCATTTAATAGATTTATATAATTTTTAGATCAAGAAGAGATTAATCCTGATGATAGTATACAAATAGAAGAATCTCAAAATAAGTATGCTATTATAATAAATAATTCAAATTATTTTTGGCCTATTTCAGAATAAGAATCATAAGATTTAAAACAAAATTAAATAATAAAAGAAAAATTAATAAATTCTCATCAAAATTGTTAAAAATTTACAATAAAAATGAATAATATAAAATTTGAAAAGAACACCTTAAATTTTATAATTGGAAAAATAGGTTCAGGTAAAAGTGCATTTATTAATGCAATACTAAATGAATTAAAAAGTTAAAATTTGTTTACTGATAATTTAGATACATAATAGAATTTAGACTTAAGTTTTGATCTAGGATAGAATTAATAAATATAAATTTCAGGTAGAATTGGTTATTGCTCATAAACATCTTGGATTTAAAATTTATCAATTAAAGATAACATATTATTTGGTGAACCTTTTAATTAAGAATTATATAATAAAATTATAGATATTTGCTAATTATAGCAAGATCTAAGTAATTTCGAATAGCATGATTTACATTTGATAGGCCCAGATGGAAAGAATATTAGTGGAGGATAAAAACAAAGGATTGCATTAGCTAGAGCATTATATTAATAAAGAGATACTTATCTATTTGATGACATTTTATCATCCCTTGATCAAAATATTGCAGATTTGATATTTTAAAATGTTATTGTAGATTACTTGATAAATAGTGGAAAGACTGTATTACTTATTACTTCGAATTATAAATATATTAATATTGCTTAATAATTAATAAAAACTAATACTGTTCTTATTGATAATGGAGAAATTATTGATAATAAAGAAATTATTAGTTAATATTTAAAAAGCAAATCTTAAAAATAAGATTATCATTCTTATATTGAAAAAGAATTAGACTAAGTATTAAATTAGGAAATTTAACTATAAAATTCATTTAAGGGAAAAGAAAATGAAGAAGTTATATTAGATGATAATAATGAAGAAATAGGATAAATAAGAGCTATTAATTGGGGAACATGGAGAACATATTTCAATAGTATGAATTTCAGATTATTTCTCATTTGGTTTTTTATCAATTTTTATATGTAAGGATCTATGTCATTAATTGATTTTTGGTTAAAATCTGAATTATAATCAGAAGATTAATGGTTACATAAAATAACAAAATATTTTGACAATTCTTTTTCTAAGACCCTATTCTATTTAACTATCATAGCTCTTATGATTACTGTGATAAGATAAACATTATATGTTATTTGTGCATTACTAGCTTCTTGGTCTATATTTAAAAAGTAAAATTAAATATTATATATTTAGACTTAATAATGTTTTAATGTGTACAGTGATGAGTTTCTATGATAGAACAAATGCAGGTTAAATAATAAATAGGATTTAGGATGACACATATATTATTGATATGGATATTAATTCTGGAATTCACTGTTTTCTTGAAAATCTAAGTAGAATATCAGGTCTATCTATTGGATTATTAATTTTAGAACCTAGATATTTTTTAATACTTATTATTTTCTTACTTGCATTTTATCATATTAAAAAAGCATCTATATAATCAAATAGAGAAATCAAAAGATTATAATCTGAAAATTTAAGTAAATTATTATAAATTGTTAATGAAACATTAACTGGAATCAAAATAATTAGATCATTTTAAAAAGAAGAATATTTCAAATAAATTTTTGAAAATTCCTTTTCAAATTTAATTTTAAGTAATTAATGTGGAGAACGAATAAAATTATGGTTTTAAGTCAGATTAAATTTAATGAATAATTTTATTGTAATGTTCATATCCTTTATGGTTATATGTTCATTAATATTTTAATGGTCAGAAGATTTTGCAAAACATGCATTAGCTATTACATATTCTATGATTGTATTAGATAGTTTTTATGATACTTTTATATAATATTCAAGAGTTGAAACTGATATGATTTCTGTAGAAAGAATATAAGAATACTTAAATAATGAGACTGAAGATATAAACTATGAGAAATCTATTGATAAAGAATTTTAAACAATTCTCTTAAATGGAAGATAAAATACAATAGAATTTAAAAATATCAACTTTTCTTATGATAATAATAAATTAGCTTTAAAGAATTTTTCTTTGAAAATTGCTAAAGGTTAAAAAATTGCAATAATTGGAAGAACTGGATCAGGTAAAACATCTATTCTAAATGTCCTTCAAGGATTATATCATTTTTAATCAGGAGATCTTTTGATTAACGGAATTAATGTATGATTACAAAAATATTATTAGGTAAATTAATTATCATTAAAAAATTGGAGAAGTCAATTATCTATTATTCCCTAATTTGGATTTCTTTTTAGTGCTAATGTTAAAGAAAATTTAGATCCAGAAGGAAGGTTTACAGATCAATAAATTGAAAAATTCATCTAAAATACCTAATTTTATTAACAAAGAAATAATAATATAAATAGTCTTAATTATTTAGATACTAAATTCAATATTTCTTAAAATGGAGCTAATCTATCTTGTGGTGAAAAATAAGTTCTTAATTTTTTGAGAATAGTATTATTGAATAAAGATATTGTTTGTTTAGATGAAGCCACATCTAATATGGATCCATACACTAATCAAGTATTATATTAATAATATATAAAGTTGTTAAATGAAAATTTAATTGAGTTTACAAAAGATAAGACTTTACTTGTTATAACTCATAGACTTGAAAATATATAATAATATGATTAAATTGTAGTAATGGAAGAAGGAGAAATAATAGAATAAGGAAATTATTAAGAATTGATTTTATCAAAAAAAGGATACTTTAGAAAATTGATAAATACTCATACTACAACATTAAATAAAATTGGAATTTGATTTTTATATATTATTTTTCCTTATTCATTTTTTTAATTCTAAGATATATCATTTTAGAAAGACTATTAAAATTGTTATTAGTGTTAATTTTATTGGGAATTGATCATTTAATATTAATAATATAATTATAGAATAAAATTTAACATCATTTTTCCGTCTTGGATATATATGGTTTTTCTGAATGAAGTAGAGGAGCTCCAATATCTGGAATTGGAATTTAATCCTTACAATTTAATGAAACTTTAGTGTCTCTTAGACTACTATGTTATTCATATTTTTCCATCTATGCTATTATGAATTACACTGTTCCTTTCATAACATCAATAGGTCTCTTAGAATTATGTGTTCCTTCAAATTATATTAATTCCTTTATTCCTCTAAACTTTTCTGATAAAATTTTAGGGTGCTTTTCTCCAATTAATGTATCACCTTTAGCTGATAGAAATACTATAGCAACATCAGTTTGTAATGCTATAAATATAATTCTATTTTCTACTTTGTATTATTTGAATGATATTAAGATCATCAATATTAAATTTAGCTTCTTTTCTTATTTTAGATTTCACGAAACACCAAAAACAATTGAAACAACATCCTGGAATGTTATAATTGTTGGATGCCAATTCTTAACACAAATTAGTTAAATTTGAAAAAGGACTATCACAAACAAGCATTTTAAAGTTAGAATTCAAACTGGCTGCTAATATGGCTGTTACAGAACCCATAGATCTACCCCACAAACCGATTTAAGTTATAAAAGGCTAAGCAACTTTTAATAATGAAGTTAACTTACTTTATTTAAACGTAGGTAATTGTAGAGATCGTTTACATCTCTTGATTCATAAAATCCTAATGAAATATACTCTCCTTATGATTAACCAGAACCTATGTTTAATCAATTAATTACCAGATAAATCAATTCCACATACTGATATGTTCTAAGGAAGTAAATATTCAAGTATTGTTAGAGATTCAACTCTGCTACTCGAGTTCCCATGCAAATAAATCATGCAGGTATGAGGCTTGTCTTATATTCTAACAGGCTCAAATAAACTAACCATTTTTATACAGGTTACCTGCACTGAAGTGTTAATCCACGACTGTTTGCCATTTCGAAGTCTACTCTCTTAACTACAGTGTCATGAACCATAAATATTTCATTTCCCATATCTTTCAAACGATAATTATGTCTCGGAGGTCGAACAATAGGCTTCCATAACTTCTCTGTGCACCTATACTCAGGTTATTTCATATTTTAATATTTACTATCAATAATATATAGTATAGGTCTTAAACAAATAAATATCATATAGAGTTAAGGTCCATGAATTACTGGAATTTTACTAATTCTTAAACTACTTTGAATTATAAGTCTAAAGCACTCTTTTCAAGAAATCTTCCAATTTCATTATCTTAAAACTTAAAACAAGATTATTTTTCAGCATCATTAGTACTTTAATCTCTAATTACAATTCAATTTGAGATAGAATTTTAGTTCCTTTATATTAACTTGAAATTAGCGTTTAAGATGTTTTGAAGAAATATCTCCATTTATTATCTAAAAGTTAATCTTATACTTCTGTTTAATTCAAATCTTAACTTTCTGAATCTTTAATCAAAACAAACCTAACAAATTATGTTAATGATATGTTTCCATTATTCCTTTTGTTTCTTTAAAATACTGAATATCCACTACAATTAATTCATAATTAAATATCCATCAAACCTAAATAAGGAATTTATTCTGCTAACTCACTATTTGAGTAAATTAAAAGTAAAAGATATTCTAAATATATCATTATTGTTCGAATAAAAATTGTCCTTAATTTTCTAAATCATTTTTATAATCATAATCTAACATGTAAATAATAGTTTACTTTAATAAAGATGTGTCTTATTTGATAAGTATTGAGATTTCCAAATTTAATTTTCTTTTCAATTACTTCATAATTTTTATTCTATCAAGTAGTTTAATTAATATAATATTTTCCTCATTTCAATTGCTTCCTAATTTAAGTATCTCAAATGACTTACTAAAATTCTACTTTTTTAATGGCAATATCTTATATCTTTATTAATTATCTATAATTAATTTATCAGAAATACTTTGTCAGTATTTTATCAAATCAACTGCTCCTAAATATTCTAAATAGTTATTGTAAAAAAATTATATAATAAATATTTATATTTAAAATATTTCAACTTGAATAATTAATTTAATATTTCAATTAAATTTATAGGTTCAGGAAACTACTACTCATTTCTTAAATAAACTAACTATTAAGTACTTAAAGCAATTATTCATGTTTTTATTTAATGATATTACTTTAATTATTTGACTAACACGTCTTAATTTGAAGAATTATACTTTCTGAAATACTCTTAATGATTTATTAAAATAATACGTAATAATAATCATTAATGAAATACCAGGAATTAAAATTAATTAATAAATCTCAAAATTTTAGATGTAAATTTAAGATTACTTCATTAAATTTTGATAAGAAGTTTAATCTTAAAATTCCATTTTTCAAGCCAAATTTTTGAATTGAACTATGTAAATTTGGTTAGTTTTTAATAAATAAATAGAAAAGAAAAAATTTTTGTATTATATAAAAATATCATAGAATTCATCAATCCTGATTTAAATGGTTTTATATATACTCTTACATTACATCAATTAAGCATATCTTTTAGGCTACTTTTGCGTCTGTAAAAGATTCGAAATTCTAAATAGGGAATTCGATAAAAACCCTAGAAAACTTAATCAGTAAGTATTTTGCTTTCATATTAAGATTAGAATTTAAAACTTAAGGTCTAACTTGTTTATAAAAAGTGGTAAAGTAATAGTGAATAAGCAAAATGTTTATATTTTGATTGTTTTAAGAACATTAATTCTTAAGTTCTTATAACAGATCATTCCCATTATCTATTATTTAGTTATTATTACAAGTTTTCATATTTTTTAAGGATTAATATTTTTTTTATGTTTCTTAACGCAATGCTTCAAAAGATTTCTACTGTAACCAAGCATGTAAATTTTAAGGGGATTTTAGAAAATATTTAATGTCTTCTAATTGTAAAATATTATTTTTATTGAGATTTTCAATACATGTCAAACAAGAAAGACAAAATCTAATAATGAATTATTTGAATAAAAGTATTTCATCTTATACTAAGCTGTCATTTAGTTATTGATCATCAAAAGCGTTTAATGTCTTAAAACCTAGAGCATGTAGAGATCCTATATATTCATATATTTCGCGAAAATAAGATTAATTTTGATTATAGTTTTTTGTTTATTATAAATCTTAGTCTTATTATTATTTTTATAGTTATTATTATTATTATTATTATTATTATTATTATTATTATTACTATTACTATTACTATTATTATTATTATTATTATTATTATTATTATTATTATTATTATTATTATTATTATTATTACTATTACTATTACTATTACTATTATTATTATTATTATTATTATTATTATTATTATTATTATTATTATTATTATTATTATTATTAATTTGTTTAATTAATGGGATTTTATGATATTATAGCATAACCACTGAGTTTTTACTTTTATGAAAGGATTAATTCTTTAAAAATGCGATGGGTTTATAATTCATTCCAAGTAATTCTTTTTTTTGGATCACTTATAATCATTTAATTAATTAATTCTGGAATTAATTGATTCTAAATATACTAAAATAAAATTACTTCATAATTTGGACATTAAAATTTTTAAGTTTCTAATGATTTATGAAATTACTGAAGCTCAGTTTTAGTTTGAATATTTTTATACATTTGTTAGAATGCCATATAATACAGTATCAATCCTAACTAAAGATTAAATTCAATAGTACTGAAAAAATGTCACTTTATTAATCGTTGGAATTACCTTATGAAAGCATTTCTGGAGCAGCAAATAACTTTAATTCAGTATCGGAAAGAGTGATATTTCTTCCATTAATTTTGTTAATTTCGTAATCAAAGATCTATTGAAGTGAGATATTATACTTTGACAATATATTTCCCTTTCTCTTACATTTTTAAGAGAATATTACTTGGTTTTAACTCAATAGGAGAAAAAAAAAATTTTTTTAGGAAACAATAGCCTTCAACTATTTAGTATAATATTTCAATAATTTCTTGGCTTTTGAGTTTTTGTGTTTTTTGTTTTAAATCTTATAAATATTCTAATAAGCTGATATCACATTTTTCCAGAATTAGATAAGTGTATTATGTATTTTGCTTGATTATTGCAAGAATTTCCACAATATTTTTATGATTTTGCTATTAGATTTTCTCTAAATTTTCAATTGTTCTCTAAATTCCAACGATATTAGTTTAGTATGGTTTACAAACCACATCTTTACGATTCTTTAAATCATATGCTTGATTAGATGATCTTTACAATCCTGAATCATTGTTAAGGTCGACAAAATATATTTCATTTAAGATAATAAAGTTTTGAGGTAGATTCATATCTAATTAATCCCATTTAATTCTATTTTCTGGATTGTAAACAATCATTTTTTAAATTAATAAACAAAGGTCTTAGGGGTATTAAAGATTAGCTGGACATTAGAAATGATGATTAATTTTAAGTTTTTCATGGAATTCATTAAGATCTTTAAAATCTTATACATTCCCTGGTTTATCTCCTTTATAACACAGTATATAAAGAATGATTCCAAGCTATCGAATAATATTTAATTACTCTTACTGAATATATATCACAAGAATCATTATATCTTTTTGATTCAGAAGGACTTATAAAAACTTCTGGAGCAGAGTAAAAAGGAATTCCAGTTCTAGTTTCTGCATATCCATCCTAAGTTATTCTACTCACACCAAAATCAGATATCTAAATTTACATTTTTAAGTTTTACCTTGAATAAAAGTCTATTGTTTGAAAGCCTTTTATATAGAATGCTTTTTGGTGTTAAATCTCTAAGGATAATTTTCAAATCCCTTAAAGACTAATAACCTCTCACTATTTAGCCTAGAAAATCATAGATTTCATCTTTAGTAAACCATGTATTATTTTGCTATTTTTCTTCAAATAATTATTCAAGATTTGCATCACATAGTTCTGTGAAAATGCAAAACTTTTCATCATCTTCAATAATATCGTAAATATTTAAGACATTTAAATGTTTTGGGATAGTGCTTTTAAGTTTCTCTAGTACTTGTATTTCGTTTTACTAATTAACATAATGATGTGATTTGCTTATCACTTTCACACACAATTATTCACTCATTTCTTTTGAATAACATCTTAGTATTTATCCTCTTTTCCCTGAAGCGACAATATCCTAAGTATCTATTGTGAAATTTTTTTTATTGATTAGACGAGGATATTGAGTATTCATGATGATATAAAAATTTATTAAAGTTATATCAAAACATAAACAGTTTATATAATCATCCATCTTTAGCTATAGGAATGTTTCTAAAAATTATTCTGCTTCATTCTGGATAAATTCTTCTTAGAATAATTTTTTTGCTCTAAAATCTTTATCTATATTATTTTGAGACTAATCAAATACTATTATTCACAAATAATATTATAAGTGGTAATGGTATTTTTTAATTTACTACATTAATATTAACAGGCTATTTTTATTTCCTATTTCTATTAACAATATTTTTATACATTTTTATATATTCTCAACTTTAACTTTTTTATTATTTATAAAAAATATTAAAATTCTTAATTGGTAGAATAAAGGTTCATACATCAATAAAGCTAAAGTAGTACTTAATAAATTAATAATTAATTTTGTATAAGCTTAATATATGACAAAAATATATATATATATATATCTGATATTTAGTGTAGGTTCTAATCTCCACTTTTTAAGTTTGTAAATGGGGTTTCATTGTATAATGATAAGAATCTACTTTAAGGAGTTTTAAGTCTTTTTAATTTTTAATCTTTAATTGTTTAAATAATTCTAGTAATTTAAAGACTTCAGTACATTTTCATGATGCACTTTTTATAATTTTAGTTATTCAAATATTTTTTCAATTTGACAACCACTTTTATGTCAGATTAAACAAAATTAGAAAAGATTTAATTTTTCTAACTTGAACATTTTAATATATTAATATCATCTTTTTTAGCATCATTTTAGTAATTATGTATCGAATTATATAATTTAGAAGTATTCAATAGATTCATATTTAATATACTTGAATACATTTTTATATATACAAATTTCTTTAGTAAATTAGATAAATCATTATTACATATATTGTAAAAGATATCATTCTAATTATTTTAAGGATATTGGCAATTAATTGGCCATTAATTTATTTTCTATTTCAAAAATCTAATCTGATCCTGTTCTCACTTTATTTATTCTATTTATTACTTATGGCTATTTAATGCCAACTGATAAATTCTTTAATTTTATGCCTTCGTCTTTATCAAGTTCTTCTATAATGTCAGCCCCAGCTGAACTTAAATCTTCAAATGTTATTCTTCTACTTGTGTTTTCTAATTAATTTGATAATTTTCTAGAAGTCAAACATTGAGTTCTTTCAATACTTTTTAAATGTAGTAAATTTGATTTAATTTATAAATGACTTTATTAAATTTATAGTTTAGGACTTCTAGTAAAATCTTCTCCTCTTTTGAACATGTTTTCTAAATAATCATAATCAGGCTTTTAGTCAAATTTCAAACGTTTTACATATTCCATGTATTTTGAAAGTTCAGGTGGCAAATTAATATATGTTTCTGGTTTAAATGCTTCTTTCATTCTTTAAATCTTGTAATATTTAATATTCTTGTCTTCAGCCATAATATTATTCCATGGCAGAGTGCCCATGAATAAATAAATTAGTAAATAACCGACGGATTCAAGATCGTCTCTCCTTGATTATTCATTTCCTTTCAATGAGTTTATTGAAGCATAACGGGCTGTACCTATCATACCTTTATTTTCTCGGAATTCTAAGTGTTTTCCATCTTATATGAACAATTTTGACAGTCCGAAATCTATTAGATGTACCTTCTCTTAATGTACTACAAAGTTTTCAGGTTTTATATCTCTGTGAATTATGTTAGCGTTATGTAGTTCTTTAAGCAAGAGAATCATTTATTATCCTGTATTCAATATTGTTGTAGTATCAAATTTCCCATATTTTATTCTCACTTATTCTAAATTATCTCCAAGCAAATTCATTATAAAATAGGTATTTTTATGATCCTACCCTGAAGTAATCAATTGACTAAAACCTATAAATAGTTATTTATCATGTACCTTTTTTTCCTTTTAGTAAATGCAGGATCTTTATTTCTCTTTAAAGTAAGGTTTTTTCCTTCTTCATTGAATTCTTTACTAATTTACAAGCATATATTTGACCAGTTGAGATTTACTTGACCTTCCATATATACCCAAAAGAACTTAAGTTTCTAAATTATATAAATACCCTTCCCCTAATTTATCAAGAAATTAATAAGACTATGAAGCTGGCTTATTATCATAACATTTCATTCTAAGTTAACAAAAAAATATTAAATATTAATAAAATGTTCATTTTAGAATAATCCTGAATAACTAGATCAAGTGATATATTATAATTATATCTTTTAATGAATAATTATTACTCATTTATTTATTAAATGTTTGTATTTGGGTCTCATACCAAAATTTTCTTAGATCTCAATCTTGCCATTCATTAATTATTACATAATGATGAAAATTATAAGATTAAACACAATTTGTTCAAATATATCATTTATTATTCTTCTATTATTAATCATCTAATTCTTGCTTCACATGAGAGTAATTAGGATATTTTTACTAGAATCCTTGGTTCGCGTTCTTCAATTGATAGAATTGATCACCAAACTATTGCATCATGGGCATGGGATAATTTATTGGTTGCATCGATTATTAAGGTGTCTACTAGAACATGTCCTTCAGTAGATTATTTTATTATATCTATTGACCTAATTAACTCATCTATTATAACTGTTATTATTCATAAAAAGCCTAAGGAGCATACCTATTTAAATAATTGAATACTAATACATTAAGGGAATATATTATTAGGGCATTCCGCCCTGAGACATTTAGTGCATTTACATCTAATTTTACTAATTCAATTCGGCTTATGATTGTTTTTATTGTTAATTATTTTGAGGGTTAGGAATTTAATGTTACATCATATTTTGAAATTATTCTGCCATTTATTAATTTATTGGTTAAATAACCTATTACATCTAGCCAGGAAGAGTTGAGATTAATTGCAGGTTTTAGCCCGGTATTTATCCCTACATTTATCCAGGCATCTATCCCATCTGAGGCACTTAGATCATCATTTATCCTGACATTGGTCCCATCATTTATCCTGGTAATTATCCCATAATAGGCATCTAAGTCATTTAAGGCATCTGCATTTAAGGATATAAAAGATTGGGATATAGAAGTTGATAGAAAGGTTGTTGTTGTTATTGTTATTATTATTATTACAACTATTATTACAATTATTATTACAATTATTATTATTGTTATTATTGTTATTATTGTTATTATTATTATTGTTATTATTGCTATTATTATTATTATTATTATAATAATAATTATTATTATTATTATTGTTATTATTATTATTATTATTAGTATTATTGGTATTATTACTATTACAACTATTAAAGCATGTTTTACTATTAATTAATTTATGATTCATAAGTTGATGAAAGTATTGCAGGTTGGATAGCCTATTATTATTAAGTTTGTTTTGGTATTTAATCTTTTTATTTTGATGTTTATTATTATTTTTATTTAACAACTTATGGTCCATCTTGTGGCACTTACTATTTTGTTTATGGTTGTACAATTTCTTTTTTACAATCTTTTTTGCTCTCTTTTTTTTGCTTAATTATTTCCATGACTGCTTTGAGTTGGGTTTTAGGAAAAACATGTATATTTTATGAATCCTTATTCATGATTGCAAATTGAACATTAGATAGATTGTTAGAATCACTAATTGGTTCCTCATCTAATTCAACTGTTTCTCCTTTTTAAACTACAACATCCTAATAGTGATTCTTAATTTTAGTATAATCTAAGTTTTAATCTTATTAATATTGTTTTAAAACTTTCTATAGTATATTTGTTGCATGAGAATTACTGGATTTTTGAGCTGCTTTTAGCTTTTTTTTTTGACTATTATTTAAATCAATAGACGCTTCCTGTATTTTCTAGTCATCTTCACGATTACAATTAGATTAATTAACATTTTATTTCTTAAGCTTCAATGAAAGTTCATTTAAATAGAAAAATATAAAGCTAATTTCTTGTTATCCTAACTCTTCAATTTTATTGAATTAATTTATCTAATGTTTTTAAAGTTCACTATCAATTTATTATTTATCCAATAATTAAATCTCTTATAATTCTAACTTTTTTAAAATTTTAAAATATCTATTTTTTACAGAACTCTCAGTTCTATGGTTTTTCATTTCTAAAGCGATATTCTACCAATTTTTTCCATGTTTTAATATGACTTTCATGAATAAAAATTCTTCAGTTGAGTCCCAAGGACCTTTTTGAATTTAGGGATTTAGCTTATTAATCCACCTATCTCTAACAAATTTTGTCAACTTTATTGTAGATTTGTTGCTCTTTTAAGACAATTCTTTTGCTATGTCACTCCAATTAAATTGTTTATTTTCTGACATATATTAATTGCAAATTTCTTTTAAAGCTTCATCTTCATTTTTGCTCCATTATTATTAATGAAATATTTATTTTTTTTAGTTTTCTAATTATGATCTGCAATCCATTACAGATTTGTTAAGCAATTTCGAGACTATGTTCCAAACATCGTCAGGTATTTGAGTATGGATTTTATTTTAATTAGAACAATAGGTCTGTATCAAAGACTTTAATAGTTTACTTTGATAGTCATTCCACTTTAAAGTTTCTGATTAATTATTTATAACCATAAGATATTACTCTTTTATCCTTTTACTAGTTTCTTCATCTAAATTAGTTAACAATGATAAGTATTAATCAAACTCGATTTACATTTTAATTTTTAATCAATATAATATATATCAATATATCAATCAAGTAATAATACGTTATTTATAAAGAATTCTGTTTAACATTGCTGGTTATTTACATTTTCAATTCCCAATTCAAAATTAAGCTTCTATTTTTTCTCAAGTAATTTATTTAATGTTTAATTGAGGCATTAACTTTTTCTATTAATCTATAGATTATAAAATGTATACCTTATAACTATTATTTGAAATTATTTTCTAAAAGTGCGTATTTATATTGCTAAATATGAGAAATTTAATGATGCTTCTAATTATATAAATTTTATTAAAATGGATATTTTATTGATTCTATTTCTTATTTATAACATAATTCATTAATTAAATTATTAGTATTTTGTATTATTCAATAAATTTGATTGATCAAAACCAATTTATCATGCATAATTTATTTAATATATAAAATTTTTTAGGTTATACTTATTTTCTTTAAATGATTCAAAATATTTCAAAAAATGAGGTGTCATTGTAAGTATTTATCATTTTAATTCAATAAAAGTAGTTTTGATTTTTTCTTAAGTTTTTTGAGGGAATCATTATTTAAAATAGGATATTTAAAACTATTTCTACAAGAGAAACTATTATTTAAAAACCTCTTCATATAAATGGATTTTTAAGTCTTCTTAAATTTTGAAATATTGATTGATGTTACTTGATTATTTAATTATATTGAGTAATAATAAATAGAAAAATAATTACTGATATTTATACACTCTTAGATAAAATAGATTTAAATAAATCATTGGATAGAGTTTTGAATATCAAAAATTTATTCTTAATATAAAGTAATGATAAACAGAATTTAATATTAAATTTTTCATCATTTATTAATAATCTTAGTTTATAATGATAAGTAATAATTTTATAAAGTAAAAATATAATTTGATTATTTGATTATTTTAATTTTTTATATGAGAATTAATAATATTATATTTCTAATATAAATTATATACTATAAGATTAATCAGCTAGTGATTTTTTTATGTTGTTTAATCATATTTTAGATTTCATCAAGTACTTTGATTTTACTTTATTATACTTATTTTTATTGTATGACATAATCTTTAGTTTTTAATGCTTCTTTTTCTTCAAAAACTCTTTCACTTTCCATTAATTTGACCTTTTCCTCTAACTAAATATTATAATAATTGAAATTACATATTTTTATTCTGATTATAATGTTTTTTAGTTTTATTTAACTTTTAAATATTTATTTTTATATGCATTTGCTTATTCATCACTAGAGATTAATTGTTTTTTTAATTCTGATATAATTTTTTTTAATTCTTATGTTTCTTCTTTTGATTCATTCAATTAATGAATTAAAGATTCAACTCTGTTTTCAATCTAAAATAAATCCTATAAATATAATTTAATTGAATACTTCTTCATGTTATTATTTTAAATAAGCTATTTCTTTATCTGATTCATATAATAAATGCTATAAGTTCTTATTTTCTTTATGAAATTAATCAATGTCAAATAACATTTATGATTTTTCATTTTAATCTAATTAATATTATAAATCATATTGAGCTAATTTATCTTCATAAGCTTAAACTAAAGATTTTTAAGATTCTAATTTTGATTTCAATTCCAAAACTTCTTGAATTTTAAAATTAGTTTCTTTCAAAGATTAATCAGTTTTATTTCTTTAATCTTCAAGTTATGATTACAATCTCAAATAATCTTGTTTTTAATCTTATATAATTTTATTATTAGAAAATTCTTCTTTTTATTATTGAGTAATTTATAATTCTAATTATTGGATTTGATTTAATAATGATTATGTCTTTTCTTTTTTTCTATTAATTTATGTAAGATATTCATTTTATAATTATTACTTTTCTTATTCAATTTTATTGATCTCTTGTTAATGATGTTAATCATTAAGTTTGATAAATTTTTCAGTTTCATCAATTTTGGATATTTAATTGTCAATTGCTATTTACAATATTTTTTTTTCTTCTTATAATTCTTTTATCTTTGATTCCAATAATTACATATTCTATCTATCATCTTAAGCTGCCATTTCAAAATATTTACATTAATCTTCTTTTTATTATAATGCTTATTTTAATATATTATTTTCATCTTTTAATATCATATATCTTTTTTCATTTTCTTTTCTAAATAATTATAAAAATTATTTACATTTCAATTTATAAAGAATCATTAATTCTTTACACTCTATCTAAATCAACTTAAAAGATAGCTTTTTAATCATCCAATCTAGAATCAATTGTTTTTGATGAATCTTTAAGTAATCTGATTTTAGTCTTTTTCTTTTACAATTTAATTTTAAATTCATTAAGTTGTGTTTTTAATTCTTCATTGCCTTTATTTTAATAATCTACTCTTTCTTTTTCATATTTAACTAATAATTCTTCTTTTGTTTATAATTATCTTTCTTTATCTTTTGTGTCTTAAATATACTCTCTTAAAGTAGCCTTGAATATAATAAAGTCAGTACTTTTAATTTTGAGTTCAGATCTTTGAGTTTATTATATTTATCTCTAGATATATAACCTAAGTTATTTTAAACTGTAAGATCTCTCCATCCATTAGGAGAGCTACTAATCAATTGATCTATATCTCTTTTGCCTTAATAATTTCTAGTCAAAAGATCATTGCTGGAACCTTGATTAGTTCTCATTTTTAAATTAATTTAATAACAGCCAGTTTATGTATTAAAATGAAAAATTGAAATTGTATGATGATAAATTTATATTAATTTTCAAATTACTTTAGGTATATGTGAACCTTTAGCACAAGTTGGTATTTTCATGAATTCATCCCAATCATATTTTTCAACCTTTTTATATAAATATATTAAATTACTCTACAACATGTCCAAAATTTCTTAAGATCATGGAAACAAGGTTCTCCTGGATGATAAAGACATTCAGTATTTTCATTAGGATCATATTCTTTCAAACATCCTTTATTTGTACATTTATATTTTCCTGTTGGAGTAACAAATATTTGTTTTTATACTTTAGCTAATTTAGTATAAATAGAAATTAAAACCTTATTATTATTCTAATAATTTCTTCTTTTCAGCTTCTTCTTTATTATAATCATCTATTTTTCTAACAGGTTATGGAGTGTTATCAACAAAATTATCAATTCCTAATATTCTAGAATTTACATTAATACCTTTTTAAGCATTCTATACAGTTTTTGACTAATAAAATTCACCACCTTCAGTGACATCTATATTTGTATGTTTACCAAAAGCACATGGTTCAATTTTCATAAATTCATCCCAATCATATACTATCTTATTACAACATGTCCATCCTTTTTTGAGATCTGAAAAAATGGGTTTTCCAGGATGATGTTTACATGCTTGATCATTATTTTCATTTTCATTGTAAGGCTTCTTACAACCATTTCTTTTACATTTAGTTTCCATTAATTAATAATTAAAAATAGTAAATTATTCATTAAATAATTATTTATGATTCAATCTATTCCTCATGATAGGTGTGTGTATGTTACCTAGTATAAGCCTGAAACAACTCTTGAATAATTAAAATAAGCATTCTCTGAGTTCGGAAAGATCGAATTATTATAGTAAAATGCCAAATCAAATGGAGTATTCATAGTATTTGATTCTCATGATGCAGGTATATATTAATTTAATAAAATAGTGAATAAAGCAACATCAAAGACAGTTACAATAGGAGGAAAGAATTTAGATGTAAATGAATACTTGGATATGGACAAATTAGATGAAGAAGCAAATATATTTATTGATGGAATAAGTCCGACAACTACATAATTGTAATTAAAAGAGAAATTATAAAAATATGGAAAGATTTTGAATATTAAAGTTTAGATGTCTGATAAGGCTGGTGTTGCTTATATCTAATTTGAAGAAAGGAAATCAGCTGAATAATGTTTGAATGATTAGAAAAATTTAGGAATGCATATTACAAGGTAAATTAATCAAATAACAGATTAGAGCCATTAAGAAGGGTAAGCAATAGTAAATCAAGAGAGATTAATTATTCATTTCTAATATTAAATCATAATTATCTTTGGATCAAATTAAACCATAATTGGATAATTATTTCTCTGAATATGGAAAAATTGAATTGATTTAAGTAAATGTTAATCCTAAAAATCAAACATATTTTGCATTTGTCAGATTTGAAAATTCAGAAGATGCCTATAAAGCTGTCAAAACCACCAAACCTTTTCAAAATCAAATTATCAATATCTAATGGGCTGTTAATTCTAATGACAATATTGAAGCCAATTTATATACCAAAAATCTTAAACCAACTGTCACTGAACAATAACTTAGAGAAGCATATGAATCTATCATTACATTAGATGATCTTTAATTATTACCACCAAATAAATCTAATAAATTATCAGCTTATATTTATTTGAAATCTGCTGAAGATGGCAAAAAAGTTATTGATTTAGCTTTTAAGACTAAAAAAATATTTGATTTGTATGATAAATTGACTGTTCAAATCTCACCTATGTTAAGTCCCGCTGAAATCATCTAATTCAAAAAAATCCAATCAAAACCAACATATTAACCTTATGCTAATTCTATGCCCTTCCCTCCTTATTAACAACCACTCTAAGGATATCCAAACTAATAAAATCCTCCTTATGGTGCTTATCCATAATAATAACCACCTTATTATGCTGGTGGTTATCCTCCACAATAACCACCTTATTAACAAGGTGGATACTATTAATAATAAGGCAATTATAATCAACACAGACCAAAAAAACATCCATATCCAAATTAATATCAAAACTAGCAAAGACAACATTAACCTAGAATACCAGATTTATAATACTTATAGAATTTGTTAGCTTAAGGAAATGAGAAAAAAGTTACCGATACTATTGGAATACTCTTGTTTCCTTTAGTTAACTAATAGGTTGAATAAAAATTGGTAATTATTAATAATATAATTAAGGCACCTTAAGTAACAGGAATTTTATTAGATTTTGAAAATTATGGGTTGGAAGATTAATTAAAAATGCTTTAGAATGCACCTTATTTGAGCGAGCAAATCAATCAAGCTGTAGATCTAATAAGAAAATCTTATTGAGTATAAAAATTAAATAAATACATATAAATATTATTATAATCCAACATTATTTACTTTTTTTTTTATTTATGATTATAATTTTTATCCTTTTATTGATATTTCCTTTAGAAATACAAACAAAAACAATATGTTCATCATAAAATGAATATATATTAGTATCTGATTCTCATTTTAGACTCAAAGAGGGAAGTAAATCTAAATATGTAAAATATAGATTAATTTGAATTAATTGAATAGTTTAATCCATTCACTTAAATTAAGCTTATGGATTACGAATTACAAGATTATAATTTAACTTTAATCACAAGAACATAATTTTCTGATAGATTGTTATTTGTATTCTAAAATACTAATCTAATCCATATTAGAATCTGCATTCTACAATTTTCAATCTCTCAAGATACTATAAAAAGTTAGAATTTCTTAATAATGGAAGAATTATCTATATAACCTATGGGTATATTTCTAAATACATACTTTACTAAAAACTTTCTTTATATAATTTATTAAGAATTTTAAGATCCAAACTAATATTTGATTTAAATTATGAATCCTACTACTAATATTGTACTTGATTATATAAAAATAAGAAAATAGAAGGATTGCATATATAATATAGAAGAGAATTCATTTAATAATTTTTATTTTGCTTAATATAATTGTACTGATTGGATTGTCTAATTATTTTCAGTATACCCTATTGAACTTTAAAAAACAATTAGATATGATGATTTTAAATAAATATTAAGATAGGTTTCCTTTCTATAATTCAGTGAATTATTATAATTTCTATTTGATCATTATGTTTATTATTATAAACTATCAATTGATTACTTTGAAGTTGCATTTGAATATTAAGATGGCAATATTCTTTTTAATGATTTATTTTTATAAATTTTAAATACAACCTAAATTGAAAATGATAATTTAGTCAAAAATTTTGGAGTTATAAGAAAAGAAAGGCCAAAAAAAATGCTGAAACTAAATCACGATTTATTATTTTTATATGATGAACATATTGAATTATTTAAGAATGGTGGATTATCATTTGATTTACCAGTTTAATTAGATGACTGTTTTTTCTTTTAAAATAGTTATCCTTACTTTTATGGAGTAAAAAAGAATAAGCTCATATTAATTAGAGCAAATTAAATGAATCCATTATTTAAATGTTCAGAAAATAAATCATTTTAAGCTAAATTTTATAGAGATTATAATTAAAAATATCTAGATTGGACATTTACAACAAAAAAGATAGAAATTAAAAGTGAGTAAATTTTATATTTTAATATAAATCAATTATATTAACTCACAATTCCTATAGTAATATAAGAGATTCAAGAAGATTCTTCAGAATTTGAAATAATGTTTAATCAATATATTTTAGGTGGACCATTTCAAATTTTAAATGCAAAAAGTGATTAGAATAGTATTGTTTCCTTAGAAAGTGTGTTATTGTTGATTTGCAAATTTTAAGACTTTTCTAAATTCTTATGGTGGGTTGTTTTAAATTTTAATAAGGATGAATAGGTACTAGTAGTTTAAGATAATAATTAAATTATCCATTTAATTAATTGTAATTTATAAATATCTAAGAAAATATTGAAAGTAGGGATAATTATTCAAAGATAAATTTCTTAGAAAAATAATTTATTAATGATGTAAAATAATAAATAGAGTTTATTTCTATTAGAAATTAAAGACAAATTTATGTATAAGATAGATAAAATTACTTTCAATAATGAAATTAGATATATCCAACCAATGTTTTTATACTTTTATGTATTTCTCAATGACTGGGAATGCTATTTGATTTAATCAATAACCTAAGATCATACTTTGAATATTGAATAATAACCAAGTATACAAAGAACATTTTTAAGATCTGAGATTATTTTATGGAAGAAGATTTCAACTAATAATGATATTATTGGCACAGAATAAGAGATTTTATTATAAAATTAGAATTTCAATCATTGTAAATATAATCATTTATATAATAGTGATTTAGATAAAGGATGTTTATGATATTATTAAAGTAAAATAATACCAATATGAATATATTATAATCCATAAATCTAAATGGTAAGATATAATTAAAATAACATTGAAAAAGTATTATTTAATTAATTTTTAATTTATATTCATGTTTGAACTACCTAAATTAAATCAATCATTTGAATATATTTGGCCAATATGTATAAATGAAAATGGATAATATTTAACAATTGCAGTCAAAGATTCTTCAACAAATAATACATTTGTATTGATATATGAAATAACTTAACCTTATACAACTATTTTGAGAGATATTATTTAAATAGACTGTTGTGAATGTTCATAACTTCTAAAATCTAATGTAATTGTTTATAAATTTCAAAATTTAATATTTTAATAAAGGATTAATTTTATCAATTTTAAAGTTAAATATGATAATAATTAAACTTAAATGAAATTTAATAATATCTCTTTTAAATTGAAATCTAAAATCACATAAGAAGTATAAGAAGGATTTTAAATTTAAATAATTTCACTACTTCAGATAGAAGGGTTATAACAAAATAATAATCGAAATCTAATTTTAAATGATCATCAATCTTATTTTTTTGATCCAAGAAAATTTATACTTGGTTCTCTTCAAAATATTACATCTTCATCAGTTATTATTACGCCTGCTTTGAAATTGATTGATGAAACAATAGAATAAGGAGAATATGCTAATTAAATGACATTTCCATAATTTATCTACTCTAAATTTATTTAGGAAAAAGATGGAAAAATTTTTCATATATAAGAACTCTAGAAATCAACACAAAATCCAAATCGAATAATAGTTTTGTTAGAAAAAAATGGTCAATACATTTATATTACTAAGAAAAAAAACAGTCATACTGATATTCAAGTTGTTGATTCAAATTATCAGTTTAAGTAACAATTTATAATTGAAAATTATCTATGTGATGATATCGAGTCCATAATCAGATTAGATAATTTCTAATTTATAATATGTCCTAAAACAATTCTTCTGTATGTTGTGAATACTAATTAAACTTACTATATAAATTAAATAACTAATTCATACAAAGAATGTACTATTGAGAAAATTAACAATTAAATATAGATATATCTAGCTTATGATAAAAAGTCTGCAGAATAAAATTGTATTTTAATAGAAATATTAGGAAATAATAAAATGAATACTTTTATATTTATTATTGATATTGAAACCAAATTTAATGTTTTTTCTGAATAATTCAATTCAATTCTATTAATCGATATTCAAATTTATGGAGATAATTATAGAATGTTATAGTACCTGAATATGACTGGGTTTTACTTTAAGTAGGATAAAAATGCATAGTTATTTTAATTAATAATTGATATAGAATTAAATTAAACAAAAAATCTTATTACTAATGGAATTATTAAATATCCAAAGAATACAAATATTAGCAAATTACTGTATCTAAATTAATTTCTTGTTATATTATTTAATTACAAAATTTCATAATATGGATAAATACTAGTTTTATATGATCTTCATGAAATGGAATAATTTTAAATTTTTTACTATATTTAATCACTTGAGAGTGAGATATATGATATAAATTATCATAATGGTTCATGCTTTTACTTAATTGATATTAATGACAATTATACTGTTTCTTTGTATCAAATTAGTTAGTATTTATTTGTATTTCCAAAATAAAAAGAATAAGTATATAAAATAAAGCTTTTTAATTAAATAGATTCAATTGAAATGATTATTAAAATTTAAAATCTTTATGATTAATATTTTAGTCTTAAGATAGGATTGTTATTTTTTAATTTATTGTGTATTTTGTTATTATTAAGTAGAAAGAGAAATAAGAAATGATAATATATATTATGTAAATTGATATAATTATATAAAATTATATATAATATAATAAGATTATAGTCATTATCTTATAAAAGCCTCAAAACTTTCTGAACTAGGAGATCTAAAATTCAATCTATTGTTTTCTAATTCAGCTGATAGAAAAGCATATTTTGCTTGTAATTCAAAATATTCTTTATTCAATTTTATAAATCTTTGTTTCCAAGATGTTTCATTTGGATTAATTTTAGAAATATTATGTAAACTATTCTTTTTGGATTAAATATCTTAATAAGTATGAGAAAAAGTTAGACTATTCATTAATTAAGAATTCTCTCTTAATAATGATAAAACTTACTTTTCCAATTCTGTATGATCATTACCTTGTTATTTTTTGAGATTTTCAATATCTACAATTCTTTAACTAAATATGAAATTTTGAATAATACTTGTATGATTCTAGCAATATTTACACTTATATTATTAAAATTTAGGATTTACTTTCTTCAAGTTAATAAATGTGTGATTTCATCATAGAGATTTCTTAATCTTTTGAAAATATGATATTCTTGTAATGAGACTCTCTTTGTTTATATTACTCTATATATTTACGAAATTCTTCATTCTTTTTTAAAGCGCTATTATTGTCAATTCCAGAAGCAGTAGCAATACGTATTAATCTTTTTGGAGTATAATTAATGGATGAATTGGAACGTGATGTTGAAATAGTATTATTATACTGTTAAAACATTAAAATAAATTATAAAATAGCATATTATATTATTATATATTGTTTTATATTTTGTATTTATTTCAATATCATAGATTTGCTGCAATACTGAGTTTATTACAAGTATCTTCTAGCAAACTTAATAAATGTTCTTCAGATTATTCTCTATTAATTTATTATTTGATTAATATACCTTGTTTTCTTTTCTTAATCTAATTCTACTTTGACTCTATTAACAATATCTTTAAGCATTTCAAATATGGATTATTCACTTTCATCTCTATTTCTTTTTTCAACATTGATTAGATTACTTAACTTTACTAATTCATCAGTAATGGATTTCATAACCTAAATGTTAATATAAATATACTTACATTTTAATCTGATTCATCTCTTTCATTGGCTTCATTTCTAATAGCCTCTTAAATTTTAGGTAAATCATTTTATAATCCTTAATGAATTCCTTCAATAGAATCAACTCTTGCTGCAGTTTCCTTTTAGACTTCAGTTCTCAATAATGCTGTTTTATCTTCCAATAATCTTAATACTTTAGTTTCTCCTTCTTTTCTTGTTTAGGTTTCATTTAAAATAGCATTTTCAAATTTCTTTTCTAATGCTTGTACTTCTCTATTTTTAGTTTCATTAGCTTATTCCTTAGCCAATTTATCTTCTTCTACTTATTTTTATAATTTTCCTAACTAAACAATAATAAGTATAAATAAATTACTTAATCTCTTAATCCATTCAATTTAGTAAAGATCTATTCTTAGAATTCATTGAAAGCATCTTCAGCTTATTAAATTCTTTATTCAGCTTATTCAAGTTTTTGAAATCTTTCATTTTCTACTCCAATTTAAATTGTAGATAATTTCTCTGAGATCTTTTGAATTCTTCCACTTGAAGGTGATGCTTAAGGATCTAAAAATAGTTAATACAATTGAATACATGAGACTTAGGATCTTGAATTGTACATTATAATTATTAATAATAATAAAATTTATTTATGAATTAATTTCAAAAATATTCCCTTTTGAATTATTATTTATAAATAAATTCTTCATTCTTGAGTTATTAATTTAATATAAATAATTTGATAATTACACTTCTACTATTTTGGAATTATATATATTATCATAATAATCAAATTAATTTTCATAAAAAGAATAACACTGATATTTATCTTTCATTCAAATTTAATTATTTAAATATATCTATAACATCTCTGCTTGATTATCATTAGAACTTAATAATTAATATTGAATTCTATCTGCATAATTATATTAATTTGATAATTCTCCTTTGCTTTTTAAGCTCAATCTTTACAATATAACTCAAACTAGATTTTTCATTTATTTCTTAGCAAAATTCTTCATTTATTTCTTAAAATTTCTCATTATTATTAAATTCATTATCTAAATTCAATTATTTTTAATGTGTAATTTTATCCTTATTTTAATAAAACATTTTATATTCAACATTTTACAAACCATTAACACATTTCTTAATTATTATTATTATTATAATTAATACTCTTATCTTTTTAAACTGGAATTAGAATTCTAAAAGTAGTAGTTCTATTTTATTGTATTTTTAAATCCCAGATAGGTCGGCAAATTATATGGAAACACTTATAATACTATCTGATATATTTCTTAAATGATTAAGTATATTTTATTGAGATACCAATTTTATATTTAAATTTTTAATATTCATAATTTATTAAGACCAATATATTACTGCCTTAATAAGAGATAGACAAATATAGATGAAATATGTTGTCTTATTATTATTAAATTAATTTCAATGTCATATAATTCATTAATTAAGATTTTTTATTTTCCAAAAAAATCATTTATTAATCTTTGCAAATTTTTAAATATTCATTTAGACATAATTTGTATAATAAATTAAAAAATGAAATATATAAAAATGATCGATATTTTTGGTGCCTAATATAGATAATAGATCTAATTAAACCAAAAAGTATAGAAGTCTGTCTTAAGTGGGATATGTTCATTAATTGTTTTAGGAGCTAGTTTTGGTTATTTTCTTTATGTTATGAATGAATGGTGGAGTTCGAAAATCTTACCAAAATCAACTAATATTATGAAAGTTGAGAATTACTCACAAATTTAATATAATGAAGATTCCTTATTTGAATTTTGTTATTGGAAGTATAGTGATATGTAAATTGATCCATTTAGATTGTAGAATAACATATTAACTCCTATTGGTATCTACTTTATTAATGGTATTCCATAAAAACCATTTTCTCTCTTAAATGAAATACCAATAATGTCACCATATAATACAAGTCTTTTAAGTGTTGATAACCTTACTTTAATTTAAAATAGTGGTTTTGATAACTCATTAAATTATACAACAGAATTGATGATAGTAATTACTTCATGTAATTCCACACTATTAAACAGTGGATATTAATGCGCATCTGATTAGGAAATTTAAGAATTTTTTAAAAAGTCAGTAAATTATATCAGTTTTTGGTTGAATTTAAAGTAGTATGATCCATACTCCTAAAAGTTTTAAGTTGTTAAGAAACATTATTATTTAACCTTTGATTCTGAAATATCTCATTAAGGTTAATTAATATTGACTTAAACATAAGCTACTATAGATCATGGAATTTTATTTAGTAAATATGAATCATAAAGCTATATTTACAATGCTTAATTGATAACAAGTGCAACATCTAAATAATTTTGGTCTACATTATTTAAACAAAATACATATCTTAATTTGTTTATACGACTTGATCCTATGTCTACTGATACATAAATAGTATATCCAAAACTCGGAGAAATACTTGCTTAAGTAGGATCAATAATGAGTATGTTAATGACTATTCAATATATCTTGCGTTATTATAATGAATATATGTTAGAAGTTGATTTTGTAGATAAATTATTGGGGTTCTACTATCAAGATTATTTGGAATTAAAACAATCTAAAGATAAACTAGACTTAAAATTATGTAAAGAATTGATAGAACAAGCTAAAAAGAAATTAGTTTATACTAATATTATTTATGAGTTGTCAAGGATTTAATTATTCTTATTACACCATTTTGGAAGGAATTAATTATTTTAAGCACATTAATATGCTATATGTGCAAAGGAAGAAATAAAATCAGGTAAATATTGTTTAGCTTTTGATATTGCTACTATTCCAAGGGTTGATAGAAATAGAGAATAAACTGATTAGCATTTTGAGAAGGACGATTTTAGTTTGTTATGCAAAGGCAAAACTAATATAATTAAAAATAATGAAGATTTAGTTAGAATTTAATTAGATGTAGTTAGTGCTTCATAGAAATCACTTTATAATTGAAATTAGAAATAATTAAGATAATTGATAATAGATTTTATAGTCAAATAATCTTGTCTTCAGATAAATATGTATATCCATCAAAAAGCATTTAGATTTCTTTAAATTTAAGCTATTTTAGTTTTTCATTAAATATTGTTTGTTATGAATCACTAGTTTTTTGACAAGGCCTTGTCTTATCTTCTTATTTTGGTTGATATGGAGCAATCATTGTTTTATTTATTAATTTATCCCATTAAAATTATTAAAATAATTTATGATTTTTAAGTTCTTTTATCCCATTTTAATAACCCAATCGATTTTATTATTTTCTTATTAATAATTTATTTGTAAATTCAATTAAATTGAATGAATATTATAAATGTTCTTTAAAATTTAATTAAATCTATTTCCCTAACATTTCATCGCGTATTTCTTTTTTTGTTCTACCTAAATATGGTCTTTTACCAGTTATCATCTCATAACAAATAACACCTATTGCATAATAATCAACACAATAATTATAATTTTATTTTAGTATTATTTCAGGTGCCATATATCCAGGAGTACCACTTGTTTCATTACTATTTTCATTTTTATAATTTCTAGCAATTCCAAAATCTGTTATTTTCAAATATCCTTTACAATCCAATACTAAATTTTCAGGTTTTAGATCTCTATGAATAACTTAATAAGAATTTATGTATTCTAATCCAAGAATTATACAAGCCACAAAAAATTCTACATTATATATATAAATATACTAATTTATTCTTCTCTAAATGTTTTATTAAGTAAGATATGATATCTAAGATCACCTCCTGATAGAAAATCGAGTATTAGATATAAATGATCTTTATCTTAAAAGGATCCTACCATATTAATAATAAAAGGATTCTTAAGTTTTTATAACAGTTACTTTTCATTCATAACAGACTTTACAGATTTTTTAGCTAAAATTCTCAATAGAATAGAAAGAATACTTTGATTTTTTAAGTTCTTTCATAGCATAGATCATTCTTGTTTTTTTGGATTCAACCTTCCACACATTTCCAAATCCGCCTATACCAATAATATAATGGAATATGAAATTATGCCTAAATTTTTATTAGATTTTCTGTGTTTATAATTCTGATGTAGCTTGTGTGCTATCCTATATCTAAATTAAAATCAATGAGTAATACCATAATTACAGTACTAGTAAGATTCAAGAGAGGTCTTTTTATGGAGGATGAATTAATTTCTTGAAGACCCATATAGAAAGATCTATTAAATCTTTAATTGAGATTAGGACTATGAATTCGAGGTTGAGACAGATTAATTTCGAATTATTTAGGTTTGATGATTTCTCTATATTGAAGTTACACTCTTTTCGGTAATTTAGATCCAATCCTAAAGTTTAGGCATGATGGAGATACTTCTCCCATTGGGATTGTCCAACATTGTTTAATTTGGTTTGGATCTCTTAATCAACAGAGAGCTTGAGTTTTTATTCAGAAATACTTTGACATAATAATGCTAATGATATTTTAAAATTTAAGATACAATTTGATATAGGTTGATGAAAGCTAGGACTTCTAAGTGAATTAAGATAAGGTTTTTAGTTATTGATTTGCTTATTTAAATAAGGATCAATAAACGATTTATATTACATTAAATATATTATTATCAATTTATTTGTAAATTTAATTACAATTCAATTTCTTTTAATAAAACAATTTGATTTTATATGTATTAATTATTATACCTAATTTTATGTTTTGTATAAAATGCAAAATATATTGATTCTTATATCAATAATATACTTTCCTAATTAATTTTATATATTCAATCATTATGATAATTTTATATTTTATAATACCCATAAATATGACCTATTTTATTTGAATTTGAAATTATAAAATATATTAATTATTTCAATTTAAATCAATAAGAGAATAAATTACATTCTTTCTAAACTCTACTAGTATTAATGACTTAAGGAATGTAGATCATAAAATATAATAATATCATTCAAAATACTAAAAGTAAGAATTGAATAACATTGTATAAAATGCATTATTTAATTTAAAATTCTTATTAAATATTTTATATATATATGAGTAAAAATTCATTTATTGAAATAATATACTCACAAATTATCTAAAAATACAATTAGTTTACAATGTCTATAAATATTATATAATTATATCAATCAAAAAAAAAAAGAAAACTTAGATTTTAATTTAAAGATGATTTTAGTCTTATATATATATATATCCAAAAACTAAGTCTATATCAAAATTTTATTATTTAAATTAAAATAATGAATGATCATCAATATCAATATTGGCCCATTTTTCAAGAAAATGATTCTACCAAAGCATTTTGGAATAAGAAATTTGAATAAAATATTGATTGCTCCATAATTTCATAATATTGTATGAATCGAATAACTTGGAAATGTAGTAAACCTTGTGAATATCAATTTCTATTGAATTAAAATGGAATACTATTTTATTAACATAATAATAAACCTAAGGGTTATGTATAACTAAATCACGACATTAGTATTAAAATTATAGACCTTAAAATTTCAAATAATAAGAGCGATCTTGTAAAAGTTATCAGAATCAAAAGAACTAAAGACATCTTCATTTATATTTGGAATCAAGATTAGTAAAATTATTATCTATCTCTTCTCTAGTAAATCTACCTTCTAATTCTTTAAGAACTTATCATAATTCTCATTTATCTAAAATCTAGATTAACTTTACACTCTATCTGATGTCATAGCTAAAGGAGGATTTTCCAAAGTCTTTTCTCTCACTCCTAATCTAAGACTACCTAATTAACCACTTAATTACGCAGGCAAAATTTATAATAAAGAGGAACTCCTTTAAAAAAAGGATTCCTAAAAGTTCTATAATTTTATTCGTTCAGAATGTTATGTACTTAGGAAACTGAACTCACCTTATATACTCAAACTTTATGAAATCATATAACTTGATGAAATGTTAAGTAATTATAAAAATATATTTATTATAGTTTTAGTAACAGAATATATTAAAGGAGGATCATTATATTAATACTTAAAAGACAAAAAGAAATTAACTGAAATTGAATCTATATAAATATTACTTAAACTTACTATTGCCCTTTAAGCAGTTCATAATATAGGTTATGTACACAGAGATATTAAATTAGAAAATGTATTAATTGATAAAGATAATCTAAAATTAATTGATTTTGGTTTCACTGAAAAAATATAAAGAGATAGATTATAAAATGGATAAGGAACAGCTGGTTATATTGCACCAGAAGTATTTATGAGATAACCATATTAAGAAGTTGGAGATGTATTTAGTTTAGGTGTAATATTTTATTCAATGTTATGTGGAAGAGCACCCTTTCGATCTAATACATATGATGGATTATTGAAATTAAATAAGGAATGTTAAATTGATTTTTCAGAATCTAGATTTCTTAATGTCAGTTAAAAAAGTATTTATTTGATGAAGGCTATGTTATAAAAATAACCAGAAAATAGAATCAATATTTAAGATTTATTGGCTTAATTATAAGCTCAAACACTATTTTCTCATTCAGGCAATTTTATATCAACTTAATCTATAATTGATGGTTCTGTAGGATTGAGTTTTAATCATTTATAATCAAAGAACACTTTGAAATCTTTTTATTAATAAAGTTAAAATTCTGTAAGTGAAAATTCAAGTTAATTTTCAAATCATTAATTAAAACAAAAGAAAAGAAGATTTAAAAGCTAAAGTATGGATAAAAAAGGATAATTCCCTAAATAATCCTCATTCAAACCATCATTGAAATATGTTTATTAAATGGAAATATAATAAAGTTATGAAGATAATATATCAATTGGTGATTAGGAATATCCAATTTAAGATCAAAATCTTTAATTTTTATAATTTTCTTATTATTAATTAAATAGATAAAAATTTGTTTGATTTCATATATATATATATATATATCTCATAAATAACAAAAATCATTTTTATATTCTAAATTCTTAAATTTCTTCTTCACATTTCCTAAATTATAATCATTAAATTAATTAAATATATTCTCATAAATCTTATCTTCTAATAATTAAATTATATTTATTACTTTTATACAATAAATATAATAATAATGCAAGTATATCTGAAACAAAAGGTAGTTCTTTAAGCATTTAAATACTATAAATTTCCTTAATACTTTCTATTGATGCCTCATATATATTCTAATCAACTCTTATCTTATTAAAAATACAATCTTAATCAAACATGTGACTTAAATTGATACAATTTCGAACTATAAATAAACTACTTATATTAATATTATAAAATATTGTTTTTAACTTTTATGATAAGTAAAAAAGATGATTAGTATATTCATCACTTGAAACTTTACATAAACTACAAATCACTTTGAAATTATATCCTTATGAAGTTCTTTCATTTTTATCATAAGAAGCAGCTAAAAATAACTCAAGCATTTTTTTTTGGTAGTTTGATTTAAGTTATAATTTAAGATGAGAGCAAAGTTACATAATTGCTTAAGCTAATATTTTTAGAGAAGGATTTGCATATCTAATAAAATAAATAAATAATCCACTCACTGTTTTTTCATATATAGCTTTACAAATCAACTCAAAATCTTATTGAGACTCTAGAAATTACATATCTATTTAGCTATCAAAAATATTAAATTTATCATAGTATTTGATATCAAATAAATTACAAAAATAATTAACCAATTCTGTGGCATCTCTTACTATATTTTTTAATAATTCTTTTTATTTTATTTTTTATATTAATTTCTTAGCAGATTTAAAAGTAATATAAGAAGATGTATAATTATTTCTTTTTTAAAGTTCTACTATTTCAAATTATATTTAATTATTTTCAAAATCAAAAGTTTTATTATTAATTTTTATAAGTTATGTTAAATTTTAAGAGTTTAAAATTGATTATTTACTTTAAATATGTTCAATCTATGATTTTGGATCTATTTAATATTGAAATTTTTGATTTATTATTACTCTTTAAATTTTATAATAAATATTTGGATGATCAATTTTAATATCCTGTAATAGTCTAACTTATAAATAATCTATTTATATCTAATCATAAGTAGTTATCAAATGACAATATGGACATGACCATCTACTTTTATTTGGTTAAGAATTAAAAATTAAAAAGGAATTTAAATCAAAACAATTAATATGTTAACAATGTTTACCTCTAGCTGGCAATTACAATTGTTAAGATGTAAAAGGATCTAATAAATTAATAGATAAGTTTGATTAAACTTAAATATCAATACATTCTTCCTAATTTTCATTTGGTTTATTTATTTTATCGAAATATAACACTTTTTATTAAGTTATAATTTATTCTATCTAATCTTTATCACCATGTATTATTTATTATTTTACATCTTGCCATTCAATATTTTTGACCAGCACAATTCCAAACAATGAATTGAACTCATTCTTATCCTTGAAAATAAGTTTAATACTATTTTATCCTGAAACTATATGATTAGGAGACCTAGAATAATTAAAATTATAATACACATAAGCAAAATCAGTCTCGTGATATTTTATCTAATATTTTTCATTAAACCATATTTCTATATTATTGTTAGGCCAAACAAACAATTATTTTTATTCTTTCATCTTTATACAAAATATTGAAAGGATAATCTAATTCTTTTTGATATCATCATAATATTTATTCACTTCAAAAGTAAACATAAACTATTGTTCTTAAACTGTTTTTCCAATCTAAAAGATTTTATTCTTTTTGTTATTGAATCTAACATAATGCTTTTTGATTAATTATTTAATGTACTTCAATTTATTTAAATGGATTGCTTGCTTGAAATGTGCAATCTACACACCTTTATTCTAATGGTTATTTATCTGTTATCTAATAATCATAACATGGCCAATGGCTATATCTTTTACAATTTATACAAGAAAAACTATCTAATGAATTTTATTATTCACAATAACACTATTTTTACATTTATTAATAATAAATAGAATTATAATATATTCTTATTATCAATAAATCCTTAATTGTTATTTTAATATATTATAAAAGTATTAGAATAATATAAGAATGAACGTATATCCATTCAATAATAACATTTTATTATGTATATTAATATAATGCTTATTTATTTCTTGTTTAATATCATTAAATATTATATTTTTGTTTTCCAAGATAATTATATGACTTTTCATAAGGATAGTATATATTATTTGTGTTATTTTTAATAATAAATTCAAAAACTTACTTTGATTACTCATTAATGTATTTAATTTTTATTATTGAATTATTTCTAATTCAAAGAAGTAACTCTAACACCTGCTAGAATATTTCAATTTCACCCAACCAATTCTATTATTCTTATTACTCAAATTTATTGATCTTGGAAGCTAATGATGAAAATTTTTCAAATGTCTAAAGTATCAATATGGAAATTGTTAAAAAATCATTTGCAATTCCTTTTCATCAAAATTTAATAGCAATTCAGATTATTAATCCATTCTAAATGAAAAATAAGATCTAAGATAAACTCATTTGTTAGTTATTTAAAGTTGATGAATATAGTATCAATTGTATTGAAAGTCATTCAATTTTTTTTGATGAAAAAGATGAATTTAAACTAGTAATCCAAATATAAACATAAAATATGTCATAAGATTATTGTGATTATATGCATTTTGATGAAACTAAATAAATTTTTATTTTACTTTGTCACAATTATCCTATGTTTAAAATATATGAAGTAAATATTCATAATGAGACATCACTTCTATAATAATTGAATTTAACAATATAATTTTAAGAAAAGTGTAAAAGAGCATAATATAAATTAAATGATTAGACAATAATAATTGCATTTCATAAATGTAATCATTGGATGATTCTATTAACAGATTAATCAAATAAACAGATTCAAATTCTATTTGATTACCAATATATTTTAATGAAAGATGTATTAATGGATTTTTATATTTTAAATGAAATATAATTTTGTGAAACTACTTCTACTATTTTTCTTTATTTTATAGAATAAAATCGTTACGCAAGTATTCAAATTACGAGAAGTAAAATTAATATTTAACAATACTTCATTTATATAGCTTCAAATTTGATTTAAAAGTTAATAATTAATTCAAAATGTTCATTAACAATACCAATCATCTATAATTAAGAATATTCAGAGAATACTACAAATGTAAAAAAATCAGAATTTGTACTATAAAATTTGTATGATTTTAATGATATTAATTATATCTAAAGTTATCTTTTTTTAAAAAGAAATACTGAACTTATTGTTGATATTACAAAATACATTAACTAAACATATTAAATTGAGACAACTCCTTTGATTTTTTTGGAATAACTTAATTTATTTTATTAAATTAATCCTACCAATAAAATCATTTAATTCTATAGAATTTCTTCTTTAAAAAAAATATTGAAACCTAGAGAAAAATACATTTTTCTGATTGATGAGGAATAATAACTCATTGGGAATACAGACAATATTTAATGTAAAAAGATTGATTATAAAGATAAAGATTTGAATAATATTTTTGATATTGAAACTACATTTAACTGCAAAATGAAATTTAATTGTAAAATAGAAATAATCTAATAAAACTCCCTTTAATTATTTAATTTTGATTTTTTAAAGAATAGAACTAATTATTTAAGCATAGGTATAAAAAGAATGATAATTAATAAAAACACATGTATTATTAAGAATCTAAAATATAAATTTTATTATAAAATTTATGATTTATTTACTTTTGATTAAGATCATATAATTTATGAAATAGATAATTATTTATTCGTTTATAATTGTTAAAGAAAAAGAGTGTTGTTGTAAATTGTTTTACTTTCTTAATAAGTATATGACTATTTTAGTAATATTTTTATATATGATTAGAATACTAATACAGGTAGGTTTCTTTTTTGCAGAACTTAAATGATTTACTAATATAAAATAAAGTTTGACCATAATATTTCTCAGATTAAACAATATCATTAATTTTTGCTTTTTTAATCAGATTCTTAGCAAAAAATTGAAATATTAAATTTACATTAAGAAGCTTTGGGCTTTAATCCAACAAAGTCTGCATATTTATAATATTTAAACTTGTAAACATCATAAGAAACTTAAGTGTTATTTTACACTTAAATTTATCATCTGTAAATCATCTAATTTCCAGGTTTAATAGCTTTTTAAAAATATAATTAAACAAGATTTTTTTAATTCCCTGACTTTCAAGTTATTTATATTTATTCTATAGTAAATTATCTTTATTCGATTTTTTCGATACACTATGATTCAAACTCAATTTTTGTATAAATAATAAATGAAGATGGAATACTACAAATATTTAATTGGACTAATTTAGATATTAAATTTGCTAATCCATTATAATACAAAGTATTTTAAAATTACTTGTGTATTCTATCAGAGAAAAATCAGTCTTTTAATTTTTTGATTTTCTAGATTTTATAGGATTAAGTGATTTTATAAGAAATTATCTAAACCAAAAATTCCTTTTTTAATATTGAATAAAATTATATAATTTTGTATGATAATGAATAAGGATTTATTTTAAGGAGTTTGTTTGTTTATGATTTAGAAATTTAAATTGAATAAATGGCTTTGAATAAATTTATTATAAAAGATCATATAACAATGAAATTTCAACCTGATAATTTAGATGATTAATATCATTTTGAATTAAATATATAAATAATTAATGAATGCAGAAATTTGTAAACATTTTTTAATTAAACTGAAATTGATATTTATAATAAATAAAATTTCTAATTTAAAGTTACAGATTATTTTTATGGTCCTATAGATAAATTAAGCTATAGAATTAATTAAAATAAACTTATTAATATCAGTCCAATACATTAACAACATCAAATACCAGAGTGCATAAATTTGAACTAAACTTTTTGTCTCAGAAAAATTAAATTTGTTGATTAAAATTAATTAATAGATGAATTTTCTTTCGTAATAATTGTTTTTGATAATAATAATATAATGTTGATAGAATGTTTATATTATGATCATACAGCAATTATTTGGTTGGATTATTTTAATTTCTTAATTGTATAAAATTTAAATTCAACTTTGTATTTTTTTAAGTATGTGTTAGGAGATTAAGATACTTTAATATACAAAATTAAAATGAATTTTTAAATTGAAGGAAGTAATAATATTAAAAAGGTTAAAAGAGAAGGAAATTTGATTGAAATAACAAAAGATATAAATTAAGTTTACTTTAATATTGAAAATGGTTATTTTAATTAAATTACAGGTTTGAATAATATTATCGACTTCATTTTTTTAGATAATACAATAGATCATTATATATTACTCCATAAGATGTAATCCTCTTTTAATATTGATTTTTTGATAAGTACATTTCGATTAAATGACTAATTAATTATTTCTTAAATAAATATAACATAACGGCTCCTTTAAGAAATGAGGAAAGAGCTTGATGATAAATTTTCTTTTTAAAATAATTCAATTTTTCTACAAATTAAATTCATTTCTTGTAAAATGTTCAATGAAATGATAGGGGTTAAATTATTAATTATTTTAAGAACTCACTCTTTGATTATGGAAATATAAACAAATAAAGAATATATCAATGATATACATAAATCATCTTCAATTAGGTATCCTTTTCTAGGTATTGATGGAATTTTTGTTTAAGCAGATGAAAACATCCTAATTCTTAAGTTTTTTGATAATGTAAATCTGTTTTATTATTATGACTTATAAGATGATAAAGAATTCCTAGATTACATATATTCGTCATAGACCCTTGAAATTAAAAAATTCAATACTACTCATTATCTATAATTTATAAATGATATAATTAGTATTGGGATGTTTGAATATACAATAAATTTAGATACTGATTTAGATTTAATTTAAGGATTAACTTTAATTGCTGAAAATAAAGTATCAACAGCAGAGATCACATTAATTCTGAAGACATAAAAAGGATAGCTTAGTTTAACTATATATATATAATTAGTAACACTGTTTCTTATAGAATTATATATTAGGATTAAGAAGAAATAAAACCAGTTGAAAAGATGAATAATTATTTTGAATACAAATATATAATATAATTTTTATTAAAATTGATAAAATATTTTATAATATTGATTATGAGAAAAAAACAGATAAACTCTAAAAAATTGATTTAAAAAATCCTTGTTTTAATTTGAAAATATAAGGGAATAATTTGATTTTACATTTAATAAAAAGTAATGAATTAATCAGAAATAACAAACTACTTAACACAAATGGCTAAAATATTTGAGAGATTTAAATTATTATCCATGACTTTAGATTAATTTGAAGAGAAGTATATGAATAATTAAAATGAAAATAAGGAGGAGAAAGAAATTAAAGAAATAAAAAAGGGATTAAAACAATAATTGGAATAATTAGAAGAAGTGAAAATATAGACCCCAAAGATTAAATATGATTCAGATAATAAAACATATTATTGTTCTGAATGTTCTAAATAATGCAACTCAAAATCAGCTATGTTAAATCATCAATATTTTAAACATAATAGACCAAAAAAGTAAGGGTTAAAAAAATCTATCAAATATTAAAGTAAAGAAATAGATGTTGATGATAGGATGGATGATTTAATTATTTTATAATGATTATATATGAATTATATATTTATTTCTCAAGGGAATTACAAAAAATATCCCAATGTGATTATTAATAATTTAAATTTATTAGAAATGCCTTTAGAAGCAGCAGTAGTAGTTTTGGATAACTCAGAATTCTCTAGAAATGGAGATTTAGAGCCTTCTAGATGGAATGCTTAATAAGAAGCCATTGAATTGTATATTAATATTGTTATTGATTCAAATATGGAAAGTGGAATGGGATTAATTTTAGGAGGAGGTAAACAAGTAAGATTGTTGATGACTCCAACAAATGATAGAGATTTAATTTAAGGTTAATTCCATAAAACAAGATTAGAAGGTAATCAAGTCTAATGAATAAATAGGCAATTTAAAGTTTTCTGTTGCACTTTAATAGGCATCTTTAGCTTTGAAGCATAGAATCAATAAATAATAACATTAACGTATAGTGGCATTTGTTGCAAGTCCAATTGAAGAAGAAGTAGATACTTTAGTCAAGTATAAAATAATTTAAATAATGTTAGTCTTGCAAAAAGATTAAAGAAAAACAATATAGCAATTGATTTAATTAATTTTGGAGAGTAGAATGAAGAACATCTTTAGAAATTAAAAATATTCTTTGAAAATGTATAGAAAGGATCGAGTTCAAAATATATCAATATCTAACCAGGAATGAGTGCAACAGAAACACTTTTTTCAACTTTAGGAAATTATTCAGATTTTTAAGCTGAGCCTGGAGAATAATAACAATAAGCTCCATAATAAAGAACAGGTGGATAATTTTCTGAATATGGAGGAATTGATCCAAATGTTGATCCAGAGATGGCTATGATAATGAAAATGAGTCTTGAAGATGAAGCATAAAGATAATAATAATAATTAGCTTAGTAATTATAATAACCTTAACAATAATAATAGTAGCCTTAATAATAGTAATAATAATAATAATAATAATAATAATAATAAATATAAGAAGAAAAAATAGAAAATGTTATCGAAGAAGAGAATGATGAACTATTAGAATAAGCGAGATTATTAAGTATGCAAATAGAATAATAAGAATAACAAGAACAACCTAATTAAACTGGTTAATAGTTATAAAAATAAAGTTAACTCACTTAGAAGTAATTATATTTATTTTAACATAGTCAATTATTCTAAGATTAAAACTTCCTTGATGAATTATTAGATGATGTAAATAAGGACGAAGAGTAAGAAGGTCTCCTAAAAAAAGATGCAGAGAAATCAAAGAAAGATTGATACAATATAAAATATTTAATATAAACAACTATTAATAATATAATTTAATGGACTATTATATATTAACCATTCAATAATTATAGCAGACAATTTAATTAGCTTCTGATGAAAATAAAGAATTGAGTTAAAAATTATTATCATTGCAAATAAAATATGATCCAGAATCAGATCTATAAATAAAAAATTTAGAAAAAACTGTCTTGCTTTAACAATAGCAATTAGCATAGCTTAAATAAGAGAAAATTAAAAACAGTAAAATATAGCCATTAAACAGTGAAGATAAATATTAGATATTATAATTAACTGAATAGATAAATGAAAAAGAGGCTGATTTAAGAACTATAGAGGATCTGATGTACTAAACTGAATTTTAAATCAGAACTGCAAATCAAGAATTATCTGAATTGAAAGAAATATTAATAGAAAAATAATAGGATCAAATATTACTTAATAAGAAAGCATAATAGCTCGAAAATTTGATACGAAATATTAGTGGACAAGATAGTCTATCGATGTCATACATTAATGAAATAGATAGACTAAATAATAAATTACAAAATTTAGAAAAATCATCTAACATTTAATCAAGGCTAACCTACTAGAGTTATTACAAGTAAAATTGATTTTACATTTTATTTTATATTATATATGATTAATAATGGAATTTTTAAACCGAAGAGATTAACAACAGCAACAAGAAGAGTAAAATAATCTTCAAAACCAAGCATAGATTCATTAATTTTTAATAACATTAACAAATAAAGTGTAGCATGTGATTCTCAATTTTTTACAACTTCAAGAAAAACTACTCGTCCTTAAACTGCTCTTTAATTGCCTAATAAAGATACATTATTTGAATTACCATTATGTTCAAATGATGAAGAAATAAAGGAGCCTAAAAATAAAGATGTATATTTTCATACAAAGATGAAATTATTTGCCAAAAAATATTCAACTACAATGCCAACTCACATGAGTACATAATAATCTATTATTAAATCCTAACCATTAATTTAATCTGCTACCAAAAGAACTACTAAAACTAATAATTCGGTTGCTAAGCCTGTGAATAAATAAACAACAATCGAAGTTGTAAATTAATACTAAGTACTCCAACCAACAACTATGAATATCAATTAATTGTTCTCTTAAATTTAATAGATAAGATAAGAGCCTCAGTATATGCAATGCAATTTAGATAATGTTAGTAAAACCCAAAAAATTTTGCAAATAAATCCTGAAGAAGTTAAAGCACTCTATGAAGAATTAGCACATTTGGATGTCAAATTCATGAAAATGACTGCTGACACTGAGGCTTTCATACATAATCTATATGCTGATAAAAATAAATTCTTGAAAATAAAAGATAATGTATTAACAGAACATTAATTAATATTTCTAACTGATTAACTAAAGATTAAAAGAGAATTGCTTGAATAAGGTTAACCATTTGATAGTATAAATTTTGATGAAATTGACAAAATTGTATAGAAACTCATTTTTTTTGAAAGATTTACTAAATCAACAAGGATTAATCTTGTCAAATTAGGTTAGTATATAGAAGTCCCTCCAGGCGAATATGTATTTCATTAAGGCGATTTTGGAGATAATTTATTTGTTATTTTGTCAGGAAGCGTTGTAGTGAAAATTGAGAAAAAATTTACACAAAATGGACCTGTAATTGAATAAGTAGTTTCATCCCTTTATGATGGTTAACATTTCGGAGAGTTAGCCATGATGGAAACTACATAAAAAGGTTCAGAGGAGGTTCTTGAAGAAAAATTAGAAAATATTAATGTAAGGTCACTTAAAGAAGTGAAAGATTAGCTCATTTAACAATAACTTCAAGATCTAGGACAATAAGATGAAGCGTTATAAAAATAAAAGATTAAAGAATTACAGAGGCAGAACACAAATATTATTAATTTGGTTAAAGAAGATACTGTTAAAGAAAAACATTATATTATGAATTTAGCTAATGATGATGATGAATTAGTGCAATCTTCTGGCTTAACAAAATCAAACAATATTTAATATAAAAAGGTAGATAAAGCTTAATAAAGAAAAGCTTCAATATAAGCCAGCGAAACTTGTCATTTGTTAGCCATTAGCAGAGAAAATTTCAAAAATATCCTTATGGTCTTAATGCAAGATGAATTAGAGCAGAAAATCAAAATGCTTAAATCTTTGAGGTTCTTTAAATAAATTCAGCCATTTGTATTAATACCTTTAGCAAATTAGCTAATCCCTTAAAGATTTCATCTCGATGAAGTTTTAGTTAAGGAAGGAGATCTCTTAGAATTTATGTACATTTTATATAAAGGATCTTGTAATGTTATTAGAACTATAAATACAGAGAGAATCAAAATACCAGAGCATCTTCGGAAAAAGTAAAACAGAAAATCCTATAGATATTATTAAGAACATCCAATAACAATAACTCATAATACACCTGAAGATTATTTGTCTTGCTTAACACAAGATGGAGATATTACATATAAAGTTCCTGATTATGCTGTCTGTAATAGCAATAATGGATATATCCAATATAAAAAGAGTTATGTATATAAAAAATTGTTTCCTGGAGATATTATTTTTGGGAGAGTTTTAACAGGATTGAGACTTGAGGGTGATAAAGGTATAGACAGAGCAAGAATGACTATTGTTAGTTCATCTAGTACTACAATAGTCTATAAAATTAGTCTAAAGCTAATATAATTTTGTCCGGAATTTTTAATAGAACATCTTACTAATCAACTCTTAATTTACAAAGAAGTTGATCTCCTTGAATAGTCTGCATTAAATTAAGAAATCAAACAAATCTATTCCAATAATTAAAAAATAGTTAAGGATTAGGCTTAATTACTTTCAGAAATTGAAGAAAAATAAAGAAAGATAGATTTGTAAGAGTATTATAAGAGAAATAAATTAAGAAAGCCTTAAAATGAGAAAAAATAGGATCTACGAAATTCAGAATGGGAACAATTTAAAGAAAAAGTTGTGATACAACAATTGTTGTACAACAAAGTCCAAAACTGATAATCTATTTATATTAAATAATAATACTTAATTATTTACTATATTTAAATATCGTATTGAACTTAATATATCATAAACAGAATAATTTATTAGAGCATATAAGTAAGAAAATATTACTGTAAAGTGAAATTTAATTAAATGCGTGCATTTTTTAAGTATAATTTTTGACTCAAAAAAGAAAATTTTATTCAACTATTTCAGTAAAGAAAATTATTATTTGGATGTTTAAAAAATACAGCTTGGTTTTTTTCTAAAAATTATTTTAATGTATCAAATAAAATATGAATTCATTATCACGTAATACTGTTTAATATATAAAGGTATCCAGTTTAAAACTAAGGGGAGATTTAATTTTCTTATTAATCTATACCACTCAGACTTTAGGATAAGGATGATGAAAAACTGAAACTTATATTACTACTTTTTAATTTTGTTTCTTAAGAATTTAATCAATAAGGCATAATGATTCCTCTAATTATACGTCTGTTTCTACTTCAATTTAAAAGTTAACTGAAGTGGGTTATAAATCTATTAGCATTAATTATTGCATTAAACAAAAAGTAATGTAACCAATTAAAAGCCATCTTAATCTCAAATACAAATAAATAATTTGAAGTGATATAAAACTTTTTTTTTCTTTAGACGAAAATGCTGTAAACTTTATCGATTATTGTTTATAAATTAAGATTATTTTTTTTTTTAGAAAGAAAAAATTTTTCATTAAAAAATAAAACCGATCAAATTAATATCTAATTATAAATAAGATTTAACTATTATTTTCTAATTCAATACTAATTTATTAAACTAAGATTTATGACTCTTATCGATTCCATATATTCGTAAAAACATAAAATTTATTAAACCAAAATTTCTTGATTTCATTTCTTCAATAGAAACATTAAAAATATATAGATTAAATATTTTGATTTCTATTCAAAGTAATTCTCCATTTTTTAGTTATGAACAGATGTGGTCGTATTAATAAATCTAAAAAAGATAACTTTTTAATTGATAAAATAATAAATTGTAATTGTATAAAATGTTATATATCTTAATTTATACGCTATAATTATTTTATTAAAAAAACTAAAAGATAAATTTCAGACTAATAAATCATGAAATTTATATTTAAATAGTATACAATCTTGATTTGAGTCTTAAATACAATGTAATAACTTTTTAATTAATAAAATATTTAATTGTCATTATATAAGATGATAGTTTATCATCATAATAAATTTCATTCGAATACAATAATGATGAAGTGGAAGAAATTCTAAAGGATGATAATTTATTTGATGTTCATCATTTTTCATTGAAATAATCAACACAAATAGGATCGATGTTTTAATATCATACAAGATGCCATTCTGACTACTATTTACTGAATTAAATACAAGAAATATGGATATCCCTCCTTCTATATTAAAAAAGGAATACGGAAATAAATTGACTTTTGTATAAGCAAAAACTTTTTTGGATTCATTAAAGATTAATGATAAGCAAAAGAAATAGGGTCGAGTCTCAAAAAATATATTCAATAAGGTTAAAAAGTGGCTTATAAAAGAAAATACTGTTTTAATAAGACAATTAACTCAAAATAAAACACAAAAGAGTATATCTCAGGATTAACAGGACTTTCAAAAAGTTTGATTTACTATAGGGAGAAATAAATCCCAGAGAGTGCACAATATTCGATCTAGTTTTCTCTCACATAAAATCATATTGATTGGTTAAGATAATATATTTAAGAATAGGATGTCAATGAAATGGAACTCAAAAACTATTTATGAATAGTTTATTTAAGAATAAGTGGGGCTAGTTTTCGTCAAGTCAAAATCCGAAGGAAAGGATATTTCAAAATGAATCTGGAAAGCAAGTTGTTAAATTATTATCTTTCATTACTTTCAATTATGAAATAAAATGTTTCATTGTTATTTTTAGATGAAACCACATTTACTCATCATTCTATAAATCCAAAGTGTTGGTAACTTAAAGGGGAGAAAAAATATAGACGTATTTTATAAATGTAGAAATCCCTACATGTTATTGGTTGTATAGGGTAAAATGGTTTTCGGTGTTGTTAAATTTGTAAAGGAATAGTTAATTAATACATTTTTGCTTAATTTTTAGAATAATTGCTGAAAGCTGCATAAAAATTTTATCAAAAAAAGCCAAATGTATTAATTATGGATAATTGTCCTATTCATAAAAGCAAAATGATATATGAACATTATCTAAGAAAAATTACTTATTTGTTTCTTGCTCCATATTGTCTTGAATTAAATCCCATTGAGGGTGTTTGGTAATAATGAAAAAATTATATTTATAAATAATAGCTAACTTCCGAATTTGTATTTTTCAAAAAAAACATAAGTACTTAAAAATTTATAACTAAACAAGAAGAGAAAGTTTAATTAAACATACGTTAATTGAAATTGAATTAAGTGATTCTTGATTATATAACAAATTAAAAGTAATAAAGCAATATAAATTTTTATCATAAATGTAATTTGATATGTGAGTTGATGGTACAATTACAATTTATTATTTAATTAATTAAAAAGTTATTACATTTTATTTAAGACTCAAATCAATATTGTTTAGAATTAAATATTTATTTCATGATATATAAGACTGAAATTTATCTTGTTTGTTATTTTATAAAATATTTAGAGCTCATTAATTAAGACTGGATATACTTTTTTATATTGCATGATTATTTAATTAATATGTATTTTTTGACAATATGCATAAAGCATTTATGTTGAGTAAATTGAAGTAAATAAAAATATTTTGGCAAAAATAATATGTATTGTTTGTCGATGACGATATATTTAAAAACATAATGAGTATAAAAATATTAACTAACTTTCCTGTTGTATTAATAAATTGCAATATTTACAATTATATATCAAACCTTTAATTTAAATTTGATGATTTGTCTTTTTATATAATTCAAATATTTTCTTATCTGCCATGAAATGATAAGAAACATGAGCTACAGGGTTCATTTATTTAATGATTAATATATTATTCCTTATTGATAATCAGAGATCTTGAATTAAATTAATTAGCCTGCTTATAATTGAATTATAGTGCTTTTTGTATAAGAATTTAAATTATTGCAATTATTTTCAATCAAAATTTCTAATTTGAGTTTAGTGAGAAAAAATAAGTTAGTAATATTTTTATAATCATTTTCATTTCTTACAAATAACAATTGATTAAATTAGAATAATATTTTGTATTAGTTTATATAATAAGTGTTTAACATTAGGGTTATTACTTTGAGTTTAAAGTTTAAATGATCGACGATTATCATTTATAAATTGTTATAATAATGAAAATTTTTATTTTTATTAAACTATGTGTCATTGTAAAATAGAACAATTAAATTTGTGTTCTATAAAAAATTCTAATTAAATCTAGTATAATTATTTTTTTATATTCTTAAGAATGCATATATTTAAAAACAAATATGTTTATTTTGTTATTTATAATTAAAAATAGAAATAATATTAAATAAATATATATCGTAATTCATTATAAAACATAATATAAGCTAAGTTGAGAGAGTTTCTGTTTTCATTTAAGAAAAAAAAATAGCAAATCAATAAGATTTTACGAATGAGTAACCATATTTATTTCAATGCATAATTAATTGATTTTTATTAAACATTTTCCTGAAACNTATATCAAACCTTTAATTTAAATTTGATGATTTGTCTTTTTATATAATTCAAATATTTTCTTATCTGCCATGAAATGATAAGAAACATGAGCTACAGGGTTCATTTATTTAATGATTAATATATTATTCCTTATTGATAATCAGAGATCTTGAATTAAATTAATTAGCCTGCTTATAATTGAATTATAGTGCTTTTTGTATAAGAATTTAAATTATTGCAATTATTTTCAATCAAAATTTCTAATTTGAGTTTAGTGAGAAAAAATAAGTTAGTAATATTTTTATAATCATTTTCATTTCTTACAAATAACAATTGATTAAATTAGAATAATATTTTGTATTAGTTTATATAATAAGTGTTTAACATTAGGGTTATTACTTTGAGTTTAAAGTTTAAATGATCGACGATTATCATTTATAAATTGTTATAATAATGAAAATTTTTATTTTTATTAAACTATGTGTCATTGTAAAATAGAACAATTAAATTTGTGTTCTATAAAAAATTCTAATTAAATCTAGTATAATTATTTTTTTATATTCTTAAGAATGCATATATTTAAAAACAAATATGTTTATTTTGTTATTTATAATTAAAAATAGAAATAATATTAAATAAATATATATCGTAATTCATTATAAAACATAATATAAGCTAAGTTGAGAGAGTTTCTGTTTTCATTTAAGAAAAAAAAATAGCAAATCAATAAGATTTTACGAATGAGTAACCATATTTATTTCAATGCATAATTAATTGATTTTTATTAAACATTTTCCTGAAACTATAATAATGAAATTGATTGCAGATTAAAGTATTCATCCTATCTCTTACGTAATTAAGACATTTAAGCTTATGATGAAATAATTAATAAATATTCATTATTTTCGATTTAATGTTAATAAATATATATATATAGAAATTAATATATGGTTTGTCTAATGCTGTTGATTTTACTTTATGTTGTTAGAGGATAGTAAACGATTTTCTTAACTTAAAATGAAAATTATAAACTTTAAGAAAAATCAATCATTTTAGAAATAAACAACAGCTTAGACTTTTACAATTTGTAAAATATAAAAATTTCTGATCAAATCAAAACATTATCCCAAAAGTTGATTCAAAGTTATTATAATTATACTTTCATCGATCCTGTATAAGATATTATTACCTTTACAACACATGATCAGAATGACATATACATTTGTCTAATTAAAAACAATTAAATAGAGTGCAGTTTTAAAATACTAAATGTAATAGTCAATGATTAATTAATGGTTTATTAGAATAAGTTTATAACTTTTCATTAAACTAATTGTTATAATATCCATCATTTTATTGAAAATTTATTTGTTTTATAATGTAAAAGAGAAAATGGATTAGAATTGGTGCTTGTTAACTAAAATGACATTATTTTAAATACTTTAAAAATCAATTAGTAATACAATTAAACTCTTAATAGTCTTGTAACAGAAAATTAATTAATCTTGTATGAAAATGAAGACTATATTTTTTATTTCTACTTTATTTAATGCTATAATTAAAAATTGCATTACAGGTAATAGAAATTAGACTTGAAACTTTTCTAATATATTGGTAACTTTTAAACCTTAAAATTACAAAAAAACAATTAAATTATTAGGATTTTTTATTAATACGCAATTTTTGATTGTGATATTTTATCATTTGATGTTCTTGTAGTAAAATATAATAAAGCTGACAATTATTATGAATTTTATAGTTCAATTATATATGAGTAGAAAGAATACTTTATTGCATTAGATTATAAGAATAATAATAATTTTTATATATAAAAAGACCTTATTTTAATTAATCCAGAATGTTAATCAATCATTTCTATTAATTTTATCAATGAAAATATACTAGTAAATTGTTTGTAGTTTTTAACTATATATAATAATAATTTAATGTCTTTAAAATTTGATATTAGTTTATAATCAATCAAATATTTAGAAAATTTACCTTATATTATTTTGGTTAATCAAACAAGGAATATGGAATTTCTTAAAATAAATGATCTGTCTAATTATTTCTGCAATTTAAATTCAAGTTATATTTTAGTCTATTATGTTAAAAACTTTATTGTTTATGATAGTCCTATAACAATAATTTAAAATAAGTATTCACTTGAAAATCCTTTATTGTTAGTGTAAAATATATCATTTGGAACTTTTTATGTTTCAAAAGATATCAATTTATTCTATTTTTCGCTTATGTTTTAATAAGGTTTACCTTATTCAATAGAAAATGCCTTATTTAATGAGAGTTCATTACAATCCATTAGAAGCAAACTTGTTCTTGAAAAATAGATGGGAATGTAATGGGGACAGTAAATATTTATCTGTAAAATATCATATCATTTCAATTATACAACTATTATATAAATTGCCAATTAAACATTCACAATTAATGACACTAACTAAATAATTTAATTCAAAACTGAGTTTAATCCTTAGAATTCAAAAATATTTTTTAGTACATAAGTGAATCAATTTTTAATTATCCAAAATAAAACTATACGAGCATTCTCATTTGATAAAAAAGTGAATCTTGTGTGGATTATGAAAATACATAATAATATTACTAATATATTTCGATATCAAAACATTTTACTTATTTAATTAGGAGATTGCATTGATATTGAAATTGATTTAAACTCATTAACACGTAAATAAATTAATAATTCTCTTTAATTCAATTGTACTTATTATTTAAATTCCTATTTTTAAATTAAAATTTATAGATAAGAAATTAATTTATATAGTATGTTTTCTTATCACCTCAGAATTATCTGTAATGAAATAGTTGAATTTGTACCAGTAGTAATTTATAAACGATTAATAATTTTTGAGTTAATTGATAATAAAATTTAGATTAAACTTTACATAACTAGGTTCGGTTAATTTAATTTTTTATTTTATTTACCTTTATATGAATTTCAAATTTTGTATCCTTTGGAGTATAGGATAGAGAAATCCCAAATTGCAATTGTTGCATCAAATTAGATGGATTAAGAATTTGTGTTGGTTTATGACATAAAAAATCAAGTTGCAAATTGTTTAGTCAAAGTCATAAGAATTGATAACAAGAATTATTATTTTAACTTCTTATCCGAATTTCAAATTTTTGTTGTATTTTAATAATAATTGATAATTTTGTTTCTATCCTGCCTTGAATTATAATTTTCGAACTAACATTTAACATTTGATAATCTTATTAGTTAAGAGGATTTATTGTTATAAATCATCTCTGATATATATAATTAATCCTTATAAATTTAATTAAAGGTCATTTCAATTAATATGAACTACAAAATCTAAATCAAAGATGTGATGATTCCATTTCAATATTAAATTAATTAATAATTATAAATAAAGTCTTTCAATTTATTAAATATATATGGCAACATAGATTTTATGATAAAAATTAGTGAAAATAATACTCAAAGATTAGAACCAATGTAAATCAACTACGCTTTTAGTTGCAGTAGATTTTTTTTAAATTCAACTTGCATAATTAAAAATAATATAATATTTAATACTTTTGATAATTCAATTTAAATGGAAATACCAGAATCTTGTGTTAATTTATTATTTGTTTAAGATAAAAAGGATTATTTTTCATTTTACTGCTGGTTTGATTAAACATCTTTTGAAAGATTGGATGTAAATATATATGGTGTTATTTTGAAAGAAAAGACTCTAAAAATATCAGATTTTAATATTAATCTATACATGATTAATTAAACTTAATTTTTATAAAATGTTATTATTACTTATTCTCATAATATTAGTAATTAAATGTAAATTTGGTTTGTCAAAGAGGATTCTGTTAATTTATATTTTCACAAAAGCAATTCTAGATTTAACACTGCCACTGTTATTTACTTAAATAATCATTATATAATATTTTATACTTTTTTAGAAGAAAACAAAAACATTATTTTATGTGCAATTTTAATGGATGATTTACTCAATATCTAAAATTAGATTTAAATCGAATTGACAGAAATTATTAAAGATTATAACTTTGTTATCTTTTAATAATTAATAGAGCTCAAATTTATAGAATATAATCTAAATGGAATGATTTTGAATGCCGATTCAATTTTTTGCTTTGCAATTTTAAGTTGTATTAGATTAAATCTGGATGTAGACTTTTAATTAAAAATAATCAAAAGTTAAATTAATAATTATATAAGATTTCCTGAAAATGCTCTATGTTATTTTAATTGTTTTTAAGGTAATTAATAAAATATAATTTTAACTTTAATTAAGGATAATAATAGAGTTTCATATTTTTATAATTTAACTTAGAAAATACTTATAGACAGTTATTATTAATATTCTGTTCAGAATGTCTACTTTTAATAATATAATAAGTCTCATTATATATTAATTAATAAAAAAAATAATACTTATGAGGTGAATTTATTGTATCTAAGTGGATATCAAATATAATGTTAAGATTAATGTTAAACAAATGTTGAAATAATTTAAATATATAATTAAATATCTAATTTATATTTAGAGTTTCATTCAAATTAAGATTAAAATTTATTAATGAACAACTCAAAAAATTACATATAGATCATCATATGTCTAAATAATTTTATATTTTTACTCTCATTTCTAATATATCGCAAAAAACGACGTAATCAATTGAAATGAAATTTTTTTTTATTTTATTAAAATTATGCTTAATATTTTATTAAATTTTCTGATTATAATAATATTATGATCCATCTAATCAATCTATTTAATTTAAATATTTATAATTATCATAACTAGAATAATAATTTAATATAAATTATAATTGGAATTTTATATTAAATTTATATGTATCAATTCAATTTTTATAGTTCTCAAGGAATCCATCACCCTATATATATATATCTTAATCGTTAGGGAAAATCTTGTTTTAAGGATCTGGTTTCAAATGATTATAAATATAAGGGACTATAGCAGTATGTTTTAAATTTAATAAAAATTCTTTGTTTTTGTCCCATTATTCTTAATTGATTTCTTTGATAATAAATATGTATTTGATTAATTCTTATACTTCATACTGTGATATTTTTTATATATTTTCAATAACTTCAATTCTAATGTCTATTAATTTAGATTATTCAATATATCTTTGCTAAAATATAGATTAATGATTTACTTTAAAATAATTCGAAACTTATTTAAGAAACCGAATTTTAATATCTACATCTTTTATTTCATCAGAGAATGCGACAAAAATAATTTTGCTGCTTTATTTTTCTTAAAATATATTCAAAAATTTCTTAAGAATAATTTACGTTTCTTCAATTTTAACCACATCTTCCTCTTACCATTAAACTTTATTTTTTTATATTTAATCGCCTTCATCAATAAAATTAAAAATCATCTAATTTTGATCCCCAAACAACTTAAATGTCTCTGATGATCTGTGCTCAATTTCTAATAATGGTTTCTTTAAATAATCCTAAAAATCATCAGGATTTAAAAAAAATATTTTTGCTAATTCACAGCAACATATTTCTAATAAGCCGTGTTTTTACTTTGCTACTTAATCTAATCTTTCTAAAAAATTATTTTTTTTATCTTGAAACTACTCCTTCAAAAATTCTGAAATCATTTTCTTTACTTCACATTTTTGATCATCAAGTTTGTGTTATAATTTATCTTATTATAGATTACAACAAGAACTCGTTTATTGAAATTCAATTAGTTGATTTTTTAAATCTTGATACTTTGATTTTTTAAACAATTCTAGGCACATTTCATTATGTTCATGAGATCTACAAATTTAGTAGTCATCCTTCCCAAGATCTTTTTTAACTTACTCACAAGCCTCTTTATGGCATTCTCTAAAAGGTAAATTCTATAGTAATTTCTCATAAAAGCATTAGAAATATAAATTTGCAGCTTTCTCTTCTAATTTTAAATTTTTTTCAATTGCTATAGTAGGATAGCCATAATCATGAAATATTTCAGCCATCTTTCCAGAATGGCAACAACTTAAAAAAACTAATGCTCTTTTTAATAATGGCTAATTCAAAATTTAAGAAACATCTGTTTCTTTTACTTCCTCTTTACAAAAATTTGGAATATCCTCCAAATCCTTCTCATATTCTAAATATGTCTCAGACGTATTTTCAATGAAACATCCATGACAAATAATATATATTATTTTTGGATTTTATCTCAAAACTTTACGTAAATTATGTTTAGTTGCTTGTGTAATATAATAGGAAATCTTTTTATTTAGTTTTTTCATAAGAATTAAAAATTATATTATCTCTTCATTAAATTTTACAGGTTCATAATCTACTTCCACTGGATGACTATATAATATTGCGATTTCAGATTTCTAATTTTGAGAATAATCTTAATCCTTGATTATTTTAATTTCTTCATTTATTTATTTTAGTAATTGGGATTCTTATTCTAATTTAATATATAATTTCTATATATCTTATTCTAATTTAGATAACTTCTTCTTATTTTTCTCTAAATCCGAATATAATTGAATTAATTAAATTCTATCAATTATAAAGTACATTTTAACCAATAATGGTTTTTAAACATCACAAAATTCAAAATTAAGAAATATAAAATTTAAATCATCTTTTAATAATTTATTCAAGTCATAAAATGTTTTAGTATTATGATTATAAAAAGCTATATTCATATAAATGAATTCTCTTACAAAATATAAATTTTCCTTTTAACCCTTAGAATAGATATTTTGTTTTGATTTGAACATAATTTTCTAATCTTGATAGAATAATTCCTTAACTTTATCCGATTTAATTCAAAGGAAAATCTGGTGGGTTTTCCTTTTCAATAAAGGCCTCTGTATCCAAAAAATAATTCTATTCATCCAATTTTTTCAACCCAAATATAATGATTTTAATTTTTTTAGGATTCCTCATTATATAGAAAATATTAATAATTATAATGAATTCCTAATTAAAATTTAAATATTGAATTACATAAACAAACATATAATGGATCTTAATAAATCATTCATCTATAAATATACAAATTCTATTAAAGTCAAGAAGTAATATGTACTTCATTAAATTTAAATTAATGCTTTCTAAATTTATTTGAATTTAGGATATTAAGTCGATAAAAAGTGTAAAATGTAATTAAAAGTATATGTGTTTTGATCTTAAATTTAAATAATTGAAAGTGTTCTTAAAATTATCAAATTAATATTTTTTTATTTATTATTAGATATCAAAAATTCAATTTATTACAATTACTTCTTTTTTCTCTTTTTTTTCTTCACTTTAATAATAAATATAATTCTCTGAGTCAAATTATGTGTCAATACTAAAAAATAGATTAAAATGATTTTATTTTTTGTTCTTTGGTCATTTGCTAAATACTTTCGCATATCAGATTTCCTAATGAACCATTTAAATTTTATCTACAAAATAAATAAAATAGAAAATGAATTAAATAATTGAATTTAGAAACCAATACAATCCATAAAAAGGATTAGTCAACGAATTGAGCAAAAATTAATTTTATAGAGAGTGTGTTCAATACTAAATCTTTTATATTATAATTTATAATATTAATTTATTTTAATGGTTTATTCTATTTTCTTTTTGATTAAATTAAAAAATTTATCTTCCAAAGTTATAACATAAATAATTATTACAAAAATTGAATCTTATCATATTTATTGAAAAAAAAATACAACTTTCAAGCTTTCTCATATTATCATTTAAAAAATATTAAAGATTGTGATTTTATTTAAATCATAAAATATTTTTTAATTAAAATATATGCCAATAGACAAAAAAATCGAAAAAGATAATTATTAATTTGATGGAATTATATGGTATTTTAATTGAAATCCACCAAGAAAACTAAAGACTAAACTATTAATTTGTTATAATGATAATGAATTTATTTACTATTAAAATGTTATATATTACGAATGTGGGTGTTCAGTTGTTAAAAATAAAGATAAAATTATAGAATTATCTCAAAATTCTGAATTTTTTGACCAATAAAGAATAAATAAAGCATTTAAGTTGGATTGGGAAATATGGATAACATATCGACGGGATATTTTATACAGAAAATATAAAAGGAACATTATAACTTGTTGCATACATTAAATTGATTATTTTAAGTGGTTTGGCTCTTATGATGAGGATTGTAGTGGTAATAAAATTGGGTAGTGGATTGAGTTAAGCGATTAGTTTAAGTGGAGATAAGAGGTCACTAATCATAGTTTATATAAAAATAGAAATAAGATTGGCAAGTGTTATATTTCTTATAATAAGGATGATTAAGATAATATATGTGAATTTATGTAAAATTGTCTAAATGTAGAATTTATTTAGTGATGGTCTATCATACCATGAAGGCAGTAATGGCACCAAGATTGAAAAGTGAAATGAATTAAATGATGATTTTGGGCAGAGATTAAAAGTCATTCATAATGGTGAATATGAAAATGGTAATAAAATTTGGTAAACAGAAGGTGTTACTTTTGCAGTTAAATTATATATTTTTGATATTTTTAGTGTATATTTGGTAGTTTGATTATGATTCAAATTAGTCTTGAAGAATGTACTCTATTTTTTTTTAATTTATTTAGATTGGTGATATTCAACACAAAAGATTCAAAGAATATGTTCTTGTTTTTGAGCACAACATTATTTAATAAATGATTATGTCTTTTAATGATAGCCAGAACATTTAAGTTGGAATATCGAAATTATTTATTCAACATAAAATTCAGAATCTAAAAATTTGTAAATCTTTAATATCTTAACATTTTTTGTTTAGCCAATACATAAATTAAATTCATTTGATTTAACTGCCTAATTCATATGTAAATTAAGAATATATTTAAATAATCAGAAATAATTTAAGCCAAAATAGATCTGTGCAATTCTTAAAATTAATTATATTTAGGGTTTATATTGATGTTATTACTGATTATTAAATGAGATTACTACTAACTTGGAGAATTATTGAAGCGAGTATTAATATTTATGCTATTTAATTCAGAAGAATAATGTAAATTAAGAGGAATAATTGATTTAAGTAATTTATTCTTGCTGTATAATTGTTTCAATCTAGCCTAAATATATAAAGAGATTCTTAATTCTAATATTATTACGCTCTTTTTCGTCAAAGCTATATTAATTATTTTGTTAATTAAATATTTATTTATATAAAAATGAATAGTTATTTGAAGAGACTAAACTTAGAAAATAAATAAATCTAATAAAATTACTCTATTTATACAATAATTTCCTCTACCATTAATCATCTATCAAAACCAATACAAAATTAATAATTATACTACACGTTGTTAAATAATAAGAAAATATATTATTAATTCAATAATTTAATAACTATTAAAATATATATATAAAATTGTTATTTATTAAGTTTAATATTAAGAAATTAAATTGAAAAATATAGATGGTTTAAATGTTGCAATTAAGAATTAAAGGATTATTTAACTCTATATATTTATTGAAATTCCTAAGATCATATTTATAATTTAAATTTTATTGCTTAAAAAAAAATTTAACTGATGCTCTAAATCTGAAAAGATTAAATATTCTAATTAATACCTGAGCTAAGATAAATAAAAATATAAATTTTATCACTTAATTCATTCTTTTATTTATTATAATTTGTTGGTTTTATGTTTTAAATCTTTTATTATGTTTTTTTTGGAGTGGCAAATCATAGGTTTGAATATGGATTTGTCGATCACTTTAGCTACAAAGCAAATACAAATTTAATTTTATACTTAAGTTAAACCCCATTTAGAGAAGAAGAATATTTTATTCCTTTTTATTAGTAGTTCACATAAGTACCTGATGTGTACTTAAATATTGTAAAGCTTGATTTGGAATATACATTTCCTTAAGGATATTCGTTAGATATAATCAGTATCAGCACTGTAGGTGATAGCTCTTAATTTATTTTATAGGATTTAAAATAAAGATAGTCTGTGAGAGTCCAGAACGATTTTATCGAGTTGAATTTAACTGGTTTGCATTCGATGATGAAAGAGTCTAAGTTATAAACAATTTTAATATAACTAATCCAAAATCTTCATATATACATACTTACTAAAAAGATTGTAAAATTAATATTGTAATCTCCAATTTTGTTAGTTATTATGCTTTAGGTTCTTAATTTAATAATTTGACTGTATATAAAATATATAATTTAGGGATTAATATTAACACCCGAGACTGTGACTATAAGTTTTTATATAGAAAACCTTAAATAAATTGGATATCAAATATTATTGAGTAGATCAGATATTTTTTTAATTGGCCCAATTATAACAAGCATTTAACCTGATGGATCAAGTTAAGTTGTTAATTTTCCATCTGAATGGGGTATATAAAATTGTTATTTAAATCTTTTGGGATTTAAACATGATGGATCTGATTTAAATATTAGATTATTGGCATTAGTTACATATTCATCTCAAATTACTGTTGGATTTTATCCTTGTAATCAATTATCATTATTTTTAGGGGGTCCAACTATCATTTTATCAATCTAATATAATCATTTTTGTATTAATGATCCATATTTTGAATTAGCTATTTTCAAAGGCTTGATGTAATCTAGATTTTTTGATCCATTAGATTAAATAACTACTCATATTGAAATTTAGGAAATAAACTACTCTTAAAATAATTTTTTTGAAGAATAAGTTAAGATAGCAAAAGAGATTGAATCTATAAAGATTATATTTTATTGGAAATGCTTAGATAAGGAGGTATTAAAGGTAACAATATTTTGTACTGATGAATGGTGTACTTAGACTACAATCAAATGCGATATCAAGAAAATTAATATAGTAAGGTTATAAGCAAAATTTTCATTAAACTAAATTTCAGAGCAATATATTAATATAGCTAAGACTTCAGTTTCACTGTCTGCTTCATAAGTTTTTTAAGATAAAAATTTATTTGAATAAGTGTTATTTAAAATAGAAATATAATGATTAATCATCACAAGTTTAATAATAAATAGTTAATATATTATTCTTCATTATTAGAGGAAATTAAAAATTTTAGATTTAATAAATTGATTTAAAAAAAAAACTAAGGTAAATTAAAATTAATTAATATTATAATATATTTAATTTTTAATTAACTAATTATTAAAATTGATTTAATTTTTATAGTAATAAATATTATTATTCCAATAATTTTAATTTAATTTATGGGATTTGTATAATCTTCAATATTCTAGTTAATAAATAAATTATACGGCACAATATTAGCTTCTTGACAAAAATAAGTTATTGATATCCATGTTCATAACTCACAAAGAAGATTATAAATAACAAAAAAATGACTTACAAATAATAGTTATCAATGTAAGTGTAATTATACTAATACAATTAATGAAGCTTGTATATCTTCTTTATAATTGAATTAAGCATCTTTATAAGAAATTCTAATCGAAAAGTTCGACAAAGTGAAGAAAGCATTTGTTATTTTAATTAAATCAATATCAAAAGAATACCAACCATACTTTATCTTGATATTTTTTGTAATAATATAAGACTATTAAATCCTTTGATTGATTATTTATTTACCAAAAAAGAATAAGTTTTTATGATTCTCAATCATTTGATATTTTATTATCATTAATAATGAAATTCTAAATAATAATGATAAATTCTTCATAATAATGTTACATGATATTATATATATTAAATATAGTTTTGAAATAGTTAATTGAAAATATATAAATTAAAATAATTATATATACATTATTTCATAATACAAAAATAAATAATGATAGATTGGTATTGTAAATGATAATAAAATATAAATCTATTCATTATGGTTTAATTAATATTGTTAAAGGCTCATCGTAAGGATACTTGATCTCTTAATTAGACAAATCAATTGGTTTAACAACTAAATAATTAGATTCTTATAAACTATCACAAACTTATTCTAATTAATCTTTTGTTATTTTTCTTCCTTATTAATGACTTAATTATAAAATTGAATTTCCAAATTATTATTCAAGAATAAATTATATTCTAGAAATTTCATAAAGTATATTATTTAATCTGCATTTTTCTTTTGCTCCTTTTAATAAAGTTAAGTATTTTAATTATATATTTTGATTAGATATTTAAAATTAGTTGATTTCTTCATTAATCATAAATTTATTAATTAGATTAGGCTTTAAAATCTTAAATTCTGGATAATACATAGTAACTATATCATGAAGCAAACCATTTTCAAGTAATTTATTATTGTAATAAAATGCAACATACTACAATAGAAATATGATATCTACTATTGAACCAATTTAAGCAAGAACAGAACCTAATTTAGGCATACTCACTTCTTCAACAATAGATATATTATCAATTCTAAAAAGAAATGTACTTGAAATATTCAAAGCTAAAGTATTTTCAGACATTGATTATATTGCATGAGGTATAAATCTATTATCAACTTCTTAATTAATAATTTCATAATTATTTAAAAACTATTAACTTTTTTCATTCCTAAATAAAATACCATCATCAATTATAGTTTCTTGTTATTTTAACATCACTTGTGTATAAATGGGTCTTTTAGGATCAAATGCTTGATAATATGTTTTTTAAAATGTTTCTAATTTATTATTTTGATAATTTAATTGATTTAATCTAATTGTTATATCTAAGAATCCATGATAAATAGATATATATTCTTAAATTGTATTATCATCAGCACAATAACCATCATCTTATAAATAATCATTTTAACAAGAAGCCAATACCAATAAATATTCTTACATTTCTTCTGTTTGTTCATTTTAGCCTCCATTATTTAAGATCAAAGTACCGTTATTCAAAATTATTGAATAAGGTAGTAATGAGTCACTAAATAGAGCAATAGGTTTATCTTTAATCACACCATTTCTTAGAGTAAATAATAATGGAGTTATTATATTGTTTTAATTTCGAAAAGGATCAACAGATGAAGTAAAGTCCTATAAAGATAAAAAAATTAAGGGTTCAGACCATTTAAATTCAGCATATCCCTTTGTTTATTGTTTTGTGTTAATATTAGGTGGTATATTATTTTCAGTCCACAAAACTAATATATATAAAGAATATGCAAGACTTACACTACCTAAAATAACTGATATTAATCCTCCTATTCTACTCTAGAAATTTGTTCCTTTATTATTTGTAAGGAGTGATATTTAGACTCCAAATAAATCAACATTTTCAATCAATTCAAAAAACTTGTTCATAATAATTAAATGTGGAATTATACATAAAGTGAAAATAAATTATAAACTAAGGTTATACTATAAATAAAATGAGTATATAATGTGTATAAATTTTAAATGAAAAATGATTTATTAAAAGAATGTTATTGAAAACAAGAATATTAATAATAGTAATTATAAATTTATTATATAATAATTATTTTAATTATAAGAACATTTTATAATTAATAATATTTAGAAACTTTTGAAATTCTGATAATTTGAATATCCTAATTCTTTAGCTCTAATACTATGGATAAATATTTAAGAAAATAATATATTGATATTCTTCCTATAAATATACTTTTACTACTTTTATATATATAAGTTTTAAAAAATAAGTAATTATAAGCATTTTTATTGTTTTAGTAATTCTAAGTCAAAACAAATTTAAAATGTCACATAAATAACAATAATTTTATAAATATATTTTATGTAAAAATTTGCTAATTAAAATGTACTAAATAATATTAATCAAGTTTTAACGAATTTCCAAACTCCGTTTCCTTTATGTTCTACTCCAACAAGACTGGCAGTCTAATAGAGGGAAATCCAAAAGTTTTTGGTATCTTGGTAGTACAAATCACCCAATATTTATTTTAGATAGATATTAGCTTCCTGTAAATGATAATATGATAATATACTCTTGCATTGTAATGAGGTAATTCAGAAAAGAGATGATGTAGAACATGAGTAGTACCAGTTTCAAAATGTAAAGCATTAATCCATAAAGGGTAATTTCTATCAATAGTACATAAATTTCCTAAAATAATTTCAACAATATACCTTTTAACCATGTCCAGGCAGATTCATCATAATGAGGAATATTTAAATCATTATGTTACAAGGAAGTGATGATGGTCAACCACATATTGACTACCAAATAGGGACCAATATATAAAGCCATTACTTCAGCAAATGAAGTTGCTAAATACCATTTGTAGAGTTAATAAATAACTAAACATATTCCAACATTTGAAACAGCTACTTTGTGTAATATTTTTTTTGGTAATAATNTGTGTATAAATTTTAAATGAAAAATGATTTATTAAAAGAATGTTATTGAAAACAAGAATATTAATAATAGTAATTATAAATTTATTATATAATAATTATTTTAATTATAAGAACATTTTATAATTAATAATATTTAGAAACTTTTGAAATTCTGATAATTTGAATATCCTAATTCTTTAGCTCTAATACTATGGATAAATATTTAAGAAAATAATATATTGATATTCTTCCTATAAATATACTTTTACTACTTTTATATATATAAGTTTTAAAAAATAAGTAATTATAAGCATTTTTATTGTTTTAGTAATTCTAAGTCAAAACAAATTTAAAATGTCACATAAATAACAATAATTTTATAAATATATTTTATGTAAAAATTTGCTAATTAAAATGTACTAAATAATATTAATCAAGTTTTAACGAATTTCCAAACTCCGTTTCCTTTATGTTCTACTCCAACAAGACTGGCAGTCTAATAGAGGGAAATCCAAAAGTTTTTGGTATCTTGGTAGTACAAATCACCCAATATTTATTTTAGATAGATATTAGCTTCCTGTAAATGATAATATGATAATATACTCTTGCATTGTAATGAGGTAATTCAGAAAAGAGATGATGTAGAACATGAGTAGTACCAGTTTCAAAATGTAAAGCATTAATCCATAAAGGGTAATTTCTATCAATAGTACATAAATTTCCTAAAATAATTTCAACAATATACCTTTTAACCATGTCCAGGCAGATTCATCATAATGAGGAATATTTAAATCATTATGTTACAAGGAAGTGATGATGGTCAACCACATATTGACTACCAAATAGGGACCAATATATAAAGCCATTACTTCAGCAAATGAAGTTGCTAAATACCATTTGTAGAGTTAATAAATAACTAAACATATTCCAACATTTGAAACAGCTACTTTGTGTAATATTTTTTTTGGTAATAATTTGTTTGGTACTATAAGATGACTAGTGAATCCTCTTGCTGATCCTCCTGATACACCTACTAAAAAATAAAGAGGCCATCCTAAAACTGCTATATTAAAAATCTAAATGAAAGTAAAACATTCCTCTCCTAGAATATCTTTCATTTTTTAGTATAACTTTCCCATCTTTGAGTCAATAATGACAGGAGTATGAGCTTCACCTTAAGTTAAATGATTTGTCTTAGCATGATGAACAGAATGAGAATGTTATAATGAAAAATATGGTACTAACAATGCTTGATGTAATAGGAAACCTAAAGCATCATTCAACCATTTGGTATCTGAGAATGCAAAATGACTACATTCATGACCAAGAACCCCTAAATTTAAATAATGATTTTACATATTCCTGTAGCTACAGTTCCTGTTATAAAGGCATATCCAATCCAAATTGGTAGAGCCAACCAATTCAATGGAATATAATTATAAGCAATGTATGTCAGTAACAGTGTATAACTAATTGCTTAGACTACAGAAATTAAAAATCGTAATTCATTTTTCTAAAATAAATGTTGAGGAATAGCCTTCCTGATTTCTATATTTATTAGTATAAATTTACATCCAAGTGTTATTTCAAGTTCCTTTTTACTCATTAATTTTAATGTAAATTTAATTTATTTAAGGCTAAAAATATCTATTTTCAGAATCTCAGAATTCTGAACTACATTTAATTAATATCTCTTAAAATTTGATTAATTAATTAATAAATCAAATATTTATAAATATACATAAATTAATATTTTGGCATAAATTATAAGAAAAAGGATAAATAATAGAATCAATTATCATATATTAATCAAAAGAAATACATTATAAAAATAAAAGTGATCATTTCATGATCAAAATCTTTAAACTTATTTTTATCTTTCTATTTTAGTTATCTTCCTTTATGTGTTATTTCCAAAAATGATCTATTTTTAAACAAATATAATTTAATTTTCTTTACTTATATAAAATACTTTTCATAATTTGAAAAAAATTTCAATTCAATCCTTCCAAGTTTTTTTTATTTTTAGAAAGAGATCTTATAATAAAATACATTCACAAAAAATTTTTATCATTGTACATAATTAGTATAACTATTTAATTATATACATAAAAATATTATAGAAAATAAATATAATGTAAATTTTTATTAATAATTAGTTTTCTTTTATAATAATTCCTATAAAAATAAATTTGCTCCCTAACTTCGATTACAAATCTTTAATGATAATTTATTTATCTCTTTCAATATATTTTTAATAATATTATAATTAGTATTCTTAGCATTCTTAGTTAATTCCTATAATAGCATTATATTAAAAATGATAAATATTTTGATTCTCTTATCTTGAATGTCTCTCTGTTCAAGTTTTGAGTCTTAAAGGTTTATTAATCAAAGCTTTCATTTGAGGATGATTATTTAAATTATAATCTAAAACTTTAAAGAAATCCTGAAGACTAATTAAAAATATATGAGTCATTAAAATAATAATATAATAGATTACTAAATAAGAAACTAGTTAGAAAGAAAAAAATAAATCTAAATAATCCACCCTAGCAAAAGAAGATCGAAATTCAATATGATAAAAATTTACTTTGAATAAAAGAAATACACGACTGCCATTAAGATATACAAAAAGGCTTTGATTTTAATTCCTGGCTCATTAAATAAATCAGAATTAAAATCTAAATGAACAATAGTCATTTATAAGTATGTTTTGGAAAAACAAAAATGAAATATAAGATATATATAATAATTGATTTGAAAGGTATTGTTATTCAATAATTAAAATTCTTTAATTCCAGTTCAATATTTAAGAATCTATTTATATTTCAGGATTTTTTTAATGATAAAATTTTCGGTTAATATGCTGATTATAAATCTAAAATTTTAAAAGGAAAAATTTTAAAAGCTGAAGATTGAATTAAAATTTAAATTAGTTTATCAAAATGGAATAGAGATTGAATACCTCTTTTCTTGATCAAAAATCATATATATCACCTAGTTTAGCTAACTACCATTAGCATGATGATTGCTGTCAGTTATTTGAAAACTTTATTAAAATAAATATCACCTAATCAAATGCTTAACCTTATGATCCAAAATGTTTTATAATATATATATATTAGGTTTTACAAAATAGTATAATGTCATAGTAGAAGGAGTTGTTTTTAATATACTCAGTTCGAGTGATATTGAGAATCAATTTATAAAAGAAAAAATAGAATCAGAAGAATGATATTATATTTTAAAAGTTCATAATGAATTATTATTAGTGATAATCATATATTCCTATTTGTCAAAGAAAGGTATATTTCATTTGAGAAAACTCTTTTGAGAATAAAATGAATTCTTAGAATATTCTTAAAATAAATGAATTTTCATCAAAAACTTAGGTTTTTATTCATTATTATTATTCGATATTATACAATTCAATTTTCTAATAAATTCTTATGATTGATATTAATAATTAAATAGACTTCCTCAAATTAAAAAGACTCAAATTAACAAAAAGATATATTAAAATTTAAATATCAATAAACCTTTAATATATATTCCATTGATCCCAAATTTTGTTTACTTTTGGAACAAATAAGCAATTTTAATTGATGTTTATAGAAGAATAAAATAAAAATCTTATTTAAGACAATTATTATTAATAAAAATGATAATATTCTAATAGAATATATTTAATATTAAATTTGACTAAATAAAATAGTTTTCTTATCTCTCAAATTTAGAATAGAATACAAAATAGTGTTAAATAAAAGAATCTATATTAGTATTATTTCTATTATATTTATAAGTGTACATCTTTAACAAATATATATATAGAATTAAATTTTTCATAAATATTTGTTGATGGAATACTTATTTTAATTGATATACAAATAATGTAAATTATTAACTATTCCAAATCAAATTGAAACTTATGCAGCGATAAATTACGAATAAATAAGAGATCCTGATTAAATTAAAATAAAGGCTAAGGATTAATCTGTAGAATTATGAAGGATGCAATGATACTTGTAAAGATGAAAAGAATAGGAAATTCTAATCGGAAAATAATATTAGTCATGTATTCAATCTGATTATAATTACTAAATTTAGATAATTAAGTATATATTTTTAAATTTGTTCAAGAATATTAAATTCTATAAAATCATTATAACACTAATTAGAAGTATTCATAATTGTTGTTTCAATTCTCTTTCTCAATAGATTATTTAATTAAACTTATAGTTAAAAAATTAATTCAATACTTTTATGCCAAGCAATATTCCTTTTTTCTATAGATTTATATATAAGTAAAATTTAAATTTAATGCAATTTTAATTACTCAAAATAATAACATATATATAATATATAAATATATAGTCTTCATATCATCAAATAAGAGGTCTTAGAAGTTTTAGTTATTTAGAATTGAAAATTTTACTAAAATCAATATTGATTCTATATGAGGTTTCATTAAAACTTTCATTAATCAAAATTGATTTTGGAAACAATAATCAATTACAAAATAACTAAGATTTTTAACACCTCTGCTTAATTTTGATTTATCGTCTTTCTAAATAGGAATTCAAATTGGACCTATGTTTCAATCATATTGAATACCTTTATTGTTACAGGCATTTTTATTTTGATTTAATATTTTGCCTTCCCTTAATGTTTTGATGGGTAATCCTAAATTTAAATAATTACATACCAGAGCTTAATAAAAATTCCACCTTTATTAAAATATGCATTTGATTGGATCAATAGCTAATGCTTTCTTTAATTTAATTTGATAAATACATCTTAGATAGCTATTCTTTCAGCCAAACCAAATATTTTCTTCCACAGAAAATGGAGAAATATTAAATTAAAAAATAATAATAAAAGTGTTACCACAATTTAAAAATGGTTTTTAATTTAGATTATTTGAATTAATAAAACAAATAATGATATTATTATTTCTTATAAGATAATTAATTAAAAGGTTCATTAATATATTTATATATCATTTTTGATTAAATTTAGAATCCTGTTTGATATTAATCTCATTCTACAATTTTATAAAACCTCTTAGACATAATTATTCTTATTGATTCCATGATATTTATATAAGAAATGAAATAAGGGTTCAGAACCTAGATTATTTGGATCATAAAATAAAATAAATAATTAGAATGAAAATTTAGATAAAAATATTAATATTATGATTCTCTAAAATCATTATAAGGTAGGTCTATGAAAAGAAATGAGAGTTTCTATTATATATTCAAATGTTTTGTATTTAGACTAATGGAGATAATTATTTAAGTTTACTAAGAATTTTGAACATTTTTAAAGATTTAAGATATATGGTAAAACTAAAGTACAAGATCACTTTTTACAACTATCCATTTAATCACCTTAACATATATTCCTTTTATAAATCTAATTTTTAAATAGTCATAACATAGTTGATAGAATTAGGAAATTTGTCTATAGATGGGAGAGAAAGATCAAAGATAAAGATTCGACATCTATTGAATTATTGCATACAAATAAATAATGATTGTTTTATAAGTTTTATACTTAATTTAAGTGATGATTATTTAAATCACAATTGTAAATAAAAACCTAAAATATCAATTTTGTATAATATAAATTTAGAACATTTTAAAAGAAAGTATGTTAAATAGTATACCAATTATAATGATATGAATAATTTAAACAGAAATTTTTATTGTTTAATAATCTTTAATATCTAATTAAGAAAACATAATGTTGGAAAAAAAACACTGGAGTACTAATTACTTAAAAAGCTAATATGATGTTGCAGTAAATATTAGGAGAGGATGATGAAAAAGTATTTTTGCAATCTTCAACTTGTAAACAGAGTTGAAAATAGATGATATTAAATTTTCTGAAAATCCTTAATTAACTCAAATTTAATTTATTTCAAAATCAAAAATAATAATGAAATAATATCAACACCTAATTTCGGTAAAAAGATTTGGGTTTGCAGTTTAATTTTTTTAATCCAATTCCAAGTTAGATTTTCTATTTTTAAAATAGTATTGAATTTTTTAGTAGAATTTTATTATACATCTTACAAGAGGACCTGTTAATCCAAAAATTAAGAACCCTATTTAAATAAAACCCAAAATAAAGTATTAATCAATTGTTAAGTATCTATAAAATTCCAAACAATATGCTAAACTTGATAGTGTAAATATCATTACTGGTGCATCTTACCAAATGATATTAATTAATTCTGCATTTTGATAAAGAAACTCAATCGTATTAATAAAAAATAAATAAGTAAAAATTAAAACTGCCAACATTATACATTAAAATATTGGTTGATCTTACATTCCAATTAGAATCATTAGGAACATAAATTTTTTAAATAATAAAATTGCTTCAAATTAATTTTATCTTATTTTTTTCAATGCTATATTGAGATTATATCCTCTAAAATATTATGTTAAAAATGATATGACTAAAATTATAAATCCATAACTGAGAATATAAGAAAAAATAGATCTAACTGTAGTTTCCTTGTTAGAAACTAAATATAGTAAAATCTTAAATAATAAATCCCAACTATTGACTAAAAGGAAGTTATAGAAAAAAAATTTGCTGAAAAAGAATGGTTATTTAATTAGATTTTAAGTCAGATTCAAAATAAAAATAGCTATTTTTTTCAATATATTTGATTGATTTAGGGTTTTAAGGTTTAAAAACCGTAAGAGGTTATGAGAATTATAATATGACTTTTTGAGCTATCTAAGAAATATATTAATAGTAATAATTAATAACAATTGAGTAATAAATCCATACATATTATTAAGAAGATCTGCATTGATATTGTAATATTTAAATTTACCTACACTTTCGCAATGATTGAATCCAAGTGTATTATCAAATAAATCTAATAAGTATAATTTATTAAAAAGAGTTTTTATTGTTACAAAATTTGAAGATTCAAAAAAAATTTCGACATTTTGAGGGAAGGGTACATTAATAAACTTCAAATTTGATTGAAATTATAAAATATCCAAAATCTCTGTAAAATTTTTAATATCACCCAAAATAAACATTATAAATGCACATATACATAATCCAATTAGCATCCAAAAGCTTAATGTTTTAAGATTAATTGCTGTTTATAATTATGATTCAGTTAAAATTCTGTGAGATTAAAGTACAATCTATTATTCATTACTAATAACTTAGAAATAATTTTAATCTAAAATATCATCTTTTAATGAAACCCTTAAAATAGGTTAATAATCAATTGAGTGAAAAAATGTTATTTAGAAAATAAGTATTAAATCAAAAAAATTATAATCCTAAATCTCATATATTTAAAATATCTGTAATTCATATTGATTATATGTTAAATTATCTATTTTGTATATAATTCTTGTTGTGTAATTTTCAATATAGTTTTTGAAGATCAATTTATTTGAAAATGACATTTAAACATACTCAATATATCTAGTGTAATTCAAATTGGATAAAGTAAAATATGTTTAAGGATAGCAACGGCTTGACTAAATATATTTTCTACAATTCCATAAATTTTCTACTAAACAAGAAATAGAACATCCATCAAAATCTAATTAGTTAAAATCATCACAAGGCTCATATTTTTATATAATCCCATCTCCACAATATTTTAAAGATTATAATTATTCATTTTCATCTTAATTTTCAATCTCCTCTTGATTTTCATTTAAATTCATACAAAAATTATCAAAGATTATATATCCTTTATTACATTATAAACAGATTCCTAATTAACATATTTCACAGTTTTATATACATGAATATTTACATTAATAACATCCATCATAAGGTTTGTCATTTAAATCTTCACACTCCTCTAAATCTTATATAATAATTCCATCTCCACAATTTGGAAGACATTAATTATCTTATAAAATGAAATATTATTAACAAAATAAACAAGTAGTTTAATTTGAACAAAAATAACAATAAGGTATGCATTCAAATTAACATTAATAACAACCATCATTATCATTATAATTTCCATCATCACACAATTCTATAGAATTAATAGCAACTTATTCATCTCCACAAAATTTATTACATTCATTATTTTCAAGTTTCCACCCATCAATACATTAGTAACAATTATTATCTATGCATAATTTACACTCTAATTAACAACTTTATTAACATTATTAATTACTATCCCATTCTCTGCTACTCTAGTATTGAAAAATTCCATTTAAGATTTTTACATCATTAAAGCAAATTGAATTACATTGTTTTTTATTTGAAGATAATTAATAATTTACATTACATTCCAAACATTTTCCAAATTCACAGATCCTACAATTTTAGGGACAAGAATGTTTACATTAATAACAACCATCATAAAGTATATTATTACCATCATCGCATTCTTCATTAAAAGTAATTATGAGATCACCGCAAATCGGAATACATAGGTATTCTTTCTCAAAATATTCCCAACCTACTTTACAATCCAAACATAATCCTCTAACACAATTACTACAACCTTCTATACAATCAAAGTTTTTTTAAAAACATCCATCATATGGTAAGAGATTATCATCATTACAAGGATATTCAAATAAAGAAGATTTTAGAAATAGTTGAAAATCTCGAATCGCAAAATATAATGAGAAAGTAGGTTCTTATTTGGTTAATTAAAGAGAGATAGAGATTTTGGCTTTATCATTAATGTGAGGATATTAATGGATGCTTATTGATTTTTAAGATCTATATCCATAACCATTCTTATATTTTATCCAACCCTCTGTATATTATGTTCTTGATATTAGAACATCATCAATTTCAATATTGATTTCTGTTGGATTTGAATTATAAATAAGCACTTTAATTTATATACTTATTGCTTGATGAGGAATTAATTCAATTTCATTTATTAGATGATTTGCATTTGGTTAAAGAAATTTGGCCTCTATTATAGAAATAAAAATTACAGAGAAACGTCTAAATTGTAGTCTAAATTTAATTATTTGTTAACCAACCCTCAGATGAATTAACTACTAATTGTTATACTAATGTAGAAAAATGTAGGAATTAATCTAAACATTGATTTTCTATACAAGATTCACAATCTACTGGACATAATTTGGCTTCTAAAATCATTTAAGATATTCCCCAAATTCCTCTTTCTACAACTAACATAACTGTAATAGATGTCATTGTATGAGGAATAGTAATTGATATTGGATATAATTCATCATTATAAAGTGAATTTCTACATATATTTTAATTACTAGTTATGTGGGAATATTAATTTGAGTGTACTCTTTAATAATCTAAATAAACATCAAAGTCATAATCATTCCATTCATCAATTCTAATATTGTGTAAGATGTATTACCTCCAAAAAATAAATGTAAGTTTAATTTGGTAATGAGGTTATAACCTGAGAGTTTTAAATACTATTTAATTGTAATCATTCAAAGAGCATTAATTAATAACTAATATCGTTTCTAAGCCACATAATTCATATTAAAATGAACAACAGGAACAAATTGTATCCCATTGTATACTGTTTAAGTCTAAAAATATTATCAATTAATACTTTGGGTTTAGCTACTAATCCAATAATAACTTTAAAAACTAGCTTTTGATTAATTTAAGATGAGAATCAGTAGTAAAATTTGTTTAAATTTAGATATCATAGATCTAGAAAGGATAAAATATATCATTTATCTGATTCAATTTAATTAAAAATATTAATACAAATTAAATAGCCAAATTTGAATTCAAATACATTAATCTAAACAGGCAAATATGTTATAATTATAGAGAAGGAGACAATAGCAACAATAGAACTAATATTTGTAAAATACACTAAAATTTGATTACGTAATTTTATTACAAAAATGATGTCTTTCATTTATTAAAAATTAAAAAAATATAATTCAATCATTGATCTATGGCAATTATTTTAATGAATTGGCCCTTTTTTTGTATGATTCTTAATATATAACTTTCACATAATAAATTCTTATCTTGGGATAGACATAAGAATAAGGATATCAAAATAATTTTTTCATTTCCTACATATACCCTGATTTGTACATCTAAAGACAATTAAGAAGCAAAGGAAAACAAGATTATATAATTAGAATTTACCCATTAATAGATAATTAGATTGATAAGATTGATAATTTATAGAAAAAAATAGCGAAATTAACTGTCTCTTTCAATTTTATATAACTTTAGAAAGCATGATATTGATAATATTGCTTTTCAAGTGTTTTAGAAAACATAATAATAATCTGTTATGCTCTTCATTGGTTAATTTGATTAATTAATTACAAATTTGTTAATAGCAATAATTATAATGAAGTTGGTTAATATTTCATAAATTCATTCAAATTATATTTAAAAAAAGATAGAAAAGTATTTACAATATTTGAATATCGTTTCTTTTATACTACTTTCTTCGATAATATCTCATCAAAGTGATCAAAAAAAAAGATAAATTATTAACTATTTTAAACTTTAATAAAAGTATTTATTCTTGATGAATATATTATTTTAGAATAATTAAAAATATTAAATAGCAAACTCTTTCTTAGTAATTTTTTATTGTCTTATCTTTTTAAGACTATATAAGTTCAATTCATTTGATTTATTTTTTTAAATTATGAATTAAAAAAAATGTAAATATTCTCAAAAATACTTATTATAAAATTTTATTCTCAAAATAATCTTCTATTTATTATTCTTGTTTTCTCAATAATTTTCTCATTTTCCTAGCTTTCTCTTCCTGACCATTTTAATGTAAAGAGATTCGTTATGAGTTTTTAGAAACCTAAATTTTTAAATAATTAATCTTTCCAATTTTGAAGTTTGATTAAAAAATAATGTTATTCCTTGCCTTACTAACTTCATTAATTATATCATAGAATTTTGTTGAATTCATTGATCTGTAAAATCATTACATCCAAATATTTACTCAATTATTTTTCTCATTTATTAATGACTAAATTTTGAATTAAGTTCAAAAAGAATAAAAAAATATTAAAATTTTAAGGATTTGTTTTTGCCAATTAAATTCAAATCTAGAATTGATATATAATTTATATAGAAGAAGTATATTTTTATGAGAATTTAAAATCAGTTATTGATGATATAAAAGAGAATAATCAATTATGTTAAAGATGATTTCAGGTAATTAAAAATAAAATATTCTATGTGAAGATAATATTACATTATTTTACAACATAAAACCTTAATTTTCCATATTATGTGAAATTCAAATTTTCAATATTAATATGATGGGCAAATAATAAACATATATAAATAAATAAAATTATTATCTTTAGAATTACAATTTTTAAAGTCTTTTTTTTAATCAAGAGAATCCTTCATAATTCCTAATATTTAAAGGATATGTTTAAAGAATGCTAATCAATCTTAATGCCGTTATCTTCTTTAATTTAAAGACCAAATGAAAAATTTATTATTATTAATGTCTTAGGACGAGCAACACATATTTTAGACAAATTAGTCTTTAAATTTTTTTGGGAATTAAACTCAAATTCATCAAATCATAATCAAATTTGATTTCAATCATCACCTAACTTAAATTTTATTTTGGATTCATTTTAACTTAATAATTATTATAAAGTAATATTTTTGAGAAAATATATACTTTGCTCTCAATAATGTGATATTTAGCATATTGTTAATTGTTACTTAAAAATAAACTCCCTAACTTTAAATTCAATATGATAAGATTATTGTTGTCAATCAAATTTTTCCTCAAAAATGTACTATAAAAAAAGAATTCCATAAAGTACTAACTTAATATGCTGAAATGAAAATACTTTAGCTGATATCAATTTCTCATCCGAATAATAAGAAAGCGTTTAAACTCTTCATATGAACAGTATATTGGATATATTTAAATACATATTTTAACAATATACTTCTTCATAAATAGTGGTTGATCAATAGTCCTTACTTTACATTCAACCTACTATCATAAAATAAATTAGTATTCTTTCGTCAAAATGAAATTTCAAAGAGAACTCAAGTCTATATCATATCAATTACTCTTAAGGATCTAAGCAAATAGTCTTCTTAAAAATTAATCCATAAATCGTTTGAGTACAGGTCATGTATCATGGTAAGAAAATCTATAACCAATAATAATACATATTAAACAACTGTATTAAATAATTTAATATTAATTTGTTCTGATTTTGTTAAAATTTTGTGAATATATTTTACGATCATCAAAAATAAAAGATTGAGGAGTATATCTCTAATTTATTTGATTTTTAATGAGATATATCATATCAATTTTTGTTAATAATTTATGGGCATTAAATCAAAATACCTTTATAGATGGAAATAAACAATCGATTGTATGATTCAACCTTAAAAATGAGAAGAATTTGATAGTATAATTTTTAACCATACAAATTTAAAAGAATTATTTAATTAATTACATTTATTAATTTAATAATAATAGTATAAATAAAATTTCGGATAAAATTAATTAAATATTCAAAAATGCACTCTATTTAAATATATTTGTGCTATCAGCTATTTTTATTATGATTTTGAAAATAACAAGAATATATCAGAGCTGTCAAATAATGATAAGAAATACTTTAATTATATATATTAAGTTTAAAATTATTTCTGTATATCTTATGGTGGAATACTAATATATTTTAGAAATATTCTGTATTAATTTCCAAAAGATGAATAATATCAAAGAAATTAGATTTAAATTTAATATTAACTAGAATTGATCATCTAAAATAAATGATTTCTGCTTTTCAGCTTATAAATACAATTAAACTAAGCAAATTAAATCTATTAAATTTTTTCATCAGTTTATTTTTTTTTCTTTATTTAATTTTAAATATATTATTATTATAAAGAAATAATTGTATAAAATCAATAGATTGAAGGTGTGTTTGTAATGATGAAAAATGCTTTCCATAGTTATTTAGATAATATTATCTTTATCTATACATCACAGAGTTAATATACACTTCTTAATGTAGTTAAACTTTTTTTAATTTAAAGTTTGATGATATTTTTAGAATTTTATATTTTATTAAACTCGCCATTAAATTGAGTGAAGTGATCCTTAATTACGGATTTCATTTAGGTCTATTAAAATTTACGATTCTATTCTTCTATTTCTTTAATAAAGTTGGCTATATGTTAAATAATTTTTTCAAATTTAAACATATCAAAAAGCAATAGCTGATTATCAAAAAATTAAGAACATATATGCATTAAGTAATTGGAGATGTAAAACCTTTATTTTATCTTAAAGGATTTTGAATCAATATGTCAATTATTAATATGAATTATTAAGTAGCTTTAAAAAAATTTAATTGATGTAGGTAATGTTAATACAGCTTCTAAGAATCTCATTGATTTAAAATCAATGATTTTTCATATGAAAATAGAGTCTTAAAAAAATTAAAGTCATTAATCAACCAACTAATACTAGTTTGAGTAATTAATGATATAACTACTTAGGTAGATGAAAAACATAATCAATTATTGATATCAAAAAAAAAATGAATGACACATTTATTTGATTTATATGATCATTGAAGCAACTTAAGTTAAATCAAATTAAAATATATAGTGAGATTAGGAGAAAAAAAAACAATTGTTATAATAGAGATTCAGACAAAAATACCATATATATAAAAATATTCAAAAACAGAGATTTTTTCTATAAATATATATTTACTTCGATCATTGGAATAATAAATGAGAATTTTGGGTTAAAAAGATGTCTAGTAAAAATGTTATTAATTTAAGTATTATATTTATGAGCTCCAAGTTTAATCCTCTCTATAATATTTTGCAGATTATATCCGTCTCCAAGATTTTAAATGAATCCTGAATAAAGGAATATCATAAAGTGCCTTAATTAGATGCCTAGATTTATATCCTATCCTACCCTACAAAGAGCGAACCTTGATAGGCTTTATTTAATACGTCTTCAAAATATTTAGAATTAGATCATTTTGGGGAAAAAATTCATTCTATTCTATTTTATTTTCTATAAATATTTAAAATTACTTTGGATTTATTTTTAAATTTTATTAATAATATATATTTAGATATGGCAAAATATTCATTAAGAGGAGGAGGATGTTCCCCTTCTGGGATTAATAAAATGAAATCTAAAATTTTTATAGAAGAAAATCAAGATTTATATGATTTCTTCTAAAAATTTAATCATTTTGTCAATATAATAGACTCTAAGGCTTCTTTAGTAGCTAATTAATAAGAATAATAATAGATAATGATAGCCATATAATGGTTTAAATTTTAAGAGGAAAACATTTATAACCTTAATAAGAATTCGTAAAGTGTCAATAAATCTTATGATTTAATTTTAGATGGAATCAGAAGACTATTAAAAAGTTGTTTAATATATATTAAAGCTGATTCTTTTAAATGTTTAAACATATTATAAATAACGGCTTCTTTATCCAAAGTAATATTTAGCTTCCATATAATGAATAAAAAAAGGTACATGACATTTGATTTATAAAATTAATTTCTTGAAATTTCAGATGAGTTAAAAAAATAAATGGAAATAGAAAAGAATGATTTGATTTAGAATCAAATGGAACTTTTTCTTTTATTAACGAAAGCTTCTTTTGAGATGGCTCCAAATAATCATAATGAATAATAAGAAATTTTACAAGGCTGTTTAAGAAATATTATCAAGTCTATTTTAGAAATGAAGCCAAATATTGATTTACTTTAATCATTATTTTAAGGAGCCTGCCTCTTATAAAAGATCTGTAATATAAATTAAAAGAGAAAATAGTATGAGGTATATTATTAAATAGATATGTTATAATGGGAGATTATAACATATTTTAAGAATGAAAAATAAAATAATCTTGAAGAAATAATATAATAATTAGAGACTATTTATGATAAATTAGTTAAAAGTTCATATAATTGGAACGATCATTATTGTTGGATTTAAATGTTAGAGAAAATTTTAGTGTACAATCCTCTTTTAAGAATAGAAAAATTAGATTTGCAAATTAAGAATCTTAATTTAGATCCTAGTCCAGTAAGTTTAATTTGGAAGGAATACGAAAAAAAGGGAATTCTATATTAAATTAATCATAGCAATAATTAGGCTCTTATCTTGATTAATTAATTAAAAGATAAATAATTAATTTATACTGAAAGATTAATATTAGAATCATTTTACTAAGGATGGTAAAATTTTATTTTTTTAAAAGAATTTTTAATGGATAATTAATATTCAAATAAACCTTTTACATTTGGATCTTATTTAAATTGCAAATTAGATTTAGATAAAGAAAATATTCATAAAAATGAAGATTATGTGGCTATGGATAAGCTCTAAAAGCTATTAAGTCTTATTATTTCACATAAATTACTAAATTCAATATAATAGAATCAAGAAAAACTAGAAATAGTAATTAAAATGTTTAGAAATTTAATTAAAAGAAATAATAATAATATAAGGATTAGTGAAATCACTTGTAAATAACAATTTAAAAAAATTATCTTTAATTTAGGAGAATATCTATAAAACACATTGCATATTATTAAAATTCTTAGTCTTACTTAGAATTAATAAAAGCATTTTGGCCTTATATAATAACTTTAATCGTAAAAGTCCTAAATTAAACTTAATTCAGTAGAGTAACTTAAATATTTGATGAAACTTTTAGAAAATAATCTATAATTATTCACTTAAGAATTTTAAGAAAAATCTATTCATTAAAAAGCTGAACAACAATAAGAATATAATAAAATTGATGATATTAAACTATTTTAAAAATAGAAAACATATATTTATAATTAATTAACAAAAATTTAAGATTTAAAAGATAAAACATAATAGATAGTTAAACCTTTGAATATGTAACTTATTGCCTTAACTAATTCTCCATAGAAGAATACAGCTCTATCTATTATAAAATTTATTGAAAATTCTCAAAAAGAAATCAAAAAGCTTTAAAATGATGAAATAAAAGAAAAAGACTTATTTAAATAGTTTTAGGATTTATTGAATTATCTTTTGTTTTATTATGAGAGGAAAAGTGAAAAACTCAATTTTTAACAATCTAATACAGTTTTCGAGGTAATTTAGGTAATTATGACTTTAAATAATTAAATTAATGATACTGTTTAAACTAATGAAATTTCATAGAATATTCAAGAACTTTTTACTACAAGCCTAATTTTGGAAAAATTTGAAATGATGAGATTTGAAATGCTAAAATTTAAACCAAAATTAATTGTTATTTAGGAGTTCTTCTAAAATATAATAAAATTAGCTGAACCAGAAATTATATAAAAGATATCAGTAAATATTAATCTGGATGAATTTCTCCTTGAAGTAATTAAGAAATATCCTGAAAAAATTATTATCTAGATGTAATATATAAAATAATAACATCTCAAAAATTAAAAGTATTAAAATATCAAATGATGACTTTAAAAATAATTTATCAAATTAAAAATAAATAATTGAATTTTTATTATTCAAGTTAAATATTGAAGAATTAATAAATGATTCTGAAAGGTAAGATTTATAATTAATTGAGAAGCATTTCGGAGAATTGTTCATTGAATAATCTTCTCTACCTTTACATGTAGAAAAACTAGATTAAATTATTGAAGGATTATAAATTGATGATACAATAAATAAAATAACTAATGAAAATTTTAATCAAAAACAATTGAAATTAGAGGAAGATAAGTTCTAGAATTTTTTGAATTAATTGATATTAATTAGAGAATCTAGTTAGGATTCAAATTAATAGATAATTGAAATAGAAATATTAATTAAAAAAGCAGAAGTGGTTGTTGAAACATTTCTAAATTGCGAAAATCAAAATATAGAAATTTTTAAAATACCATTATGTGAGGAGATATGTGATTTACAAAAAATAATTGAAAATTGCAAGAAAAATAAAGATAAGTAAGATAATGAAAAATAAAATATTTATCACGAAAGTCATTTAAATAAATTAAATATATTAAATAATACAAGTGATTTAGATTAATTTGTTAAAAAAGATCAAATCGATGATATTTATTATCAAAAACTTAAGAAATTTAACAATTACTTTGATGAAAAATATATTACAAATTTAAAATTTATAATTAAAATTGTAAAACTATATTAAATTAAAATAAAAGAAGAAAAATAAGTTTTACATGAATTGCTTGAAGAAATTCAAAAATTTACTAGCAAAATTGATTTTATGAAAAAATATGAAGGAACTATTTATAACAAAATGCAACAAAGTTTTATTGCTTGCTTTGAAAAAATGATCAATAATTTTGAATAAAAGTATTGGCCAATAAATAGTATATCATTACAAAAAAATGAAAATTAATAAATATACTTTGAAAGAATATTTGCAAATTTTTATTCAATAATTAATGAATATGAAAAAATAAAAAATTTGACTGATGATTTAAAATATCCTGCTCTGTGTTCATAAATTGATCAAGGTGCTATTCAGAAATTAGAGGCTAAATTTTAAGGTAAAGCAAGAGAGAAAAGTTTCAGATCACAACAAATTTAAATTAAATAAGAAATTCTTATATAAACAGTATCTAAAATATATTTGATACACAATTTAGAATAAGAATTTGAAAAAGACCCTAACCAATAAATAGGCTTATTTAAAACTTTGATACAAAAATATAAAGATTTAAAAAATAATGATGAATGGAAGATTAAATAAGGATTAGTTTTTTCAATCATATCGATTTCATCCAATTGTTTCACAGATACCATTATTTAGTTCTGCTAAAAGGCCCTTATTTAAATATGGATTTAAGAAAAAGATGAAAGAATTAGAAATTTGTTAAAAAATTAAAACTTAATAACTAGTTAAATCTAAATTTTAAAGAAAGATTGGAAGACATAATGTGATAGAATTTCAGGAGAAATGTAATAATTGCTTCATAAAATTGATGATTTGTAAGAATAAATTTCTCATGAGTATAATCTAAAAAAACGAGATTAATAACTTTAAGAAGTAGATGAAACAACTTAATAATTGAATGAATATATTGAAAATATTAGCGAAATGGGTTAACAACTTGATTTGATTCATAATTTTGTAAGCAATATCAGATAGGGATTAAAAAGAATAGAGGGAAAAATAAATTAGATAAAAATGTAATTGAATAATATGGATAATGACATTAAATTTTTGAGAGGAAAATCAGTTGAATAACTGCTTGAAATTAGAAAATGGAAAGTATTGGACGAAGCAGCATATAAAAAAATTAAGTCTATCTATGTTCCATTAAAAACTTAAGAGAAAATGAAAGAGAATATAAAAAATTTGATGAGTTTAGAAGAATTTGATAATAAAGTTGGAGCAGTGGATGAGTTTTTATAATAAGAGAAAACAGTGTTGTTAATTCATGGTATGGCTGGATCAGGTAAAACTACTGCAGCAAAAAAAATAGAAGAGTTAATTTGGAAATTACATGAAAATAATAGAAAAATCAATAAGCTATAGCTCATACCAATATATATTTTATTGCCTTCTTTGAAAAATCCTGTTTTTTCAGCTGTTGAGGAGGCACTTTAAAATGATTATGGTTTTGACCAGCTCTAATTGAAGGAATGTAAAGAAATGCTGGAGAAGAAATAATTCAGATTTTTATTAATAATGGATAGTTATGATGAGATGAAGTTAGAGAACATATAAAAAAATTTATACATAAATAATAAAATTAATTAGAATTGGACTAACCCACTTGTTATTTTTACCACAAGAAGTGAAATTCTTACAAATAGTAATTATGCATAATGGTTTGCACCTGATGATTAAGAAAAATTGAAAGAAATCTAGATTCTAAAATTTGACTAAGTGTAAAAGCAAGAATATCTTTAAAAATACACGATTTAAAGTATAAAAATGTTGATTTTTGAAATATATGAATGGTAAATTCAAGTTTAAAACAGAGAAGTTATTGATATCAATAAGTTTGAAATGTGTTGGGAAAAATTATAGTCATCAATTTTGAAATACGATTTATCAATGTCGAAATCTGAAACTCTTTTAAATCAAAAATAAATAGAAAGCATTTTATTATATTTGAATGATGATGAATTCATTGCTTTAAAAAGTAATGAAGCTATAAGAAGCCTTAGGATAAATTTACAAAAACTATGGAGCGTTGAAAAATATGACAATATGATGTAGCAGATGAATTTAAATAAATTTATGGAAACTCCTTATATGATGGAAATTATAGTATAAGTGTTGCCAGAAATGATGGTGAAAGCGGCTGAGATAGTTAATTTAAAATAAAATTTCATAAAGAATTTTTCAAAAATGTTTAAAGATTTCTTCAAAAGCAAAAGTATGATTCATTTATATAATTAACAAAAGAAAAATTATCTAATAAAAGTAAGTAATGAAGTTGAAAAAGAAACTTGCCAAGAAAATTTTTTTGATTAGAACAAAAAATGGGAAGTTTTATAGGTTCAAGATTGTTTTGACTCTACTTCAACAGGTTTGTAAATTTGGGAAAAAATTGATAATCTTTAGATTGCTCTAGAGGTTTGGAATAGGATGGAAGAAAATTCAATTCCTAGTTAATTATAGATTTCTAGTGAATTCAACGAACTAAGTTAAAAACTTTTATAGATTTTTAAACTTAATCGAGGGCTACCAATTAATGAATTAAATAAAGTTGAAATTAAAAAGGAAAATCTAATTTAATTAGTTTTTGATGCCTTAAAAGAATAAAATCTCACAAATTATGATTTTTATGATGAGTTTATTAATATGTACCATTTGAAACAAATTGAAAAATAGAGAAGCTTAAGAAAATCTATAAATATTGATCGATTTCTTCATGATTTAAAATAATATTCAATTAAACTTGCAAAAACAATGAGCAAAAAATTAGTGACTTAAGTCTAATATTAATAATAAGGTTTATTATATAAGGATGAAAGAGAAGAAGAAAAATGGCTAAATGAATTTTTTAATGATGATGGGTAATACGGATCATATAAAAAGGATATAAGAAGTTGCTCATTGATCTAATAAAAAGGTACAAACTTTTAATTTGTCCATAAATCTATATAAGAGTTCTTAATTGCAGCCGATTTATACGAAGTACTAGTTTTATCAAAAGATTTTGATATTAAAATATTCAGATCGATAATTGAAATTTTGACAAAATAAAGATACAAAGAATAAAATTGTGAAGAATTCCTATCATCTCAAGAGCATTTCGAAATTTATATAAATGTAGATAATTTATCACTTTTTGAAAGGCAATAAAAATTTAATACTTGGTAAAAGAGCATTATGTCAATTATAAATCTAATCAAAATACTAAAATAACATGATTTTAATCAGATTAATTATTCCACTGAAATTTATACAGAAACAAGAAAATTTTTGATTAAAAAAATTTCATCAGAGATTAAGATTATAGAATTTTTAAAATTAATTGTTCATCTAACTTCTTTAGATAAAAATTTAATATAGAGTGGGTCTAATTCACTCAATATACTAGTCGAAATAAAAGTTGATCTTACAAACTAGTTTTTTCTTAATATAAGGATTTAAAATACTTCTTTAATCGGAGGTAATTTTGCAAAATGCAATCTAAGTGGAGCTGAATTTTAAAATATAAATATAAATGGAATGAATTTAAATGGAGCTTAATTAATTGATTGTAAATGGAAAAATTTAAGAATTAATGATTTACATTAATTAAATGGTCATGATGGGCCTGTTAATTCATTATGCTTCTCTCCTGATGGTATTATATTGGCATCTGGTAGCATGGATTAATCTATTCGTTTATGGGATGTTGGAACAGGATAGCAATAATCCATATTGGAAGGACATAGCAATTCAGTTTAGTCAGTATGCTTTTCTCCTGATGGTAGTGTGTTAGCATCTGGTAGTGATGATAAGACTATTCGTTTATGGAATTTTAAAACAGGAAAATAAATATTATAATTAAATGGTCATCATGCAGAAGTCCTATCTGTTTGCTTCTCTGCTGATGGTAGTACATTAGCATCTGGTGATGGTGATAAGACAATTCGTTTATGGGATATTAAAAATGGACATTAAAAATCTAATTTAGAAGGTCATAGTAATAATGTCACATCAGTATGCTTCTCTCCAGATGGTACTAACTTAGCATCTGCTAGTTGGGATAATACTATCCGTTTGTGGGATGTTAAGTCTGGACAACAAATGTTAAAATTTGATGGACATATTAGTTACATCTCATCAATTTGCTTCTCCCCTGATGGTACTACATTAGCATCTGGTAGTAATGATAAGTCAATTTGTTTATGGGATATTAAAACAGGACAATAAAAATCTAAATTACAAGGGCATAGTTATGGGGTCTATTCAATATGTTTCTCCCTTGACGGTACTACATTGGCATCTGGTAGCGATGATAATTCTATCCGTTTATGGGATGTAAAAACAGGATAACAAAAATCTAAATTGGATGGCCATACTAATGCAATTCTATCAGTCAGCTTCTCTCCTGATGGAATAAAATTAGCATCTGCTTGTTGGGATAATTCTATCCGTTTGTGGGATGTTAAGACAGAACAATAAAAAACTTAATTAGAAGGACATAGTAGTTTTGTATCATCAGTATGTTTTTCTCCTGATGGCACCACGTTGGCATCTGGCAGCAATGATAGCTCTATTCGCTTATGGGATGTAAAAACAGGATAACAAAAATCTAAATTGGATGGACATAGTAATGCAGTTCTATCAGTCTGCTTCTCTCCCGATGGTACTACATTAGCATCTGGTAGTAATGATAAGTCAATTCGTTTATGGGATATTAAGACAGGATAATCAATGTTAAAATTAGATGGACATAATTTTGCGGTTTATTCAATATGCTTCTCTCCTGATTGCACTATGTTATCATCTGGAAGTGATGATAGCTCTATTCGCTTATGGGATGTAAAGACAGGATTACAAAAATTAAAATTAGATGGACATACTAATGCAGTTCTATCAGTTTGCTTCTCTCCTGATGGTACTATTTTAGCATTTGGGAGCGATGATAATTCTATTAGTTTATGGGATGTTAAGACAGAATAATTACAACTTAAATTAGAAGGTCATAATGGTTGGGTTTAATCTGTATGCTTCTCTCCTGATGGTAGGATATTAGGATCTTGTAGTGGAGATAAGTCTATCCGTTTATGGGATGTTAAGACAGGAATATAAAAATCTTTATTAAATGGTCATACTCATCATGTTTAATCAATATGCTTCTCTCCTGATGGCACTACATTAGCATCTGGTAGTAATGATTGCTCTATTCTTTTATGGGATGTTGAGACAGGAAAGTAAAAGTCAAAATTAGATGGCCATACTCATTACGTTCAATCAGTTTGTTTCTCTCCTGATGGTACTTTGTTAGCGTCTGGAAGTTGTGATTAATCTATCCGTTTATGGGAAGTTAAGAAAGGATAAATAATTAACCCCTTGGAGGAAAATTATAAAGATAATTTTGCAAAATTTTTCAAACCCCTTTAACATATTTCATTTTCCGAAGACGGTAAAATTATTTTTGTTATTTAGTAAACAATAATATAACTATTCAACATATATCTCAATAACCAATCTTTTAAGCAAAAGGAGCTTTAATCTTGAATGGAGAATTTACAAATCATTTAGGCATGGATTTACGAAAACTATTTGAATAAAGAGGAAGTTTTATTTTAGAAACATACCTAGAATAACAAAAAAATAAAAATAAAAATTGAATATCATCAAAAGCTTTAAATATAAATTGTTTTATTAATACTTCATTATATAAGTTTTGAAAATAAAGAAATAGTCCCCAATATATGCAATTTATCAATAATTTTCATTATTTACCAGTTTTTTAAGGATAAAATATCTTTGTTGATATTGAAGGATATTATTTTAATAAATTTTAAAATTTGCAAACAATAATATAGGTTGCCTAATCTAAAAAAATAAATAAGGAAAATTCCTTAAAGTGAAGAAGTTTATTCAGAATTGTGATGAGATTATTTTATATCTATCTTTAGACTAAAAATCTCTATAAGATCCTTAATAGTAAAAGATGTTAATTTTTATATTGTCTCAAGTATGTAAGGCTTGTTTTTCTTAATAAATTTTTATTTACATCGCAATAATAAAGGATTCTCATATTTAATGCAAATTAGTGAAATCTCAAAACTTGATAGAACTCATTCATTTTGGTTAATCAATTAGCGAAGTTTTATCGATATTCTAAATTATTCTTATTATTTTTATTTGAAATAAAAATCTAGAGTGATCACAAATTAATAAAAATAATTTTGCCTCATCTTAATATGCAAAATCAACCAAACTACCAAATTCTAAATATCAAGATGAGTAGCTATACCTCTTAAAATTTGGAAATAAATAAGATTTATTGGTTATCATAACTGAACTATGTTTGTTATATGAAATTGAAGATATATCCTAAAATTTAAACTATACTAAAAATACATCAAATTCATTACTCAAAATTCAAATCTGATTTTAAAAATTTAACCTTCAAAAATGTTATTCCTAGTGTTTTTATTAATATAATAATAATTTGATTATGATACTTCTTAGTTTAATATTTGCATAGTTTACTAAGTTTTATTAAATTAGATATTTTCCTCCATTTACTTTCAGAAATTTCTTCATTATAATTATTGATAACTCCTACGAAAGTTGTTAATTTAATAAATCATCTCATAACATTTGCATAAATTTAAAGATTTAATATCATCTAGCTATTGAAAAAATTAAATAATAGGCATATATCTTTTAATTCTTTCGCAAAATTTTATATTTCTCTAATGAATAGCATAAGATTTTATTAGATTGTTTTCAATCAATCATTTTTTCTTTTCTTTTTGAAATAATTAATATCATTTAAAAAGTACTTAGAAGTTTTATCTCAGAATGTAAAAGAAATAACCAAACTAGAAATTATCTAAATTTTAATAATCCTGGCCAAGAATAAAAATATTGATTAGCAACACTGATAAAAATTGTAAAAAGATAGTAAATACTTATTTATTGAAATTAGACAATTTAATTTCAAACCTATACAAATTTTATCATTTTTAAAATAAATATTGTAACTTAAAAATTTAAGAATTTTTTCGTATTAAACTCTTATAAGTTTATTGATTTTATACTTATTTGTACAGAAAAAAATTTTCAGAAAAAATACAGATATTATGTTGAAAATATATCTTTCTAAATTAATTTAATGAAAATTAAGATATCAAAATAGAACTGACAATAGTCAATCATTTTCTTAGATAAAAGGTAAGGATCTAAATCATATTCTTATGTGTAATTTGAAAATTTAAAACAGCTTGGATATTATGCTTAGAAAAAGTCTTACTAGTAACATAAGCCACCAAAAGATTTCTTAATTAAAGATTACCACAGTTGATAGATGATTGATATAAGAAGAACAGATTACAGGTAGGCTGGCTTATATTCATAATAAAAAGGTTTTCCTAGTGAAAATACAAGATTATTTGTGCCAAGCTCATACTTTGCTTCTAAAAAGAAGCATCCATTAGATGAGGTGAAATGAGAGTCTTATTTTAGTAAAAGTGCAGAGAGTATAAATGGACTAAATTAGAGAGGTCTATAAGATTGGCTTTAAGGCTAGCCTTATTACTTAGGTAAATTGGAAATACTAGTTCATAAAATAGTTCGGTAATAATGTTAGGTTTTAAAATAAAATATAAAAGTCCTGGAGGATGCGACCTAGGAAGAGATGGAAGCAGATTTATCTATTAAAGTGATTAAAGAAGAAAAAAATAAAAGAAAAAAAGGTAGCACTCGATTAAACACCAATCCAATAAATAGATTAAGGTGAGTTACCTATATAGTAACCAAGCTTAGTGATAGAGAAAAGTGATGCTATTTATATTTCTCCTGGATTATGAAGATAATAAATGAAGACCAAAGTGGTAATTAACAGTAATTTAATAATCCAAGGAAACAATTTGCTAAAGATTAAAAATTGATAATGGAAAAACTTAGAAAAGAAAATCAATAGTTAAAGAAAGAAAGTGATAGACTACTTTTTAGAAAAGAAAAAATTAACGTAATAAAGATAAGTTATTGTTGAATAAAATTCAGAGAAGATCTAGATTGAGATCAAATAACTGGATGATCCTATTACTGCAAAAAGATATTTTTTATATTAATAGAATTTTATGATGAATAATGCTATTAAGTTTAACCTTTTGAAACATAATACCTTAGGGTATCGATATCATTATAGGATGGAAATAGATACTTTAACAAAAAAGAATAATATCATTTACCGAGGCTAAAAATAAATTTTTACAAGATTTGAAGAAAACTTTGTAAAACTTCCTCAAATAAAAGATTGGAAGGTGGAATCCTTCATAGTGGATTGGAAAAGGAAAAGGCAATCAAAGAACTCTAATAATATGCAAGCATATTCTAAAATATGATATCTATTGGGAGTTCATTGATGTTAAATCATGGTGAGCATATATTAGAGAACGCTAAGGGTTGATAGTAAGAGAAGTATCTGTATTTGATATCTTTAGAGTAAGATTTTTACTATCTGAATCTATTAATAGCTTATTGGAGAAAACATTCATAATCCATATAATAGGATCAATTAAAAGAAACCAGTTTTCTGAATGATAAAGGAAGGTACTAGGTATCTCCCATTTTTGTAGAGTTTATGTTAGTGAAGATTATTTAAACTGTAATAAACGCATCAATCAGTTTGTATTTTTAAGAATTTAATAAGTAGGTTTTAGATATAAGAAGAAGGAGATTCAAGATTTTGGTAGTGTTCTTTTTTAAATGATGCATTTTGTTTATGGAGGTTAATAAATCTTTGATGCTGCGAAATTGTTTAATTTATCAAGTGAACGATAAATGACACTTGAGGAAGATTTTTTACATTTCTTAATGAAAAAAAGATATGAAGAGCTTAAAAAGAATACAAAGTGATGACTATGTTTGATATATCAATATAAATTGTGAATTATATTTAAAAATAATTTCATTTTGTTGTTAATGGAAATTGTATCTTCTATTTTGCTCTTTAATACTTTTCAAAAATTAAATTATCTTATTGATAATTTCCTACCATCTATCCAAACAAGGAGTTCCTTCTTCGTGGCTTCAGATTTTCTTGTTACTCAGGGCTCTAGCTTGCGCTTGTTGATGTACTCGGCCTAAGACTGATGGTATGAGCAGGGAAGAATGTCAATAGAGCAATTCCAATCATTAATATAATAAATAAATTAATTTCGGTAATCATTAAGTTTGCAAAATATCCAGTTTATATCAATGTATAAGATTTGATATTTATTATTACTTTATGATTTATAATTAGCTCAAATTCAATTAGTAAAGAAAGAAAAAGGTCAGATTATGAAGAATTTCAAAAAGTTGTATCTTTTTAATAAAAAGTTTATTTCTTGCATATCAATTAATAAAGATAAAAAATAAGACTTTTACCATTATTGCCTTTCATATAAAAAATTAAAAGAGGGGATATACTTAAAGAAGATATTTTATCTTATTTGTGTTATTAAACAAACAGATATAAAATTCTAGTATCTTAATATTAATCTTCCATCCCCTTTTTGTTAAATATATTTATTTTCAGATTAACTATTTAAATTTGCTTAATTCTAGGCTAGCAATTTATATCTCTATTGATAATTATCCAAGATGTATAGAATTAAATTATGATATATTTGTTATTTTTTTAACCTTGAAGTAAATTTTGATTTCTTATTAAATTCAAAATTTTAATATAGAACACAATTCATAATTTTAGAACAATTACGAACTATAGGCAATCCTCCAAATATTTTTGACGCTAACTGTTATACTTTTTAAGAAATGGTTAAAAATTATTCTGAAGTATTTTCTATATTAACTTAAGAATAGATTTAAAACCATTCATAGGAGATCTATAAATAGTCGATAAAATAATTGAATAATCTCTAAGCTAACCGATTATAATAAATAAACTATCTAAGATCTGTAGAAATTCAGAAAAAATTAAAAATTCTACTTAATAAATCTTATTAATTTCAATTTAAAAATTTATATTTTCATTTACAAGTTTAACAATTCAATTCTAAAGATCTTTAAATTTTGTTTGATTTATTTTAAGAAAATTAATTTAATATTTTAGAGATTAAGGTCTTTTGTTATAGTGGTTTGATTTAATTTCTTAAAACAAATCTTTTAATAGTTTTATGCTGTTTCTTATAATTAACTAAAAAGTTAAATTAAATGGTTATTAGATAAATATTCAAACTTAAGTTTAATTGTTTAAATTTATATTTAAATTTATTTTAGCAACTTAATTTTTTATTTTATATATTTATAGCAGTAGTAGATAAATTAATTTCTTTTATTGAAGCAAATTCAACGATTCTTCTGTTTTATAAAAGAAAGATTCACTTAATCAAATTATTATTGAGAATAATAGTAATATCCAAAATTTGAAAGAAAAATTAGATGTTAAGATTCTAATAGGATAGCTTTATTGTAATTTGAAGAGCTTTTGCATTTTCTCCTTGATCACTTAATAGTATTGCTAATCATAGTATTATATAATATTCCTCGATGATAGTAAGCCTTATAATCATTGGTTATAGGTGATAGCAAAACTTTTTGGTTTTATATTACAAAAATGCAATAAAAATAGGATAATTGAATGTGAATTTTCATAATAACATTATTT